CWTGRAWRRMAARMAGGTCAGGTAACGGCAGCGAAAACAAAACAAAATGTTCAAATGCAGCCAAACGCACACACACATTAAACGTGATGAAGGGGCAACGGTCTAGGCTGGACGTTGTTGTTCAATGCATCATCGTCGATACTTTCACTCACGATGTCTTCTGCTATTACGGCAGCGCGGCGGGTTTCTGATCATTGTTGTTGGCTTTTTAGATACCTTTTCAGGCGCACAAAAAATGTGAAAGTCAAGTTGATGATGAAGATCGTATTCAGTGCATGTATTTCAAGTCGTGAATGGATTCATTTATATTCATGTTGATAGTCTCTCCTTGGATATCACGCTGAGAAGTAGCTTCTTTCCGCCCTGCATTCTCGACGTCCTCTCTCATTTCTACTCGTGGTAGTAGACGGCTATTTCCTGCTCACATACCAACTTGGATGCTTGAAGAATCGGAGCAGCGTCCGCTACTGCTCTTCACAGCGATGGGCACGACATCAAGCTTCGTCACGATACCTGCTTCTGCATCTACAGCATCTTGCTGGCTTTGATGGCCATGAAGTCAGTGTGCATCCCTTCCAAAATCCCGAGATGCACGACTTACATCGCGAGATCGTCTCGTTTAGCGTGCACGTCGTTGGTGAACATTCTCGACGGCATCCGAAGATGAAGTCAATACCTCTGATGATCGTTCCTCGTGCCGTGGATTATCCACCTCTGAACTTCCTCCGTCCTATGAAGAAAGCTCGCCTTGTCTGACTCGGACTTCTTGGAGATCTTTCTCATTGGTCTTTCTCAATTCCATTAGTGTGTGGACTTTCTCCATGATTTGCTCAAAGGCCGCTACGACTGGAGGGGTGGCCATGGGGATGACATCGTGGACGCCGATGTTGGAGAGAATGGCAGCGAGTTTGTCTGTTTGGAGTTGAGATTTTGCGGTGCGCGGTTTGGTGAAGCGGTCGCCTAGGAAGGAGACACTGCTGCCGGGTTTGTCGGGGTTCAGGGTGACGCCGAAACGCAGCTGGTCTGCTTTGGAGAGGGCGTCTGGGAGGGTGGGTTGGGCAGGGGTTTGGGAAGGTCGGGCGGCACTACTGTTGTTTGTGTTGTTGCTGTTGTTCATAGAAGGCAGACCATCATACGCTGCATGGCCGGTGGGCCGCAATTTGGAGTGCTTTTTGGCTCGATCCTGAGCGAGGAGTTGTTGCCAGAGGGTGGTGAGGGCTTGTGAGGTGGTGTATTGGTAGCCGGTCGTGGCAGCACGTGGATGATCGAGACGTTGCCGCAGTTCTTCTCGTTGGTTGTCCAAAGACGCTTGATTGAGCATGATGCGTTGTAGTTCTCCCAGCAGCACCGTTTCCTCGTCGACTTCGTTGGCGCGACGGTAGAGATGGCCCTCTGCGAGCTTTTTCCGCGATGTTTCTTGCTCGGCGTTGAAGGACGAGAGCATTTCGTACAGACTGTAGTCGGTAGTTGTCATGCTTGTGATGGGAGTCGCCAGTTGTAGCAACGAGGCGGACAAGGTGTAGAATCGCGACTTGAGTTCCTCCATTGACCGCGGACTACCGCCTTCAAACTCGTAGTGATCTGCAATCACCGGCCATTTTCCATGGCAATCTCCATAGACTTGCACCAGATAATCCGTCTCTTCTTTGCTCCAATCCGAGCTTGTGAGATGAGCCTCGTAGACTTCGGCGTCGTAGGTCGGCACGGGCACGCGATCGGGAAGGGTCGTTGTCGTCGGCGGCGGCGCCGTGGCACCATTCCGTGTCCAATGCTGTAATTTGGTGATTCTCGTCGTTGGTTCGCGCGTCCAGCGCGCTGCTCTGCGATGGGTAGCCATCGAGATGAAGATGTGATATTGACGATGATCATGAATGGCGCATCGTGAACTTCACATGCGACGAAACTAGCGCCGGAGATATGCAGGGATCATCCCGCATGTGCCAATCCGCAAAGTCGTGGGAATCATCGTCACCTCCGTCCGACTTTCCCGCAACACAACATCTTCTTCCACTTCTCTCTCACACACACATATCCAACCACGGAAGATGTCGCCCACCATCCTCGCCMTGGTCTTTGCCATCCAGCTGGCCCTATCACTCATCAGTACCGTCGGCGCTCAAGCGATCAATGACCTCGCCTGGCGACTTTTCCTCCTGCTCCCCACCGAACACTCGGCCAACTCTGCCAAAACAACCCAACTGCGCAATGAGGTTTTACGTCTCAAGCGAGAAATGACTGCAGTCTCCGCTCAAGACAACTTCGCTAAGTGGGCGCGATTGAGGAGGGAACACGATAAAGCTAAGGATATCTACGACAAGAACGGTGGGTCACTTTTTTTTTTGAAATACATGGGAACAAGGAGCTAATGCTGATTTAAACCACAGTCTCTCAAACCGGCGGCTTCCGAAGCTCTTTCGATAGCATTCTCAACAAACTACGATGGCTGGGAACACAAGGTGTGAATTTCCTGGTGAACACGTGGTTTTCGAAACAGGGCATGTTTTGGCTACCTAGAGGATGGGTGCCTTATGCTGGAGAATGGGTGCTGAGCTTCCCGCGGGCGCCGTTGGGAAGTGTGTCTGTCAACGTATGGGGAATGGCGTGCGGGATGGTGGTTGGGCTGGTGGTGGAGGCTGCGACCGCTGCGTGGACATTGAAGTCGAGGACGGAGGAGATTAAGAAGGTGCAGGAGGTGACGGGGGAAAAAGAGATCAAGTCAGAGAAGAAACAGGCACCGAAAGTGGAGATTCGGCAAAGAAAAGAGCTTTAAGGGATGGTTGACTTATCATGGCGTTTAGGGCGGGACGTGGGAGAGGTATGGCTCTGAGATGAATTCGACAGAAAGTGGAAAATCTCTGGTGTACACCTGACGACATGAGTGGAAGCCCGTTCCATTCCAGACAGTGAGCAGCAGGTCATAGGAAGACCATGCTATTCGCCGCATGCTGCAGGACGATGGCTCTGTTGAGATCTCCGCTGACCCGCTCAATTCAATTATAAACGGGAATGCTGACAGCATACTAAGAAGACGTTTCCAGTATGGTGTCACCACGTCTTGACGGGAAATCCAAAGTCGACGGCCGTCTACCAGGATCTCCACGGCTCAATCTTTCCTCTTCAACTTCCTCCACGCTCTGACCACCACATTCAAGATAGTGCAGCAAGTGCGGCATCTAGATACCCGCGTGAGCGACGAGTCTTCCCAGACATGCGACGGAGTGGTAATTTCAGAAGAAGTCGCGATACCTCATGAACATCGCATACTAGAGAGGATAGCGATACACGGGACAAGATGTTGAGACTGCTGATTCGACACATTCTCCGATCTTCAATGCTGGCATCTTAGGACACAGATCAAGCTCGTGTGCATTGATCTTTTATGACTCTGTCGCAGCCTCGCTTAAGGATGATGATCCTGAAGTCATCGCTATACACGCGCCACGGCTCTCGGKAGAATCATAGCCAAAGAGCTAACACTCTGTGCGTGGCAGCCATGCACCACTAGAGTCACATGGAGCAGAGGATCAAACGATGCGACAAAATTTCGTACGAATTTCCCGATTGGGAAATTCTTGCGAGTCCACGGATAGGGGTTCAGCACTTGTCATTCGCTCGCATCGGCACCAGGAACAATCCCCATGTATGGAAATCAATTGATACAAGGTAGAGCAAGGCGTCCAGCCAAGGTAAAGGCTATGGAAACTCTTGGCTGCATCATTGTTGAAGATCTGCTCGTCCTCTCGCTTCAATCTGCTATATAACAGCTAGCAGACCTGTACTACTATTGAGTTTCGCTTCACAGGTCTTAACATCAATCCTCCACCACTCTCACCCACGACACACCCGCTATATCGCAATCTACATCTTTCAAAATGAAGGCCTCTCAACTCTACTTGACCCACCTCGCTCTCGCCAGCTGCACAACAGCCATACAATACGGCCCAACAACCGGCTCCGGCTACGGCCCCTCAGCACCAGGAACCCCCGACTTCCTAACCCTCAACCACAACCCAAAACTCTCCAAATCCCAACTTCTGACATCCGGCTGGGGAATAGCAACCGAAATCCCAGGCGGCAAATCCCCCTCCCAGACTCTCACATGGCGCATCAACATCACCGAAGCCGCAATCCCAAACGCCTCAAACGCTTCTTCCGGTCCAATCCCTAATCCTCGAATGCTCAATACAGTCTACGATCTCTCTTGGCAAGGCGATGGGAATCTTCAAGAAACAATGTCGGAAATCCAGAAAGATGCCAAGCCTTCGAGGAGTGAAGATCTAGAAGCTCCACAACTTTGCGCTACGGTTTTCACGGCGTTTTTCCCGGCGAATGTTACGAATGCGTATACTGCTTCTTCGCAGGATAGCTGTTCTGGCGCTCTGGGAGATTGTTTAGGACCTCTCCTTTCCACAACGGGTACTACTGGAGCAAGCGGCTGTCCTATAGTACGAGATCCTTCCACTATTCCCGCTTGCGCGGGGGTTTTTGAAAATAATGGGGCGCCTGCTACGCTGGAACTCACGCAGAATGGGACTGGGATTGCGAATTCTTCGTTTCCGTTGTTGTCGGGAAATGGGTTTTTCTTTCAGTCTAGTGGGGTTTATGAGGAGGGGAATCGGACGGTTTGGGATCAGGAGAGGTTGAGGTTGCATGTTATGGTTTTGGATACGGTTCGGAGTGCTAGGAGGGCTGTGTGTTCGAGGGTTGATGCGGAGCTTGAGGCGGAGGGGAGGAGTACTGGTGCGGCTGATGGGATTGGGGCTGCGGTTGGGGGGTCGAGGGTGAGTTTTTGGGGGGTTGGAGGGGCTTTTTTGGGGGCGTTGGCGCTTTTGTCGTAGGGATGGGGAGTTGGGATGTGGGTTGTGGGTTGTCAAGTTTGGGGTGTTTCGATGGGAGCTGTAAGATGTGGGAGGTGTGCGTGTTGGAAGTCTCTATCGCATCTCATGCAGTCAACAACGACACTTTCGCTGTGAGCATGTGATTGAAAATTGTCTTGGCAGCACAAATATCGGTTTTAGACCTAGCTTCTGCTAGTGTACAGGACCGTAAGAACTTGATTCTAACAGGGTAGATCGTAAGGCAAATAACAATGACAAATTCCAAAGTGAACACCATAGGTAAGATATTCATGTAGACACAATTTCATCATCCAAATCAGCGTCCCTGGCCATGGAAACGACACCAGAGCAAGTATTGCGTTGAGCAGCGACTTTCATTGCGCGAATTCAGACTTGCTGCTCGAAAGTCGAAAGCACTTCTTGCATTTCAGATTGCCTTCTGAAAGCGAGCTATCTCCGCACGAAGTAGGTTCATTAGAGCTTGCCAGATTTGAAATGATGAGTAGATTACTTGAATGTTTAGCGAGTGAATCCATGCAAGTGAATGTTTCCAAATCCTCTTAACAAGATTCATCCACAATGGTTTGATTCTGGGATTTTCTACAAGCTATCACGCCGAAAACATCTGCGAGGTGTGAGAACGGTGAAGGATAAGCGACATTGTAGGCTTTGATCTATCATTCAATTTATGATTATATGGGAAGCTGTAGTGTACGACAAGTTCAGCTCCGGTAGATCTTGATGGTGGCGGGCGAGTCAGAGTCTCGATTTGGAGAGAGCTCCGTTGAAGGGGCCTGTCGGATGGGGGACTATGCTTGAGCTCGAAACTTCTGCTCTTTACCTAGGTATTTTGTTTATAAGTCGTCCGACTAGGGAGGAGGCATCCATCGGCTCGATGGATAAGATGCCTGACGGGTAACACTTCTCCTTTTACTCTTGGAAGGAATTATAACCTTCCATTCGCTTGTAAGATACTCCCACCACCGGCTTTTGACCTACCTGGCTCCAATTTGGAGGTTTTACTATTCACAACTCGTTGGTAAGATTATAAGAGAGCACTTAACTGGCTAGCAGTTGACTGTCACTGACAAAACCGAGTGAGTAGGACACTGAGGAGAATGAACGCCATGGTTATGAAGGCGTCTGCTCGGTGTGGAGAGCGCCTGTCTTGTATTTCCCCAATTTTACCGACACCGGAACCTCAGCGCCATCATATCAGCAAGGCGGAAGACCTGGTCGACTTTCAACACTCTTTGCCATTTCGTTCGCCATGATCCTTCCAATCTTAGCTACGCTGACCTCCATTCCTCCCCTGTGAAGATTCCTGGCACATTGATCCTGAACTTTGGCAGCTTACAACTGACGACTTTCCAGCTCAGTCTCCTCTCTTCCACTCCATATAGCGCTCGTGGCCAGTGTGGCCTGATGCCTCAAGAATATCGAACTCCGACTGTGCACCGGGATCGCCATACAGCAGCTTCAGTCGCAGCGGCCATTTCTCGACAATTGTATGGCGCTTCTTCATTAGCATACCTCCAGGCAGCAGATTGACACTCTGAGCCTCGATCTCCTTGAACTTTTTGATGGCCATGTAGCTGTAATGTTATGGTTAGTAATGGCAAAAACGGAGGACAAGTATTCCAATGTACCTTTCGAAGTAGTCGTCAAAATCACGAAAGTAGCAAACAGCGTCAGTCATCTGCAGCACCCTCGGACTACTCATGCTGAAGTCTGTGATAAGAGACCGCGAGAAAAACTTGCCCGCCTGCGCCATTTCTCTGATTCTTTTTTTGCGAGCGACTGCTGAGCCTCCCTCATAGTGCAGAATTTCGGGAATGGCGTTCATGAAAAGAGTGAGTAGCGTGGCATGTGGATTGTTCTTTGGGCTCTGCAACATGACGCCCAAGCACGTCAAAGTCTGGGTGATTCCCAAGTAGAACGCATCCGAGATGTTCGACATCTGCAGTCATCATGAGTTAACGCCTGATGTGATTATCAAAGTGTACGGGGATGGACTTACCTCGACTCTCGCAAACTTCATGTCGTGCAGTGATTTCTGATCCTTCAGCGACGTAGCATCAACTTGTAGGAAACAGAAGTCATTGCCATGGTGTGCGAGACGGCTGTGGAAACTGGCCAGATGCGAGCTGATGTGGTAGAAGAGTTTGCCGTACAAGTCGCGGGATGCTGGCCCCGAATCGGTGTTGGAGACCTCAGAAGCGCWCCAGCCCTGTAGAGGATTGGCACTATCCATCATAGGCCATTCAGCTGACTGGAATAAGGTACTAGAGACAAAGTTCAGTGGGTTGTTTCGAAGGATCTCGATCGAAACTTACGGGTTCGGCACAGTGAACTCCTCCCGTGAGGCACCAAATGGAAGGAGAAGGCCATCATCGAAGAATCTACTGGCGCAGACGCGATGGGCTGGCTGCTGAGAGAAGAGCCAGCGATCCCTGTAGTCCACCCGCTGTGGTGCCAAGGTGACGGCCGCCCGAATCTGGTGGGCCTGCTCCCGCGTCAGACCGGCGGTGTCTTTCACAAATCGTAGCAGCTCCTGCCACTTCTCCTTGGTGAGTTCGGCCCGGCAGGTGTTATCCCCCAGTGTCCAGGTCTTGCCCAAGACGACGCCCGGTCCCTTCATTTCAATCTTGCGGTTGACGTCCTCAAATAGCGGCAGAATCTTGGTCGTGAGGATGGTGGCATCACTTGCACGAATCAGTGTTGAGTACCATACATGAAGCATGCAGGTCACATCCTCCGTACTATCTTCAACGACAAGTCCGATGAGGCAGATAATCAGATTGCGAGCCACCACCTCAAAATCCCGGTCATTGATGAAGAGACGCACTCGATTGGTGTATGTATCTGGTAGAGAGCCCACGGACTTGACGATGTTCCGTGGGTCGCCAGAAGCTACAGAATGACGGGTCAGCTTGATTCCATGTCTATGCACCTGCTGGACTCGCCGGCGAAGAGAAGAAAGAGATCTTTATCGTAGTCCAGACCCTCATTTGACGCGAGTTGGATGATGTCCAAGGCTGGTATATTGCCCCAGAAGTACTTGCGCGCTCCGTATTTGTCCTGGCTGGAAGGACCATAAGTGAGGAACTTGGGCGTGCGGCGCTCCAGGACCCAACTGGGATTCCACGTCTTTTTGATGAGGGGAGAGGTGCAAGAGGGTTTGTGGTGGCTGCGGTGAGCAACTTGACAGGTACGGCTGCAGTACTGCGGGGACATCAGCGGGCGGCTTCCAGTTTTCGAGTGAATAAAAGACTAACCACGACCAGAAGACAGGCCGAGCATGCCAGATGTCCAGGTTGCTGGCAGTTGGCACAGATCCGCCCATTCAGAGCAGATATCGCTGGCACCATAATGACGGCGTGGTCGATGATGATGAACTGATGGTGATGGAAGCTCGGTCACGAAAGGTCTCCTGGCTGAGTGGAAGCTTTACCTCGCAGACAAACGGAGCAGCCCGCAAAACGTCACCGGAAAGCAGCAAACACAGCACCCTAATTAAGCCGCCATCCGGAATCACAACGGAAGATTTTATTTGTTAGATGACTCATTGTTGCGGAGTTCTGTCGATCTTTTCCCGCCGCCAACGATACACCTAGACAACAAAAGAGCTACTGCCGTGATGCCGAGAATCACATGCAAGTGTCGAGCGACCATCCTTTAGATATACCAGGTCCATATGTGGGGTCCATATCATCTAGATGCTAGTCACTTAATGACTCTGAATACAGCAGGCAGTTGTAAACTTCCTACAAGCGTTCTGGCATTTAGTGTTGGGGACATGTGCACGACGCCTGGTTTGACAGAAGATGTTGGATTGTTCGAGGAATGCACAATCATGTTGTTCACAACCGGAGATCAAAGCTTCCTTAAACATAATTGTGGTGTCCGAGGCGGCACTTTTAGAGTTCTGAGTTGGGCAAATCCCAAGTCTGCAGGTGAATATTCACTTGAGCCGCGCTAGTGGCTAAATCCGAACTTGAGCCGTCAGATCGACTAATTCAACTAGATTCCAGACCCCAAACAAACTTTCGAGATGCAAGCAGCGAGCTCAACGAGTTCTAATTGCTCTCCTGATCGCGCATTCTGTCGCTAATCATCGCAGCATGGTGTCTGTACGCCCCGACTCCGAACGCGCGCCTGACAAGTTCTCGGATAAGGAGCTTCGGGACAGGCAGCTCTCTCGCATTCAGAGTATTGTCGGACCGGATCCTACGGCGGAACAGCAGCCCACCAGTGTTGACCGTCCTCAACATCCCTCGTCTGCTATGGCTCTGCCCACCGCCTCCAAGCAAGCAGCCGGAGCGGCAACTGCGCAGTGTTCTGGACATCGTGAAGATGGATGTCAGAGGAAATTGGGTAGTGAGCAACTGTCGCCGCGCGAGGAGTCCGAGCCCGAAGACGATACAGGAGGAAAGTGGGATGCGAGCGCTGACGATGGTCAGAGGAAATTGGCTAGTCAGCAACTGTCGCCGCGCGAGGAGTCCGAGCCCGAAGGCGATACAGGAGGAAAGTGGGATGCGAGCGTTGACACGGACCATGTGCCAAACACGCGACACTATGATCACGGTGCCCACGCCTACTATCCACAACGTTGTACCCCTGCGCAAGGAGCATTCTCGACGAATGATGGACCAAGTTACGCCGAGCTCTCATTCCAGGCAGCGAGGACCTCCACCGCAGTCCTCAACCTAATGCACTTGAATGGAACCGTCCAACCCACGACAACACAAAGCGAGGTCCCGCAGCAGCAAACTCGACAAGTTCGCTCGGAGTCGCTCTCTGAGAAGATGGCGACTATGGAGTATGACGAGTATGGTATGCCGCTTAGGACTGAGAATGACGCAACGATGAGAATGCACGCTTATGCCGCGGCTGCTAAGCGAACCGCTACGCTCTCGGAGGGAATTCAAAATGACGCAAGCCAACCTTCGGCGGCGTACGATGCCGTTACAGCAACTGATTCCGCACAGCGCTCGCGTATCAGTGCGACTTCGGAGGCATTCGACAGCACGGGAGTATCGTCCAGGGCTGAGGCATCGACTCTCTCCCTCCCAAGCATTGGCGTGGCGGGCGCGTTCGTCAGAAGAGAGGCCGAAGTAGACTTCCATCTCGCTACAGATGCCTCCCATCTTTCCGCTGCTATACTTGCCAAGAAACGTCGTATGGACAAGATCAAAGCTAGCGAAACTCCCACAGCTATTGCAGCCATGGTCGGCGGATGTGCACTCGAGTCGACTCTGGATCAGTCGTCTGCCGCTACGCAGGAGATCCCGTTGCCTATGAAGCCGTCTACGAAGCGTCCACTCACACTCGAGGCCGAACCGGTCACTCAGAAGAAGCGGAAGAGTGGCAAGCTCACTACCACGGAGGAGCTGTTGAAGGAGGAATTCTAAGCAGAAAGCAAACAGCTTCTTTGCAATCGTCCATGGTATCTTTGGGCTATGGATGGTACCTCATCATCATGCTACCGGTGTCTTCATTGGGAGAACCGCTCAAGGAGCCATCATGTGAGCGCTCGATACAAGTGCAGACCATACAGCGACTTCCTTGATCTTTCACTGATATAACAAAAATCGGATTTCTGAGTCGTCTTCAAATCGTCTCGAAGTTACCACACTCTTTCGTAGTAGATATCCCCGTGAAGTAAATGGGGATATTTGTTGAGCACAACGATGTTGTCTGCGTCTTCTCGTATCGACACCCTGACCGCATGCACAGAAGACAAAGAGGAAAGTAAGAGGTTCAAGAGGCCCCGATTGAATATCTGTCTAGATGCCTCAGTAGTCACTGCCATCTCTTAAAGCTGTCGCCAGACGAGTTCATCCAATTTGGCTTCTAGAATCGTCTGGTCTGAGCGAGCCACTTCCACTCGAGACCATCATTCTCTCGGTTGGGGGGTATGCTTCACCGCGAGCTACCCTCCTTGCATATCGTCTAACTTTACGCGCATTATTATCTGCGACTGACTGTCGCCGCTGATCAACAGCTTCTCCAGTACTCGACGTCGATCCATCTTCTGACCAGTCTGCTAGCTCGACTTTATCAATCGGCAAGTCAACGATCCCAGCACTCTCAGCTGCGGCTCGTGCATCATCGTACTCTTGCTTCCTCTCAGCTATGACTCGCAGTCCTTTCTCCTTGCGGTCTGTAAAGGAACTGCCAAATCTTGCAGCATATGATTCATCGAAGCCTTGCTTTGTACCCAAAGTATAAGTGAACAAATATTGCGCAAAGAGGTTCTCGTACTGGTCAGTGAAGGACCTGTACTTTCTCGTGACTCTTCCCAGCCTGAGCCTGGTGTTTTGAACTTCCTCCCATAACTCATGTTGCTCAGGAGGTGATTGTAACTCGCCGAATGAGCCGCGATTCCCTCTCGACTGCAGACTCATATCATCAATACTGGAAGCTCCTATTGGTGATGAATCAGATTGAAGGAGACCATGTTGGACCATTAGAGGGCGGATTGTGTCATTAAGTAGGTCCGACTCCAGTTGCCTCTGGTTGTGTCTTCTCCTTTGCACCTTTGCATTAAGTTCTCTCCAAGCTTGCATGCAATTACTTCGCGCCTCTCGGCTTTCATCCGATGCCCATGATTGCTTAGCTTTCTCCCATTCTCGCTGGAGCTTCTCTTCAGATGATTCAAGTATGTCTCGGCTGCGCACTACATCAAGAAACTTGGCAAGAACCTCCATTGTGAATTCAAGAGAGCCTATTCTTCCACTGACATAGCTGGCGTCGATGTATTCCTGAGCAACAGCGAAGAGTCGCCGGATGAGTCGATCCTGTATACGAATAACTGTCGCCAGCTGGAATGCTGCGGAGTGTAAGTTTTCACGCGTACCACCGCTACTCTCTAATGCCAGGCGTATTCTATCAATTTCAGTTCGCTTCTTGTTGATCAGATCTTGAATTTCGGGATACTCTCGATCCTTGAGGCGTTCACAGAAAGCTTCGAGAGCGTCACATTGGCCCTCAAACTTCCTTACATCGCTCTGTACTATATTCCACACACGTTAGCGCTGATCTTGCGTTTGAAACGACGAGGGGCGTTGACAGACGTTCTTCGACGGTGGTCTCCAAGCTTTGCCTTACTGTTTCCCGCTCCACCGCCTCAATCAGGCATTCCACAAACATCTCTGGCGAGCGTATGGGTTTGAGTGGCATGAATCTTTGTGGAGATATTGGTGGTGTTGCCATCTTCTTGAAAACGGTCGGTCTTTCGGGGGAGTCAGGCTTTCTGACAGACGACCGAGCACTTCGTACGGGCGACTCTGTCGTCTGCGTGGAGCGATTGTGCTGTATCAAGCCCGGGGTGAATAGTCCCGTAACTCGAGCATAGACATTACCGTACGCACTGCGTACATACTCCATGATGGTTTCTGGCGACAAGGGTGTATGGGTCTCGCTGTAGCGTCAATTACGACTATCGCGGAGGCTATGTAGATGTTCAAACGTGAAGTGCATGGATTTTGTAAACTCACAAAGGAGCAGTTTGCAGTACTCTCAAAGAAAGTGTGCCGGATATGGCTGAGAGAAAACAAAGCCTGCATAGCGCCAAGACATCGTGGTAGCCGGCCCCTTTCCGATGGCCTACGGCAAGATTCATGGGAAGACGTCAACTTGTGTAACTTTGAATATGAGCATGGAACTTAATTGACTCTAAACAATTGACTCTGGCTCATACACAATATTCTAGACCCTCCAAAGGCAATTTCAATCCACCGAGAAGATTAGTAATGCGGAAGGCTTCGTGATGTATAAAAGTTGAAGAGTAGAGCATTAAGGTCTCGTAGCAGGACTGTACAGCATCCGAGACAAAACTCGGTTAAAGAAGACCTGATTGCTATATAACGTTGCTGTTTCAACGACCCAAACACTGATGAACCGGTCTTGCTGGAAGAACAGATAGCAGGTTCGACAGCTTAGAATTTCCGTCTATCACAGCGCCAGGTGCGACATCATTCGAAGGGGATGCTATCCACTAACAAGCGACTTCCTGACAGGACTGCCAGGAATTGGGTGGAGCGAGACTTGTGCAGATGACCCAATCAATGAAATGTGGCGCACCACAACAGTGTCGATCAGAACGTTGATATGGGACTGTGACAGAAGTACAGTACTTGCTTCTCAGGTCTAGATACTTGTCAATAGGACCCTAACTTGGTTTTAGCGCGCTACCATGGATGATGAGCCGAATGGATGTTCTGTTCTTAGATAGATTGAATAGACATGCTGTCTCACGCTAATCTATGTTGATAGCGCCCCATTCTGGCTTTTGAGGCGTGTGCTCCTCTCCAGCAACGGGTACAGAAACGGACCCGAGACAAACTTTCATATCGATAGCTACTTTACAGTGGCTTCGTGTATGCAGTATCTCATAAGCAGACGCTCCAGTATGTCATCCCTCCCTTCATTATCCTTGCAATTTGCCTGGATGGGACTGATCAGTGTCATCATGATCAATCCGGTGATTCTCGCCGAGCTGCTTCGTCAAGAAGGTCCTAACAGTGCATAGCCCAATGTATTGGCCTGGCCGTCTAATGTTCCTCAGCTTCCACGGCCTTGCTCACCTCCACAGCTTTGTTCGCATCCACGGCCTTGCTAACCTCCACAGCTTTGTTCGCATCCACGGCCTTGCTAACCTCCACAGCTTTGTTCGCCTCCATAACTTTGTTCGCCTCCACGGCCTTGCTCGCAGCCTCGACCTTGCTCTCCCTCACTGGCCTGCTCACCCTCGCTACCCTGATCTTCTTGAAGCCTTCATCATCACCCTTGTACTTATCGGTCAAAGCCTGTACAGCATCCTCAATCTGCTTGACCTCCCACTTAATCTTCGCCTGGTTCTCCTGCTCCCTCCTCGTCGCCTCCCACTTAATCTTCGCCTGGTTCTCCTGCTCCTTCCTCGTCGCCTGCAACGTGCACACAGCCCGTTCAACTGAATTTACCACCCAGAGACCACCCGTCAGAAACCCCAAACCCTTCCTACCACCAAGCTGCTCGAGTTGCCTCGTCAGACCCGGGATAATATTCTTGACGTCGTCGTAGAATGCATGCGGAAGCTTAACAAGGTCCCATCCCAACTTTCCCAGACGCAAGAACTGCGCGAYCCAGTAGAGATCACGCATCATGTCATGCATTTGTTTGATGACAACAGGCTTGAGATTGGATGTGTGAACCATCTGTTCGTCGCAGTGGTGTGCGGTGAGGGCGTTTGCAGCGCGTAAGATATTGACGATCTGTTGCGCGGCGGATGAGRGAGTCATTTGTGGTTGGTAGAAGATGTTGTCCTTGTCTGGGAATGTGGTGTCGGGTCGCAGTGATGTAGATGATAGTGATGCGTGAGCTTGAGCTGATGCGAGCTGCGATCGATGGGTACTGGTGGAGGGTCGGAGGAAGACGCTGGCCTTCTCGGTCGACTTTTTGGACTGGCCTTGATGTAATGGCTTGTTGGCAGGTAATGGCTTGTTGGCAGAGCCTTCTGCGCTTATCTTGTACAGTTCCATTTCCTTGGCGGCGGCATCCAACAGTGCTTCAATGTCCAAAGACGTGGATGTTGTGTTTGACGGAGATTCCGGCTCCGCGGTGGGTGTCTTGTAGGCCCGCGCCAACGAGCCATAGGCAATAGCGTCACGCACATCTTCGTCTGGCATGTCATGTTCACCGTCTTGGCCTCGCATCTCGTAGGACCCGGGATCAATGCTGCTGGTGAGCAGTGCGGCAAAGTTGGCTTTCTCCCCTTTCGAAGCGTGAGCCAGCGTACTCCTCGACGAGAAACCCGAGTTTGGATCATCGAGAGGMTGGAAGTTCGCCGCATAGGGTGCGCGCATCTTTGCCTTTGGTCGAGTCTGCGACGTAGCATCTCCCTTGAAGCTTGGGACAGGAAGGGTTTTGGTCTCCGAATGGTAGCCATGCTGACGTAGCGCAGACGACATTCGTTCAAGGTCATCGTCGCTGAGATTAAAAATGGGAGGATGCGATGCTTGTTTCATCTGTGGCTTGCTGACGAGATGCTTGCTGACGGGCTTGCTGGCGAGAGGCTTGCTGGCGAGAGGCTCGCTGATGAGAGGCTTGCTGGTAAGAGGTGCTCGGTACGAGGCGTTATTGCCCACGCCTTTGATAGCAGTACCGACGCTCGAGACGGGAACGGCCACCATATCCGGTGTCGCGGCCGATTCACCGCGGAGCGCTCGAAAGTGCGCTTTGATCAAATCCTGTGTGGTCATTGCGGTGTCCTTAGACTCAGACTCCACCGCGTCGACCTCGTCGACCTTGTCATCCGATGAGTCGGGGTAGGGCAACGCCGAGTGCATCCAGCTGTCGTCCGCGTACTCTGGAAAGTCGCCCGCCATCTTTGAAGTGCGCGCGAGATTCGATTCTCGGTTGGCACCCTTGGCTGTATGGGCTGGGAGGTCTGTGGCTTCTGCCGATGTCGCAATGTGGTCAGTGGACGATGCGGGTGAGAGATGCTGCAAAGATGAGACGAATGTTGTTGTTGTTGCAAGGTGGGGTCTCAGGAGTCGAAGGGTGGATACTTAAGCTGGATTTGTTTGCTGTCCCGGCTGCGGCCCACAATTTCAGACGCTAGCGTGGATAATTCCTTCACTTGAATCCTGGTCCGTGCGCACTTTTCGTCGAATGGCTCCCTCCAGCACAACGCGCATCACAAAGGCTCTGTTCATCAAGTTCAAAAGGTTGGTCTGTAACAGTTGAAGAACTTCTGACATTCGTTGGGTATATCCAGAAACGCCGGCTCCAATTTATAAGACGAGCCACCTCAAAGCCCGGAAAAGTCCAAGCCATTACGCTTAGCAGTGATGGGACCCTTGCCTCGCTTTCTCTTCTTGCGACGCTTTCTCGTCGTCTCCTCATCGCTGCTATCGGCATCTTCTTCCTCTGCATCGCTATCTTCTGAGTCGTCCTTGGCGCTCCTCTTGACCGCTGTAGTCTCGACTTCCTCCCCTCCTTCGGCATCAGAATCGTCATCCTCCGCGACATCTTCGTCACCGGAGTCAGAGTCAGAATCGCCCTCGCCAGCAATATGTTCCCTCCACACCTTGATCGTCTGGCCTCCGCCAGAGATCATCCTCCCACCAACATCAAATCCGAGTTCCTGCACTCCTTCGATCTCGTCATGCATGACCTCGCCCACCACCTTATTCTGACCTAGCCGTACGAATCGAATCCTGCCATCTCCCATGCCCACGGCAACCTTGTGTCCCATTCCGCCGATACCGTATGGCACATGCGCCATACAATCCAGCGTCTCCTTCTCCCGGCTGACGACAATCCGCTCATCCTGATCGTCCCACTGTCCCTTCTCCCATAATGTAATCACGCCATCACCCCCACCCACCACCGCCTTCTCGCCTGTACTACCACTGCTCTTCTTCGCAGGCAGACCCGTGACGTATAAGCAGGAAAGCAGAAGCTCCTCTTGATCCTCACTCTTGGCCAGCACGCCTCTACGAAGATCCGTCAAAGCTAGTGTTGTGCTACCTGTGGTGAGCCATTGCTTGCTGAATCCGGAAGTAGAAGCCGCAGATGGCGGGATGGGCGTCAGAGAGGAAACATAATCGGTGTGTGGGTGAAATGTCTGGCTGGGCTTGGAAGTAATGACACTTCCAGGCTCCCGCAAGTCGTAGATATGCAATGCGCCAGAGTCGGTGGAGAGCAGCAGGGTCTGAGGGGAAAGAGCGTGCACCACGGTAGGCGCATCGACCAGCGTTCTTGTGGTGGAGGGATCAATGGGGATTCCGACTTTGCTCGTCACTTTTCCCGTCTCACTGTCTGCCGCCTTGACGATGCCATCTGTGCCGGCGGAATATAACTGCCGACCGTCCAAGCTGTACGCCAGACAGCGACAGGATCCTTTGTGTCTTCGGGTACGCCAGGTGGTGTCGAAAGTGTCGGTCCCTCCACTTCCTCTCCGTCCAGATGGCTGTACTTTTTCGACCATCGCACCGTTGGGGTCCACCGGTGGCAGCTGGAGTGATGCGACATGGCCGCTGCTCAGCCCGACAGCGACGAGTGCGGCAGTGGGATGCACGGCCTGTGCAAACAGCTCACCCGTCAGGGGCAGCGTGCACAATGTGTCAAACATTGGGGCATCGGGCTTCATGGGTGAAAGAATGGGAGCTGCAGATGCCAGCCCCCCAGTGCGATCGTCTAGGAAATTTTTGTGGATTCAAGAAGACAAGGTTCAAAGCTCGGGCAAGCTCCAGCTCCAGCTCCAGTAGCGGCGTGGATGTTTTGATTGGTCTGAATCAATACTTGCGACGATGTGTCGATGCAGTTGATGACTGGTATGGGCATAAAGTCTAGTACAGCAGTTGTAAATGTCTGTATAAGTAAAATTGAGGCTTAATGTGCGAGAGTAGGAAGTAAGAAATCAATGCGAAGTAAGTGAAAGTAAAGAAACATCAGCTCCATTTGAAGACTGTCCCATCAATTTTCATCAATATTTGAAGCACGGCGTCCGGGATCGCCACTTCCAATGCCTCTCTCTTCCTTGCCCAGTGCAGCTACGGTACCAAGCTATAGCTCACTGACTTCACCTCGAGGCAGGTGGCAATATAACGCACTTTCTTCACCAACAACGACAATCCATTCCCTTTTCAATCACCACCAAATGGTCATCAAACGTACCAAGCAGAACCAGATCTCTTTCGGGTGTGAGTGTTGCATCGTAACAAGCAATGGTCCACAACTAACGACCTTTTAGACTGCGATACACAGTCGGGCCAACGAGTCTATCCACCAGCACCAGCTGCTTCCAGTATGACAGACCTGTTGCCGGAACAAGAACCACCGGAGAGGAAGCCGAACTCTCATTTCGAGGACGCTGAAAAGATGCATCTCAAGATATCGAGTTGGCCTTCTCTTGGTCAATCCAGTGTTGTCTCTCGGCATGATGATAGCGTGAGATTTACCGTATTGCTGGAAACTACAGCTGCCGGCCTTTCAGAGCAGGACGAACCTCAGCTTTGTCTCTGGCACAACCACAGCGGCAACTCCGACTGGGCTGAGCTGCCTCTCAAGCCAGTCCAGGAAGTGAAGGATGCCACGCTCTTCCATAGATCTACAAATGGCGCTCTCGTTCAAAGATGGTTCTCCGGAGAGCTTTCTGGACTCCCTAAGCATGGTCAGAGTGTCTCCTTCACCGTAAAGTTCCGCATCAGCAAGGATCACGGCTGGAAATGGGTCAAAGATACCACTGGCATCGAAGATGGCGAACTGACCTACCAAACCAATGACTTCACGAAGCACTCGACGTATGATCTGAAGCATTGGTTCGATGACATGAGCTCGGACATATCTATCAAGAGCGAGCGGGCTGAGACTGATAACACTCACCTCTACTCACTGACGGCTCCCATAAAGCCTGCAAAGGGAGAGGACTCTGGATATCAACATCATCAACTTGGTCTTCCAAATAACGCCTCAAGATGGTTCGGTCTCGTCAGATTGTGGTCTCCCTGGCTGGCTCCTCGACAAGGAAAAGGTAAGCTCGACATTGACAAAGATGCCATTCTACTGTCATTCCTGCGCTCAGATGGCCTACATGTTGTGATTCTCGGTATTTCCGGTATCGACGACCTGGTGACGACCTTCTTCAACGATCGCCACGGAAACATCATCATCAAGGGTCGGAATGACCGAACAGACACCGGAACAAGCARAGTCCTCGTAGCAGTGGCCGAGAGCTTCGAGACTGCCAATGCAGCGGTCTTCTATCACGCTCGGAAAGTCGTCGGAACGTTTTCCGCTTCCGATTCAGACAAGGAGGTACAGACGATGGTCGAGGGCGTGAAGCCAGAGTGGCTGGAAGAGTGGTACGATGGTCTAACCTACTGTACATGGAACGGTTTGGGACAGAATCTCACCGAAAAGAAGATCCTCGATGCACTGGATGCGCTGTCTACCGAAGGTATCAATATCAGCAATCTCATCATCGACGACAACTGGCAATCGCTCGCAAAAGGAGAAAATCAATTCGTACGCGGATGGTCCGACTTCGATGCAAACAAGGAAGGCTTTCCTGGTGGTCTCAAAGCAACGACAACAGAGATCCGCAAACGACATCCTAATGTCAATCACATCGCTGTCTGGCACGCTATACTAGGTTACTGGGGAGGGATTGACCCTCAAGGTTGGATCGCCAAGAATTACAAGACGATTGAGGTAGAAAAGGAGCCAGGTGTTGCCGGTGGTACATTCACTGTTGTTGCTGCGGAAGATGCGAATGGATTATACAACGACTTCTATTCCTTCCTTACTTCGGTGGGGATAGACGCCGTCAAGACCGATGCTCAGTTTTTTCTGGATCTCCTCCTCCACGCTCCGGATCGTCGAGACATGATCAAGACATATGCTTCAGCGTGGACTATCGCTCATCTCCGCCACATGAGCTCCCGCGCGATCAGCTGTATGAGCCAGACACCTCAACTTCTCTTCACCTCTCAACTTCCACTGAACAAGCCGCGCCTACTCGTGCGCAATTCCGATGACTTTTTCCCGGAAGTCGAAGCTTCCCATCCCTGGCACATCTTCTGCAATGCAGGCAATAGCTTACTGACACAGCACCTGAATGTTCTTCCCGATTGGGACATGTTCCAAACTAGTCACGCCTGGGCCGGGTTCCACGCTGCTGCGRGATGCGTCAGTGGTGGACCCATCTACTTCACAGATAAACCTGGAGAGCATGATTTGAAGTTATTAAAGGCCATGACAGCGCAAACGTCTCGAGGCAAGACGGTCATTCTTCGGCCGCATGTTGTTGGAAAGACGATGGATGCTTACCAAGGTTACAAAGATTTGGCCGTTTTGAAGATCGGAACGTATGTTGGCTTCGCACAAACTGGGACTTCGATTCTGGGAGTGTTCAATGTTTCAGGACAGGAGTTGAGTGAGTTTGTCGGACTGAAKGACTTTCCCGGAACCGAGAAGGGGAGATATGTGGTGGGTAGCTTCAGCGAAGGTACGACGAGTGCTATTTTGAGTGCTGAGGATGCTWCGCCGTTCGTGGGTGTGGAGCTTGGGGCTGGTGGTAAGGGATGGGATGTCCTCTCTGCCTACCCAGTGAAACGGTTTGAGAAGTTTGGCAAGGGGAAAGACGTGAGCTTGGATGTGGCGATGATGGGATTGGTGGATAAGATGACGGGTGCTGCGGCTGTGACGGGCTATGATGTCTATGTTGAGGGTACGGATGAAGGGACGAGTGGCGGAGGGAGATTGAGGGTTTGGGTGCAGGTCAAAGCGCTTGGGCTATTGGGGTTGTGGATCTCGGAACTGGAAGGAAAGACTGTTGAGGATGACTTCATGGTTCTGATGTATGGGAAGCCTGTGGGAGAAGGTTGCGTGAAGAAGAAGGGAAAGCAGCTAGAGGTGGATGTCGAGAAGGCTTGGAAGGAGAGTGGTGAGGAAGCGGGATGGAGTAATGAGGTTAGTCTGGAGATTTTCATGCGGTGAACAGCGCTAAATAGTGATTTACGCTTCTTATTGCGTTGCATGGTCGATAGTGCCAGCTTCCGCATCCTACAGCGACGGTGATCTTGATGGTGACAGCGACCTTGATGGCGGCCGAGCTTTTGATGGCGACCGCGAAATCTGCCTCCTGAGCGGCGATCTCGATCACTCCTCTCTGCGTGGTGGCTCCGAAGGCCTCTCTCTCGACGGCGATCTCGATCTCTCCTCTCTCTCCCGCAACGCTTCCCTTGTCTCGCCGTATCGAGGGCCATAGTCAAACTCCTCTCGCGTCGAAAATATCTGCGCATCCGCTTGCGTCCGCGAACTTCTCAGAGCGGGAATGTCCTCTGGTCCAATAGGAAAGTCTCGGTGGAAKTTCAGTGGACCTTCTCGGCTCTTCTGTGCTCCGTACCTACCGTGAAGAAAGGTGTTAGCGGTCGATGAAGGAAAGGAAGATGGTTGTTGGCGAAGATTCTCAACCCTGAGCAAAAACAAACCTCGCCAATAAATGATTCCGCGTAAACATTCCCAGTCATCCTAGCATGTGCCCGCACCCATTCCGTCTTGACCTCCACTTCCTCCATTATCAACGTACTACGAGCCTCGACACTCCGCTCCGCAATCTCCCTGAGCTGCTCCGCATCGCGCCCCCTTGCCGTCTCTCCCCTCTGCGCGAGCAATTCCAAAGCATTCCTCGAATCCGAATAAATGACGACTTTGGGGAAGTAATCATGCGTGTCGATCATTCTGACGGCAGTCTCGAGCGCTTTGAGGATTGCTTTGGATTCTGCGAGATTGCTGTCCGTGTCGTCGTTGAAGGAGTGCGCTGTGAATGTCCATTGGCTGTTGTGGAAGATGGCTAGGCCGCCTCCTGAGCCTGGGGGGGTTGGTGAAGGCGGAGCCGTCTGTGAATATGTGGACTGTAGGCATGGTTTTTGGTGATGTTTTTTTGGTTTCTGTTGTGGGCGAGTGTGCGTCGTTGTTTGTTTGGGGGGACGGACAGGGCTTGGCGGGTCGGTCGGGGGCGCTTCGGAGGATAAATCTAGGTCTTTTTGAGGAGGGGGTCTCCAGTGGATAGAGATGCTCGGGGAGGAGAGAGAAGAGATGTAAGGCTGGGTAGGTTGGTATCTTGGGGAGAGCGTCATGATAATGGGTTGTGCGATCTTGCTGTCGGGCGGCTCTCGAAAAGGGGCAGGGGTGATGTAAGCTCACATGGTGCTCTATCGAGGGAGGAGAATGCTCGTCCCCAGTCTAGGTGTGCAAACTTAGCACCTTGTGTGATGGTGTTCATCCGCACCCGCCAGGTTGAGTGAGAACCACCACTCCGCCGACAAAAAGATTTTTTGTATCGAGATCATTTTCGAGCGGGTTCGGCTGCATATATCCGTCCATCGACCAGCTCTGCCACAGGAGAGCCCTCTTCTAGATCTGGTGACGGCGGTCTTATCGAGAGGTCAGAACAGTATGTGGCTGATCATCTGGCGCTTTTGGCCTTGGAACGTCCTCGTATCGATATCTTTGATCGATTGGGAAATCGTGCGGCACACCCACTCAGCTGTCGAACCAATCATGCCCAACCTCCTTCCAATCCAAATATGCCGCTGCATACAAGTCATCAACATTGAGCACATCAACACCTTCGTCGATCAGAAGCTGCCAGACGTAGTTCCGCAGCGATGTAGGCCAGGTAGGCGTATCCCAATATCTCACTTTCAATCCTAGGCTTTGTGCCGCTTCAATTTGAGATCGAAGTTTGTTCAATTGACTTTTTGATAGACGTCCATTTCGCGGAAACCCTATGCTTGATTTGAAAGAAGTGCTGGCGTAGTACGCATTGCTTGCGTTCCATTGTGGAGTTTTCCCTGGTAGTTTGTCTAACGGTGCGTCGAAGAATAGATCGCGATGCGTAGTTGCGTTGATCATGGTTGAGGAAAGATCTATTGCGTTACCGCTCAGAATGATGGTAATCGGACGAGAGATGAATGCTTTGCCGTCCCAAAAGCTGAGATAGTCTTTTCGTCGTAGTGGCTCGATGGCTTGTTCTACAAAAGGAAGTAGATCGTTCGGATCCGTCTTGAAATCTAGGAGTAGGATCATGGTTTGATTGGGCTCCTTTTCAAAAGCCCCAATTGTAGTGCTTCCGGGCGATACGTTCTTATTTCTGGAGACTGTCAGTATCTGCTGCCCTACTCAATCCAACTTGAGGGATAAATCTTTGGGCACGTTCAAATCGACCGATGTTTCAAGTAGCGGGGCACCACTTACATGCGGTCCAACAGCCGCACGACTGGGTCCAAATAGAGGCTCTCAAGAGTACGAGTAGATGTTAGTGAACCCTTGCGGTGGCCAACACGAAGCTCATCGCTCCCTGAAGTGAGCCAAAGATCCACTTCAACGCTTATACATCCTGCATCGAGAGCATCAAAGAGCGGAACATCTCTCCAGTAATCGTTGTGAGAATGACATGGTATGGGCAGCACGCCACCGTCTCTGGTCCTACTGAGCGCTGATCGACTTGGTTTGATACGTCCACTCCCGTAGTCGGAGAAGTGGATGTGGCTAAGAATAACGAGAACTATGTGGAGAACACCACTGAAGATCGTCAGTATCGTCGACGACTTCATGTACTGTTTATGCTTACAACGCAGCGATTACTATGATTGGAAGACTTATCAATGCTATCTTGACGCTCTTGGAAATCCAGAATCGTTTCCGGATAGATATCTTGCTGGAGTCTGCCATGTTCCACAAAAGTTCGACATCTCGAAAAGACTCGCAATAATCTGAGGGAATCGCACATTTCTGTCAAACAATTACAGCGAGTCTTCCTCATTTCGATGATGACGTAGGATGGGCATACGTAGGATATAGCTTTACATTCAATCCGGAGCTCTATTCTCGAGATGAAACATCTCGAGTGAAGAATCAGCGGTCTGGAAGGCGTATGCTGGAGCCTGTAGCCATTTGAACTGTATTCTTTGAATACGTGGAGTACAGATAAGTGTGACAAGTCATTGCATACTTCAAGTTTTTAATGTTGTATCCTGTCAACTCAGGAGCTTAAGCTAGGGTTCCCATGCTATGTGTTGTACGGGCCAAGGCCAATTCCTAATGAGTGGACGAATCTCACGGTTCTAGTTTTGAGCACGCAGTATGTACTGCGCAGCGTACGGTAACGTTAATTTATGTTGTGCTTGATGTTCAGCGGAAACATACCTGATTGTACCATGCCCACATGTTGTAATTTGACGACACTCGCGAACATTGTTGCTGCTTCCTCCTGCTCCAATACTTGCTGCCATCCGGAAAGTTCTTTCAACGTAGGATAGAGGTGTTGCATTGAGCCGATTTCGATCTGCGTGGTGATTCATCCAAGATTCATGCCGGGCGTTGTATTAAATACGCATGTCTTTGTCGAGCATACGCATCATAGCTGTTTTTGCAGGCCATACTTCCAAAAACTGTTCAGTGCGCCAACACCAGTCCTCCTCCCAATACACATAATCGAAACTAGAAGATRTACAAAAGAATTCCCAGAAGTCAGGATACCATCCCGCCATTTCCCAGTCCACAAGCACAACGTCGAAGTCTCGTTCTTCACCTCCGCTAGAGGTCTCTGCAACTATGATATTCGTCTTATGCAGGTCCGAGTGAGTCAGGGTAGGACGGAAGCCCTGAGAGACGTTGAGAAGGTGGGCCTCATAATGGCGAGCCTTGAAGTCCGGCCGATGATTACGTTCCCTCAGGGCTCGGAAATTGTCTGTCATGCCAGCAACAAATGCAGCTTCGCTGTAGAAAGGCCCTAGAAACTTCCGATCGCCTTTCTTTTGGCTATAGAGCAGGTAGTGATGTACACCGCTCCCGTCCAAACCTCCAAAGAAACCAGGCCATGGGCATTCGGCCGCTCGCATAGCTTCGAAAATCTTGCAGAGCTTCTTGATGATTGAGTCTTTCTCGCATTCAGTCAATGAAGGCCACATCGTCTCAAGCTGTTTCCCAGGTATGCGCGTCATTACCAGGAAAAGCTCTTCAGAGTCGCGATACATCGCATGTAGACGCGGAGCCGGAACATTGGGCAAAAATCTTTCAAGATAAATCAATGTCTGACCCTCACGGACATTTACACCGCTTCCGAACTTCACAACGATATCATTGTCGACAGCTACGACTTTTGAAGTACCGGCAGGGCGCTCGCGTAAAATGTGAGGGCATCTTCGGATTTCGTCTGCGGTTGGTAAATTCCGATTGGCGTCGTTTGTGAAAGGAAGAGTGACCGGTTCCCACATGGTGACGATAGGTTTGTTCGTAGTTGGGAACCAGAGAAATCGAGGAGGAGCAATGGAGGAAGCAGGTTATTACTTGTGAGAGACGTTGTAATATATATACGCTTGGATAGAATTGTCAGCGGGAGTGCCGTGCCGCCCGAGGGCTGTTTGAGCCAAAGGTATGGGATAGAACGCACACTAAGCTAGTTGCCAAGACAATACGGAAACATGAGGTATGTCATATGGTTTCTTTGAGATAATAGGTCTGATCCTCAAACATATCGGCAGCATCCATGCTCAATTTTTGAGGCTTTCTATCAGCCCATAATGGGTCTTCGAAGGTAAAGTAAGAATGTTGCCAGACTGATCGATATCTTATGAGTATCGTGTTTGAGCGTTTCTCGAACCTGCTTATCGTAATATCAGGGTTATGCTGTAGGCCATCACTGTCTGACCCTTTACCTCCCACTGACAACGTTCAGGACTCCACCGTCCACAGCGATGATCTCGCCGTTGACGTACCCGTTCTTGCACAGAAACAAAACCGCCATACCCATCTCCTCATCTCTACCTTCTCGCATGACGGGGACATGTCCCGTGCCTTCGATCTTTCCCTCCGGCATTTGGCTCTTGTTCTTCTCGTCACTCTTCTTTGTTGTCATCTCACTCGGGAAGTAGCCCGGTGCAATCGAGTTCACCCGAATGCCCAATTTCTGGAACTCAGCACTCATCAACTTGCTGATATGGACCGTGGCTCCCTTGGCTGCATTGTATGAGAAGTGCCCTTGAGCATCTCGCATGAGTCCGGACATGGAAGAAATGGTAATGACGCTCGGTCCAAACTTCTCCAGTCTACCAGATCCATCTTGGCGGGTATCCGCGCCTGTATCCTTTCCATTGTGTGCTGCCTGTAGCAGAGGAAGGAGAGYAACGGTGGTGAAGTACACACTAGTGACGTCCGTCTGAAAGGTCTTCTGCCAATCCTCAACACTCTCTCCCTCCCACAATTTTTTCGACAGCTCCAGAGCGTTCTCTTCTTTTGGCTCGACCTTGGGTCCGGAAATTCCTGCGTTGCAGATGAGAAGGTCTACATGGTCTTCCTTTTCGGAGATTTGCTTAACGAGCTTCTCGAGATCAGATTTCGATGTCACGTCGCATGGGCCAATAGGGATGATGCGGCCTCCAGAATCTCGCAGAGAGGATGCAATGTCGTCAGATTGGGCTTTCGAGGATGACGGACAGTGTTCTTTCGCAGCGTTTTCCAGAACTTCCATTCGGCGACCAGTGATGTAGACTCTTGCACCGTTGGCGGCAAGGGCTTGAGTTGCCATAAGACCAATGCCTGGCGAAATGTAAGCAGTTGTTGTCGATGATGGAGTGCTCTTAATGCATTGGAGTAGAAGGGTCGAATACTGAAATTTACTATCTGAAAAAATGGGAAGACATCCATCTCGAACAACCGTACTCCGGTGTATCAAGACTTCAAGTCAAGTTTTCAAGACTTACCAGTTCCTCCACCCGTTACTAGGCAAACATAGCCCTTTACGCTGAAGAGGCGACTGACATCGAAGTGGTGTGTGGAAGCCATGTTGGAAGACTTTTCTGCCTTGCTGATCTTTCCGCTTGATGAGATCTCGTCAGTCGATTGACTTTTCGTTGTTGATGTTGAATCAAGCCGAATTGTGGAAAAAGGCAAGAGTGATAAATATAAGACAGTGACGATGCCTGACGTTGTTGTCGCTAGTCCAAAAAGGGGAAGTGCGTGCATGAAATTCAGAGGTTTACTTCACTTCACTCCTCCCTCCAGGAAGAGTACAACACTAGACGTCACTTTCTACCGCGCTTGCAGGGGGCTTTGTTGCACGGCATTCCAATAACGTCACTCTTTATCATGACTTCCAAGACCTCCATTGCTCGTCGTAAGGCAGAACTCTACCACGGCCACAACTATCCCATCCTCGAGCGATACTTCCAAGCAACGAGACCGATTTTGGTTCCTGGCTCCGTGTCTGCGAAGCTATTGCCGCCGACGTTGACATACTCCTGCTTAGCGTTTCGTGCGCTGTACTAACGGATGACTCCTTATATACGGTGGTGGAATACCCCTCTCCATATACCGCTACCAGACCGTATCGTCGGCCATTGTATACAGCGTCCACCGATCGAATTACATCATCCTCAGAAGGCTTGAAATACAGTGTCTGGCGATGTCTCCTGGGTGGCCTTGGTAATCACCATGATCATAGATATCGCGGAAACTTGTGAAGCAGAGAGGATGTCTTTCCTCTCTGTRTGATTTTACCGACTATACAGGAAAGTGTATGCAAGTACGGTGAGTCCCCTTTATGATCACCAAATCGTTTCGTTCTCCAGCTCTATTTCCTGGTCATTACTTTAGACGCCTCACGTCGTATATGAATACTCTCAGCGTGCACGTCTCTTCCCATGGGCTTGGCTATCGTAATTCTAGCTCGATCATCTTTGAAAGAGAAGGGACGAGGGGGTCAAAAGCCCACGTGTCAGCTGTTCTCTCCAGAACGCTCTAATACATCTACATTCACTGAGCTACTGAGCTCGTATTCCGTTATACAAATCTGGTTACATTCCCTGAGAGCAAAGTCTGAGTTGTGAAAAGTGGGCAGAAGTGAAGAGATAAGTGATGTTCTCGCAATAAACATATCTATCACACAAGACAATACATCCCAAATGCGCCACAAAAATCTCCAACAGCTCAAGCCTGACTATGCATTGGCATAGACCGCTCGCGTTTTCAAATCATCAACCTTCCCTCGAGAGCAAGATCGCACATCATCAGACCCTTTCTCAAATCTCAAAAGTTCTTCTTCCTTCCCACAACATCAACATGTCTACCCTTCACATGTACCCCGACGGCTCTGAGCTCCCCCATGCCTCCGCTTCTGGCGGTGGCCTCGCAATCCTCCACGACAACATGTGGACATTCTACGCCTTCTCCTTCGACGATGCGACAAATTCCGACGTCGCAGAGTGCAAAGCCATCCAGAAAGCACTTCAAGTCGCCGTTTCCATCACCGCGGATCGCCGCCATGACATTGTCAAGGTGATGCTTTACACCGACTCTCAAGCAGCACTGATATTGCTCAATCAGACGCAAAATGGAGAGACGCGGCGACAGAGTTCTCGGGATGAGGTTGCGGATGGCATTCTGGCATCCATGATCATTCTCGATGCGAGAAATATCGCATGCGAGGCAATGTGGATCAGAGGACATGCTGGAGATGAGGGAAATGAATATGCGGATGTTTTGGCCCGGTATGGTGCGGAGAAGTGCAGAATTGGATGGCAATTTTGGGATCAAGAGTTTGCGGTGGACAGGCAGGAGTTTGAGCATTTCAGGCAAGCGATGAGGGGAAGGCGGTTCAACGAGGAACGGATGAGAGATAATGATCATCGTGTGAGGATTATGGAGTTTGTGCAGTGGGAAAGGAATCAGGTGTATGGGGCTGAGCGACAGAGGAACGAGGCTGAGGTGGTGAGGCGGGACCCACGAGGTTGGCGACAGATGCCGGAGACAAGAGTGGATGATCCTGCGTGGGCGTGCGAGTATGATGAGTGATGCATTTATACCTGGCGTTCTCCGCGACCTTTACGCCTTTCAGGCCGAAACCGCTCTCTTCATGCAACACTGCGATAGCCCTACCATTGAAGCCGCAGGCTCATGGAAAGAAATGCTACAGGGTGGGAAAGCAGGAAGTGAGAAAGGGCAGCAAAGCTCATAGGTGAGGGAGATTCACCTGTAGAAATGCGGAACCACACATATGGAGAAACAAAAATGAGCAGAAAAAATAGCGCCCCGACTGGGCGCCATGCGGACACTTATAGATGCCTTCTATCTCGGAGCGTTTTCTCGTTCTTTCGTGACTTACAGGAGATTTTCTCTTTGCCTGCAGAATACCGCACAAGTCTCTACGCAAGACCCGCGCAGTGTAGCTCGACTCACTAAGCGCCTACTCCCCGCCCCGCCGACCCCCTCGGCCGCGGTTATTCGATCTGCCTCCTCGGCCTCCACCGCCTTCACGCTCGCCGTCACCACCTTCCTTTGCGCCGTCCTTGCCTGCACCGCCTGACTGGTCCTTGRCGCCTACACTGTCGGGGCCCATGGTCAGAGCTGCAGTCGCGAGTCTGTTAGAGAGGTCGATTTGCGTCTTGATTGTGTTGGTCAGGTATGACACCATAAGCACGTCCTGGATGTGGTTGTTGCTGTGCCCATGTTAGTATGAATCCCAAAATTTTCTTCGTCTTTGCAACAACATACAAGCTATTCTCGATATCCTCCGMATCAACCTTCGGTGCTAAGCTCAGGGTGTTCATCAGGTATTGTCCCAGAGCGGAACTTGGCTCGGCCTCTTCATCCAACACATTTCCGACGTAGGTGCTCACGCGCTCAAGCATGTCCAATACCTGCTCAATTGTACGCTCCAGGTTGTCGATATCGGTTGTCACCGCCTGTGTTCGGTCCTCGCGATCCCGTGCGCCAGCAATGAGTTCCAATCCGCTCTTCTCAGCATCGCCGTACTTGATCTCGTATGGCACAGGAATGAAGAGGCACGAGTCCGCAGCACGCTCTGCCGTGACACCAATGGGCGCGGAGATGTACGTCTGGGCGTCGACTGACTTGCCGGCCAGGGTAGATAGTGTGAGGTGCACAGCGGGGTGTGGGAAGGTTCCTTCGCCTTGCTGGCCGTAGAAGTTCTGGATGAGGGCAGAGAATGTGTTGAGCTCCGAGGATGTGGCATACCAGCCGATCAGCACCTCCTTGGGAGAAGCCTTCAGGTGCAATTCGAGCATGCGCTTTTGATAGTCCATGTCCACTTCCACCTGCTCCGCTGTCTCGGTGTGGGGCACGGCATAGCAGTTGCGAATGTCGACTTCGGTTCCGTCTTCAGATCGCACGCCGAGCAGAGTGCCAATAACGCGCTCCTGGTCGGCCGGCCGGCGAGATGCGTGGTCGAGGATGGAGAAAAGAGCTTGCGCCTGAATGTTGACGGTGATGGGTGCGGTGGACTGCTGGGTCGAAATGGCCGCGGGTGCCAGTGGCCGCGCCAGGTGCAGGAAGGAGTCGCCTTCGCCCATGATGGAATGTGAGTGGGAGGGAAAGGAGCGGAAGGGGAGGGGTGGAGGAGGGGCGTCGTCGTCGTCCGGTGGGTAGTTCGCGAATTCTTGCCAAGAATTCTTTGAAGATCAAGGTTTGACCTCCGCTAAGTCCGCGATAGCATGCGGAAGAAAGTTTATAAAATCCACTCTCGTCGATCATTCCAACACACACCATGGCTCCTTTCAGAGGAAGAGGCGGCAGTCGCGGGTCAAGGGGTGGAGCAAGAGGTGGATCAAGAGGTGGATCACGCGGCGGATCGAGAGGAGGCAGAGGTGGAAGGGGTGGCAGCGACAAGCTCAATCGCAGCGGAATTCGCACTCGTGGCGGGTACAAGAAGTTTGACAGCCAGAGAGTCAGGGACATTGACGACAGCGAGGAGGAATTACCTCCAGCAGAAGGAGACGAAGAGGTTTCGCAGGACGACGATGATGACGATATCAGTGAAGACGAGCTGGTTGGGCAGCCGAGTGTCAAGGCCTGGCAACAGCTGATGCAGAGCTTCAAGCGGCCTGCAGATGATGGAGAAAGAAAAGCGAAACGGAGAAAGATTGAGGAGACTGTTGAGGAACAAGACGGTGCAGAAGACGTTGAGATGGCGGTTGAAGATGTCGCTCAGGGAGAAGCATCAGAGGAAGAGGACGACGAGGACGAGGACGAGGACGAGGACGATGCCGAAGAGGTAGACGAAGACGATGGGATCCGCGACGATCCATACGAGGTCCATTTTGCCACGGAAGACAACGACCTTGCTCGCCGACTGAAGGCACTACAGGCCGGCGAGTGGAAAACTTCAAAACGATCTATTGGAAAGGCGGCCAATATCGCAACGACTGCCTCAAAGGACTCTGTTCCTCCAAAACCCATCACATCTTCCACTCAACTTCCCCTCAAGGACCGTCTATCAAAATCTTCTTCGTTCAAGCTCCCTCTCAAACTAGAACTCGATCAAACCCTCACCTCCCACATATTCACCTACAGCGATGTCATGACTAGCATTCGGACGCCCTCTCTCCCTACAACCCTCGCTCTTCACGCTGTGAACCACATCCTCAAAGGCCGCGACAAGGTTCTCAAGAACACAGCCCGCCTTCGCCAAAATCCCGATTCTGGCCTGGAACTCCGCGATCAGGGTTTTGTCCGTCCAAAAGTCCTTATCCTGCTTGAAACTCGCCAAGCAGCCCACGCCTACGCTTCCTCGATTGTCAAGATTTTCTCGCCAGACCAACAAGAAAACCGCAAACGCTTCGATGATGCCTTCTTTGCACCACTGGATGAGAACAGTACCATGCCGAAAGACTACCAACAATTGTTCGGAGGCAACAATGACAACTCCTTCGTAACAGCTCTGAAGTTCACACGCAAAACACTGAAGTTCTACTCTGCATTCTACAATTCCGACATCATCCTCGCTTCTCCGTTGGGGTTGAGGAGAATCATTGAGAATGAGGATGTCAAGAAAAGGGACTACGACTTTCTAAGCTCTATCGAGGTCGTCGTCGCGGATCAATTGGAAGCTTCATACATGCAAGCCTGGGAGAATGTCTCGACCGTCTTCTCACATCTCAATCTTGATTTGAAAGATCTTCACGGTTGTGACATCAGCAGAGTACGAAGTGCATACTTGGATGGAAAATCGAGAAACCTAAGACAGACAATCCTTGTCACAGGATTCGTAACACCGGAAATGCAGAAGCTCTACAACGGTCTCGTGAACGTGGCTGGCAAGATGAAAGTCATACCCATATATTCTGGAGACCCTCTAGCGGAGGTCAGCGGAATGGAAATCAAGCAGACTTTCTCCCGCTTTGTTTCCGCGAGTCCAACGTGCGACCCCGACGAGCGGTTCAAGTTTTTCACCACAGCTGTTCTACCTGCTCTACTCCGCGCGCCAAAACCTATGGATGGTGTTCCTGGGATCATGGTCTTTGTGCCGAGTTACTTTGACTTTCTACGGTTGAGAAACTTCTTCGCAACGAGCACCCTAACAGAAAACATCTCCTTCGGAACGATACATGATTACAGCGAAGTCTCCGAGCAGAGGAGAGCGAGAAGCCATTTCAATTCTGGAAGGCATACGGTGTTGCTGTACACGCAACGAGCGCATCATTTCTATCGACTCAGGATGAAGGGTGTCAAGAGGGTTGTTTGCTACGGAATTCCGGACAATCCCATCTTCTATGAGGAGGTCGTTCGAGGTTTCCTGGAGAACTCGATTGTGGAGGGAAAGATCTCTGCTGGAGAGGCTAGTGTGAGGAATCTGTTCAGTAAGTGGGACGGTTTGAGGTTGGAGCGGGTAGTGGGAAGCGAGAGGGTCGGAGGGTTGTTGAGTGGTGTGGGAGATACATTTGATTTCGTCTGATGTTGATGTAATGATAATGTTGTATGCTTGTAGCTTCTTCTTCAGCGAGCTCCTGAGCGAATACCACCCAAGTCGTCGATCATCGATTCGATCCATCTTAATTCATCATTGATTGAAGGTCCATGAATGCATCATATCTATACTGGCGGTGCCTAATCTTCCGAACCACGTGTATAGGAGTCCAGCCTGTCCAGGCTACTCCCTTTTACCCTTCAATTGTTCCTGCATTAGCGTGCCGAGTGTTGCCGTGCTTGGTGAAACAAACAAACAACCTGTCGCGTAAAGTAAGCAGTCTCCACCGCGTTCATAGCTCGACACAACAATCCACAGACGCATCACAGGAGCCATACAACAGACATACCAGCGACAGTCTATTGAGTGAGACAGCACGTTACGAAACGGTCACCTACAACCCGTCCATCGACGAATCAGGGCGTCGTCAAACGCCCCGCCCCACCGACCAAGCGCGAAACCCAATACACAAAACCCAATTCCGATTCCAATCCCCTCCAACATCAACCCCTTCTCAAGCCGCCGAGATGAGTCGCATCACGCGCGCAAAGGCAGCAGAGGTCGCGGAGAAGATGCATATTGATGCGGACGCCGTCCTCGATCTCTCCAGCGATGCCCGAGAAGGCGCCGGCGGGATGCTGACGCCGGAGCCTCGATCAGATCGCGCTCCTTTGGCTGAAATTGCTCCCAATAGCGGCGGAAGTAGTGAAGACACAGGTGAGGCCTTTTCGCTGTTCGTGAAGCCAATCTCGGGAAAGAAGCACAAGGGCGGGAAAGGTGGGAAGAAGGGTTTTGCGGTTACAACTGTCCAGGCGTCGGAGGAAGAGGCAATTCCAGAGACCGCAATGCCTGGCCAGCTCGATGCATCAATGGCAACTGACGAGGCTTTTGCGGGGGGTTTGATAAAGGGAGTTTCCCCAGAGTACAAGTCGCAAGCTGTGGACTCCTCCCTGGGTTCACAGGACGCTAATGCAGCCCCTGCGTCGAGTGTGGACATGTCTCATGGGTCTCATCAAGATATCAAGCCGACCTCACCCTCAAACGAAGAGTGCTGCAACCCGCGTGAGCTGGAGGAGCCGAGTGGGACTTCTGTCTCGGGCACTGCAGACAATATGCCGAACACYATCCAGAAGAGCGACGTTCCTATGGTAGCAGCTCCCTCAACTCCACGACAAAAATCACCATCCATCGACATGGCAGAAGGTACATATGACGCACTTGAAGCGGCGGTAATCCAAGCAGCAACACCTCCAAAATCAACTAGCGAATCTGCATCTCCAACTCATGACGCCATCAGCGCTCTGGACGACCTTGAGGATGCCGTTGAGAAGATCAATGAGCAGGTTCCAGAAATCCAAGCCTCTCCCATGAAATCCAAGGCCAAGAAGGAGAAGGCCGTCCCTCTTGTTCGTACGACCAAAGCCAGCCAGGCGCGTATATCACTCGCTCATGGACCACAAGAGGCTGCGAGAGCACCTGCCCTGGGTCGCCCAAGACAGTCGATCTCTGCTGTGGATGGGAAGCGTATCACTTCGAGTTCTAGTGTGAAGTCGAACGGGATTGCGGAAGGTATGCAGCCTTGAAGCTCACGGCAGAGCACCTGCGCTCAACCAGCGATCGATTGTTAACATTGTCACAGATGCGGAGCCCCCTATGAAGAAGGAAGTCGTGATACCGCATAGCAAGCCCCGACCAGTTTCCATGTCGTTTCCCGCTCCACGTCTGCCATCGAAATCTCTCAAGCCTCTCACCCAAGCCAACTTCACGCTTCCCGGCGAAGCTATGAGCGCAAAGTTCAAGGCTGCGCGAGAGGCCCGTGCTTTGCAGGAAGCGGAGGAGGCCAAGCGGAGGGTTTTCAAGGCGAGACCGGCTCCGTCAATGGTGAAGAAGAATCCTCCAGTTGTGAGGCAAACTAGTAAGTGCCATTGAAATAAGCATGCGCGAGATGACACTTGCTAACATCGTCAAAAAGGCACTAGCAAGGCCAGAGAGTCTATGATTGGAGGAGCGAAGCCTCTCGTACCATCCACCACTCATAGCCGTGCGAATAGCGTCGCGACTTCGAAACCTGCTACCACGACTTTCAAGCCGAAAGCTGCTGTGCCTGCACCCGCTCCTGTCAAGAAATCCACCGTCCCTGCCAAATCAGTCACCGTGCCGAAGCGGGCGTCTACTGCTATGGACTTGCTGGATAATGCTAGCAACGGGACGRTGGCGTCAAGACCGGGTACTGCGGCTGGACGCGCTCCTTCTGTTGCCGGTGGTACTTCCAAAGGCAAAGAGGTATTCAACCGCGTGGCGAATGCGAAAGGTGAGGCTGAGAGGGAGAAGAAGGCTAAGGAGGAGGCTGCCAAGGCTGCAAGGGTTGCCGCTGCCGAGCGGAGTCGGGCGATGAGTCGGGAGTGGGCTGAGAGGCAGAAGGCAAAGAAGGGGGTTGCTGCTTGAGCTGTAAGGTCGAAGGCTTGGATGCTTGATCAGAGAGGTGACCGACCGACACAGTCACCGGACCCCTTCTGGCGATTGACTTGGACCTTGAGGAGGATTTCCTTTGGGACGTTTTGGGGTGACACGATATGGCAGATGAACGATGTTTCGAAGATGAAGAACGAATTGAGAAACATCGGCGGTATGTCTGGAGTGTATTAGTGGGATGATTGTTTAAGCGTTGGCGCTCTGGGAGGTTTTTTGCTCTTCTTTGGTCTCTTTCTTTACAATCGGTCGGTTACCTACACTTATGAACGACGTGGAATGAATAAAGCAGTACATAGTCAATGCCAATATCATATCAACGAGCTCATTGCATCAGTCGGAGTTGATGCTGATGTATTGACTTGCTTCGTCTCCCGAGTGCGGTGACCATGTCAAATTRCAGTGCTGGAGAGCTGAAGTCGTGCTTGATCCAGTAATGTCCATGCACGATACGGGAGTTACCTCAGTGCGATACCAATATGGATAGGAAAAGTCTGCAGTAGGTACTGCACACACGACACGGCCTGATGTCGATGGCGTCGGAGCTATGCTACTACCCCAACCCTGACCCTCAACCGTGATGAGTCATCCATGGATGTTACTAATGCGATATCGCTGTTCGTCATCCAATCACCCCGCTGTCATTGGTGCTTTTCCTCGGAAACACCACCCAGAAACATGACCAACGACAAGTGAGGTGAAGACTTGCGATTATTCGAGGAGGCTGAAGCGATCCACCAACATTCGACATCAACTGGACTGGACTGATTGACAAGACTCGGCGCCGCTGAACGTCCTACTACCTCCTACAAGAGCGGCCAGACATCTCGCGCAAGACTTGCCGACTCGGCAATCGTCAAAATGTCCTTCTCCAACCTGGTCAACGACCTGAGTCTTCGCGACCGCCACCCCTCGAACTCGATCGCAACGAACAGCGGCTCGGTACGCGACAATCGGTCGACATACTCCCGCGCCCGCTCCTATGCCTCGACGGCCGCCACCAGCGTCAGCATTAGCGGCGACATCTCCAGCCAGCTGCATGGCGGCTACTCACATCCCCTCACTCGCGCCTGGCAGGCGGAGCGGCAGTTGACCAAGAGCATGCTCATCTACCCCATCTTCGTTACCGACAACCCTGACGAGGAGACGTCCATTCCGAGTCTGCCCAACCAGAAGCGCATGGGCCTCAACCGCCTGGTTCCCTTCTTGCAGCCACTCGTTGCCAAGGGTCTGAAGAGTGTCATCGTATTTGGAGTGCCTCTCGCGCCCACCGCCAAAGATGCTCTGGGCACGTCCGCAGATGACCCACAAGGACCTGTCATCTCCGCCATTCGTCTCCTCAGACGCGCATTCCCCCGCCTGTTCATCGTCGCCGATGTCTGTCTCTGCGAGTACACCTCACACGGTCACTGTGGTATTCTCCACGAAGACGGCTCACTCAACAACTCACTCTCCGTCGATCGCGTTTCGGACGTCGCCATGGCGTATGCTGAAGCTGGCGCACATTGCGTTGCTCCCTCTGACATGAACGACGGCCGCATCCGCGCTATCAAACTCAAGCTCATCGAAGCCGGCATGGCGCACCGCATTGTTCTCATGTCCTACTCCGCGAAGTTCAGCGGCTGTCTCTACGGTCCCTTCCGCGATGCTGCAGGCTCATGTCCCAGCTTCGGCGACCGCAAGTGCTACCAACTGCCGCCGGGCGGACGAGGACTGGCGAGGAGAGCGATCCAGCGAGACATCGCAGAGGGTGCGGACATCATCATGGTCAAGCCTGCGACACAGTACTTGGACATCATTTCCGACGCCAAGGAGATTGGCAAGGACATGCCCGTGGCCGCTTACCACGTCAGCGGAGAGTACGCCATGGTGCATGCGGCTGCAAAGGCCGGAGTTTTCGATCTGAAGACGATGGCTTTTGAGGTCACCGAGGGTATTCTTCGGGCCGGCGCYACAATTGTAGTGTCGTACTTCACTCCAGAGTTCCTGGATTGGCTGGAGACGTAGAGGAGGCGGGTCAGCCAATATGGGTTGCTTCCAGAGAGAGATAAGAGAGACATGCGCTCAATTGAGCAAGCGTGGTATGTGACCAAAATTGGTGGGTCTGTCACACTCGCCAAGCGCGAGAAAGAGTTGTCCCCTCAGACAGCACGACGATGTCCAGTCATCGATATGACAGATTCTTGCAATTGGATCGCAGAGACAGCGGGAACAGGAAAGTGGCTCGGAGAAATGGAGCAGCGTTCATACCCCTAGCAAGTACTTCACTCAGCTTCAATTCATGCATTTCATAGTCTCGCCTTGTCATTGCACGATTGGTCGGCAAACGTGCGGACACCGTGCCAGAACGCAATTATTGCAGCTGACCTGCTCTCATTTGTGATGATAAGAGGAGTATTACGAGTTCAAGTCAGGAATCGGAGTCCGATTTGATGACGAACCGTAATGAATGTCCTCGTTCCTTATCATCGTAGCCCGACGTAATATCGCGGGCAGTGCTGTTATAACCAGCATCAACCTAGAGCGGTATCCGACATTCATCCTCTGGAGACTAATGTCCAGCTATTAGTGGAATCGATAGTGCACCTTCTAGCATAGCCACAGTCAGTCAGATGGTCAAGCCAAAGGACTTTGGAATGAAGTCGTTGGCTCGCGGGAAGAAGGCATGGATGGCCTTGCATGTCATCCTCGATCAAGTATTGGGAAAGCCCGGAAGAGACGGGCATGACTGCCCTGTGGATGGAAGAAGATGTGTATGACACTGGCATTTACCTAGAAGGAGATGTGCATGACAGCTGCGTTTGCATGCACGTGTCGTTCGAGTGGAAATGGCACCGGCATGGGGTTGGTGTGTGAACATGTACTGTATGTCATGCAGGACGGAGCTAACCTCGATCGTGGGCTGAATCAGGGTCGATCTGAGTCGTCGGCGTGGCCGTGGTTGTTCCATTTCCGTGGTTGGAGGGGTTTGACAGACTGGGGTGGTTGGTTCAAGACCGAGATAGATCGTGGGTTCTTTTCGATGCGAAGATTTGACGCTTTGGCGGCAAGCTATAATAGGATGTCAAGGTCTGTTCAGTGTTATCTTTGTACCCACATGGCGCAAAGGCGAAGGAATCCTTGACGACGGAAACCCCAAGCAGAATTGGAAGTGTTTCACAATTGTCATCCATGCTCTTGGTGGACTTGGGTTGACCTGGTTGCTACGGAGTAAGTGGAGCATGGAGAACTTCCTAGTTCCTGGTCAGCCTTGCCAGCCTTATGCGCGATGAATAAGAATAGCCGCGCGGATCTTGGCCGAAGACACGAATTGGRCAGTTGGCATGATATGGGATGGGCATCGTTCAAGGACGTTCAGATCAATTCGTCATGTTGGACATTCCAATCGGTCAGTGGCCACAAGGGTTTGGAACTCCGTTGATGTCTTCTTCGATGGAGACGCTCAAACAGGAGAGAAGTGTACGACTCGGTGAAACCGCGCAGGCTACCAGAGGCAGACGATGAACGTCTCAGTGTCTCAGTGTCTCATGTCCAGTATCGATAAAGTCTGGCGTCGTTTCCGCGATCTTCAAGTGATGGTGGTGTGTTCACCGTGTGCGAGATGTTTGGCAGGCAAAATTTGGGTTTGCATAGCTGCGTGGACACTGGCAAGTCGGAGGAACCTCTAGACTTTGGGTTTCCCATCAACGGATCCATGGAGCTGCTGTCCGACATATGGAAAGGCGCAGATTCCGACTGCTCCGGGTAGGATAACTTGCAGTTATTACCTTGGTAAACATGTGTTTCCTCATCAGTCCGCGCCCCGCGCACTTCTCCTGATGCAACTGAGCATTGCATCAGCGTTGATCATAGAGCCGAGGAGTTCGTTGGGAAAAGGCTCGTATGGAGTCTCTGCCAGCCTCGTTCAACGGGTGGAGTTGCTCGGTCCCTCGGTCGGGATGATTTGTTTTTTTTGGCTCGCACTGCTCACGCATGGAACTTCACCTTGTGCGCTTTCGATGAGGGATCAGCTACGAATGGAGTACAAGCTCAGAACCGTGTCCACGGTTGCTGGTAGCCTGTGACCGGCCTCCGGCCCTGAGACTTATGCAAGTTTGCCCGTGCGGAGTCTTTAGTTAGCCTGAAAAAGGCAGAGCACGTGCTGATCTTGCCTTGCGTCCGGGGCAACGTTTTCTGGAGCATCGCGTCAACAACACGGCCCATTGCGAGGCCCTCGACCGTTGCCCCGAATGATGGTCTAGCCAGGTTGTTGGGAGATGCTGTACAAAACTGCAACAGTAGGCGACGAGAAGGTCTTCGCGATTCTCATCGGCTCAATCGTCCCTTTTGCCATAAAAGTGGAGGTCCCTCGACGCACGCTTCGGCTGTTGCTTCCCAGTGCTGTGTGCTGTGCTGTGCTGTGCTGTGATGAGCACCATTGACATGGAGCGGGTGATGACTTGATGAGAACGCGGGCTTTGCATTAAATTCACGTGCAAAAACGGCAGGGGTTTCGGATAGAGGACTGCCCAACATAGGCAAGTGCGCAATTAAACCTCTCCATTTCTCCACCGGAAAGTGGATCCCAGACGCACTGTGTCTCTAGCGACGCGTGTGATGGGTGGTGAAGTTTGTGCCGTAGAGTTCATTGCCGCGAAGTTTCTGCCGCCTGCCGTCGCCGGCGCTGGCAAACGAGCTTGCCTCTCCCTCTCGAGTCTCCTGGCCGCTGGGCGGTACGTAAACTTTGGTCAGCATCCAGTTCTGCGCACATCCGCATAACTTACCCACGACGGGGGACGAACGCCTGATGCTGAGATTGCATGGCCGCTCGATGGCTCCATCCCAGCGGGTCCCCGTCTACTCCACCGCCATCGTGGTGTGTGGAGGAGCGCGTGCAAGCAGCACATCGCCTTCACGACTGGACGGTGGGTGCCCGCCATCATCTCATCACAGATCGTGCGCTCGCCGTCTCCTGGGGCTGTTGGCGCTTCCGCTAAAGCGCCCTATGAATCTCTAGCCGTCTTGCTGGGGTTCTGAATTCGCATTAGCCGTCGCGCCGATCAGCTAACGATGGACCCGGAACAAGAAGACTAACTCATCTTGGATCGACGCCATCTACTGCCGGCCGCCAATCCACGGCCTCGAGTGTCTCCCGGCCGCTTCTCGTCACGTCGGTTTCCTCCTGGACGATCTCGCTGTGCTGGTTACTTTGTGATTGAGGCACCGTTGCGCCCAGGAAATGTAACAAGTGGAGAACAACGCCCGCCCTTGGACTTACAGCACGATTGCCATTGCGACTTGGACCTTTTGCCCTCACAGAAAGGCATCACCCTTGCTTCATCAACATCTCCTTCCCTGGGAATCGATTGCGGAGGGCCCTGAACGTGTGCTCTTCTCAAACACGATCCCGTCCCCTCTTTAACTTCGTACTGAGACGTCGCGAGCCACTGCGCAAGGATCCTTGTCGATAGATCAAGGTGAGTTGCAATACAACGTCCAACACGTCAATCCCTACCGGCCTACAACGGGGCGCCACCTTCCCGACTTTACATTCCTCAAACACAACATGAACGACTCCCCCATGGCAGGTGCTAACCTTCTCGCCCGGTGCAGCCACTCATCACACTACCACCATCTCTTGGATCAGCACAACACGTGGACATGACATTCGCACTCTAGTCCGGTGACTACAATCGACCTGCCATTCCTTCACATTGCGCATGCGCAATGGACGCGCACGACGACAAGACCACTGCTGTGACAGCCGGCTTTGTCGCGAACATCACCCCTCCAGGGACACCACTCAGTCAATCCACCGACGCCGACCTGCCTTTTACCAACCAATCTCTCTTTCACAACTACCTGCGAGCATTGCACACCTTTGATCCAACCTCGGAAGCACTGACAGGCCACGACGACGAGGAAGTGCTTTCGACGGTCGCGATCAAACCCGGAAACCTCATTTTGGTACATTGYATTCATGCCAATGGCTGGGCAGATGGTACCGTGCTCAACACCGGTGTGCGAGGATGGCTACCAACGAATTACTGCGAGGCGTACGACCACGCATATCTCCGCAATCTGCTCAACGCGATGACACAGTTCTGGGACTTGATTGGTGCAGGGGAGGATGCAAACCTGTCGACATTCGTTCGACAGGACTACATCAGAGGATTGATCGCAGGCGTGCGGTACCTCCTGGAAAAGGCGGACTGTCTGCATAGGGACTCATCGACGGTCAAGCATCACGTTGGTGTCCGACGAATGCGCAAAGGATTGTTGGCCGATCTCTCCTCCCTGGTACAAATCGCGAAGAGACTACAGGAATCGATCAGCGAGTCGTTTGCAGCAGAAGTGATTCCGTTCCTCCTGGATGACCTCATTGCAAAAGCATTCAAAGTCGTCAACCGGGCCGTGAGCTTTACCGATGTTTGGACCCAGGAGATCAGCTCTGCCAGAGGCGATCCACGTCGAGCGAGCGTTGCTCGACCACTGGCGATCGACACGAAGGTCGTTACTCAAGAGCAACGGAAGGTGGAAGAGATCGACTCGGCCAAGCATTTTCCCGAACCTCTCCAGCTGAATCTTCACAAGCAGACGAACGCTGGCGCGGAAGCGGAACATTTCAATGGCGAGGCCAAGGCGCCACGAATGTCGACCGTATTCACTCCGCCGAATGGCTTTGCGGCACATCGCGTATCTCTTGTGTCAAAGGAGAGTAATCGCGTGGCTTCGGGCCCGATGGCGTCAGAGCAGCTGGCAAAGGTGCACGACGTATGCATCAGTCACATTGGCGCCTTCATCGGACACCATCTGCAATCTCGTCCTTGCTCAGAGCTAGTAGCGATAACCGAGCGCCTCGTCGCGGCATGCAGAAATATGCTGGCGATCGTTGATGAAGTCTATGCTCACGATCCACAGGCATCCCTGCATGTTCAACAAGTCAAGCAGGACTTTGAGACTAAAGTAGAGCAGCTGGCCATGTCGACGAAGGACGTCTTCCGCTTCTCTGACTCCCCTGACGACGAGATAGTCATGCTTCCGGATCAAACAAATCACCTCATCAACGTCGGGACAAGCCTCATCCGTAACACTGGCGAGTGCGTAGTCAAGACACGACAGCTGATCGAGCAGATTGGCGACTTCGAGTTAAAGTCAACCGTGGAATACCACCCGCAAACGATCGCTGAGATTCCTCAGCGTATTGATAGCATCCCGGACAGAGGATCAAAGTCTCTTGCCCAGAAACGGGCTTCACAGAGACTTTCGGTCAAGGCTCTACCTCCTCCACCCCCACTTCCCAAGGACTCACCCACCCTCCCCGCCATGGACTTGGCCGAAATGGACCATCCCCTGGATGAATTGGACTCTGTACCTGCAAGGCCGACATCGAAACAAACGATGCCCCCACCTCCGGCGAGGATGAGCTCTGCTACACGGACATCAGTCGTGTCGAGCAACCACGTGGAAGTCGCGAGGGTCTCTCCATCAGGTTCGACCGAATCTATACCTGCAACACGCAAGTATAGCGTGGGCCAATCAATTTCTGACTCTACCGACACGCACTCTAGCCTGCGTGACTCTAATGCAACTGCGGTGTCGCAAGTATCCACCAGAGCGACCACGCCGGACCACACCAGAGAACGCATGACTGCAGACACGACAATGATGAGTAGCTTCGCAAGCCTTCCAAGCATCCGGTCATTTTCGACGACAGAGGACAGCATCATGGATGCAGAAGCTCAGTTCCTCAAGAAAACTTATGCGAACGAGCTGACCTTCAACAAAGAAGGTCAGGTCACTGGCGGCAGCCTCCCGGCATTGGTGGAACAGCTGACAGCGCACGATTGCGCCCCCGACGCACAATTCGTGACCGCAATTTTCCTGACCTTTCGGAAGTTTGCCGAGCCCCGCGAATTTGCACAGGCTCTCATTGCTCGGTTTGACTACATCGGAGACAGCAGGTTGATCGGTACTCCGGCGCGACTTCGAATCTACAATGTCTTCAAGGGTTGGCTTGAGACTTACTGGTCCACCGAAGCCGATAAGGACGCTCTTGGCGAGATTCGGTTTTTTGCCTTGCACAAACTCAAGCAGACCCTCCCTAGCGCTGGCGAGCGTTTGATCGAGCTCACTCGCCGCGTCACCGAAATGTATCACACTGGCACAGCAGTTGGACCTTTGGTGTCTGGTGTGGGAAAGTGGAGCACCTCGCCCACAACCGATCCCGAGTACAACGCTCCAGACCCCATTGTGAGCTCAAGGCAGCTCAACGCGCTACGTGTCGCTACTGGAGGTGGCGCAGCATGCAGCATTGTGGACTTGGATTCGATGGAGATTGCGCGCCAGATCACCCTCATGATGATGAAGGTGTTCTGCGCGATCCGGCCAGAGGAGTTTCTCAGCATGGACTGGGGCAGGCCCAATACGAAGAAGGCCAAGAACATCCGCCAGATGTGCTTGCTCAACACTGATCTCTCGCATCTTGTCAGTGATAGCATCCTCGGACCTGACGATCCGAAAAAGCGAGCTGCTGTTATCAAGCAGTGGGCTAAAATCTGCATGTCGCTTGTGGAACTCAACAACTACGACTCTATCATGGCCATTATGTGCACCATCAACTCATCAGTTGTGCAGCGCCTGAAGCGCACATGGGACGTCGTGAACAAAAAGACCAGGGCCAGGTTGGATGAGCTCGACAAGTTGGTCGATATGTCGAAGAATTACTCTGCTCTGCGCAAGCGACTGGAAGCGCCCACCGCACCCTGCTTGCCATTTCTTGGAGTATACCTTACCGATCTCACCTTTGTGATCGCCGGTAATCCCAAGAGGCGTGAGCTTCCCGGCAGCACTTCGGAGACGGGAGAAGTGGTTTCGGTCATCAATTTCGACATGTATATGCGCATTTCGAAGATTGTCAGTCATTTGCAGGGCTTTCAGGTCCCCTACAAGCTCAAGGAAGTACCCGAGATCCAGTCGTGGATGGAGGTGCACCTCAGGCGCCTGAGAGAGGGCCAAGAGGACATGGTCAGCGTATTCCACCAAAGGAGTCTCTCGATTGAGCCCAGGGCGGACGACCGCAAATACTCCATCCACGCTGGCCTGGAAAGACCCGCGACTGCGGCGAGCAAACACGAAACGGCCGTCATGGACCGCTTCGATTACTTTTTCAAAAGCGGGTCATTCCATATGAGGACCGCGCTGCAAGTTCCAGAACTTACTGAACAACAGAAGCGAGCAAGCTCGCACTAAAGGCGCTTTCGAACGCACACGAGCATCATGTTCCATGCTCTCTATCACGCATATCACGCAACATTTCACATTTTATCTTTTTATAGTCACAGCGGCTTGCGATGGTGTTTGGGGATTGGATGGACCGCTGGGAAAGCCTGGTTGGCACAGCGCGGTGGAAGATACCCAGGTCCGGCGCTTGAGGACCATTTCAGCATATGTATTTGACGATGGCACAGGGAGGGGAACGAGTGTGGGGGAAGGAATTGCCTGTGAGGCGCGGCCCAGACTACACAGCTCAGTGTAGTTTCACTCGAATACTCGAAAGCATAATAATAAGCAAGCCAAGAGAAAGACAAGCCTCTTTTCCAACCTGACTATTGTAAGCCTCTTTTAGCCACAATGGCCGCTCCCGGATCGAAGAGYCATGAGTGGGCTGATTCGTGTAAATTGCGCTGTTGCTCGTACGGCTGTATTTCTGGGGTACCACCGAGGACGGGAGGCTTGCTTGTACACGTCTGTCTCGTTTACTGATTCGGGGTTTTCATGTACATTGTACCGACAGCTTGGACGAGTTACACATCATCGATCGATCTGCAACCTGCTCCATGCGTTGTTGTACGTTGCACGAGATCGTGGATCTATGGAGAAGCGATCGTTGGGGTTTCCATCGCGAACAAGATCGTGATCTTTTATCGTTCCACAACGTCTCGTCAATTGTCGGAGAGCTTTCTGCTGGTCGCACCTTCTTGCATATCGGACAAAGTCTCCAAGGCTCAACGCCTGCGACGTTCGTTACTCGCGCGCGTTCAGACCAGTTTCAAGGTCTCCTCTACACCTTCGTCGTTGAAGAAGTCGTCGTCCAGGATACGAAATATGCCTACTCGCGCGAATGTCGCGTCTGCATCTGCACAGCGTCGAAGCAAAAGTCCGTCTAGTGTATGTCTCCCTTTTGCGCCTCGTTGGTCAATGACTTGCAGACACCAGGCTTCGTCTTCTTCCTCTCCCACGATATCGTATATACCAACCCCGACCTCATCGCCAGCTCTCGGGCCTTCTTTCACCGTTAACAGCACATGTCTCTTTTGCTGGACTGCTCTCTGTAATGATAAAGTCTGCCCAAGGGCCGCTGTGTCTGTTGGTGACGCTTTCGAGCAAATGACAGCCTTGGGCTTGCCAATGACACGAAGCGTGCACCCTGCCATGTTAAACTCTGTGGCATGGCATTGATCCGTTTGAGGTGACCAATTGCCATCAGATTCCGAAGGTCGAATCCGCCATCTCGAAGTATCCAAGAAGACAGCATCGTACCTAGCCACAAAATAGCTCCCATAAGTCACGGGTCCCTCCGAAGCAGCCCACGACCAGCTTGGTGCTCGTACAAGAACATCTCCTGCGCGCCCGCCCCACATGGCATTCATGACTTTGGGTCTAACGAGCGGTTTGAACTTGATTGCTCTTTGGAGGTTCGCGGGCTGCCAAAGTAGACCTCTTGTCAGGTCCATATCCCAGATACCCGCCAGATAGGCGCATCGCAATGTCTTTTCGGCTTGTTGTGCAATCCCCGACATTGCCGCGAAGATATCGGCAGGGTCCCATAGATCGCGGGAGCTGTATTCTGCCACAAGGCTGTACCACTGTCGTAGCACACCCATTCTTTGCCGGAAACGCTCCTCAGAAGCAGAGTACTCCGGCAAGTCAGTCCGCACCATAGTCATAGGCGCAAAGGTTCCACCTCCATTTTCATAGAAAGTTCCTTCCAAACATTTGAAGTGGATTTGCTCGGCACCCCAGACGAGCATTCGACGACTCAGCGCACGTTCTTGGAAACACCAAGCTCGAGTGGAAACAGGACCCTCCTTCCTGCTTCGTTGAAGGCTGGCATACACAACACCTAACAGTTCTGGATTTGTGGGGCTGGAGTAAGGAAGCTCAACTCGATTGCCAGGGTCGACAGCGTGAAGGAACCCATCCGCACTGTCTGCGGCGTTGCCAGCAACGATGGTGATGTATGCTCCAGCGTAGATCTGAGCCATGAGTTGAGATTGCTGACGCCAATCTTCTCTGCTGTCTTGAATGATACACAATGCATCTATCCAGATGTACTTGATGCCAAGTCTTCGCACGACTTCACAAGCCTCGCGATTAGTCCGTGCCATTGCATTTACATCAACACTTTCCTTCAGTTCTTCGAGATTTGATCCGAGCAATCGAAGTCGTTTGTGCGTACTGCTACCCCRACAGTACGACAACGCGGCGTATTGATCTGGTAGCTGCCCGTCAACTATGAGCCGGGGAGTCTGTTCTTTGCCATCGCCAACATAAAGTACTCTTAATGGCCAGAAGTTGGAAGAACGTCCTCGACACAATTCGTGGTACTTGCGGCACTCATTCAACCACATTCGTGCGAGGTACAGTTGTGCGTGTAGGAGATTTGGCTCCGCAGCGCACAACCGACCACGAATAAACCCTTTGGCTGGTGCATCTACTCGTCATGAGCTTGGAAAGACATTGACCAAAAGACAATAAGCATGCATACCTGCGCCTGCATGAACGTTGAGGTGTGTGTAGAGCCCCGTAGTGATTGCGCTGAGATATGGCCTGTCATCGGCAGGACCGCAGTTGACGATGATGTAACTGCCCATCGAGCTGAGGGGTTCGGAGCGTATACTGCCATGGTCTTCAAAACAGCCGTAAAGCTGTATCGGCATGGGCGCTTCTGAAGTGAGTTGTTTTGTGATATCCGCAGCCGCCGATTCGCGTTCTAGCGCAGTCCAGCAGAGTATACAGAATGGACAGCCATTTTCGGAACTTGCCTTCAAGCTGGCGAGATTTGCATGAAATGCAACCTCCGTAGAGCGAAGATTTTCCACATTGAGCGGAAGTGCCGTGCAGATGCCACAAAGCGGCATGATGAGGGGAATTTTGAATCACGCACGTAAGTTTGGACTTGTTGGTGACCTGTATGCCGTGAACTTTGTATCTTGTGACGAAAAGGAGGATCTGAAGCAAGATGAAGCCAAAGGCGCCGCATCATTGTGTGATTGGGTAGAATCCTCGCTTGAGGCACAGGCGCGTATATGCATGAGGGCTTTGAGACCTGGTCTTGGAGCGGGCACACTTCGTGACATCGTACGGAATGAAGGTGTTTCTTGCTAGCCAAGGCAACCAGCTTGGGCGGTTCTCAGCTGCGTGGAGCAAGAAAGGTGACGGCGGCACGAAGACGCGCTGTGCTTGCAGCCAGATTGGTCCGCAACAGAACAAGCAAAAAGGATGCGAACGCTCTTACTCCGTATAGCATCGCATGCAAGATATAAGTCACTCGGAGGAGGTCCACAGCCAGTCGCAATGACCTCGGTGATGTCGGGCAGCGGTATTCACCTCGTCCATGGCGACTGTATGAGCGGTAGAGTGAGTCGTTGATGCGTCTTTGAGGGTAAAAGAGAAGAAAACTCCACATCTTCCCTCAGGCGTCAAATATGCATCGTTCCTCCGTCCGTCACCCGATCATCCTTCGCTTATGTGCACGTTTTCGCCCCAAAATGACGAGTGCGACCAGGGCATCGCCAACTTTTCCCGGTAGACGGTGATTTTCGCCATGATGCTTTCCGTAGAGGTGCATGTTACACAGGGATTAGCTTTCGACAACAACATCACCTCATGCTTGCGTCTCCGGCCCTGTCAATGTCATCAAATACTGCCGGTGAACACGTCGAGCATCGAGATGGCGTGGCAGACCAGGATGAGCAGACTTCGGGCCCGTTCCGTGAAGCGCCAGCGCCGTCATCGGCGTCGGCATCGGCAGAAGATTGTCTTTCAGCTGAAAGTCGCGGAGACGAGCCCGCCCTTCCACTGCAATCGACATCAGCCTCATCCAGCGAAGACGAGGGGATCTTGCATCTCGCCGGAAGCGTAGAGAATGTAAGAGGACGGCGACCCAGACGACATCCCCAGCTCGTCACCGCTGCCTTCATCCCGCCCAGAACCGGGCCATACATGTCCACGAACCCCGCGCACGACGTGGCCGAAACCCTTCGATCATCTGCCCCGCTGAGCCCGACGAGCAACTCTTCCAGCAGTCTGGTCGATATACCGATCTCCGGATCTTTGGGATCTGTACGTTCGGCGGAACCACAGCCGGTAGCCATGCCCAGCATGGAAGGAGCGTTACCGGAGAACGATGGGATGAATTCGCTCCGCCAGAAGCTGCAGGAGATTAGGCAGCTGGCGGTATCCACGGAAGAAAAGGCGAAAAGGATGCATTACCTCATGATGCAGGACTATATGCAACACAAAGTTGCCCTACCGTCGCCTACTGAAAGCCCTAGATCAGGACCCGCGGATGCTCGTGATAAACTTCCGCCCATGTTGATGGCACCAGTGGATCCCAGCAATCCATATCATATACGGCCCGGAGATCTGGATCCCGTTTTCAGTCCTCTGCCCAAGACGCGACGAGATGTCGATGAAGATGGAGACGACGATGATATCATGGAGGACGACACCCCAGAGCTGGGATGTATGCATTACAAGCGAAACGTCAAAGTGCAATGCTTTGACTGCTATCGCTGGTTTCCCTGCCGGCACTGCCACGATAAATCGACCGATCTTCCATTCGCTCATACTCTGAATCGAAAGAAGACTGAGAACATGCTGTGCATGATCTGCCAAACACCCCAACCCGCGGGAGAAGTCTGTTTCAATTGTGGCCAATATGCTGCGTGGTATTATTGTCCCAAGTGTAAGTTATGGGACAATGACAGTGCCAAACGCATATACCACTGCGATGACTGTGGCATATGTCGGATCGGGGAAGGTCTGGGAAAGGATTTCGTACATTGTCGCAGGTGCAATGTTTGCATTACCATTGGCACTTCAGAAGAACACCCGTGTGTTGAGAGAGCGACCGAAGGAAACTGTCCGCTCTGTCTGGTCGCGCTGTTTGACTCTCAGACTTCGGTAGTCAGCATGCCTTGCGGCCATTACATGCACGGGGATTGTTTCAAAGATCTCATGGCTGTGACATATCGTTGTCCGGTATGCAACAAAAGCGCTGTCAATATGGAGTTGCAATGGYGAAGATTGGACGACGAGATCAGGGCACAACCTATGCCGGAAGAAGATCTCGCTGGGATACTCCCGCAAGTGTTGCGCGAAGCTGATCCGCCAGAAGAACCCACGGAGGCCCCTACCGAAGCAGCGAGTCTTCAGCCGCGACGGCCGCGAGACGTTTGGATTGGTTGCAATGACTGCGGAAGCAGATCGTGGACACCCTTCCACTGGCTTGGTCTGAAATGCCAGCGATGCGACAGCTACAATACGAACCAGATGGCGCCGACTGCAGTCTACGAAACAGAAACCGAGCGCTTGATGCGACAGCAACAGACCCCTCATCACCACGACTTCACAGGGAATGAAGTGCTCCGAGACGCAGGAATCGGCGTTGAAGATACTGAAACGTTCACTGAGGGCGCTTTAACAATCCCCAGATCTCCCTCGCAACAGCCATTGCTATCAGGCTCACCCCGCGCTGGTGCACAATCGCCTGGAAGATACTTTGTCAACGATGACGAACCTCGTCGACCGAGTTTCACAGCCGGACGATTTCCCACACCCAGCATGCCTAACCTACCTACCCTCAGCGACTTTACACCGGATATGCCTCGAATGCCTCGAATGCCCAACCTTCCGAATATGCCCAATCTTCCAAATATGCCAAATATGCCGAACATGTCCAACTTCAACCCATACTTGGAGAACATGCGACAGAACCTACCCAATATGCCTAGCGTGGAACTGCCGCGCTTCTCACCTTATGATATGATGAATGCGGTCAGCAGAAGTCTCAGCCCTATGCGATTCTATCTGCAAGGTCTGGATGCGAGAGATGAAGATGGAGGCGGTTATCTGGGGAGACCGAGACCAAGACCGTGGAGTGCGCATAGTGATACTATTCTTGCAGGCGTTCGAGCTACAAAGCCTAGGCCTAGCTCGGCGGAGACTGCGCCGGGGGATGTGGGAAGGTGGAGTGAGGACGAGATGGATGATGATGGCGATAGTGTGGCTGTGGAGGACGAGGAAGATGGGAGCAGTGAGGAGGGGAGTGGAGCAGAGGATGATGCGGATATGCTGGATGAGGAAGAGGAGGAGGAGGAGGAGGGTGAAAGGAATGAATTGGCAGAGCTGGACCTTTTTGGGCATCATTGAGATCTCGTTCGGAAGACAAGCCATCATGTCCGCAAAAAGGATGATGGATTCTGCGCAACAGCTGTGTCTGAATCGATGAAGATGGAAGGTCGGATACTGGGCTTATACCGTCTACGGATGCTTCGATTCGTTTGTGTCCCGCTTGAAACTCAAACAGCCCACAGCTTCAGGCACACCCTGTCTGCCCTTCCCGCACCGTTCTAGTTGAACTCAAAAGCTAGCCAGTCTGGCTGCTATACCTCGAAGGCACTTACATATAAAGCGGCCGGTAAAATCCGTCTTAGCGAGACGAATTTTTTGGATCCTGGTCAACGGGTGTTTCCCCCGAGCCCGCTACTTCATCACGAAGCCAGACGTACATGTCTTCAATTGTAGAGCCCTCGTTGAACAGCCTTGAGCTCACCTGGACTCCCCAAGAGCCCTGTAGTACCACTTCGGTTCCTCTGCGCGCGTTTGTGAGGGGTACGCGGGCCCATAGCCCGTTCGGCTCGCCTGTCCGAATTCTGATGTTGGTGTCCCTCTGGTGGGGATACATCGAGATCCTGTATAAAACAAAGATACGGCTTTCWTTTGCGTAGGCTCCTCCAATTGGTCCGTCATAGTTGTAGGTGGCCATTTCAATTATGAACTCGTCCGCCTCGCTCGTTTTGGGCATGATGAAAGACAAGTAGATCTTGAAGGGTGGTTCGATGTCGATGTCAATGTGTATGAAGTCATCCTCTTCCTCCTCCTCTTCTTCTTCTCTCTCCTCGTCTACCTCTCCATCGTCATCTCCTGTCGTCAACTTTGTATTATCGCCGGCGTGGCCTTCGTCTCCAGATGCAGCAGTGTCATTTTCGCGAAGGATGCTCTCATCATTGTCATCAGCATCATTCGCCGCGTCCTCCAGAGACAACTAGGCCTTGTCCCGCATGACAGCCTTGGATGTTTTGATGATGACGCAGAAGGACTTGCATGTGCGCATAGCAACGAGTAGATCCTCCAGCGAGAGCTCGGCGAGGATGGCTTCTACCAATTCCACAGTGCCGAAGGTCTTGTCCGCCGCCGGCGTGGCGGGGAATCTGGACGCCGTGAGCGACATGGAGGAGGAGGCGGCGTGATCAGCTGGTGAAACTGGGGTGCTTTGGCTATGGCGTGTCAGTTGCATGGAAAGACGTCAAGGTGGTGCCTGCCTCCTTCTCAGGCGCTCCTTCGAAATTAGAGTGTGACGCGTGTGACCTCCGAGGTGTAACTTCCAGACTGGCAAGTACGGTCTCTTAGTCTTTCGCTGACGCGAGGTGTTTATTCGAGCAAAGTAGCGGGAGGAGAAGGAGACAGGGTGATGCGATACTCACATTGAAGGCGGCGACGACGGCAGGTGTGTCTTGGAAGATGGAAGTTGATGATCCATGACTTCCGATGGCATCTCGCGCCGCGGACTCGAATGATGGAAGTTGATGAARTTCTTGCAGGTAGTTGGAAGGAAATTTTGGTCGCTGGCGGCCAAACGTCGGCTTCGGGTAGCGAGCCGGGCTTGTGAGTGAATGATCGAATTTCGCTAAGGGTCATCGTTTTTCCAGCATGGTAAGCAAAAGTTCGTTTGTGATCAATTTAACAAATCAAAGCACATGGGCTTTCTGTAATCGAGGATCATTGATAGGATTTCCGACAATCACTCTACTGGTACAATTCTCGTCCCCACATCCACCAGTCCCAACATCCATCCTCGCTACTMTCTTTCCATACTCCAATTTTTCCGCCTCCGTCACCTGGCATACAAGAAGAGACAACTTGCATGAAATTCTTGTAGCAATCGTCTCCTCTGGGTATCTTGTGTATCCCCAAGGGCGAACATCCTTCCTGGGAAGGACTCGGGATTATTGAAAGTCCTATGTTACTATCCGAATCATACCTGCCGGGCATCAACATAGGATGGGCTTTGCAAAGATCCCAGCTGTTCCCGATAGAGTAACTGTAACTCGAGTCTCCATCTGGATAGCAAATTGCTGGCAGGTTTGTTCGTGGGTCGATCGCAGCAGTGTTCTCCCAATAGAATGCTGAAACTGGAGAGCCTTGTGGGTTTGCAAGTAGCTCGGACTTGCGGTACTGACAGAACATCGTGGCGGCTGCTTCGAATGCTTTCTGTGAGTATTCATGAGGTGTGTTTTTTGAGCCAGGATCGTTGATCGTGGGGAGATCGCATGTAGTGTCAGCAGACTTGATGGCTGGATAGCCTTTGATCGTATATCTGAATCTATCGAAGCATCAGTCATGTAGAAGATCGGAGGATTGAAACATCAACTCACGTTCCGCATTCGTCTTGAGTCTGTCCACCCGTGTATGCATCGGCAAGCGAGTACCTGGAATTCATAAGCCAAATATCTGGTAAGAAATAGCAAAGGGACAGTTGTTACCCTTTACACTGAGATAAGAGCGTCGTCAACGCATTGGCACAGTACTCTTGTTTGAGACAGTCTCCGGTTGCGTGATCAGCTCTCCATTCAAAGTCGATGCTCCAGCCAGGGTAAGAGCTTTGAGTCAATGGAGCGGGAGGTGGTGTCCGTCCTATCAACGTTGACTGTCGCCRGAATCTGCCCTTGACATCTTTGGCTGTGTAGACCTTCGACATCGTGTCGCCAGGCTTTGCACTCCACTCGGAACAGAATTTCGGTATGAGTCCCTGAATAAATGCTGCAGCGTTGGGTATGGCTTCAACATATGTCTTACCATCACAAGTTGCAGTGGCATGAGGCGCGGAGCTTGTGGAGGTAGCCGTCTCTGTATCCTGGATGTCTAGACTTTTGAATAGCTTGCCAATATACTCCTGGACTCTTTTATCAACCTCCGGGTATACGGTCGGCCTTGGACCGTCCGGCATGGAACCACTATAGAAAGTAACACTGGGAGCCTGGAACTTGGCTGTTGTGGTTGTTGTAGTCGCCTGTGCCTTGCAGCTAGCTTCCGCTTCCCTTTAGATGAGTCAGTCAAAAGAGGCCAGATTTAATGCTCGGGGTTGCTTACTTTGGTCTGATAGTTGTCGTTGTTGTATGAAAGACACCGTATGAGTCTAGCGGATATGAAATTGACACGGTCACCGTAGGAGTCATGGTAGTTTCACACGAAGATTGCGTCGTGCCTTGGCTACTGCTCGGCTTGGTCCCCGTAGGCTTTGTATCTGGCGGCGGGAATGGCTTGGGAGGCTTTGCTGTTGGAAGTGGTTCGACATGGGGAATATTCGGAATGGGAGGAAACGCTGGTATTGGAGGCTTGACCGGTGGCGGAAAAGCCTGTTGTGGTGGCCTTACCGGAGGAGGAGGTATTGCCGACGTAGTCGCGGGTTTACTAGGAATCACTAACGGTGCAGGGACGGACTTGGTGGATGTTGCTGGTGGTAATGGTAGWGGAACTAATGATAGGATCCCCGCGATAGTGGAGGTACTCTGGGTTGTTGCATGAGCACTAGCGGATTGAAATATAGGCGATGCATGCGGGATTATTGGTGCCAGAACGAGAGAACTCTGGCTACTGGTGGTAGCGACTGAGCGCTTGCCAGCAAGCAGATCGGATGGCGTTTTGTGTACACTAGAGATTGCAGTTTCCCTCGACGCTTTCCATTCAGCAAGGCCATCGGCAGACGGTGTGGGCACATTCCATCCTTGGGGGTTCGGAACTGCCCAAGTGACGGTAATGGTGAGCGTCCATAGAAGAAAAAGTCGGAGAGCCATAGATATAGTGATTCGGTAGTAACGAGAGGAGAGTAGCAAGTGATCTAGAGAACCAGGAGACATGGGATGCTATATATCAATGCCGTGGGGCTATCTTACAACTCATTGATGCTGGCGGTTATGCATGACCACAGTATGAAGAGTCCTCCGCTATATTTAGTGCAATGGTGTCCAAAACAGCTTCTAAGCGACATGGAAGTCAAGTAAGCACACGCGTGGGAAGCGCCATACTGAAGTTGAAAATAGACCTACCAACATTTCCCAACCGCCCAGATCCTGCGAAGTACATGTATGAAACAGTGGCGGAAACGGGTTGGAGAGTATTAATGCACAAGTTTGGCGCCGAGTTAGAGAAGCATAGAGCGTTCTTCACACGCCAACAACAGACATTGCCTATTTGGGAAGTCGTGAGTCGTACGATCGAATGGCCTACTTTATCGTCACTATCACGACAGACACAGATCTGAATGAGCTACAAATAAGCAACTTGAGCGATGCAAGTGTTTCTAAATGTTGAGTCTTGTTTGTTCTCAGTGGGAGGAATAGGCTCCATGAGGCACAGCAAAAGACTGAAGTCGGCGGTTGCGCGAAAACCTTAATTTTTTTGAGTCGAAACTGCTGCATCAGCATGCAAGCTAAGCCCAGGCTCACCAGACTAGGTACCCGGAGCTGCCTTTGCATACCTTACACTCATATTGCCCAGCGTCTAGCTAGACAGTATTGATTCGGTGGATAGCCRACCAGAGTCGCCACTACGATGGAATACTTTTGTCACTTGACAATTTTCAGGGACCGAATGCATCTGCAAATATCCGATCTACGAACAGGAATAGAAGCATGTCCTTGAGGATGGATGCGGCGCGCCTTTGGCATGATTGTATATAAGTGGACGTTAACAGCTCGCAAGGAAGGGATGAGAAATTCATCCTGACATTGTGTCACTTGCCATTCTGACATGCCGTTTTCAACACAAGCCAAACTTGTTCGAACCTCATACCTCTACCTCTTTCTATTGCTTTCTCTGGCGATCAACATCGAAGCCAAGGCAAACCTTGAAGCTTTCTTTACTGGCGGCCCACAAGGACTTGGTGTACGGAGATACTGGCCATATAGGAGTGACCAGAATGGATGTAAAGATCACGTAGCGGATCTGGAGAGCAGTTACAAAGAGGCTTCAGAAGTAAGATTTATGTCGTTAATGATATCTGTTCAGGGTCACTAATGCATACCAGTTAATCGATGCCGCATTCGATGCAATTGCTTCACTCAAAGAGGCCAGACCAGGCATTTTATCTGTCTCCCAGAGACGAGATTGGAACAGAAAGGCCCAAACAATGGCTTGTAAGACTTCTTTGATCGATCGATGGATGCTATGCACACACTGGATGCTGACCAGTTAAATAGCCATGTTTGGGGTGAAGATCGATAAGAAAGGGGGCCCTGTCGCAGAGAAAGAAAGCGTAGACGGCTTCCAATATGTCGAAGGTGTAAGTGGGACCAGAATGAAACATGTGCACAGTACTGAATCTATCTGTAAGATCTTCAATCAGATGAAAGAGGGCATGGACGACGATCAACCAAAAGGTGCCGCGATCTCTGGAACCCCATACAGAACACCTCGTGACGCGGGATTATACTGTGGAGTTGATGGTTGGAGATACTACGGACCTAACGATAACGATCCCGCACGCCCAGGACAATTAATTTCTGATCATAAGAGTGAGTGAGACAGCGCTAGACTCACTGCTATCGATCGAGATGCTTACTTACACTATTCTGCAGACCCCTCATACCCCGATGGCGCATGGTACTTTTACCACAACTACATGTTACTGGAGGGAATGACGCCAACGAAACACGGACTGTGCGGGCCCAACATGTACGCTTTTGCTATCGCCCACCTGAATCTGATCACTTTTTGTGATTTTGCGTGGTCAAGCCTGGCCAAGAAGATTGATCCAAAGGAGGTCAAACACACGGATATACTGGATCAACAGTCGAGGAACTCTCTTTCATCGGTCTGGGTACATGAACTGTGAGACATGTTGATCGATGTCCAAATATACCGTGCTGACTGGTATTATCAGCGCTCATTTTTACGGAACTTACAAAGCTTCTATAGAGGACGCACTTACGGATCATGAGGCGGTGGATGGTGATGGAAAGGTTCAGATCGGTCCGGATGGGTTGTCGAAGAAAACTTATGGTGTGGCCTATGTTATGAACCTGGCGAAGAAGAGTACACGCTTGGCGACTCATACTGCAGACGCTTATTCCATGTTCGCCGTTGCGATGTGAGTGCGATGAAATCGAGACTTTGATGTAATACTGATCGAACTATAGGTACCTTCCAAAGTGGAATTGGTCGAAAGGCTTCGCAGATTGAGCTTCTCTGATGGTCGCTCCAAGCATCGCTAAGAATGGTCAATGTTACATTACCAAGCAGCGCCGCTTTCTTGTTTTTGATCGAGCGGGTGGATACCATGTTTTTAGGTGACACAGATAAGATTCTACTGTAGCCCCGGCTGCTTCCAGTTCCCTCATCTTCGAACCAACGTGGAGCTCGTATTCGTCACCACCGCCAGTCCCGTAGGAAACTTCGTCTGGATTGATGAATCGACGACGCCGCTCGTCATCAACCCAGCCGAATATCATGGCAACAGTGCAGTGTCCAGAGCTAGTGACCGTGWCGCCTTGGGTGTAACCAGTAAATTCGACAGGCGGATCATGACCAATTAGTGGGATCGTTCTCAAAGCGAGACTCTCAAGATCGAACAACAGAAGTGGGTCGGGCGGACTCAAAATTTGATCGCTACCGCAGATAATGATCAATTCCTTGAGTCTAGGACCGATGTTCCAAATCATGTCAGGGGTGTTGAGGGCCATGTGTCGTGCGTGTGGTTGTGATTGTAGTAGATGCTCCAGAGCGCCCCAAAGCGTAACATCCTCAATTTGCTGCAGTGAAGTGCCTTTGGCCCACCCTTTGGATTCCACCATGTCAGTTGAGTCGTTCAAATCGTGCGAAGATTCTTCCATACCGAACAAAACAAAAACACGCCTGGAGGATTTGACGTCCGTTCCCCAAATGACAGCTGCACAGTTCTCCAGATCATGAACAGCTTCCATAACTTGATTCCATTCCCGACACTCGTGAAGGTCCAAGTCCCGAGCGAATACAAGGGTAGTCAAGGTGTAGTTGGTGTACTGCCTCATAGCGAATTGCTCGAGCTCATGCATCTCCTCGAAACGACGCATTTCGCGCTCATGCTGCTCTTTTGAATAAGGCAGTCCGTGCCGCTCGCGTTCCAAGCCGTCGAGATGGTCGCGATCCTGTTGATTCTTCGCGGCATGTGCCTCGCTCGTCTCATTTGTTCCAGACTCCATGGCTCCAAAGTTGTTATCCATAAGTATGTATGTGCGAGTGTGGGAACCACGGATTCGGACACATTGTGGAAGGAGAGTATGAGATTGTTGCTGTGCCGCAGATGATGTTGTAGGATGGAGACTGCGTGCTGGCGGCAATCTCTCACATGCTCAGACCACCCGACCAATCAAATTCACGCATCTTCCAATACTCAGCAGAGTCTGATCTACGGAAAGAACCGCCACATCTATTGCCGCCGAGATGATGCTAGTCGAGGATGGAGGTAGGCAGACCTACGAGAGAAATCGATGTTTGGTAGGCAGATTGAGGAGGACATCGGCACGGCACGGAGGCGGAGGTGATGTTGAATGTTGGACTTCTCCCGAGGGACTGCCGAAGCACAGACATCCATCACTCGTGTGTAAATAAATCATTGGCATCTTCCTCACTCCTCCCTTACATCAACACCATCCCATCTCTGTCAATATGTCTACTACTCGATTTCCTACGCCTGCACATGGCGCTCCAAAAGCCTATGCGTCTCCGATTCTGATCGTGTGATTTCCTGGGGTGAAGGCGGTCCCAATTGCTATCCTCTTTTGGTAAGACGACGAGGATCTGCTCCATGTCTCGATAAGGCCTTGGGTTCTGGATAGTCCTCTTCCTCGCAAGCACTGTGCAATGCCGGGCCTTGTTGTAAACCGTCTCGCATTTGTTCCGCTCGTTCCCTGTCCTACTAATATGTGTCTGGTGGAGCTCCACAATGTATGAGCATAGTGACCAACTTGTATGTATCCTCTAATAGCTCTCTCCAAGCCGTGCCGTGGAGGAGCGCGCAGGATCCTACAGAGGCGGAGCCATCTAGATTGGTCTTCGCTTGAGAAAAAATTCAGCGTCTGCAATATCGCTCCATGGACAGAAGTACGCGTCACCCCGCAATATGTTCATCGACATTCTCGAGGCAAGGCGAATCCAGACATGGCCATGAATGGATCGTCATCAAGATTGAAAGAAAAAAAAACAGAAGAGCTGAATGTCGATCGTGGAGGGCTGCATTCTCCGAGACAGCTAGKCCTTATGTATATCATCACTTGCTTCCGACAGATGTATACAGTATCTGTCATGGATCTAGAGAAGTGAAGAAGCCTGGGTCTTACAATAGGAAGAGGGGCGAAGTCGTCTTCCACGATTGTTATTGCTCCCTGAATGATGGAAGCGACCAGAAGACTATTTGGAAACGACGCTCCCGTGTATGTGAGTGACGAGAGGGTGTAAAGAGTTTATTAGTACGCCGGTACTGATTGCTGTCACGGCCGACCCTCTAGCGGTCGCTTCTTCGTAGCAAAATGGAGTAAAAGCGAATGTAGTGAGAGCAACGACCATACATGTGGCGAACGATCACTAAAGGTCCATATCATTAGGGTCGATAACCTTGACAGGACTCACGAAGGAGTCGAATTCGGCGAGATAATGGCACCTCAAACTCCAGGGGCGGTACTTAATATCTATGCATGCTAAATGTGCGGTTCCTACATACTAGCCGAAGCGATCTGTAAGTTCTAGCGACAATAGATCCCAAGCTAACTCTTCCTACTAGAAGATACATAGATAGATTTAGGACATGTCTATACGCCTTTACCTCTACATGGAATTCTTTACTAACTTTGAACMCGGTAACGATATCTTACGAATCTTTACCCTACAATTCGATAAAGTATAGGTTCTCGATCTAGACGCTAGTAGGCAAGTAAATGAATGCACATTCCTCGCGCTTTGTTTTCTAAGCAGACCGTAGCTTCTTCGATTTACTTCTCAAAGGCAACAGGAATAATGAATTTAAATTCAATCGTTGAGGCTAGCCAAGTTGCCCGTGAATATATTCCTCAAATTTATTCTCTATAAGGCATAGACAATTCTACAAGTGTCATCTTCGCAATTCTTAGTCTTAAAGACCATTTTGTATAAGAGATCTACTTTACGACCTAGACGAGATCCTAAATTCGTCTATTCAACCCCTTTCTATATAAATTTACTTCGGAATCACACCTGTTACAAGTTAAATAGTTAGATGAAAACAACGCCGTTGTTTATGCTTACCTCTGCCCCGAATTGCTTGAACAAGTTGACAGCACCTTTGGATTTCTCCCCACCGCCGAGCGATCAACGAGGAGAGATAAGAAAAGATGTTCAACGCAAGATTTACGTCGCGGTCAGTAAACTCCTTCACTCTCCCGCCTGAAAGCAAAGGTCTAGTAATTCACCTAGCCAGAATTCCAAAAGAGCCATATCCACCAAGCGACCCGAATCCGCAATACCAAGACCTACGAATCAAATTCCCCATCACATGCAAAAGAACAACATGGCATCCTTGTCCCGACCCTGATCCCGGTAACAGACTAGGGAAAAAACAACCACGAACGGCCCGAAGTTTATCTCACACAACCCGAGAACCGACCGTTTGACTTATCGGTTGATAAGAAATGATGATATACTTGGGATGTATGTATAGAGTAGTAAATTCTTGGACATTTGTTCCGATTCTCTCGTTTTGGAAAACGTCACTCATCTTCTCTCCCGCGAGCATCTGCGATTGGGATTCTTCATCTCGGAGCCTCTGCCATTGGAACTCAGCACACACACACATACCAGCACAAAAGATGGACTGGCTCAACAATCGCCGGCAGCAATCTCTCCAAAGAAATCCATCCACGACGGAGACCTCCCCATCATCACCACCTCAAAACCATGCCCAAGAACAAGAAAACCCTCCACCAACAACGCCATCCAAACCAACATCAAAACCAACATCAAAACCAACATCATCTGAAACAACACCCCAACCAAACCCCCCCAAAAAACCCTTCCCCTTCCTCTCCCTCCCCCCCGAACTCCGCAATGAAATCTACACCCACCACTTCACTTCCACCACACACCTCATAAAACCCACCTACACCCTGCCACCACTCCTCCACACTTCCCGAAAGATCCACTCCGAAGCCCTGGGGATCTTCTACGCGACCGCTTCATTCCGCTGTTTGGATGAGGCGTCTACGATTTCTTGGTTGGGGTGTTTATTTCGGTATCCTTTTTTACATGACAACATCGACAACAACACCAGCGACGACGACGACGATAATCCCACCATCACAACGAGCCATAAAGTTAAAGAGGAAGCGGAAGAAGAAAAAGGAACCCCAATCAAAAAATTAAATCTCCTCCAAGAAATAAAATACGACACAAGATGGGTAATCTACAACACCCCCTTCATCCCCGTCCCCGGAGCAGAATGTTGGTTATGGACACAATTAGTCGGGAAATTACGAGAAAAAGGAGTGGAATTGGAAGGAGATGGAAGGGTTGTGGGCGAAGGGGTTATGAGGGTTAGTTTTTTCGAGGGGGAAAAAGGGGAGGTGAAGTGGACGGATAAAATGGGGTTGATTGAGGCTGTTAGGAATGGGAGGGGAGGGGCTTTTTGGTGAGGGGGGGATTGTGGGAAGTTGGTGGTGCTTTTCTAGCAGTGCTTGGTTGGATTGTTTAATATTCATGTTTTGATGGCTTCGTAGGCCACCATCCTCCCCACCGCCTCCCCTACGGGCCATGGCATGATCGCAATGGCACCCCGCAGTATAAGAACTCTTGTGTCTCATCACCTAGCATATTACATGTCCCACAACAAAACATTTCCCCGTACCAACGAATGACTCCTCAAAAAAAGTCCCTCCCCATCCCCTCAAATCAGTCCACCCCTCCCCTCAGATTCCCCATCTTGACCCTCCTCCCTACGAACAACGACCATCCTCCCAAACTCCAACTTCATCAACAATCGATCCACGCCCCCACCACCCTTCCACCCCTCAAACCCTCCCTCCTCCTGCTCCATCCCTCCTCCACCCATCCCTCCAATCCTAGAATTCGCATACCGTAAACTACCAATCCTCTCCCGATCCAATTCCCTCAATCGCCCCACTACACCCTTCAATCCCGCATCGACTTTTTTTCGGGCTCGATCTAATTCCAACTTCGCTTGCCTCTCCTCCTCGTCTCCTACAGTAGTAGTAGTAAAAGAAGCGGTATCAGAATTGGCGTTTTGTTGCAGATCGAACAATCGTATAAACAACGCAATCAGAACATCCACGTTTCCTAAAAGAGATCGCAGTTCAGAGGTATATGGGATATCGGTCAGGAGTAATGCATAAGTGAGACTCGCGAGGAAGGAACGATGTCCCTGGGAGAGAGTTTCGGGGTCGTGTTGCATGGGATTCTTCTCTTGCTGCTTCTCGGATGATGATTCTTGTTGCTGTGAATCGACGCCATCATCATCAGGAAAAGGAGCGGCTTGCAGGACCCAGTGTTGAAAATGGTTGCAGGAACCTTTGATGATTTCGCCTTCGAAGAAAGCGGCGGTTTCGGAGAGGAGGAAGATTGCCGCGCTGCATGTTGCCCAGACTTTTCGGAGAGCGGGGGCCGTTGCTGCTGCGTGGGGGGTGTTGGTTTGTGATTGAGGGCGAGATTGTCGGGAGGAAGAGTTTGGAGGGGTTCGTCGAGCTGAGGTTCGACGCCAGAGATCGGAGAGTTTGTGATGGGATCTTCGGATGGCGAGGAGGTAGGCGTTGATGGTTGAGTAGGTGTTGATGTCATGCTTGGAGAGGAAGAGGTCCAGAGGGGGTACGACGGTCAAACTAAGCTCTGTTGGGGTCGGGAAGAGGAGGTCGTTGAAGGCGACCGGGGATAAAGCGGGCAAAGACGCCATCCCACCGTCCGCAGTCGATGGTCGTGTGACTTCCATCCTCGCCGACGCCAAGCTGATGTGTCGCTGGGCAAAGTCCATCATGTCGTCGTCGATATCTTCCGCTTCGACAGCCATTGCCTTCCATACTCTCAGCAGCGCCTGACTGAGCTCTGCATCTTTGATTGAGAGGCCTTGCATGGCTCGCACGGGATCTTGCTGCAGCAGTCGACCCATGTTTTGCTGACGTGTATTGAGACGATTTTCCGTCTCGGAGATAAGTGCATTGGCAAATTCGCCGCGGTTTAGTAGGAAGAACATTCTCAAACAGGAGAGCACCTGTACCGTCATCTCCATGGGTAGGAGATGCTGGAGGACATTCCTGGAGAGGGATTGTCGAATGATGGAGACCGTTCTAGACAATTGAGACGCTGTGATGGGCATGGCGAGTTGCGATAGCACATGTAGATGCTCGGATACGACATCGGTGTCCTTGGAGACGGTGTCCAACAGCAAGGATGACGCACGAGCAGCATCGCGATGATTCCGCACTTGATGGAGCGATTTGCCAATGAACAACATTGAGCTCGCCGTCCTCCGATTGACAAAAGCAGGCAGGAGGTCCTTTCTCTGGATGAACATTTTGCTCTCAGATGATGTTGTATCTGGGTGGACAAAAAAGTCTTGTGCGCCATAGGTTGGTAGATTGCCGTACACAATCCATCCTGACAGCTGCCGAAGCCAAGCAGTTTCGGCGACTGTAGTGAGCTGTGTTGCAGCATCCKCGACCTCGGGGAATCCGGTCTGCATCTCACCGCGCAGCCTATCAATCAACAGAGCGGTGGTGCAAGCAGTGCCTCGATTGTCAGAGCTGTCATGACCGGATTCCTTGGGCTGCTGCTGCATATAACAGGCCATTTGCCAATACCAGGCCATCAATCTATGCCAATCTTCGAACTCGCCCACAATGGAAGCCAGGGGGACAATGTTGTACGCACCCACCATGGTGGCATCTCGGACCAGGATCTTACTTTCAACATCGAGGATCCTTTGTTGAAAGCGAGCAAGATGAGTGTGTTGAATGGAAGTTGCGACCGCGCGGCATGCAATTGAAGGATGACTTGCAGATATTGCTTCCAGATGGCGTTTCAGACGGCGGTGGACTTCTGATAGCTTCCCAATGGACTGCAACAGCGCTCTTTCGGAGGGGGAGAGGAGGGGGAAATCATGATCGCCCAGGTCGACGAACAGAGGTGAGGGATGGCCGGAGAGGGCCAGAAGAACTTCATGGAGCATGTTGAAGGACTCGAGTTGATTATTGCAGTTGAAAGTCTGGTGTGTGTTTGTGTTGTGGAAGAGGGTGAAATGGCAACTTTGACGCGCTTTTTTTTTCTTAACGACCTGGACGCGCCGATTGGACAGGAAGGTGAGCAGTGAAATTACCTCATACGGTGGCAGTAGGCGTAAGACTCCTTCATCTCGACATTGCAGATGTCCATGTGTTTGTGTTGATGGAGATGGTGGGGGATTCACAAGTTGATGTGCATAAATGTATACTTGTGCATCTCATAATTCTGAGCAACCATCTCAGTGCTCATACGATGGGAGGTAGACAGAGCAGTGAGACAGCCTCAGGCGGAATTCGGACTACCCCTCCCTCTAGCGCTCCGCCACCGCCACCATCCGCGAGCCAATGGAGCCAATGCACGGCTGCTTTTCCGATGGATCTGGCCGTGGGGGAGAGATCGTAGGTAGGTAGGGAGGGCAGGTATAGTGGTAGCTGCTTCGTACATCATGGCAGCTCCTTCACGTTGATCGACCGAGCTCGTTCCTGACCCCATCTATCTATCCATCCATTCTACCTACCTGCAATCACTCTGCCATCTCCATCTTCATCACATCACATCACTCACAACACTCACATCCACCACCATCATCATCTGCTTGTGAGATATCATCTTCAAACAGCCCTGCCACAACCATGCAGAACATTGTAAGCACCTACCGACAAGGTATCCTTGTCTTGTCTGGCCTTGCCATGACAGCCCGGAAGCCGAACACTAACCCTCCTCGCACTCCAGCGCGCGAAGATCAAGCGCAAGTTCTCCATGAACGACAAGAATGGTGCGCATCATTCCCTACCTATGATCCCTCACCGCCTGCCCCCCAAACCCTGACATATTTCCCCAGCCAACCTCGACGATGAATTCGACCCCGAAGACATTGACGAGGAAACGACGGGCCACCTGCACCGCGAAATCACAAAGGCCGAGGCGGAGAATGAACCCCACGGCAAGCCGGGCTCCTTCCTCAACAAGCTCATCATGCATGGGAATGCGAAGACGGAGAAGGAGATGTCGGGGGAAGGATCGCATCTCGCCAAGGAGAATGAGAAGCCGTGATAAGCGTGAGGGATGAGGGAGGATGAGGGAGGGAAGAATGGATGGATGGATGGGATAGAATGACATGGGGAGAGTAAGGTAGACGGAACAGGATTCATCAATACAGGGAGGGACATTGGACTCAGGAATGAGATATGATGAGACGATCAGATTGTGATTGATGGGAGCTTTGCAGGTGGACAACAGCACTACAGCACAGCACAGCACAGCACAGCACAGCACAGATCAGAACAGTACAGAAATACACACGTGGTGCATCTTGAATGTTCATGCCCAATATCTCCGTCCCCTTGGATATCATATCTCCCTTTCACTCCACCTTGGATACCTTCTGTCTCACTCCACCTTGGACACGCCTTGATCCGTCTTGTACGTCTCGCTAATGATCCCTCGGCCCGCCTCGGCATCCACCACCGAGTTCCCTCGACTGGCGGCGGCGACGATGTTGTTGGGGTTCTCGGCCTTGAGTCGCGCGAAATTCTTCTCGGCATCCCACACCCACGGACTATCCGAGGAGAAGAGCAGGTCAATCTCCTCGAGGGTGCGTTGATTGGTCTCGGGATACAAGGCCCACACCATGGGCACCGTGAGGAAGCCGCAGGCCCCGAAAATGTAGAAAGTCTTCTCGCCAATGGCCGAGAACATGACGGGACAGAGTAAAGTCAACCATCCGTTTCCAATCGACCAACCCACCACTCCCCATGCATTTCCTTTGGCGCGCACTTCGAGCGGGAAGATTTCAGCGGGGTACTATAATGAAAGTGTCAGTCCATCAATCCATTCCCATCTTGAAGAAGTAAGGTAAGAAACCACCCACCAACCAWGGAACAGTCAACCACGTCGCCCCAAAAATCGACGTGAAGATAAACACAAACGACGCAGCCGCAATCCCATACGAAGTCGCCGCCGCCCCCTCCAACCCCGCCTCACGAGCATTCTGTCCACCCCGAGACATTCCCCCCGCGAGAAACATGGCGATTCCCATACCCACACTTCCCCAATACAACGTCCAACGCCTTCCAATGCGATCCAGCGTGAAGACGCAGATGAGGGTGGAGAACATGTAGAAGATATTGTTGAGTCCTGAAATCCATTGGGATTTTTCCGTGGAGAAACCTGCTATGCGGAAGATTGTGGGGGCGTAGACTGTTACTCCTGCTATTCCTACCCCTATACATGAGAAGAAGAAGGAGAGATTAGTGGATATGCGATGATGATGATGATGATGGGGAAGATGAACAAGACAAGACAGGAAAACTCACACTCCTGCATAATCTGCAACCAAATCACCAACTGCACCCTCCTCCCCGTATGTAATTTCCCAGATCCAATCCCAAACAACATGGAATAATAACTATTCCGATTGGCCGTCGCGCGTTCATGGGCRACGATATCTTTAATATCCTGTAATTCGCGATCCGCTTTGATTTTCCCTTCAGCGTCTTCGCCGCGGAGTCGTCCGAGGATATATCGCGCTTCTTCTTCTCGGCCTACTTTGGCGAGGTAGCGGGGACTTTCGGGGAAGAACCAGACGATGGATAGGAGGATTAGGAGGGGGATGATTTGGAATGCTATCGGGAATCCTGGGGGTCATTCACATGTTAGCAAAATTTTCATATTGTCCTCCCCCCCTTTTTTTTTTTGGACTTCTTTCCATCCATCCATCTTCCTTCCAAGAACTGATGAAAAGGACAATACTCACTCCATCGAAACGCACTCTGCCCCCCATCAATCCCACTAAGTCCATATTCCAGCCAATACGCCACCACAACACCAAAAATATTCAACGTAAACTCAATAGCAACAAACTGTCCCCGACTAGTATGTTCCGCCGTCTCCGTAGCCCAAACAGGAACAATGGCATTCAAAACCCCAGTCCCAATTCCATTAACCGCCCTAGCACCAATCATCCAATTAGCCCCTTGAGCAGAAGTCTGCAACGCAGCCCCCAAAATCGCCCACGCGGCTCCGAAAGCTATCGTTTTGATTCGCCCGATTCGATCACCTGTCCAGCCACCTAGAAGACAACCTGCTAGGGTTCCGAGGTAGTAGACTGATACTATGCCGCCTTGGAGGAGGGAGTGCGTTATTATTGGGGTGTGGGTTAGGGGGTCTGTGTAGCCTATGCCCATGAGGGAGATGTAGTCGGGTGCGTTGTTTACGCCGCCCATCATTCCTTGGTCGTAGCCGAAGAAGAAGATTGAGAGGGCTGCTATGGAGTTTACTGAGTTTCATTCTTGTGTTAGCTTTGTTTGGATTTTGTTGTTGTTGTATGGTATGTTGCATTGGTTTGGAGAGGGATTGGAGGGCAAAACGTACTGGCGAGCAGCAGACGCGATTTCTCCAATTTGGCCGCGACGCGGAATCCCGACATTTGATCCATCTTTTCTTCTCCTTTCCGTTTGGACCTCCCAGAGGAAAGATGGTAGATAGGTCAGGTAGCTTTTCTTCCAGAGGTGACTTGCTTGTTGGGTTTCCTAGGCAATGAGTGAGAACGAACCACCACCACGCAAGTCTTGCTACTTTCCACCTTCCACTTCCAACAGCTTCAGGCTTGGTTGAAAGGAAAAGCCGAGGAGGGAGGGAGGGAGGGAGGGAGGTGAGATTCTTACGCGCAAGACGAGAGGAAGAAAGATGAAGAGAGAAGTGGAAAGGTAAGGTATACCACACCGACCCGCCCACACCGGGCCCTCCACATTATATCATCATTATATTCTAGCAGATAGGCAGTCTGGAGAGACGAACGGCAAAATAACGGGCCTGACATTACATTTTTTTTTTCTCGCTTGCTTGCTTTCCATGAAACGCACAGATACATTTCGTGCATCATGCATCGTAGATATTCTACCGATCCGCCTACGCCTACTGATGAGGATACGGGTAGGTAAGGTATAGGTATCCACCGCACCGCACCGCACTATTGGTTGGGGTTTATCCCGAAGAGGAAAGCCGGAACTAGCTTTGTGGGGTTTCATTGCGGAGAGAGAGACGGGAAGGAAAAGCTTCGGGTTTTGAAGGCTTCTGATGGATAAACTCATTCCCGGCTAAATTCCAGTTCAGACTTTCTGAGGGTGGTGGTGGGAGCGGTGTGGTATTTTCTTGGGAAGAACGAGGAAAGCAGCTTTTGAGATGGCTAGTAGGATCTTACCATCACGAGATATGAAAAAAATAAGATGTTTCTTGGCTTTCCTTCTTGTTCTTGTTGCTTGGCTTGCTTCTCTTATCTTGTCCTGTCTGTCATCAGTAACTCCTCTCCCTTTTTATTCCTTCCTTCTCACACGAATAACGATTCCCAACTCCACAGACAGCGCTTTTTACTTTCCCACACCTTTACCGCCAGCAGCAGCAACCTCCTCATCCAGCGGCAAAATCGCAGGAACGGGTCCCAAAGGCGTAATCCCAAAAGGATTAATCTGCTTGTGACTCTGCGTGTAATGGCCTTTGATGTGTGTGAAATCGGTCGTGCTGCCGAATGCTGGGTTGTTCCAGTACAGGTGGCGGACCCATCTGTTGAGGGAGTACATCGCGGGTTAGTTTGGGGTATTTCAATGGGTAGGAAGGAAAGATCTCCCCAGTGTTTGGATGTTGATTGGTGATGATGATGATGATGGGGGCTTGCTTACTTGTGAAGAGCAGGATATCCACTCCTGATATCCCGAAGGTTGGTCTTGAAGTGCTGGACATAGACGGCGTCGAATCGAATGATGGTCTGAAAAGAAGCGTTAGAGTCCCGGAATTTCTTCTCCTCCATCTCATACAGTAGTAGTTCGTGGGATTGGAGGGAAAGACTCACCGTGAACAAGCGAACATCAACCTCAGTAACTCTCTCCCCAAAATAATACGGCCCCGAAGACTTCTCCAAATGCGCCTCTGCCCGATCCAAAGCTTTGAAAAGCGTAGTAACAGCCTTCTCATAAGCTTCCTGCGTAGTAGCAAAACCACTCTTATAAACCCCATTATTAATATCATTATACGTCCACTCATTAGTCTCCTCGATCTCCTTTTGCAAATCCTCGGGCAAAAGATCCAGATCCTTGGATTTACCCTCTAGTAATAAATGGTCGAATTCATGATAGAGCATGCGAATGATTTCGCTGCTTTCATTGCTGACGATTTTCTTTGCCTTTTTGTCGTAGAGCGTGGGCACGGTGAAGCGACTGGCGTAGTTGGGGTCGCTTTCAAAGTATACGTCTTGGATGTGCGTGAAGCCTTCGTGGAGGGGGTCCGGGATGGTGTTTTCTCCTGGGAGATCTTTTTCTGAGGGGGTTGCGAATCGCCATCCTATACAATATTCTGATTAGACACAAGACTGTTTTTTTTGTATGTACTGCTGATTTTGACTGGGCATACATACCTTTCTCTGCCATGTGCCAGTGGACACTCGTAAAGGTGATGAAATCTTCTAGACCTTTCAATTTGCGGACAATGAGAGTTCGGTGGGCCCACGGACAGGCGTAGGAGACATCTATGAAAACTTAGTATTGAGGGGAACACAAATACATACACTACTACTCACAGAGATGATAGCGGTCCTTTTCAGCAGGGAACTCAGCTCCCGCTTCCTTGGAGATGAAGTTGCGGAATTGAGAAGTTTGTCTCTTGAATTCCCCAGACTTGTCTTTGGGGTCCACCTATCTATATTGTCAGTCCTGGTCATCAAAGACTCGTCTGTCAACTGACCCAGTTGAGGATACTCTTCTTTTCATCTGACTGGAAGATTCAATCTGTCAGCGACATGCATCCTGTGCAGCATTGATATTCGCTCACTGATGACGACATCTTGGCGAATGAGGCTCGGAAAATCGTGGGCGTGAATTGTCTGTTCAGCTGTGGAGTGCGTGTCAAAGATCTGATCATTGACTGTAGTGAGATATGAGAATTCAAGAATGAAACTTCAATGATGGAATTTCAATGCCTTTTGATCAGTTGAGCTGTCTATATGTAGTGCTACAATAAGCAACGTTGATCGGGATGATCAAAGCTGATTCATGATGCTTAGTCGTCCACAAATCCAAGCAAATTATCCGCTTTTACACTATTGACCACTAAATCAGTTAGAAACCACAACAACACTCACTGCCGGGTCTGCGTTCTCTGTAAATAGTGTTGTGGCAATTGCATAGGAGGCACATCAAGATCCTGCGCCAAAGAGGACTGCACCAGAGGACTTGGAGCAGGCATCTTAGGCTTGTCCATTTCGCTGTACAGATTTCGTAATGCCTCCTCATTCCGACAAAAGGCTTTGAATCCTTTGGTGATGGTCTCGACGGTTTCTGTACACTCTGCGGTTTTTGTCGATCCTGACAGGCGGCTAGATGCAGCGAGACGATTGGGGAGGAGGAGAAAGTCCCCGTTCTCGTCGGCGAGTACTTGTGCAAGCATCAGACCTGACTTGTGTACAAATTGGGTGTGTGCATAAGTTGGTTGTCCCCAAGAATAGCGGACGTGGAGTTTGGAGGTGAAGGTTGTTGCCGCTTCGAGATCCAGAACAAAGTCGCGCTTCTTGAGGATACCTTTATGATACCATTGACGATCCTCCACCGTCCGTGGGACTTGAGTGTGAGGCTCCATCAGAGGGGTAGCTAGGATCTTATCCGGTGGCCTCACAGCGAGATGAATTGGAAGAGGCTGATCAAAGGGATGGTGCTCTCTAAACCTGGAGGCCTCTTGCAGTGGTAGCTGGACCAGACGTAATCCATAGCCATCCACCACTCCAGACCAACGAGAAATGGCGTCGCGAATCAGCTTTGTAGAAGCGCCCAGCCATTCAAGTTGGATGTGGTAACAATTCTCAGGGTTGTGGATACGATCTGTGTTGAGGTCAACTTTTCACGCCGCTCAATATTCAAGTCCACAACTACATACCATAGTGCAAGTCAATGACCTGCAGGTGATCAGACTTCTTCTGCGGATCGACATTGTACTGCATGACTTGGCTGAGCAGTATTTCTTTGGGATCCACAGGCCCGGTCACTGGAGTGCCCCTACTGGAGGTGGATCCCGCCGAGTCGCCACTGATTGCACTCATTGCGCTGATCCCACTCACGGGTCGACTTTGGGGAGAGCTGATGGTCTCTGACATGGGCATCGCCGGGACAGATCGCCAGGCCACCTTACTGAAAACACTCTGGGTATCGGGATATTCCGTCGTGCGGTGAGCGCCGCTGATTTGATAGAAATAGTGGCCGTCCCTAAACTTGTGCTTTTGCCGAACATGATTGAAGATGCCCCGGTTCATGAGCTCGTTGCCGACTGCAACGGCATCCTCCCGTAACTCCAGATCTTTGAAAACTCCCAGCAACCAAGTGGTCATCTCATCTCCCCGAAAACACTTGAAATGTGTCAAAGTCAGCCATCTACGATCTCTCATCTCAACGCCGTAGGGTGGCGATTCTTGCATCTGCCTGGCCAGCTTAGCCACATCAAAATTACTGCTATGGTGCTTCTCAGACTCGGCGAAGAGAGGCGTTGTTATTTCCCCTTCTTCCAGCTGGGTGGAAAGTATCGGTCCATGTGCATTGACCACAACACTCGGGTCTCGTGTTTGGTACTCAATCGCCAATGGATTGGGGTCTCTTTGGGTAGTTGTAACCAACTTGGTCTTTGTGAGGGAAATTTGGTGTTGCTGGTCCGCTGCAGAAAAGTATCGCTGACGTTGCCAGGTCTGTGTGAGACGCTGGATACCCTCAATACGTCTCTCCTCATCAGAGAGGCCTCCCAGCCGACTTTGAGTGGTGGTGTCTGATCTGGTCACATCGACTGGAATCAAGACTAGCCGTACTTGGAAAGTAGCTCTAAAGTCGGGCAATCCTGCAAGTCCGAGAATGTGCTCATCGAGTGCGGTCCAGTCAGCAATGGGAGGCTCTGAATGATATGTGACTTCCGATTTCAACGTAATACCAGTGAGCATTCGCATCTTGGGCTCGTATGACGTAGTGTAATGTTTGGCTCCGTTCTGCTCGCTTCCAATACCAGCGTTGGGCTCGTACTGTACAATCTGCACTTCAAAGTCGGAGAACCGCTGGAGCTCGTGATACCTCCGACCAAGGGCCATGAGAATGGGACGATCATTGCTTTGGAATGTTGCATCACTTCCACTATTCTTGATGGCGACTATTTGAAAGCCTCTGATCAAACGTATGTCAATGAGTCTTTCAATCAAGTTCTTCGCCGTTTCATCCCGCAGCCCCGAGGAGTTGGAGATGACATGCCGGCGAACCTTGGTACGGTAATGAGTACTCAGCTCAGCCGCGGATGGCCTATACTCTGCTGTCAGAGGTAAGGCGGCAGGCGAACACATCGAAGCCCACTTGAAGGATCCCGAGCTAATCGCACGCGGGAAGACATGCTGCCACTTTCGATACTGACTTGCCACTCGCATGTTGTCCTTGCGCGGATTACATGGGTTTAGAAGCATCACCCACGGTGACATCATGTCGAGGCTTTCATTCACAGATCCTCGCTTCTGCCGATAGTGCATTTCGCTCCTGGCTTTGGGGGTTGTTGAGACGGACGTGTCATGCTCCAACGCACCGCCGACCATGGTACCAGCAATCTCTTGCTCCACAATGCTCGCCAAATCATCATGTGAATGAGGCGGTTGTATGTCAATAGGTTTGGACAGATTTGACAAAGGCTGCTCAAACTCGCTTGTTCTGTGTGATACCAGACTTGCTTGAGAGGGCTTTCGTGCTAGGGATGCTCTAATTGCCTTTGCAACGCTGGATGTATCGTTGAGGGTGTTTAGAGGGGCATGGCTCACTTCTTTCTCGTCTTGTGCATGCATAGAAGAGACTGCAGTACTCGCTACACCTCTGCTGAGTGCCAGACCTTTGGGCCCAACGCTAATCTTGCGGCCAGACATCATCAATGGATGAGGTGGGAGCGGTTGCCTCTTTGCTCGGTTCAGGGGTTCTTTCGACGCGGATGGAGAAGGGCTGATCTTGGAAGTATCTGCCGGTACGAAGTCTGGCATTAGAGCAGGCCTCCTCGTGGCACGTTGATCCGGTGCCACGCCTCTCATAGTCTCCGCCGAGCCGACCGGATCTTCTTGCACGGGGAAAATGGTACGTAATGCGTCCTTGGTGGAGGGTCCTTGAATGTGGAATGTCTGCGCGTCCTGCAGATCCATCTTGCTCACGTCAAAGGGGGTGTGGCCGGAATCTTTCAGTAGAGGTATTGCGATATCGTCAACCGGCTCTCCGGTACGTGGTAGAGTCCAGGTGGATGTGCACGTATCGTACTGTCCCTTCCAAAATGAGATGTCCACCCAGTGTGGTAGCGCATACTCCGTGGTGCCATTGTGGTCATATTTGAATAATGGTACTGGGTGCAATGGCTTCGGCGAAAGAGCAACAATATCCACTCCAATGCTGTTACCCACGAGGAGATCTGTCGTCTGCTTCAACACGGTATGATCTGCATCAAACAGCCCGGTCCCAGCTGTGACTGCGATGATGGAAGYGCCCGTACTCATCAGATGAGTGTCGGATTGATCATCCGAAAAGTCCAGTGCAGTCAGATGGATGGCTTCCAACATGTTACTCTCGGCGGCGAGCGAGACTGATCTCGATAGTGTGCGATCGTTGAAAGCCTGTTTAAGCTTGCGCAGTATCTGTGACCACGACGAGCTCATCGTCTCGGATACAAGAACATGGAAGAAGTCCTCCCCATGGTCGACAACATGCGAACCATTCTTGACATTCGCATCGACCATTCGAGAACGTCCGAAGAGAATCACCGACACCTGGTGCTTTACTTTGAGCGCGTTCCATCGCCCGAATAGCTCGGGAAGAAATCCATTCACCAATCGTTCGTACATCAGTTCCCCATGACTCCAATTCGAGAGCATCTCTTGGGAGATTTCGACGAGAATCGTATATCGTGCACTACCACTTCTGAAGATTGGTTTCGTGTACGGATGGGTGCTGTAGCCTGACTCCACCTCCTCACCAGAGATGTAAATGTGCTTCACCTCGGCCGTGGGAGTTCCAAGGTAGTTGAGTACTTGTCCGCGGTAGAGGACGGTATTTTGAAGACGCCCCATCAACTGCCACATGTCAGCTCGGGATAGATACTGGTCGCGAAAGACCATTTCGGCGTGGGTTGCAGTAGCTGCATCGACATCTTCAATGAGCTGGACACGGCCGGGAATGCGGTTCTCAAAGCCAAATCGTTGAGCAAGTGAAATGTGCACCGAGATTTCATGTGAGTTGGTGGCTAGCCCGGCTGGACAGATGCATAATGTCTTGGCTCCTGCTGCTGACAACCACGCAACTTCTCCCATATGCATCACTCTCTGGCCCGCCAGAATATCAACCTGCGAGACGCGGTCATCGTGTAGCACGACCGTGCAAGCCTTCTCCTCGGGATCGTAGGCGGCCATGGTGAGGAAGTTGTGCCGGCTTTCCGCACCGATGCTTCGACACGTCTATGCTGTCATGTGTGGGAGAATATCTCCTTTGCTGGCCAGCAGTTCGCAAACACTCCGGTATGTGAGCGACTCTGCATATTCACTTGAACATGAGACTGCCCTGCTGGCATCAAAAGACTTTTGTTGATATTTCATCGGGCTTTGATGGTGTTACCTTGGCTGGGAAGACGCGGACGTGACGTTGGCGCGCAAACTCCATTACGCACGGGCCACCTTGCAAGCCATAATTCTGGAATACTGTCCACACGCCCTTTGGACTCGGCATTAATACCGAGTATATATCTCGTATCAGACGGTCCGCTGACCTCTCACCGCATAGTTGAGTACATTTCTTTGCTTCTTTGGAATCACATGTCCTAAACTGCATTCAACGCTCTCGTCAAAAAGATGGGCAATACTGAACTTCCCAGCAAAGACTCGGCGGATCTATACCTCGTCGAGGCCACCGATGAAGAGACACTTGCACAATCGCACGCCAACAGCGACGAGTGGAAGGGTGCTCTGAATCTCGAACAGTACCTTCGACGCGAAGAACACATTGCAAATCAAGAGCTCACCAAGAATGGCGGAATGACTACTTGGATGCTCGTCCACCAGCCAGATCCGAGTGGCCCTCGCCGAGTGTTGTGCGGCTGCGAGACGATCAAAAAACAGGCACTGGCTGCCAAAGATGGCAAGCTTGAGGATGTTTCATGCCACGCGGTCTGTTCAGTCTTCTGTCCGGCCGAATTTCGAGGCAAAGGATATGCAGGGAGGATGATGACTGAACTGGGAAAGCGACTGAATAAGTGGCAAGTGGACGACAAGAAGCCTGCTCTGTTTAGCGTGCTCTACTCAGACATTGGGAAGAAGTTCTATGCGGCCCGAGATTGGCACGTCTTTCCTTCCAGCGAGATATCACTCCCAGCGAGCCCCTCTGCTGAACAGCTACCTGCCGGCGTCAAGCTGCTGAAAAAGGAGGATCTCACAGAGTTCTGTGCGTTGGATGAAAAGGTTCTGCGGAAGAGGCTATCGAAGTCTACGGGGGGATATACGGTGGCCTTGATACCAGATAACCGCACACTTGCATGGCATCATTCTCGTGAGGAATTTGTCGCACAGGAGCTTTACGGCAAGGATCCGAGTATCAAAGGGGCCGTCATCGGTGAGCCTGGTCAACGTATATGGATGTATTGGACAAGAGTATGGGGCAATCCCACAGAGAAATCGCCCAACACACTTCATATCCTTCGGCTAGCTTTCGAGGACGATACGTGGTCGGATTATGCTGCAGCGACGTTAGATGGTGCTGTAGGTCTGAAGGGATCTCCACCAGTTCACGGCATAGCAGCGCTGTTTGCTGTCGCTCAGGCTGAAGCGTCTGCGTGGGACATGAAAGAGATTTTGCTTTGGAACCCTTCATCCGCAGCACTAGCAGCAGCACAGCAGATTCATCCTCAAGCAAGCGTTGTGCATCGCGAGGAAGAGAGTATAACGAGTCTGCGGTGGTATGGAAGCGGATCTTGGGAAGATGTCAGATGGGAAGCGAATGAAAAGTACGCATGGTGCTAAATAGGGTGATCTACAAGGTTGCGCTCGTACACGATGACATTTTAGACTTTCCTCACCGACCCATTGATAGAACAAGGTTACATATACCAAGTCTTATACATGCAAGCAAGAAGACGAGCATTGAGATGGCACCACATGGTTTCAAAAGTTGACCAGGATGGCGGTTCAACAGCAGCTCGCAGACCTTGATTTTGTGCCTCTGCTCTGTTTCAAACACAGCATGCTATCGAGATCTTGCTTCGACCGGTCACACACTAGGCTGGCATTCATATGAATCACACCTAACTTACAGCATGAGCAGTCGGGCCTCGAGCTGCATGTGATTGTGTGCCCGCCTCTCCTCTTTCTGCCCCACCCCACTTCCTTCCAGTGCACGCAATCAAGGTTCATCAACAACGTTCAACTTTCGCGCTCCGCCGAGCTGCGCCACATCACATCGATCAGCTTCGCTCAAGAGTGTTTGCATGCCTGGTCGAGCTGAATAATACCTGTCCGGTCACATACGAATGCAAAGCATAGGGAGACGTCGTATTGTGCATATTATTACGGGCCATTGCCACCCAATTAACTGGCAGTGATTGAATGCTGCGTGGCTGAGCCCTTTAGCCCAACCTAAAACAGTGGGCGGCACTACGGCACTGCGCGCTGTGCTTGCCTACCTAACTTCTGCCTTACATCACAGCTTTCGTCCCGCATCCCAATCGCGGCACAATAGTTGCAGTTGTGCTGGGGCAGACGACTCCGCCCGACGCCAGCCGATACTTCCGCCTCCCATCTTGCACCGGCGAATTTGCTGCTTTTCGAGATCGACTGTTGAGCGCACCGTGGAAGTTTCCAGTGAAGCAGCCGCGGCCCAAAACACCCACCATTCCTCACGTGCGTTTTTGGCGAGAGGTCCATGATTACAACCTCACACACTCGTATTGACCGCGGACCACCTCTCCCAGCGAGCATTTAACTGGTGCTTGCCTACCATCTATATATCACCGCAAGCAGCGGTACCTACCAGGACATTCCCCCACTTCATTGCAGTACCCCACTCACCGCCGCCGCCATGAACGAAGATGCGGCAATACAGGCCATCAAGGGCAAAATCGACCGCGAAAAGGCCATCATCAATGCCGCCAACCAGATGCGGCAGGCCACCAACAATGCCTCGGTCAATGCGCGTGTGGAGTCTCAGATCCGTGATGCCCGCCGCAATATCCAGTATTTCGAGACGACACTACAAGACCTCCAAGCGCGGAAATTGGGCGGGGACATGAACCGTCTATCACTGGGAAATGGAGGAGGACCAGCGCCGCCAGCACACGGCTCACGAGTGAGTACGGGTGGAGGCATGAATAACGAAGTGGGATATGGCGAGGGTGCCGATTATGGCAACCCAGGACCTGGTGGTTATAGTCAGGGAGGAGCTCCAGGTCTGATGCCACCAAGAGCTCCATATGCTCCTCCAGGTCCCTCGGACAGGACTCCACGCGCACGTCCAAACTACAGCAAGCTGGGTAAGTACATTTCGAGTGAGGGGTATTGAAATGCTGTGCTAATGTTTCTAGACCTGATTAAATACGACACGGCCCACCTGGGTCCCCGAATTCAGCTCATGTTGTCTCAGCTCGAATTCAAACTATCTGTGGAAAAGCAATACAAGGAGGGCTTCGACAAGATGGTATCTCTGTACCAAATGGCAGGAGATCGCAAGAGCAGGGGAGAGGCTGAGCTTCGAAGAATGGAGAGCAACCAGAAGATCCAGCTGCTAGGGAGAGCGCTGCGAAGATATGAAGATTTGCATGTGGATGTTGAGAATGGTGCCGACGGAGCGGATGATGACAGCTTGGACACTCCTAGTCAGCGTAAACCGCTTGCCGGACATCTTTCCGTCCGCATTCATGCCGTGGCAGATKTAGATCATGCAGCGACTGGTCGGTTCACCCGAGGTCCGGATACATTCGTCGTTATGAAAGTCGAAGACGACATCAAGKGGCGTACCAAGGCCACCAAGACCGATCGCTGGACGGACGAGTCTCACGAGTTCGATGTCGACAAGGCCAATGAGATCGAGTTCGCTGTCTATGATAAGTCGAGCGGCGATCACCCAATACCCATCGGGTTGTTGTGGATTCGGCTATCTGACTTGGTGGACGAGATTCGGCGAAAGAAGATCGAAACCGAGTTTAACCAGGCGGGATGGATCACTGCAGACAAGATGGATGGATCACCTCGACCGGACCTACAGTTTCAGCCTCCACCCAATGCACAAGGTACTGGGAATCCACTTGTTGGGGCCGCGTCTGCCGCTGGTGGTCCGGCAGGCTCTGGATTAGCACCGCAGACCGGACCTGTTTATATCGATTCTTGGTTCTCGCTGGAACCCGTGGGCCGAATTCAACTGACGCTCGGCTTCGTGAAGCAGACAAAAGACCGCAGGCCTTTTGATGTTGGTCTCAACCGTAAAGGTGCAGTCCGACAAAGAAAGGAAGATGTTGTGKAGCAGTACGGCCACAAGTTCGTGCTTCAGACATTCTACAACATCATGCGATGCGCGCTCTGCGGCGATTTCCTCAAATACACCGCCGGCATGCAATGTGCTGATTGCAAGTATACTTGCCACAAGCAATGCTACACAAAGGTTGCCACCAAGTGTATTAGCAAGTCGAACGCAGAAACGGATCCAGACGAGGCCAAGATCAACCACCGCATCCCTCATCGCTTCGATGCGTTCAGCAACATGGGCGCAAATTGGTGCTGCCATTGTGGTTATATGCTACCGTTGGGCAAGCGACAGTCCCGGAAATGCTCCGAGTGCAAGCTCACTTGTCACTCGAACTGTGTGCACTTCGTACCGGACTTTTGCGGCATGCCTGCCGAGAATGTTGCCGTCATATTAGACGCAACCAGAAGGGCAGATCAAAACGCGAAAACCAGGATGGTGGACAAGACGCTTAGGACGCCAGGAGCCTCCAAGCCTGGAAGGCCTCAGGCTCCTCAGTTACAAAGCTTCGCTCCGAATACTAGTCATCAGGATCAGGTTACATCAAAGGATGATGGCATTCGCCCGCAGGATCGATTCTCCTACAATGACAAGAGGGAGTCGTATGAAAACCCTCCTCGAACATCTTCTACCGCTGCCGGGCAGGCAATGTCCGGCCCTTCTTCTCCAGAGACTATGCACAGGCCGCCCGTGCAACGCAAGGAGTCCTCGCAAGCTGCTGCGGCCGCCGCTGCGGCGTTGCAGAGCAAGACTGGCACCAGCCAAGACCAGAGGCCTGGTTATAACAGAACCCCAACTGATCCACGAAGCTATGCCGATGGATACAAGGAAAGCGGCGGACAGCAACGCCAACACACGCCATACAACCCGGGCGATTATGCACCAGAGCGTCTGTACCAGCAGCCGGCCCAGTCGGCGCCCATGGCGCCACCCAAACAATACCAATCGCAAGTGCCACAGGTGCAGCCGCCTCAATCTCCTTCGTCTCAAATGCAGCAATCCCCTGTCAAACCACCGACGACTTCCATCACGGCTCCCGTCGTGGAGGAGCGGAAACCAGCCCCGCCAGCCAACAGCGCCGGCACGGGCCGCCGCATCGGTCTCGATCACTTCAACTTCCTTGCAGTTCTTGGAAAGGGTAACTTTGGAAAGGTCATGCTTGCGGAGACCAAGAGCTCCAAACAGCTGTACGCCATCAAAGTCCTCAAAAAGGAGTTCATCATCGAAAATGATGAGGTTGAGAGCACACGCTCCGAGAAGCGCGTGTTCCTGATTGCGAACAAGGAGCGTCATCCCTTCCTGCTCAACTTGCACGCTTGTTTCCAAACTGAAACTCGGGTCTACTTCGTCATGGAGTACATCAGTGGAGGTGATCTGATGTTGCACATTCAAAGAGGGCAATTTGGCACTAAGCGTGCGCAATTCTACGCCGCCGAAGTGTGCCTTGCATTGAAATACTTTCACGAAAACGGCGTCATCTACCGTGACTTGAAGCTGGACAACATCCTACTCACCACAGAAGGCCACATCAAGATTGCCGACTATGGTCTGTGCAAAGAGGAAATGTGGTATGGCTCTACCACCAGCACTTTCTGTGGTACACCTGAATTCATGGCGCCCGAAATTTTGCTGGACAAGAAGTACGGACGTGCTGTCGACTGGTGGGCGTTTGGTGTTTTGATCTACCAAATGCTTCTCCRGCAGTCACCGTTCCGTGGTGAAGACGAGGACGAGATTTACGACGCGATTCTCGCCGACGAGCCCTTGTACCCCATTCACATGCCGCGGGACAGTGTCTCCATATTGCAGAAGTTGCTGACCCGCGAGCCCGAACTCCGTTTGGGATCTGGACCGACCGATGCGCAAGAGATCATGAGCCACGCCTTCTTTAGAAACGTCAATTGGGAGGATGTCTTTTACAAGAGACTGCCGCCGCCTTACATCCCGACCATCAAGGGCAGAGCGGATACGAGCAATTTCGATTCAGAATTCACGAGTGTCACCCCGGTGCTGACTCCAGTTCAATCCGGTAAGTTTTTAAAAATGAGAAAGTCGACATTTATTTTCCCGCTAACAACGAACAGTTCTTTCGCAGGCAATGCAAGAAGAGTTTAGGGGCTTTTCATACTCGGCCGACTTTGTTTGAGACGTGTCCAGGTCAGCTTGATCTTTCTATTGGGAGGCACATGCTTGTGCGATAGGCGCGGTGATTTGAAGATACCCAGGAAGACGGTGTGAATGATTACTGTCGTTGTGTTGGGAGTGCACATGGACCTGCCATGCCACAGCCGTGCACAGATTGGTTCGTTGGGGAGGTGCATGAGGGGACGATGAGATGTGATGAATCTGATGACGGTGTGAATCGATAGACAAGACAATACGTATTAGTCGACATTTAATAAGCTACTCGCTATCGTTGAATCATTCTGTCACTTCCAAGGTTTTGTCGAAGCTTCAAATTTGAAACAGATTTGATGAGCCGACGTCAGCTCTTCGTTTCTGCTCCAACCCACTTTCTCATCACCATCAACCACACTTCCACCCAACACCCCATCATGGACGTCTCTGCATTTGCGAAAGCGCATGTACCAGAAATCACAGCTACTGCGGGCTTGGTCACCTATGCCGCCGCGAAGAACAAGCTCACTCCCGCTGGAATCGTAGCAGGCATTTTTGTCGCCTTCATCCACATGATCCATCCCTGGCCCAGTTTCTTCTGGCTTCTGATATTCTTCTTCTTTTTCGGAACAGTCGTCACAAAGGTATTCAGCATTATATATCCTGTCTACTCCTCTCGTATTGAACATCTGTTGACCGCAAGCAATCTAGATTGGCCATGAAGCCAAGGCACATTTGACAGCCTCAGCGACTGGAGGATCAGGCGGCGAGGGCGCGAGAAGTTATGTCCAGGTGTTTGCAAATTCCGGATTCGCATGTTTTCTCATCGGACTGCATGCGTTTCTGCTGAATAGCACGCCATTCATCTCTTCGCATGTGGCGATGTTTGCTGGGCCTTACTTTCCGACTTTGCAGAGGTTGCTTCCTATCGGTATTGTCGCTCAGTATGCTGCTGTTGCCGCAGATACTTTTAGCTCGGAGCTTGGAATTCTTTCGCGAGGGTATGTTGTGCAGGCTGTGCAGATTGATTGAGGTGTGGGACATGTTCTAATCATGCTCTAGACAACCATTCATGATTACAGCACCTTGGAAGAAAGTCCCCAAAGGTACCAATGGAGGCGTGACCGTTGATGGACTGGTTTATGGAGCTTTGGGGAGTGTGTTACTCACTGCCGTCGCATCCTTTGCTCTCTTTCTCGCTCCTCCACACAAGTCGATGGATGTTCGAGCTTTCGTCCTACTCACTGCGTCTGGTCTGGCTGGAAGCATCATCGACTCTGTGCTTGGGGCACTACTCCAGGTCACAGTTACAGATAAAGGATCGGGGAAAGTTGTAGAAGGCGCTGGCGGACAGCGGGTCCAGGTACTGCCCAATGGTAGCAGAGTGCAGGCTGGTCAGGATCTGCTCACCAATAACGGGGTGAACTTCGTCATGGCTGCGACGGCGAGCTTGGGAGCTATGGGCGTTGCATATGTGCTTGGATATGGACTTGTTGCTCAATGATAGGTGGCGAGAGATCACTGAGGTACTGAGGTACTTGGAGGGGTGGTTCGAGTCTCTCTGTCCGTGTGATACAGCTGAAGTGATGCTCCTCCTCGTGAAACTTCACCTATAGTGGAGCAAGTTCGCACGGCGGAAGACAAGTTTGACAAAGTTCAAAGGTGGGTAGTTCCGATATGTCGATGACTTTTCATTTCGGAGAGGTGAGTGAGATGTGTTCCATGCGAATCCATTTTCGACAAGTCTGAATCAACTCCAACTTGCACAAAACTCATCACAAAACTTCAACCACAACAGCATCCCTATCACATTTCATCAAACACAACACCCAACAGCATCTCTCGACCTCCTATAACACCTTGCTTGCAGAGTATCCAGCCACCATGTCCGCCCTCAACCTGACCGCTCGCGAGATTGAGCTCCTCTGCGGCGTGCTCGAAGTGATGAAAGCCAGCGTGCGTCCGATCGCGTTGACCATTTAAAAAACACCTCTCTGACTTGACATCAGATTGATTGGGTCGAAGTCGCCGGCATCGCCAACTTCACCAAGGCGAAGCAAGCCCGCGACAAGTGGCCTGCCTTGCGCAACAAGGTCGTCGCCTGCAACGTGAAGAAGCGCGAGGGAAAGAGTGAGGGCGGCGGCGATGACGTCCCAGTCGACAGCTCCGCCGCTCCCAAGAAAGCCGCTCCGAAGAAGCGCAAGGCTGGTCAGTATTGTACTTATCGTGTTGCTGATGATTTGTCGCAATCGCTAATTCTCATCACAGCTGGCGAGAGTGCTCCCGCCAAGGCGAAGAAGACTAAGAAGACTGCAGTCACTCAGGAGAAGGACACCGACGAGGTTCGCGTCAAGCCAGAGCTCAGTGACGGCGACGATCAGGACTTGATCAGTTGAATACGGAACTCTTGTCAGGAGTGAAGTATCGTGGACAGTGTGGATGGGAAACTGTACGCTATACTGTCGGGCGATGTACACCTAGGGCAGAGGATCGATGAGAGGCCTCGAGGAGCAATGCAAAATCACACCATGAGTTCATGTTGTCATGTCGGAGGCTCGAACTACTATAGCTTGCTTCAAGGCCATAGGAATGACACTCTTAAGATACCAATCCGAGTGCGAAGTCCCATGAATGGCCCATGGAGTCAGAATATGATAAGTTCCCATCGCTCCTGTGACCGTTACCCATACGCAACGAAGTTCTTGCTGCCGTATCGAAGCTCTCTAAACCACATCCTCCTAAGCATACTTGCTGATAGCATTCAAATAAGTCCTCCCACTCTCACTAAGCGCCGTGCCAGCGCTATTCGTAGGCAACCAAGCCTTCCCCAACCCCCCACCATCAGTATACGCATAAGCCCTAACCCTATCATCCCCCTGAAACAAATCCACAACATCTCTAATCCACTGATTGATCTGTCCCTGATCCTCACACGCCTTGAAATTATTTTGATCATACACACACGCGAATTCCGTCACCCAGATCGGTTTCCCATACGTCTTCCAATAGTAATCAATATCCGCTCGCACGCCATCCATGTCCGGTTTATAGACATGAATAGCCGTGAAATCAAATTGATGATCCAGAGGTTTCTGCACGAATCTCTTGAGCCACGCTTCGTCTTTCTGGAGACACATTGCTGGACTTCCTAATAAAGCACCTTTGTCTCCGTAAGGTGCAACATACTGGTTCCATTTCTGATATCCATCTTTGATGTTCATATTCGCGGAAGTATCGCGACCCGTACAATCGGGCTCGTTCCATGTTAGGAGGTATTGAGGCTGGGGGATTCCATTTTTGTATTCGTTGAAACGTCTGGCGTCTTCGTCGCCGTTTTGGCCGATTCCCCAGAACATGGGAATTCCTACGACGCCACTTTTGGTTCCCGGGGAGGGGGTCCAGTCGTACCACCAGCCGAGGTGGTCTTTGAGGAAAGGTACGGCGCGACCGCCTGCTGATCCGGCTTTCTTGCCTCCTGGTGTTAGAGGGGCTGCACGGGCTTGGAGTGGGTTGGCGAGGGTGGAAGGTGTGCCCACTGCCAGTAGAGCGGAGATGAGGGAGAAAGTAAGATGCATTTTTGCGGTTGTGGATGGAAAATAGGAGAGAAAGGGTGAGGATGCATGATACTTATGTATGCCGTTCTGAATATGCTTTTTTTTCACTCGCAGCTCTACTCATTTGGAGAGCTGAGTATCCATCACCAAGTTGAGTATTCCGTCGGGGTCGGGCGTCCAACGGGCTAACACACTAGACGATTTGAGTAAGCGACTGGACCATGTGCTGGCCGGGTTCTCTATTTGGAAATACATGTGGAAGATCTCTCGATATCCGACTGCTTCTATCCTGATGTGGGTAGTCCACGCACAATCCTCATCCAATCAGTCGGAACATGTCCTGCGTGAGGCCAGACCAACAGTTCAGGCGTCCTACAAAGTTTTAGAGAATCCGAACTAGTTCCTACTCCTCAGGCGTCCTACAAAAATTTAGGGGATCCGAACTAGTTCCTACTCCTTAGGCGTCCAATGAATCCTTCCGAATTCTCGAGACACGTTGTAGAGACGAACGGTGTCATTTCCACACGTGAACAGCACTCGTTGCAGCTAACTCACGCGAACGGTGCGTTGGTAGACTTCGTTCGATCTGGGCGTGTCGACAGCAACTACACCATACCATCTAGTATTACCGGAGAAAAAAACCTTGGCAGGGGAAACCTGATCCAGTCTAATCGACTCCAGCATTAAAATTTTGATATCAGACAGCCTCTCTAAAACTGATAGACTCAGCATATAGATCACGAGTCGTTTCGACAAATTTCCGGGTCTGGTACGACGTCGAAAATTTAGATCATGTCCAGCTCGTCGTAGTGTTGACCGAGTCGCCGTGGAGGCTATTGCGTCGTTCGCTACTCAGTTCTGATCGCGTTTCTGGTTTTGGATGATCATGTTGCTTGCGTGGCTTCTGTGAGCGGTGGGGGTTGGATGATTGGAATAGGATCTGAGCGGCTTTGGCGTGGTGGTGGCGGTGGTAGATGGTGAAGAATATGAGCCCTTGACAAGCGAAACGGAATCCTTCGCGTGGAAACCACAGAACAGATCAAGAAGCGTTGAAATTGCGTGAAAACTCCGCTCCCATCGACAAAACGCTCAGTATACCACAGCAAATATCCCAGCGATCACCAATCCCACCATCCACCCCCTCAGCCCGCTAACCCCCCGTACACTACTAGAAGAAGTCGGGGATGCACTAGCTACCTCACTCCTAGTCTCACTCCCAGTCTCCCTCCCAGACTCCCTTACCGTTGCCGTAGCCGACAAACGCACACTAGCAGCAGAAGCAATAGCTTGCATAACATACCCCCCAACTTCCCCTGTAGTAGTAGTAGTAATAGTCGTCGCCATTACAACAGGAGTATACTTCGTCCCTCCCACATTAACAACCCCATCAGAAATCGGAATTGATGATCCATCGATGTAATAAATCCTCCCAGAATCATCTAAAGAGATGATTGTTTCCGTGTCTTGAGTTATTATTCCTCCTGGGGTAAGAGTTTGTTTGCCGATATTATAGTAGATGGCTGCGGCTCCTAGGGCTGTGATTCCCAGCACGGCGCCGTCGAGTTGTATGATATTATTACTTCCCACACTCAAGATTCCTCCTCCGTGGGATAAAGTAACAGCCTGTCCAGCTATAAGAGTGATCCCTTCAATAACGAACACACCAGGATGGATCTTTGTCGCAATTTCGATATTTCCCCTCACTCCCGTGAAAATCACTCCAGAAAGTTGAGGACTTCCTTCTTGGGTGAGAAGAGTTGAGAAGTGGATTTTGGAGGTGTCGAGATAGATTGCTGATGATGCATCATCATTCCTGAGGAGTTGGGTGTTTGGGAGGGTTATTGTTCTTCCTGATGGTAGAGTTTTTGTTCCGAGTACTAAGGCTCCGTTGTTTGATTTGGTTATGGTTAGTGTTTGGGAGGCGGCTGTTATTATGGCGACTATAGTAGGGATTCTTGAAGGAGAGTGTTGTTCGTCATCGTCTGAGTCGATTGGATTTGGCTTGTTGGCATTTCCTGGTGGTCTGTTGGCATTCTCTGATGGCTTGTTCGTATTCCCCGGTGGTTTATTCGTATTACCCGGTGGCTTATTGTCATTCTCCTGAGGTTCATCCCCACTCCCCAAAGACGCCCCTTTCGTAGGTCTAGAAGCAGCAGTTTGACCACAATTCGCACCAACACAAGTAATCAATCCAACCCCCGAATCCCCCACATTCTTCTTCGTCGTCTTCCCAACAGGTATTGCAGTGGGAGATGCCGGTCTAGGTGGTGCATTCGGAATAGTAGTAGCAGCATTTGTAGTGACTGTAGGTTTCTCGGGAGCTCTCGCCGGTTCATCATCAACAATACCCTCCGGAACAGTCGCAAAGATGGGATTCTTTTTAATGGTTGTGAGAATGCTGGCGGTTGTTAATGTGAACGTGAAGAAAGGTGCACTAGGGACAGCGCTGCTGGAGGGACCTCCTCGATCTGTACATGTTGTTGCGCAAGAGACGGTCGTGTAATTGTTCTTTGTGTTCACTAGTGTAGTTGTTGATATTGATGTTTTGGTGAATGTCGTTTCGGGGAGGGTGGTGTAACTGTAGCTGGGGGTACTCGAGTTATAGTTTGTGATTGTGTAGGTGGTTGCCGGTCGTACGGATGTACTTATATTTGTATAGTACACTATGGATTGGATGCATCAGCGCCGCTCTTTGATAGGTTTACAAGATTGCACGTCGCTTCAAATGAGAATGATACGTACTAGTAGCGGTGGGTAAACCGGTTAGACACTTGGTAGAGCAATGTTTAGAGCTCTTCGACGTCGTGCATTCAGGTGATGCTTTTATGGGTAGACATGACTCAACCGGTTGACCTCCAAGCTGCGAAGTCACTGCAGGAAAGGTATCCAGATATCTCAAGACCCCTTGAGGAAACGAGGTAGCTGGTCCATACTGAGCATACGATGTCGTCGTTCCAGTTGGCGTGAACTCCATCAGGAACGACATTTCGTCGGTGTTTGACGGGATGGCGAGTTTGGAGATACTATCGAACTGAGCGCAGGCAGTCTCATTTGTGACATCAACGCCCACACCTGAGAAGGCGTAATAGTTGATGTATGTCGTTGRGTATGTCCTACGATGGTCAGCGGCTGTCGTGAGAGATATAAATAGTGGAGTTTCTCATACAGCGTGAGGTCTCCAGTTGTCCAGGTCACATCAGTCGGATCACTGAAAATAATGCCATCACTAGTAGCAGTGGGCTGTGTCTCCCCGTCTGAAAGTCTTGTAGGCATAGTCTGCGTGAGTGTGACGTATTTCCAAGACGTAGATGAGCTGCCGTTTTGGTATGGATAGATGTACGGAGTTGCTTCGACCTCAATTGTTGTGAGATTATATGGAGGTGAGTATACGGCGGTAGATGCTAGGATGTAGCAAGGTACACAGGGCGTAGCGTAGTTCGCCGTACAGATGGATGTTGTCGACATATTCGTGGGAAATGATTGTGTTGCACTGAGAATGCCACTTCGTTCGATAATGATGCGTTCGTAATCCGAACGTCTTGCTGCGTGGTTAAATTTGGGGAGAAGAGATTCAAGGCGAGAGAGTCGGCTCCTTTTCCTTTTGACTCAAGTATCGAGGCTGAAGTGGTGGTGTCAGCGATGGCTGTTTGTACTACAGAACAGCCTGGACTTGCACCCTCTCAAGTGTACAGGCCATGGGGATAGTAGAGCCTATTCGTTGACATGCGTACCTTCAATCATGCCCATGAGAACACACCCGCAGCTCCTTGTTCCATGATAAATCTTTCCAAGGATTGTTGGCATCCGCAAAAGTTGCAGAAGGATTGATGGCCACGATTTGAAACCTTTCCACTTCAGCTGCTGACAGGCACAGGAACAGGTCCCAGAATTAGGAACGTACATTCTGCAGGGATCCGGAAGTCGGAAGATGGTAGCTTTGAGCTGAAAGGGCGATGGCCAACTACGATTGGTGAGATTCGCCTCAGGCGTCCAAACTTGTGCCTCCTACAACTTCAGCCGCACGCGCCAAGGCCTTGGCCTGCAGGAATACTCCCAGAGACCGCCCTTCCTCAGCTTATACTCCTCTCATCTCTACAACAATGACGTCTCCGTCACCATTCATTCTTGACCCAGGCTCCCGCTGGTATGGTAATGATGGAAACTGGTCAACTTTCAATATAGGGGTCGGACAGCCTTTCCAACAATTTACAGTCCTTCCATCCACAAGATCTGCAGATATTTGGGTTCCAGTCGCGGACGGCTGTGCGGGTCTCTCATGGAATGGCTTCGATTGTGCAAATTCGAGAGGTGTAGGCACCGTCCAAGGGGTGCAATCTCCAGGTTTCCTGTCGAATGAGTCGACGTCTTGGCAACAGTTGGGACTTTATCGTCTGCCTACGGAAGATGCTTTGTATGGTAGCGAGAATAACGGACTGTATGGATTGGATACGCTGGCGCTGAGTGATAATTATGAAGTCTCGCTTTACAATTGGACTATTGCTGGAATTGCCACTCCTGACTTTTGGTTGGGAATGCTGGGACTGGGTTCAGAGTCAATGAATATTACCGTTTTGGAAAATAGCACTCCYAGTCTGCTTACTACCATGAAGGCAGATGGGAAGATTCCGAGTATATCGTATGGGTATGCTGCAGGTGCATTCTATGGTTAGTGAATATATATTGTTGATGAAAGCCGTGCTGATGTAAAGATAGAGTCGTCGCCCGGGAGTCTAATCCTAGGAGGGTGGGATGAAGCAAGACTATCAGATGGTAGTATAGTCGTTCCCAACGACGACAAGAGTGATCTTTTCGTCAACCTGAAGAGTCTCGTCGTATCAAACAGCCTCCAGGGTACGATATCATTCCCGGACGAGACCAAGAATCTTACCATGGCCATCGATTCAACGACTTCCCAAATATGGCTCCCTCGTGGTATATGCGACAAATTCGAGAGCGCTTTCGGACTTGTGGATGATCCCAACACGGGATTGTATCTCGTTAATGCTACCACACACAGTCAGCTTCTCAATCTCAATCCGGAATTCACCTTTACACTGGCTGCCAATGCCAGTACCAGCTCCACAACGAATATCGTGCTGCCGTATGCAGCTTTGGATTTGACTGTGGGCGTGCCGTTCTACAATAGTAGCAGTACGATCAGATATATGCCGATTAGACGAGCCGACAACTCGACGCAATATACGCTTGGGAGAGCGCTTCTGCAAGAGGCATATCTCATCGTGGACTATGAGAGAAGTAACTTCACAATCGGACAGACGAGTCATAATAAGGAGAAGAGGATTGTACCCATCACATCTCCACGGGATAGACGAGGAAAGAGCCTAGGGTCTGGTGCCATCGCCGGAATCGTCGTCGGTGGAGTGGTAGCCCTTGTCTTCCTCACGACTCTTGTGTGGTATTTCTTCAGGCAGCGCTCCAAGACCGACCACAAAATCGGCGAGGCATGAGCTAGCCGGAGCAGAACGCGTGGAAATATCTATCCTCTTCCAACGCAGCCGGCTTTGAGACCTCATCATCATCAGAATTGCCAAGCAAACATCTCATAGGAGCAGAGTTGATGTCTGAGTCGGTGCATGAGCTCCCCGAAGAGCAGATGAAGCATCAGTTGATGTCAAACCCGGTGCATGAGCTGTCTGAGGATCAGATTCAATTGGTCCATGAGTTGCCGGGAAACCATCTTGAATCCCAACATCGCACAAACGGAAGAAATGACGGCGAGAAGTGAGGTGAGGTTCCGGGCGCTTTTCGGATCCAGTCAAACGGAGGTGAAATGATGATGAGGTTTGCTCTCTTCACCACCTTGCTTGCATCACCTTCATCATCAACAGCAAAGATGGACGACTGCAATGAAGCCGGATGTTGCACACAATGTGGCCTTGCCTTCAATTCGCAATCCAAATGCAGCTGCTCTGTCTCACCGGCGATGGCGAAGCGCGAGGCCCCACCGCCGAGCAACGAAATCGAGCGCAGCACTCTTGAGGAGACACCGACTGTCCTTGAGTTCAAAGGTATTCCACGTTATGATAACCCGATATCAGGCTGCACCGGTACATCTGTGGCAGGAAGAGGACGTTCCTTGTCCGCCTTGGAACGTTTGGACCGCATCCGCACGCAAAGACAGTTGTTGCGCGGAGAGACAACTTCAAGCAGCAAGAATACAGTGAAGCGCGACAGACCGATGCACGAAGATACACACCAGGTGAAGCCGCGTCAGGGAGGTCTGAGAGCCGAGTATAGACCGCATGAAGGGGGTCTGAGAGCCGAATACAAACCTGCGCCTCAAGATATTCCACCGCATGGAGGAGGTTTGAAAGGCGAATACACACCTGCATCGCAAAATGTTCCGGGAATTCAGATTGGCTCTGAGCCACTGTTCACACCGTACCTGCCGTGTGAAACAGCACCGACAGTGAAGAATGAAGGAAGAAGTGGCCCCGACAGCTTCGCCTCTGGAGGAATGACCATCGAAGGAGAAGGAAGTTCGGAAGCGAAACTACTACAATCGTGCAGTGTAAGCCATGAAGGAGAGGAAAAGAAGATTCTTCCACGCCTGGAGATGAGAGTCGAGGAGCTAGAAAGCAGCGAAAAAGCCTCGCAAGAACAGATCATGCCGCTTAAGTCTAAGCTCCCAGACAGTGAGAAGGGCCCGAGGACTGGTCCGGAGTCATGAAGCCATCAAACCAGACTCCAGCGCTGGAAGTGAAGCAAGCAACTCTCGAAAAAACTTCAGACGGACCGAGGACCACGTTGAGGTCCAGACTGTGGCGCCTTTCGTGGAGATAGTGATGATCGTCGGCGCCAACGATGAGTCTCCCGCAGTTCGAAATGTTTGGACACCTCGTCAAATCTGAGGGAGCCTAGATTGGACAGGAAGACGGTTGTTGTCGAAGCGGTCGGATATGGGTATGGAGGTCATGATGGCGAAGGCAGTGGAGGGCAACATGGTAGTCGCCACGAATAAGAATGACCTGGAAACTCACTGGAGTATGTGTAGGTGCTCGATAGACAAGACTGAGCAACCACCAAGTTGTCTTTCAGTGGACCGTTCTCTCTCCAGCAAGGTGAAAATATTCTCTCCCGCAAGACATCTCATGCTCTAAACATCCGAATTTCAACCTCGCAAGAGTTGCGCCATGCGGGGAGATACAGCCTATCTGCGTATGCTTTCATAGCAGAATGACAGACTTGCAATGCGTGGAGGTATTTTGGCTTCTCTTGATCAATGAAGTGGGATGTCTGCCAGATCTCTTCGCATGATCCATCATATAGCTTGTATGAAGAACATGGACTACTGGACAACACCCGGGTTCGACTGAGGGCAACTACTGGTGAGACGGGACATTCTGCTGAAGATCTCTCCTTCCTCTTCCCAAGCACTTTCTTCGTGRCTTCACCTTTCGAGGCGGAAGGGACAGAAAGAAGGAAGGCAACCTTGTGCACACTTCCATCACACTTCATCAACAACATCGGCGACGCCATGCCCCCGCAGACGTAAGCTTTGATTGTTTTCAAGATTTTTCTGGATAATCATCCGCATACGYTGCTGGCGAGATTGTCAAGATGACCGATGCGATCAAACAAGAAAGGCCGACCGAGCAGCCCGTCAAGCTTGAGGGTAGTCTCAAAAAGGGCTCTGTGAATCCAGTCCTCTGGTGTACACGCTGCGCCAGCCGCGGGAAGCTCGAGTGCGATTGGTGCCCAGACAAGCCATCTTGCTCGAGCTGCGAGCGCAGTCAGGCCGACGATGAATTACTCTCAGGACCTTGTCTACCAGCAGGACCTGACGCATGGCCAAGTTGGACCAAAGATCAACAACGGCTGGAGAACCTGATTGAGGCACATGGGACCATCGAGCGTGCCAAATTAGCTGTGACTCCACTGGCGATCCCGATGAAGCCAGAAGAGCGTCCGGTGTTCAGATGGTGCGTGCGTTGTGCAAAAGAGGGTAGATACGACTGCAACATCACCTCTGGAAAGCCATGCCAGAAGTGTGAATGGGACCATGAACATACAACTGGCAAGATCGGCCCTTGCATATCGGGTAAAGGTATCTGGCCCTCAGTGCATGATGTCTGGGCCAAGGCTCAGCTGGAGAACTATATTGTCGCAGCACGGGCGGAGGGTACGCTCGCAGCTGCTCCCATGCCTGGAAGTGTGGACAGCGTGTGGGTGAAGCGGATATATGCGGAGTCGGTTAAGAAAGACGAGGCGCTTGATGCCATCATGGGCGTGCACCGAACCAAGGCCATTGCCGCAGGAGGAGCTGGACAGACCAAAACCGAGAAGGAGACCGGGAACAAAGGCGATACTCCTAACATGCCTTTTCAGCCAAAGGCATGCCAGAAGCAGAGTCGAATGGCTCCAGTCATGCGCAAAGCTGCAGCTCTGTACCAGCCTCCAAAGTCTAGAGAAGTAGAGTTCAATGATCGAGAGGAGACAGCAAACACAACACAAGGCTATAGCGAAGCGCAATTGGACAGGCTCGTCGAAGAGCGGGCCAAGAATATGTTTCYGGAGCAGCGATTGAAAGAGTCGGAAGCTGAGGTTCAGCGACTGAAGCGACTCGTGAGGGAGCTCACCGGAACACAATACGAAGAGCGACCATCATATATTACGACAAGATCACGAACCTCCGTTGGTCACTCGGTTGACCATGGGTCTGAAGCTAGTCGATGGATGGAATCCGAGCGCCGTGAGAGTTCATCGAATGATGGTACCGGGCAAGACTATCGACGTCCTCGTGATTGTTCAATCGGTAAAGGCCAATCGCAGAATCGCCAGCTGAAGCGCCCTCACGATCTGTCCTGGGGAGATGATGGGCGGCAAGGCGAGGAGCCTGAAGATTTCCAGCGTTCTCAACACTCTCCCCACGATAGGCACACCATATCCGGACGTGCTCAGGTGTCGGATCATGAGGGAAGAGATGATCGTCGAGGGCAAGTTTCAGATCGACGATCCTCTCAACGTGCTCGATATTCTCCTCCAGACAATCGACACGCCTCCAAAAGTGCCCGACTTTCTCCGTATGATGAGMGAAGTGTAGATGAAGAGCTTCATGGCGGTCAGAGCTATCATGGAAGTGACGGGAAGACTCCAAACTGCGGTGCCCAGTAAAGGTAGACGGGAGATGTCCAGAGTGGAAGAGAAAGACAGATAGCCAGCTGAATTATGACGGACACATGAGGTGTTGGTATATGCTTCGACATGAGCTTATTATACTCGATACGTAGRATATCTGTCGTGGTGGTGATGGGACCGATCATGCGGGAGAAGCAGCTTCGAATATGATAACAGTCGATATGGTACCAGATATCTTAGCTGCGTGATGGGAGAAGCGATGCGAAGATGTTGTGACGGAATCTTGCGGTCTAGGTAGCAGCTTATAGATCTCCGGTAGTATGATGATTTGTCAGTCGTAGCTAAAATAGGCGAAGCGCTACGATTCTAGACTCTCATATCCAGGTTCTGGAGCAAAAATGCATGCGCACAAAGCATTGGCGCAACCAGATTCAAGTATCGGGGGAGCGGTGTCAGAGTTGATGAGTCCAGTAGGCAGTCCGTACAAGAAGTGAACGAAGTGTCCCATGGATTTTGTGCCAGAGGGATTGCTTCTACGACGCCAAGCGCCATATACACGCCGGCTTCAATATGCAGGTGAATACCAATCCGATATTGAAGGGCAAGCAAGACTACCGTGATACAGGTTGATCCGACAGCGTGGAGGTCCACGGTCCAGAATGTCATGAATCAACCGAGACTTCATACCGCGAATAGATATACCGTCATCAATACACCCCAATGACCGGGTGGTGGGGTTCCGCTATTCTGGGCATGATATCCGGGGAGGACGTGGAGTATGGGGCAAGGTGTATCGCAGTAATAGGGGTATCTTCTTAGACTGGCGACGAGGTCATATTGTTGGGACTTTTGCTCTCCGAGGGCGGCATTCTGGGTTCACGTCGTCGTGGTGAAGACGAAGCTTTTTCGGGCACTCCCGTCCCGCCCGGGCGCGGAGACGGGTCCGACGCTGTTCGAGATTTCCAGAAATCTTCAAATGCGCCACCGAAATCTCAACATCGATCCAACACAATAAAATCAAATCCAAAAATGGCGGACGATGGCATGCTTCTCAACTTTGAGCTGCCCAGCGATACATTCACAGCTCCGAAGCCGACATTCCGAGGCGGCAGCTGGAAGGACCGTCTGACTGCCAGAAAATCTGCGGAATACGGACGCAACAAAGCTGCGGAGAGGGCAAATGCGAATGGAGCGGATCGAGATGCAACCCAGGAGGCGCGTCCAGCAAAACGAGCAAAGACTGGAGAGAGTGGGCCTGTGAAAGGGCAACCTGGAGATTTCGTCTCATCTTTGTTCACATTCAATCCCACTTCCACAACACCCAAGGAGCCGGAAGTCGTCGAGGATGACACTCCTGTTGAGGCATCAAATGCGCCGTTGAATGACGAGCTGGCCAAATTCACATCTCTTGGGCTGTCGAGCGCGCTGGTGGCACATCTTCTCAAGAAACTTGAGATCAAAGCACCGACAGCCATCCAACGGAAAGCGGTGAAGCAGCWATGTGAGAACGACACGGATGCCTTCATTCAAGCTCAAACTGGATCGGGAAAAACTCTGGCATATCTTCTACCGATCGTAGAGCGTATCATGGCCATCTCCAAGGAAATGAAGGACTCGGGCGAGAACTTCACCCGTAACAGCGGACTTTTTGCCTTGATACTTGCGCCGACGCGAGAATTGAGCAAGCAGATCAGCGATGTGCTGGAAACTGTCCTTGCTTGTTGTCATTGGATTGTTTCGGGTACGGTCATTGGTGGAGRGCAGAAGCAGAGAGAAAAGGCGCGGTTACGAAAGGGTGTTAATATTTTGGTTGCGACGCCCGGACGACTCACGGATCATCTCAACAATACTGAAGTCTTGGATGTGAGTAATGTGAGATGGCTGGTTTTGGATGAAGGAGATCGATTGATGGAGCTGGGTTTCGAGCAAGACATTCAGAAGATCATCAGTGTGCTGAACTTGAGGTCCCGAAAGACACAACACACACCTGTTCCGGGATTGCCGGAAAGACGGACAACTGTGCTATGCTCTGCAACTATCAAATCTACYGTGGAACAACTACGAAGCATCTCTCTCAAGGATCCAGTGTCCATTGCCGTGGATGCTACCGATGGCGACGAACAAACAGGAGCGGGAGATGAGAACAACTTCTCGGCACCTGCTCAACTGAAACAAAGCTACGCCGTGGTTCCTGCGAAACAGCGCCTTGTGACTCTGGTCGCCACACTGAAGCAGACTTTYAAGCGAAAGGGCAGTGTGATGAAGTGTATTGTGTTCATCAGCTGTGCAGATAGCGTTGATTTCCACTTTGAACTTCTGACCCGAGGACAGAAAAATAGGAAGACAGATACTGAGGTCGAGGGAGAAGAAGAAGACGACACTGCCGACATTGACAAGATCCCAAAGGTTGGAAAAGTAAACAGAAGTAACCACATCCATCAGGGCAACACAATCGCCGAGACCCGGACGCAAGGTGTGGCTTCGTCAATATCCGGAAAAGACAACGAAGTACAAGTCTTTCGACTCCACGGATCCATGCAACAAGCCACTCGTACCAGCACCCTCAAAGCTTTCAGCATCACCACAGAACCTGCAGTACTTGTCTGTACAGACGTCGCAGCTCGTGGTCTCGACCTCCCCAACGTCGACCTAGTAGTCGAATACGACCCTCCATTCAGCAAAGATGACCATCTCCATCGTATCGGTCGAACAGCTCGTGCAGGACGAGACGGCCGAGCCATGATCTTCCTCCAGCCCGGTTGCGAGGAGGGCTATGTTGAAATTCTCAAAGAAAGCAAACCCCGCAACCTCACCCGCCACGAAGCCGACGAGCTTTTGAAAAAGGGCTTCGCAGCCTCAAGTGGCGTCATCAACTCCAGAGATTGGGAAGTCCGCGCCACAGACTACCAACTCGACATTGAACGCTGGGCGCTCGACCACCCGAAACATCTCGAGCAAGCACGACGAGCCTATCAATCTCACATTCGAGCCTACGCCACGCACGTATCCGCCGAAAGATCAATTTTCAACATGCAGGAATTACAACTCGGTCATTTGGCAAAGGCTTTTGCGCTGAGAGATCGGCCTTCGACTATGGGTGTTCCTGGACTTCGACCGGGAGCCAAGGCTGCTGGGAAGAATAAAGCCGCGAGGAAAGAACATGCCGCGAGGAATTCTTCTTCTACAAATAAGAGTGGTGAGAAGAGGTCCCGTGATGAAGGGGATCATGAGGAGGTTGATGCTGCTGAGGCGAAGAGGAAGATGTTTGCCAAGGTTAAGATGATGAGTGGGGGGGCTTCGGAGTTTAATTTGGGGTGAAGGTGGATATCATTTGGATGTAGACAATCTGTTAAGACAATGATCCTTTATAACTTTGACCTTGCTTTTCACCCGCTGCGTCAGAAAATTATATTGGTCTCCCTGACTCCGCGATACACCGCACCACCTCTCTTCTCGACACTAACCCGTGATCCCCCAAGCCTCAAACCAGCAGCATGCAACAATCCCCCCCTCTCTCAATCTCAATAAATCTCCCACAACGAAACCTTCCCATCTTTACTCCCAGCAGCAAGCCAATGAGTCCTCCTAGCAATCTCCTCCCTCCTACCCTTAACTGTCCCCTTCCCCACCTTCCCCACCTCACCAGGTCCTTCATCCTCTTCCTGCTTTTCCCCCTCCACATCCACCTCCGCAAAAGCAACCGCATAACATCCTTCCCCATGCCACTTCAACACAGCCAATTCCCTCATACTCTTCACACTATACACCCTAACCCTTCCATCCCAACCCGCCGTAGCGAAAATCTTCTGGTCGTGATTCCGTACTGAAAGATCTTGTTGGCCGGAATGTTTCGTTTGTAAGGTTTTCTCCGTCTCTCCTGATGTTGTCGTTGTTGTATTGGAGAAGAGGGGATGACGAGCTATAATTGCGTCTGCGCCGCTTGTGAACCATGTTTCTTGCGAGGAGGCGATTCCTAGGGAGAGGATTGGTTGGGTGTGGGGTTTTGATAGATATGTGACTTGATACGAGGAGGAGGAGGAGGAGGAGGGGTCTGTTTGTTGGGTCCAGATACATGCATGACCACTTTCATACCCGGTTAAAACTTGTAGGTTTCCTTCTTTTTTGGAGGGGGCGWGGAATAATCCTAATGCCATGACCATTCCGGTGTTGAGTCCTTTTGGTGCGGGAATCGTCGCGATTCGTTGGTTTGTTGGGAGGGATGTTATGTTTATGTGTCCGTCTTGGACTCCTGGTGTGGCGATTAAGAGAGTTTTGGGGTCGTTTGTGTGGCACATGGCGAAGGAGCAGAAGTTGAGGGTGTTCACGTCTAGAGCGTGTAAGAGGTTGGGTTTCGTGCTTTCTTGTTCACTTGCGTTTTCGATTGGGAGGTTCTTTGATAATTCCTTCTCGTCTTCTGGTTTGAGTTGCCAGACGTATAGCTTGTTATCTCTCCCGTGTCTATCCTGCCGTTAGTATCTCGTTACCTTAGTTGGAAAAGTACGAGAGAGAGAGGGAGAGGATAACGTACGTGATAACTCCATCATCCCACCATCTTCCCAACCCCAAAATAGTAGTTCCATGCGCTTTCCAAACTGCAACCGCGCGTTTCGTCGCCGTGTCCCAAAGAACCACCCAGCCGTCCGCGTCGCCGGTGAGAATTCGGGTGTTGGAGCGGAGGAAGAGTACTGRGTGGATTTGGGCTGTGTGGCCTCGTAGAATATATTTTGGCTGGGCGGCTGGATGCTCGGAGCTTTGTTGTGTGAGTTTGCTGTCCATGTTGGTGAATGGATTTTTCATAAGTCCGAGTTTGATGTCTTGAGAGAGAGGAGTTGGTTTAGACGTCGTTTGGGAAATCTTTTGGGAGAGGTCCGGGCGGCATTATGGACTTGCAGAGTCGAGTGAGATTGATATGAGATGGGAAATCAATCCCTGACGTTGCCTTTCAATCGTCCCTGCTCTTTGTTGTTCTTGTTGATGTTATGTTACAGGATGAAATTGCTCAGAATCGAGAGTTGAATTCCTTGGTCAAATTAGGCGCGGAATTTGCCTCTCATAGCATTAACTCATCGCGAATTGATGGGAGCCTTAATCAAATTAGGAGACAGCAGTTCGGAACGATACAAGTAAGAAGCAAGGGTCGGGTGGATATGAATGCTTTAGAATACTTTACTTCGCGTACGACTCTCTTCCCTAATGTCTCTTCTACCTATCTGTTAAATATGGCTGTTAGGAATAGTGGTAGTAAGTCTAGCGAATAATACATATTCGACTAAGGTGTGAAGGAAACACCTACCGTCCTCAGCTATTCACGAAGGAAAAGTTAAGAGCACTTTCTAGTGGTAGTCGAATTCTACAAGTTCGATATACATTGATTGCTTGTCGAGGGCTCTTATCCGGATTGATTTGGTATTAGGCTTCCCTTCTCCTCGCTCGCTATGGAAAATGTTTCGCTGTGAAGAATATAACATCATCAATCATTAAACCCGTTCTATCCCAGTCCGCCTCTCATCCCCCTCATCAAGTACTAACGCCCAATCCTAACCCACCCACACCACCACCACCATTTATTTCCCCTACTTCCTCCTCACCACCACTCTTACTACCACCACTCCCCTCCAAACCCCCCTCCCTCAACCCCCTCCCAACCAACCCCCCAAAATCCACCCCGACCTCTCTCAAACATGCCGCCTGTTCTTCAACAATCCCCACACAACCCGTCCACACCTCGCCTCCAGATTCCACCACACTCAACTGCCTCCCCACCAATCCCAAAAATTCATCCACCCGTCCTTTAGCCCATCGCACCCCTACACTCCCCGCCGAACTAGGGAAACTCGCGCCGAAAATCCGCATCGTCTGCAGGATACTCTCAAACGTGACGAAGCTGAGAGCGCGGATGAAGCCTTGTACACCTCCGCCCACAAATCCCAGACTGCGTTGTCTCGATCGCAAGACTTCGGTGCGGGAGGTGAGAAAGGTGGTCTGCGCATGACTTTCAAACCCCAATCTCAACAACCACTCCACCCGTTCCTTGACGACCTCTTTCGCACCACTCCTCAATCCAATCTCTCTCCCGATGATTCCCGCCAATTTCACCGCTCGCTCGTTGACTTTCGCCAGGATGATTTCTTGCGCGGCGGGATTGCTTCGGATCCCTCGTGCCATCTTCCTCAAACTCTCCGTCCTCTCCACTGCAGATTCGAAGTTTTGCAGGGCGACTTCAATATCAAGAGTGTCGATTTGCGATTCCACCCATCGGATACTCTGCGGGCGACCTTCATGATCCGTCAACACGGAAGCGCTTCGGGAGAGGCCTCGTCCTCCTCCCGAGGGATTGGTGGCGTTTGCTTCGGCGGCGGCGACAGCAGCTGCTCGTTTAAGAAGGCGAGGATCTCTCCCGGAAAGTTGAGAGATTTCCTGGAAATTCTTCTCGCGTCGGGCGTGTTCGGCAGCAAGAAGTTTGCGTTGGGATTCTTGGGCGGCGCGAAAGGCGACGAGGAGGGAGGATTTCTCCGAGGCGGATTGAATGGCGTAGGTGAAGGATTCATTCCCCGCGCGGAGGGAAATGGCGTTCTCTAATGAGGAGGCAGAAGTGGATTTGGGGGTGCTGATGATGGTGGAGTGCCGTGTGCTGATGTCCGCCAGGGAAACCTCAGACAACGGCCAACATCGATCGGCGACGAGGGTTGTTTGAGGTTGATTGTTGGTGTTGTTATTGGCGGGCAGACCTTTCTCCGGCGTGGTAATGTACATGCTCCGTCGATTGTTGTTGCCCTTGGTGGGAGTGGCATCCACCGCCCGCTTCTTCTCCGTCGCAATGAGGACATGGTCATTCAACAGCACCACTGCCACCCTCCTCTTCGCTTTCCAAGTCGCGGCATTCAACTCCACCCATCGTTGCGATTCCAAGATGATATGTCGGCCGGGCAAAGCGGGCAGATATTTCTGCGATCCCTCCACCCGCTTCCACAACGTCTGCAGGTGCGTAGTCCACATGGCCTCGAGATTGGCGACGCTGCTCCGATTGGCCCGCTTTCGRTCTGCCAGACTCAACACCGAGCTGTCGTCCGTCATTCCCGCTCCGCCCGCACTCGTCGCATGTCCCAACGCACTCGTCAATTCGCCCATCAATGTCCGTAGTCCCCGCATTTCACTCTTCAATTTATCCGCCTCTTTACTGATCTTGATGAATTGCGTGCGGTTTTGGTAGACATTGTGTTGGAGATCGGCATCCGTAGCAGCCTTCATACTCAACAGGTCATTCTGATAGCTTTCTATCTCCGCTTCCGACGCATCCGACAACACGCTTTGCACATACTTCTCCGCCGAGAGATGGGGATCCTTCAAAGCGCGAATATCAATCTTGACCCTCCCCGGCCCACCACCTCCTCCCGCTCCAGCACCACCCCCAGCCCCTCCATTCCTCTCCGGACTCCGCCCTTCTCGCCTCGTATCCCTCGAAGCATCCCTTGATCTGGCACTCGCAGCATATTGTCCTGGCATTGCAGGCATCGCAGGAACATTCCCATCTTGCGGCGGCATCGGTTGTCCCCCGACGAACCTCGTACTATATCTCCGCTTGACCAGATCGCTGGTGTTCCCGCCATCCAATCGCGGTCGTTCCCTCCGTTCCGAGGGATGGAGGGAATTGGAGTCACTGCCTGCGCTGGCGGCCGTCCAGGTGGAATTCGATCGCGGCGCATCAGGACGGAGAGTGGAYGAGGACGTGTCATTGTTGGGATTGATCGCTTGCGGCGCGGAGATCTTGGGTCGCGAGACGGCGTGCGTCTTTTTCCGCCGCAGCGATTTGGGGATTGCGGACATGGTGTCGCGAGTGGGGGATGTTGTTAATGAATGTGATGTTGCATGGGGATATCGAGACGACGTGGAGCTAGCTCCCTTGAGCTGCTCTCCACGTCAGCTGACTCAGCCCAAGTGTGGAGAAATTCCATTCACTTCACTTCAAACCACCTTCTCCACTCCCTTCCTCTCTGACATTCGAGATGAACGTCTTTCTGATTCACATAACTGCATCTGGTGATCAGAAGCTTCGACAACACTAGAGCAAAAGACGCTTCAAAGCATGCTTTCTATCAATGGCGAGAAGACGAGACGAGACATTCTTCCTAAAGCTAATCTCCTCAAGGGAAAGAGCAAGCGTTCAATATATGTATCATCTTMATGCACCTACCAGTGTGTTAAGACCACAAACAAACACATACATGTACTACTTGATAAAATTCTGGAAATGCAAGCTCAGTATGTATTCTCCGCCTCCTCGCTTCCCCATCCATTGCTAGGCGGTGTGGTATATCATCGTAGCGTCAACATTGAACGTGACTTCAGAGATGTAGTATCTCTGTAGACTATACCGGTATACGATGCCTGAGACTTTGTGAAGTTGCGAAATTCTCATATGTATTTCAAGTGGGACATGTATGGGGGTAGAAGAGCTTGCTTGAGAATTCCATTAAGCTACTCAGAGATGTGTGTGTGTGGCTCTCTTTCTCTGCATCTCAGTGCTGGGCGAAGACTGTTGAATAATCCTTCGCACACGATTTCTTTGCCCAGGCTTCTCCAACCTCATCCTTAAGACGCAAGCACTTCACCCGTTCAACGCCGATGGTAGGAAAGCTTTTTGTTGGCAGCCGGAGCAAAAGGAAGTCTCGTGCAAGCGACGTCTATGGCCTGCCTTAGAATCCGGATAGATGCATGGAATAGCCGACATCTACTGGCCATTTTGAGACATGGGCAGTATTGTCACACCATGACGGGACTTCTTCAATTGGGTCATAGGTGTCGTATTTGCTCTTTCCTAATGATCTCCATCTGTCGGATATTCGCGGTGTTGATTTTGACGCACAAGATTTTCGAGTACGATAGACTGACAAAACGCCATGTCAACATCAAGAGCAGTATGTCCATGAAATTCCTCTCAAAGGTAGGGAACAGTTCTCTGTCATTCGTAAGGCGAGCTCAACTTCGCAAGGTATCGTATCCGTGTAGAGTGCCACGCAATTGATGTTATTACTGGTAGAAGTTTCAACACCATATTCCCTGAAGATGAATCATGGAGCGGCTGAAGTCAATGAAGGTCATGATTCTTCCAACTGCCAACCAAGGGCCAGAACAGCACCGGCCCATTGACTTGCTGGGCCAGCGTCTTGGCCCAGAATCTTACCCAGGCCTTCTAGCTCGTAGACTCGATTCCGGGTAGAAGTATCTGTCTGGTTGCAAGCGGCGAGATGGTACAAAGGATTCATTGATATATGCTTCAAAAATTCGTATAGGTGTCGCTTCTGTGCTGATGGTTGAATCGCACAGGCCTGGAGCGAAGCTTCAAGCACTCCTCGAAATGGCTCCGCGACAATGTCTGCGTCGCGAAAAAGCTGTCTTATTTACGCCTTTCCACTCATTTCGTCGACAGAGATGGCGTTAATGGCCTCCGAGGACTTCCAGAGTGTGGTTTTCAGAGCTCCTAGACTAGTTTCAAGGGCCATCAAGTCGCGTTGCGTGCGATTTCTACCAGTCTATATGTTGTCGAGGAGCTGACCAGTCTTGCCCATGGTCTCTTTGGAGTTGTACGTCAATGACAGGTTGGGCCTCGTGCATTCAACCATACCATCCCCATCTGACAGATAAGTTGGTCAGTGGTGATGCTATTGCTGTGCTGTCCGATACACTCGAAATGGAAGGTTGATACGGAGTGATGTGAGAGGGGGAGTTGTTCGGGGAAGTCGCGAAGCAGAAATGACCTCACGTGCACGGACGTCTCAAAAACATGTCCCAACTTGCATCTCTAAACGAACAATCCCATCAAACCTCCCAACTCCACCCCCCATCCAACAACCCCCTCCCCATTCATCGACTCTCCATTCAAGCGCGAAGCAAACCCACGTCCATCGCCAAATTCCTCGATAATTCCCGAAAAAGATGGCCAGCACGACGCCCTCCTCAGGCCCCTCAGCCACAACAATCACAATCTCCCTCCTCTCCATCACGACAGTGCTCGGGTTGGGATACGCTCTCTACTTCGACTCCCGCCGTCGCCGCGACCCCGAATTCCGCAAATACCTCAAAAAGCAACACAAGCGCGTCGCGAAACTCGACACGGAAGCTTCCATTGCCGCCGAGCGGTCGCAAAAGGAGCGCATCACCTCCGTCGTCGCCGAAGCCAACGAGGAGGGTTTCCCGCGTGATCCCGAGGACACGGAGGCGTACTTCATGGAGCAGGTGGCCAAGGGAGAGGGCATGTGCGCGAGTGGGGAGGATCCCGTCGAGGCGGCGTTGTGCTTTTACAAGGCGTTGAAGGTTTACCCGCAGCCTAGGGAGTTGATTAGTATTTATGACAAGACGGTACCAAAGGTATGTTCTTCAACGCATTCAAGGATGAATTGCTTGATGAGATTGTAATGTATATACTGACTTTTCCGACAGCCCATCCTGGACATCCTCGCCGAGATGATCGCCGTCGACCCCAGCATATCCGTCACGGGCTCTGCCAGCGCTAGTGATGCTGGTTCTGCTACCGTCGAGTAGATTCCACCAGTAGGACCGGAGAGTACAATTTTGTGGGAGCGATGAGCGGAGCAAAATTGGTATGCGATTCCAGTTTATGGAGGACCGTTCGGTGCAGGACTTGCTGTGCGGTGGCATGTGGAATATCTTTCTTAAATGGGGCAGCATATGCTGTCTCAGATGACGGTCGGATAAAATGTACGATGAGAAAGGACTTCCGCTCTGCCTCCTGTTCAGAGGAAGAAGGAGAGCGGGAAGAATTATGCATAGCGTGTGCTTTCTGTGGGTTTGGCGGATGTTCTCTCATCTCTCTTTGGAAGAAGCGATGGTGTGTGTGTGTATAACAAAAATGTGTGAGAGCAAGTGTACAGCTATGGAATCAGAAGAACATTTTCAGCTTCACCGGCCTTTCCAATGGTCGAAGTGTGAGTAAATCAATTTACCTACGCGAATCGAAAGCGAATGATACATCTGGTTATTACTGCCACGGTGTCACGCACGATATCCACGTTCTGCCAGGAGCTTTTTTTCTTACAAAAAAAAAGCTTCAATGAGCGGAGCAACTCCATACCGGAATGTTCATGGGAGGAAAACTTCCAGGTTGGATCACATTTCTTCAATCAAAGACGCAAGCGGCTCTATCTCCCGGAGGTGGAATCAATTGTCTGCGTCGACTATCTTACTTCTCATGATATGAGTKTGAGCGGCAAGCCATGTCCATCGGCGGATAGACTGGCTCTCTCATTGAGAATGCGTTTGGGCCTGTTGGTCTTTCTTGAGATGAATATCCACGCCTTGTCAGCTATGCGGAAGGAGAGATGTTTTCTCTGGTTGTGCTCGACCGGCTCTGTGGACATCCGAGCCTTACGCGGAGGAATCWCCTTCCCTTGTCTTTGGAATTGTTGTGGTTGGTCGGTTTTATGGAGTTGGTATTCCCTCAGAACTCATTCAAGCCTAATGAGATGAGAAAAGAATGGTTTGAAGGACCGAGACTGCCTCAAGAGAGGTCTTGTAGTCTACGGTGATTACGGACTATGCATTTCGTTGCGGAGCAGATTCTTACTCGATCCGAGGGCAGGTTTTGCCATCCTTCCAGCAGCGAGAGCACTTTCCACCAGAGCCAGCACGACACCAAACACTAGCACTCGCGTAAACCTTGCAGGCGGATTTCTCTCGGACGCAGTGAGAGCAAGGCGCGAGCTCAGCAAGTGACGATCAGCATTGCGGGCAACCAAAAATGCACCCATCTGGGCGGCAGCGAGCAAAGCGAGATGTTGTTGTTACTGCTGCTAGCCGACGAGGAGGCCGGGATGCATGCTCGCTTTGCCACCTTTCTGCTCGAAGGGTGGAGCCAGTTGGGATCGTTCACTTTCATGTGATGGACGAGAGCAGTAATCATGCCGCGGAGTTGTTGGATGTGAGGAGCCAACGGAGCGCCGCACTGACCACCAGCCGAAAACAGAAAAGCAGTGATCCGCACGTTGGTCGCATGTCTAAATAGAGCAACTTGGGCGATGGAGGATGCATTCAATTGGTTAAGGTTGCCGTAAAGACTCAACAGCGGAATACCGCATATCTGGATTGAGTGATGGGAAAAGCAGGACTCGAACCTGGTCATTGGGTGGCGAACAATCCAATGCCAAGGCTGAGAGAAAAAAGGGGTCAAATGGACTCCCTCTCCCAACCACGCCAATTCACCGTTTGGGTTCCTCTAACTCTGGGCTACGGCGACGGGAGAGACAGAGAAGCCCTTCCCATCTCTCGACGCATTTATCCCGCGCATTTCCTCCCCCTTCTGTCGAGGAGGAATATGGGAAGACTCTTCTTGGAGGGTCTCTCACTTAGGTTGTTTTCATTCTCGGTCGCATGAAACACATCTACATGCACTCGCATGTCTTTCGTTTGTATAGGTAGGGGGACATCGTCTACATCTCAGGTTCTCGATATTATGTAGTGTGAAAGACCTCATGTCTCTCCTCCCATCCGTGTCAATCTGCACGTTATATCAGCCAGACGAGCAATAACAAAGGCCTTTGCTACAATCCTCCGCCTGTGTAGGCGTCAAAAAAAAATCCTCCTCCCACCGCAGCAAAAGATATTCCCCGCAGTGTCCCTCCCCTCGGGGAGGGACAGCACGACAAATACTTTAAGGAACACGCCCAAAGCCGACTATGCCGGCTTTGTCTGCGACGACCCAAACCCTGCCCTTCTCAGGAATACCGGTATTGCTTTCACCCGGTGTTGTGCATGCCCCCTTGATCCCAACCAATTCAGGCACACGAGAATTAAATTCTCGCGAACACCCAGACCCAGCGAGGCTGGATAGTCAATGTTGGGGACCGTCGCCCACACTAAGTGTGGGGAGGCCCGCGCTGGGAGCATCGCGTCCCCTAACGGGGATTTGTTATTTGCTCCTCCTTGAAGGTAGGGACATTGCTGAGGGGAAGGAAATTTATTGGGGGGTATATACTGTGTGAAGGGTTTTGCCGGTGAGCGCCGTGGCGAATGGGGAGGAGCCGGTGGGAAGGGAGCGGGATGGCGGGCGAGGAGCGGGAGGGCGCGTTTTGGCGCGGTCAGGTAGGATCGGCCGGGAAGAGGGGATCGCGCTCGAGGGCAGCGTACTTCCTGAGCTACCTGAAGTATTGTCTGAGAGATTGGATACGTGGACGTCGTCAATTGTTCTATATGGAGAGAAGGAGTATGGTTGAGGAGGGCTCGAGGTTCTGCACGTGACCAGTCGGTAAGTGAAGTCGTGCTGCAATGGAAGCCAAATTTCATCTTCTGGATATCCTCTCACCACTCCAGACACCACACACCTCGCCACACCTCAAATCACCAGCACCGCCGCGCCGTCATCGCCATCGTGTAAACTTGACGTATCGACCTCATCCCCGGACCGTTATTCTCGCGTACAATCAACCGCGCATCTCTGCATCATCAAGATTCACCAAGCTACCAGACTTGAGGTTCTCGGAGGTTCTGGAACAACGTCCAAAAGACATCAAGCGGCAGCTTCACCTCCAGCCATCCTCACACCACCCCTCAACATGGCACACACCAGTAGTGCCAAGGCAAGCGAAGTCACACCACCCTCCAACATGGCAACCACCACTAGTGCCCAGGCAAGCGAAGTACTCGACTCTCATATTCAGTCTCTGTGTCAGGAGCTGCAGGACATGATCTTCGAATGTGTCTTGGATGCCCAGATTCCGGATACGGCTCGCATCACCTGTGCCCTCAAACCACCCACTGCGCTGCAGTTGAATCGCGAAATCCGCGAGAAATTCGCCCGGAGGTATTACGGCCACACCACGTTTGAACTAAAATTGGGTCGCGGTTATCGTAGACAGCATCTCAGTTGGCTGAACGAAAGGAGTGCTCAGCATCAGAGAATGATCCTGAACCTCCAGATAGCACACGACGGTGAATGGCATCCTTGTTTAAATTTCGATTTCGCCCAGCACAAGATTTTGGCTCGGGCAATACACGAGCACTGGAGTTCACGGCTTGGACCCCTGGCAGGTTGGAATATGGATCAAGTTCAACTAGTGGTCGTGATTTCCACTTTGGGTGGACAGATGGTGAGATTCCCTGCCGGGACGTTGATCGAGGAGTGACCGCGAGTGATGCGATGACTGCCGCCACGTAAGTTGGATACCTGCAACGCGATTGTTCTCGTATTAACCTTCTGCAGATTTGTAAAAGCACTTCGCCGGGCGGATCAGCGATTCAAGCAAGGGTCTGATGAGCATTTAACGAGCAAGAATGCTTGGACCAGCGAGCTTGTGGTGGCTACGGTTTTGAGGTGGGAAGCTTGAAGGCCCCATTGCGGAAAATCTTACCTTAGCGGGAGCGCTATGGCTGCGTGGATGTGGCTGGAACCCGACCTCCGAATCACTCACGGTTTCGCAAGACATTCATGAGAATAGACATGTTATTGAATTCGTGTCTGCTGTCATGGATACTACCCCATCTCCGTGCCAAAGCCGCGGGCGAGGGCTCAAGATATGCTTAGGGCAGATCTGTCATACAAGACAAATACTGCTTCATCGACGACTCTTTCCCCTTTCTACCCGTAACGTACACAGTCCTCGAGCCTTGAAATCGAGATCGTCTGCCGCCGGAATCCCCCGCGATCAATCGTCCACACTGCGACACTCGTAGACTAGCTGGCTGGCTCTACGGTGCTTTATACCGAGGTCTACTGCTAGCAAAGACCTTTTAAGTAACTAATCTACTCGAGGAAGGAGCTCAAGATTTTTTCATGTGACGGTCCGGTTTTGCATGTGACAGTCTCGGGTAGATCCGAGATTCGAGGGATAAGGTACCAAACTTCAGAAGCCCACCTCATCTTTTGAAGCTCGTCGTCATTACTTCGACTACAACAACACCGACGAAATCTGGAACTATTGRCATCGCCGCGCCTCACTCGTGGTCTTTGTTCAACACTTTCATCACCGTGGGCCGTTAAAATCGCTGCAGCGTTTGGGGACTACTCGAAGATTTGGGCTTTCCGCATTTCGAGACGCGCGCAGTGTCTTTGCTCGACAAACACCAGCATCACTTTCGTCGCCATCATCGCCATCCATTCTCCAACTACCCAACATGGCAAATTGCAGCGGCAAGCAGGCGAGCGATGAGCTAGACAATCGCATCCAGTCATTGTGTCAGGAGATCCAGGACATGATACTCGAAACTTTTCTCGAAGCTCAGATTCCATGCGCCGTCGTCCTGACCAATGGCTACAAGTCACCAGTAGGTCTCCAGCTAAATCGCAAGATCCGCGGCAAATTCGCGAAAAAATACTACGGTCGCACTACATTCGAGATCTTCGGGATCGTCAACAAGTACGACTTCCATCCCGCTGGCCTCAAGATTGGTCGCATCGATCGAAAGCACTTGCCACTGATGAGACACCTCGAAGCCACGTACATCCATCAAGAGAAGTGGTATCAGAATTTGCTTCCTGGATACGAGCAGTTTATCGTAACTTTGATACAATTAGAATTGTGTGAAGCACTCGAGGATTACGCAGGCGAGAATTTGAAGCACCTTGATGTCGTGGTAGGACATATGAGCGTGGCAAGCGATGACAGGCGCATGTTCGACAGCAAAGGTGTATTTTTGAAGGAACGATCCTCTCCGGGGGGAAGGCCGTAGCGAATGGTAAGTTGGGCGCTTTGCAATCTCTTTCAGTCGTGCTGATTGATCGCAGATGCCATAGCATGTTACACCGTACGGGTTGAAGATCGTACGCGGATCATAAGCAGCACAAGTTATCATGGCAGGGAGCACGAATCGATCACGGCGTCGAGTCGAGACGGCCAGAGGGTACGAAAGAATRGAGACTTGTCATCAGCGGCCATGGCAGTTTGACTCACCATCCAGGTTTGCGGCGAATGGCTAGGAGTATTCAAGCCGAGTGTGACACTGGCAAAAACAGAAAGATCCACCGAAACGCTGTTTACTTCCACACATACTCGTCGTATCTCTGTGCGACCTCTGATGAAGGATAGATATCGGCCAAGATCGTCTGGGAACAAGTGCTACTGCCTCGTCGACGGATTCCTCGCTACTTTGTTCCCACATCATCAAAAGTCAGATTCGAAAATCAAGCTTTGGCTGTTTGACCCAGTGGTTTCCTGTCGCCGAGAAGCTCTCGATATCGTTCAGTTGTCTTCTGGCACAGTCTTCGAGCATCTACCAAAGTTTATCTACGATGTTTCGCTTTGGCAATAATACACTCTGCTTTGACGGCGGAGCTGTCATACGATCATGGAAACGCTCTGTAATGAATATCAGTCAAAACTTCGTTGTCCTCGTCTCAACACACCTCCAGCGAGTTCTACCAACGTCGCGATCAAACTACCTCCCTTTGAGAAATCTTATCAAAGCTTTCAAGCCTATCCAGAGCAGACAAACACCCACTCTGTGAATAAGACTTCTGGAACCTACTCACGACCGGAAACACAAACCTTCATTTTGCTCTCAGATACCATACTTAAGTATCTCGTCCACGGCCTTCGTCAGCCTCTTCTTTTCCCCAAGCCTTCTCAATTCGTTCAGACTTGCCATTGCTTACCACAACTACCTTTCCACACTTCCCACACTTCTTCACACTTCGTTCAAATCAACAAGAAATACTTTCCTGAAACTCGAAAACAGATCTTCACAGGATGACTGGTTCAGACTCAGGATACAATTCAGGATTGGGTAGCCAAGAGATACTCAAGCCAACCGCTGCAGTGATGGACGACTTTCTTCAGAAAAAGAGCGCCTTTCTCCACAAAAAGAGCACCATTCCGCTGGACAGCACCAATCAGACTTTCCACCAGTACATGATCCGCGTCGCGGATACTAAGAAGGCCGAATTGACAAAAGTGAATGCGCCTCTCATCATGCAAGCTGTTGTTAAGACGGACATCTCTGACACCAGTTCTACAACCATGTTGGAGTTTCCGCCAGGCTCAATGCCTGATGGCAACCATCACCTTCGTGTCACACGGTCTCCCGTTCGCCCAGCAAACACACCCGGCGGCAAAGTCGAGGATGTCTTTTTTGTGGTCAAGATGCACGATGCGAAGATGCAAGACCCAAAATCTGCCTCCGACTACACGGTCTTGACATCTGGCAGTGCCAAGGGTGGTACCAAAGACAATCGCAAGTTCATCACCTTTGGCAAACCTCAGGTGTACGGGCTTACTGGCAACAGCCTTTCCTTGAAGGAGAAGATCAAGCAGACTGGCTCGGGAATCTCGATTCCATCAGAGGCGGAGATTGGACAGTTCGCCGTCTATTGCGACCACAAAGAGGTGAATCTCAATGATCTCCCGGCCATGGTCAGCCTTCCTTCGGACTCTATCGAAGCTCAGCAAGCTCAACAGAATCTTCAAGAGTCGATTGATCATTACACGTCTCAGTTGATCGCCATGAAGTTGAAGAAGCTCGACCCTCGCTGCAGCCCTATCATTCGTGGCAACCGAGTGTTTGTCACATCAGATAAGTACCCTGATGGACTGCAGAAGTTGGAAGGAGTTCAGGGCAAGGTCATCTACGACGACACTGGACGTGGTAGTGTTTTGGTGGAGCCTTGCACCGCACACATCTTCCAGGAAAACATCCTGTTGTCCGAATTTTTGATCGAGTTCTTTGGCAGCGATATTGCCAGCAAATCCGACGAGAGTACCATCAAACGCCTCTCAGCTGCTCTCAGAGGAGTCAAAGTCACTATTGCCAGTCGTCCAAACCAGCCCAGCGTACAGTCACATATCACCAGCTTTGGAAGCCATCAGTCTTCGGACTACTTCAAGGGGCTAGGAATCTCTTCTTCAGCTCTGAGATATCCTGACATGCTTCTTGTCAACATTGGTAGCTTGGAGAAGCCCGACTATTGTCCAGCTGAGCTTTGCAGGATTGTTGGTGGCGATGGAAAGGAGCAGATCTTCAGCGGCAAACTACCACTCACTCTGCCTGATGAATACTTTCAGCCTCAATCTCTTGTCCCGGCAGACCATCCACCCAGACATAAAGTTTTCGACATTTTCCCCACAAGGAATGTTGGTGGCTTCAAGCTCTTCTTCGTCAACCTGTCATCCACATCTGATGGCAAGACAACCAAAGCTGTCAACGATAGTGTCATGGACGCTCTCAAGGAAGAAGTCGGCAATCGCTATGGCAATCGCTTGGCTGATGCTGTCAAGGAATCCATCAATTTGGATGCTACACATCAGACTCTTGGCGGCGTTTTGGGCTTCCACAACAAGTATGCCGCCAACAGCAGATCTGTGCTCGTTGTTGTCACCCCACCTGGCTTTTCAAACAGCGACATTGAGAAGATTCAGACCGAATGCCATCTCAACTATGGTATGCAGTGCTGTATCGTTGACGGTCGACAAGCCACTCGCCGCTACCACCCGATCGAAAAGGTGGCAATGGTGAAATTCACCGGTGGAATGGTTCGGGAGATGTTTGGCAAGGCTTTGATTCCTGCTCAAGAAGATCCTTTCGGAAGCGAATTCAAGAAGACGACCGAAGACCGCACAATTGGCATTCATGTGCATGATCTCCCCAACAACAACTACTTGGTTGACATCGTCTCGATCAAGCACAACGGATCTGTCCGAGTCACCAACAACGTGTTCTGTGCCGGCGGTACGAAGGGCATTGCGGCTGAAATTCTGTCTTCTATCAAGAAGGATCATTCTCTCCATCGTGACTTCAAGTCTACGATCGTCATCTCAGGCCTTGGTGGAAAGTCAAAGGAAGTTCTCGATGTTCTGCACACTGGCCTTCAACAAAAGCCATCGCCTGGAAAGCAGATTGACTCCGACTACACGCCTTACTTTGCTTTGACATCCATCGAACCAGAGCACAGAATCCTCATGGCGAAGAAAGAGCAGCGAATCATCCTCAAAAACGACAAGAACGCAGGACTCTCGCGCAACTCCACCTACCTCCAATGCATGCGCGATCACACAGACATCCTGGCTAGCCAAGCCTACAACATCAAACTCCCCGACACCAACAAGCTCCCTGTCGCTCTCCAGCCAACGAGCCACATTCCTTCAATCGAGACATATGTCTTCWCCGCCTTCGAGACAGAGCAGCAGTCTCGTGATGGTTCCGAAAAGCATCGGTATGAAGTGCAAGCTCTCAGCACGTATGCAGCTCCCGCCATTCTGCGACTTGCTCATGCTGCCTCCAAGCACAGCCGTCTGCATATTTACGAGCTTGTCCCCAGCAAAAAGGACACGAATGTTGTGAAGAAGCTGACTCCGGCTGAGAAGAAGGCTGCGAAAGCTGCTAGAGCCAAGGCTGCTGAGACGACGGTGCAGCCAAAACTCCTCTATGGCATCAAGCCTGTTCACAAGGCGTTGAAGGACACCTTTTACTTCTTGTAGAGGTGTAACCGCGGTCACTCATCCTTAACATTCATATCTTTTCCCCACAGCGACTGCACTATTCATTTTCCTTTGCACCTTGTACCAACACTCCTCCTTCTGCAACAGCACCGTCCGTTTGAGTTTGTGATATTTTAGCTGAGAGCGCACGTTAGTCTATGGGAAGCATTCTTACTTGATCAGGGAATATTGGAAGAGACGTGAATTGCTGCATTTGATTGTTTTTGCTATGGAGTTTGGAGTTCGGGATCAGGAGTTGGGAGCTTGGGAGTTTTGGAGTCTTGGCCTGGGATTTTTCATTGGGATTTTGGAGTTTGGAGTTGGCTGGAAAATGAGCATTAGATAGGATAGCAATACATTTGGGTGGCTGTTTGAACAATCTCTCTCTCTCTCCGTTTCCATCGTTCGTTTCGTGAGAGGCTTCATGTGATCGATGGTCCAGAACTCCCCGCTGGACAGGAGAGCATCACAGCTTGACTCTGCCATCTCCTCCTCAGGTGATGAGATTCGCCATCACAACGGCGTTAAGTTCACAATCATAGAGCAGACGGCCTATGAAAACTCCCTTGTGATGTGTTGAAGAAGGTTCCTCCATGTCATGCTCGTCTGACCAGCAGCCTGGTCCGCAATCATCTACTGGCACAACAATCACCACATCGTTCCAGCTCTTTCCACAAAGTATGAGATTGATAAGAGAGGACAATCCAAAGAGATGAATAGAACAAAAGAGATGATCATTAGGACGCCTCGACGACTTACACCACAGTAATATATACAGGCTTTTCAATCCCCCCCTCAAATACATGCTCGCGCGTAATGCTCGAATATGCTAAACTGAACGGAGAAAAAGTGCTGTTACCCACTCCTTCCTTCTCTAAACAACATCTCTCTACTCGCCCTTGAGCTTGTCCTGTCTGACGCTCCAGGCCATTTCCAACAAGTCCTGCTCCTCCTTCAAATGACTGCTCTTCAATCCAGTAGCAACCGATGCGCTAGGGTTGCGACCGGCGTACATGACGTGCTTCCTGTCGTGGTGCTCGGTGTTGTTCAACAGAGTCTCGATTCTAGGCTGCGTGAATGACCATGCACCGGCGTTGAGAGGTTCCTCCTGACACCAGACAATGGTCTCAGCGTTGGGGTAGCTGTCCAAGTTCTCCTTCAACTGTGCCCATGGGAATGGGTTGAGCTGCTCAATACGAGTGATGGCAGTGTGTTTTAGGTTGTTGGCTTCACGGTGCTTGAAGAGCGCGGCGAATACTTGACCAGAACAGAGGATGACACGCTTGATCTCCTCCTTGGGAGCAAGCTTGAATGATGCATCCTCCTTGTGCATTGGGTCCGGGATGATCCACTGGAAGTGGCTATCACCCTCAAAGTCCTCAATCGGCGAGCGAGCAAGTGGGTGGCGGAGCAAACTCTTGCTGAAGAAAGAGATGAGAGGCTTGCGGAATTGTCTGTTCATCTGGCGACGGAGAATGTGGAAGTTGTTGGCAGGGGTGGTGCAGTAGACCAATTGCATGTTGCAGTCCTGGTGCTGGCGCTCGAGTTTCTCGGGAGATGGGAAGATACGCGGGTCCTCGTTACAGAGCTGAAGGAAACGCTCCATACGACCAGAGCTGTGCTCTGGACCTTGACCATCGTATCCGTGAGGAAGGTTCATGACGAGACCAGATCGCTGCAGCCACTTGACTTCTCCAGAGGCGACAAACTGATCGATGATACATTGGGCGTTGTTGGCAAAGTCGCCGAACTGAGCCTCCCAGATAACAAGTGCGTTGGGAGATGACAAGGAGTAACCGTACTCAAAGCCGAGCACACCGAACTCGCTCAAGCTGGAGTTGGAGACGACAAACTTGGACTGGTCCTTGCTGAGGTGGTTCAAGGGGGTGTAGGTCTTTTCGCTTTCCTGGTCGTGAAGGACTGCGTGACGCTGGGAAAAGGTTCCACGCTCAACATCTTGACCAGAAACACGCACATGATGTCCMTCCATGACAAGCGAACCGAAAGCGAGCGCCTCAGCGGTGGACATGTCAATATTCTTGCCCTCGTTCACAGTCTTAGTGCGGCCGGCAAGAATACGCTTGAGGTTGCGGTGGACCTGGAAGTCCTCTGGCGGCTCACCAATAGTCTTGGCAATGTGCTTCAGAGTCTCCGATTTGATACCGGTTGGCAAGTGGGGCAAGACTTCGGTGGCAAGCTCCTTGGGAGACTTGAACCCGTGCCACGCACTGGTCAGCCATTCCTTGGAGGTTGACTGGTAATCCTTTGACTTTTCAAACGACTCCTCCAGCATGTTCCAAACCCACTTCTTGTGCTCATCAATGTCCTCCTTGGTGAAGGTCTTGGCGTCGAGGAGCTGTTTGACATACTGATCAAGAACTGGTGGGTGCTCGCTGATGCGCTTGTACATCAAAGGCTGGGTGAATGAAGGCTGATCAGTCTCGTTGTGACCCTGCTTGCGGTAGCAGACAATGTCGACGATGACATCCTTCTTGAATTCGGCACGCCAGTCAGCTGCCATCTGGCAGACAAAGTTCAAAGCCTCGACATCGTCTCCATTGACGTGGAACACGGGTGCGTCGACGAACTTGGCGAGATCGGAACAGTAGGGAGTGGACCGGGAGAAACGAGGATCAGTGGTGAAACCAATCTGGTTGTTGACGATCAAGTGAATGGTTCCTCCGGTGTGGTAGGCCGGGAGGGCGTAGAATCCCATGGTCTCGTAGACGACACCCTGACCAGCAAAGGCAGCGTCACCGTGCAGAAGAACGCCCATGGCAGAGTTGGCGTGCTCTTCATCGTTGTTGTAGTGCAAGATAGCACGGGTCTTGCCAAGCACAACAGGGTCTTCAGCTTCCAAATGCGATGGGTTGGCAACCAGGGAGAGGTTGACGCGCTTGCCGGATGGTGTGGGACGCTCAAAGTTCATTCCAAGATGGTACTTGACATCACCGGATCCCTCATCAGAAGGCTCGGCAGATCCACCAAACTCGGAGAAGATGGATTCGTTTGGCTTGCGGACGACGTTGGAAAGCACATTCAATCGACCTCTATGAGGCATGCCAATGACAATATCTTTGACACCATAGTCCACAGAGCGATCGATCAGAGCCTTCATACCGGGAATGAGCGTCTCGCCACCCTCCAAACCGAAACGCTTGTCGTTGGGGTACTTGGTGGCGAGGAAAGCCTCAAAAGAAGAAGACCAGATCAGTCTGTCCAGGATACGGCGCTTCTCATCCACCGAGTACTTGTACGGTTGAGGAACCTCAAATCGCTGTCTAAGCCAATCGCACTGTTCCCTGTCCGGGATGTGGATGTACTCGACACCGTAAGAACCACAGTAGAGGCGCTCGCAGTTATCAATGATCTCACGGAGAGTCATCTTGTCGCGAGTCTCCGTCTTGAATCGGGGAAGAATACCAGGTCCGAGTGTGAACTCAGTATCCATATCCTGCTCGGTGAACTCGTATGTTTTCAGGTCAAGCTCTCTGGGGATGGGAGCTCCACCGGGTGTGTTCAAATCTCTGATTCCAAGAGGGTCAATCTTCGCCTTGTGGTGTCCTCGTGCTTGGTACGCACGCACGAGAAGCTGGACCTTCAAGTGGTTCACGACCTCGCTACCCTGTCCCACCGCAGCGGAACCAAAGCTGGGAGCTGGAACGCCGCCTGCTGGCTGAATGGCGCCGGGGACAATGGTCGGTGGCGGTGTGAAGGCACGGCTTACAGGCATATCGCCACTTTCCATGTTCTTGAAGTATGCCTGCCATGAGACGTGCACGGATTTGGGATCCTGCTGCCACTCGTGGTACATCTCATCAACATAGTTGGCGGTGTTTCCCGACAAGAAGGAGTCGGAGGAGTCGACACCCTTGTTGGTGTCCTCAGCGGCGACGGCATATTGGCGGTATTGCGAGGTGAAGTGGTTATAGTAGGTCAGACCTAGCTCCCTTCGTTTGGTCGCGAGGGCAGATGTGCGTGGCGCATTTGAGCGACTTGAGAAGGCTCTGGCAGGGCTGCCAGTCGCCAGTCGTCTACTGCATAGTCGGAGTTGAGAGGACAGCATGCCGGCGGATACTCATCCAACGTCGGTGGAGAAGAGTCTGCGAGCGTGCAGAGGTGATGATCGCTCAAGGTGAGATGATGTAGGGGTGCGAGATGATGGTGTGGGAGCGAAACAACGTGTAAGGTATGTATCTGGTGGTCCCGTCGATCGGTGCTACCAGCGGACCTCTCTTCCGCGCCTGCGCCTTCCTTCGGCTTCCCGGCACCACGTGGGATGAAAGTTCACCAGATCAGAAAAACACCGCATCACGCCGCTCCCGTCCTTCCACACAGCACTTCAGCCTCGCTGATCACACGGCCATCTTGGAAGTCTCCCTTCGGTAAATATTTCCAATGATATGTCGTTTCCTCGCATCTTAATCATTTTATTCATCTTCGTCCTCTCATGTTGCCGAGAAGGGCTATTCACACACCTGCTCACCTTTCGTCTTGATCCGCGCAAAAATGCCAAAAGAATGCGACATGACATGTTCGCTAGGGGCAGACGATGGGGTTGGAGAGAGATATGAACCCATCAAACTCTTACATCATGCCTTTTGGACCAATCAAGGATATGGAGCTCCGGAGTCGTAATCCACGATACCCAGGAGATGATCCTCTAAGCTACACGGGGGACTGACCGGAATCTCTCAGCAGTGAACGGTCTGCAGTATCTATCACCGAGAATTGAAGCTTTACTTGCGAAGGCGTTGTCGAAGAGATCAATCCCTCAATGTCTGGGTCCATGTGATTTGCATCAATCAGCAAGACACTACTGAGAGATTACAAAGTGAAGGGCAAAACGTATTTGGTCGTCTTGTGCCCGCTCTGGACCACACAACTTCCAAGCAGGCATCTGCATCCTCTCATGCAGCCGAAGCCTGGGAGAGACCGCTTGGATTCCTTGGGCCTGACCTTCACCTGAGTCATCGCTGATGTTGTTGCTCTATCATGTCAGGCAAGTCTCGAACATGCTCCACATCTACCGCAATGCGTTCTCCGCAGAGGTACGGCTAGGAGGAAGCTGGTTCGTATTATCGCGTCGCAATGGAGTGTCCCTAATCGACCCGCCTACATCCCTCGCGATACTTCCCAATGCGCCTTCGTGTGCGGAAATGGTGGTACGGTTGCGTTGCGGCTGGCGCAACRTGAAGTCGACAAATGCCACAGCGAGCAAGACAATCGAGGTACCATACCTGCAGACAGTAAGCAGTCCCCTGTTCGAATCTGTCTTTGCGGCTGATCTTTGGGCCAAAACTGGGTCTGCCTTCCGGCGGCAGAGTAGCAAGGGAAATGATCGTGGACTTGAGGGTGGATGTGCAATCTCCTGGCAGACTGATGGTAATGAGAAAAGCGATGCTGATCCTCGAGGTTCTTTTGACGGCAAGGAAAGCTACAGTCCAAAGCGTATAATATCAGGGGTTCGGCCTACGTATACCTCGTCGCCATCCAAWCCCGACGACGTCGTGGTAAAGGTTCAGGGCTCGGCAGTAWCGCTCACGCTGGGACCAGTTGAGGATGGACAGTATACATTCATTGGTCCGGTATTCTTGACCTACGGAAGCATCTATCTGCCGCCAGATTTCCCCGACACTCCATACGTTCAATTCACTTGTTCGACCCGCTCACCCGGCCGCGAAACTTGATACAACAACATTTTCTGCTTCTTTCGAGACTGGATATGCAATTGCAGGAGATGTATTCTCGCAGCACTTGGGAGACGTGCCCAAATGGTCAATTACATCATCCGGCGATGGAAGTTTCACACCTACCTGCCAACGATCGCATTATCGAATAATTGGAATCTGAGTGGTCACTGGAGGAACTGTCTTTGCATAATTTTCGCATCGAAGGCACTGTTGATGATCTAGACCAACCCCAACCCTAACCCTGGTGGTCAAATCCATCGAATCGGGTGAATGACATCACTGACGCGTCGCGCTTGTCGCGTACCTCATGTTTGAGTTTGATGAGATGACCAGGAGAGAAAATCAACTGATGTTCAAGGGCTTCATTCCCAAGTCCGCTCTTCAATCGCCAAATTTGAGACGGCATATCCAGCAGCGAGAATGTCTAGTGCGAAGCGACCGTTGTTAACTTCACCTGCTTTGGAGGGCATGGAGGGCCCCATGGACTCCCTACACCGGAAGAAGAAGCAGAAAACAAAGGCGAAGGAGAGAGTCGTCACTGAGGTCTGTTATATGGTAAACAAGTTTGATTTACACCAGCTAACAAGTGCCGTGTAGATCCCGAAGTGCCACTTGATCATCGAAGCTCCTGACAAGTGCAACTGCAAAAAGGGATGCAAAGGGAACTGTTCGTGCAAGACTTCCGGCATGGGCTGCGGTCCGACTTGCGGATGTCAAGTCGGRGAAGATAAGACCTGTGCAAATAAGATGAACGGATTGGATGAGTTCAAGCAAAAGATTGGTGCTACTGGGCTGGCGCCTTTGCCTTGCTTTTTGACCTTTGCTTCGAAGAAAAAGGTGGACTTCAAGAAATTGGAGCAGGACATGTTGAAAGATGATGATGCCTTTGAGTACGACTTCTGGCTCAAGGAGTGGAAGGATGAGAAGTCCACACTTGAACAGAAGGATATTGCGGAGCACAACAACAAGCTTTTGCGGTATGGATTATTCAAGAACCCCAACGACCTCTCGGACTCCTTTTACAGTTTCTGTCGAGGGATGGCGAATTTCGAACCCGGCGGGGATTTGGGGACGTGGGAGCAGGATAGTTGCACATGGCATTGTCCTGTTTGCAAGGAATGCAATGACTGGCGAGAGTGGCATTGCGGCAAGTGCAAGAAGTGTACTTACGGTGTGAGCATTCCATGTGAGGGATGTGGTGGTGTTAGTGATACGTGGCACTGGGGACAACCAGGAGGTCATCTGTACCAACCTGGAATGAGCGATGATGGTTTCTCTTCAGACGGCGACCTTGAAGGCTCGATGAGTCCTCCGTATCAAACGGCGATGCGAGAGGATGATTACGAAAAAGACGGCTTTGAGCAAATACCCGGGCCTGGCATCGCGTCGGCATGGGCGTCCGGACCTGCACGCATGTCCTCTGCAAGCAGTGCGAGGACGACCGCTTTGGACCAGGCACAGATGACGGCTTCAGGCAGTGTCCGCACATCCGCGCCAATGAATACGCAGATATCCGCTGGAACCAATGCATCCACGCTTGTGCCAGGCAACGCTCAGATGCCCAGACCAAACAACGCGCTCAATATTCTAGCACAAGTAAGCGGAGGCCTCATCTGTCTGAATGGACAGTGGTATGCTCCAGTCGACCCACCAGTCCACTTATCCACGAGTTCTCAGAGGAATCACCTCGTACAAAATACAGGCAACGGACTGGCCAGACATGACCACCGATTCTTCCCGCATGACGACGCAGCAACCGGTTCGGTCAACAACTCGGCGAGCAATCCGAGTAAAGATTCGGCAACACCCACTTCATAAACTGGTGGTAGATGCGAACGTCAATTAGCCTGACAGCACAATCCCAGAGCCGAATCGCCGTGACCAGTCCAAGGCCAATGCGGCGCCCAACTCGAGTGAGAGTCTCATAGACGGCACAAACAAACGTCCCACCCACGCCAACCAAAAGTCCGCATGGTGTGCAAATATACAGCGTTTGGTCGCCATTATCACCAACCTGCCTGAGAACCTCGACGATCTGCTCCCGCCTTTCGGCGATCCCTCGAGCAAGGAGTATAGCATCTATCTTAATCTCGTCAATTGGGAGAATCCACCACCCGCGAGCATAGACGAGGTCCCCTTGGAACCCAATTACCATGAACGCGGGCCTCTAGGTTGTAGAAAGCCCTGCGCTCTCTGTGCGGCGAGGAAAGAGGAGCATGTGCCGAAACCTACATGGGGATTTATCATGTGCAATGCGAATCTTTGTAAGACGAAGGGGCAGTGCTGGTAAGATCATGTACATCAAGAAGCGGGGGAGACGGCATTGCTTTGATAGGTGCGATTGAACCACATTCAACCAACGTATTTCAGGTCGCGGGGGTGCTTCCTCCATGCATGTTTAGTGAGCTTGTCGACAGGGTGACCTCACTCAAATTGCACGCGTAGACATCTACACCTTTCTATAGATATGACTTGGGGTATCGTAGGCGACGGCCTGCTGGTCACCAGTTGGTTAGATCCTGAGCCTGGCTATGCTAACCAACGAGTTCTTCACCAATCACATGCTTCCTCACCAAGCCGACCTACATAAAATGCGCTAGTCAAAGCTAACCAACTTGAACCGCGCTTACCAAAGCTACCTAACCAGTTGGAGTCTCGCTGAAAACGTCACTATTGCTAAGATAGAAGTAGGCATGGCTATTGAAACAGCCTGAGAGACAAGTCCTGCAGCACGGAAATAACTCAGTGTTACTAGCTATGTAGAACCTACCATACCGTAGGCGTAGCAGTCGAGGTAGGATCCTACCCTCTAGGTAGCTACGACGGCATGTCCGACTGGTAACCGGTAACCAGCGGCCTTGATACCAGCGCTAAAGAAAAGCTCTTTTTTCGCCCACTCGGTAATCAACGGCACGCATACCAACGCTAACCAACAGGACTTGATAGGGCTGAAAAAATACCAACTGGTGACCAGACCAACCGAAGACAAAGTTGGCATCACCTGAAAGTCGACTGCTGATGATGGTGGTAGGAGATTGAGAGGTAGCAGTTCATAAAAGTCTCGCTCATGTGCATTATAATGATTGAACATGCTCCTTCGTCATCCTTAATATCGTACATTGCGCGTCTAGCACCCACCGTGTTGCAGCTGTGACATCTCTCCGGTTCGAGATTCCACTCCGCCATCATTGCTATTCCATCGAGAGCTACATGTACCTCTCAGTTCGGAATTTCATCAATGCTCTTCACCCAAACCTCCTTTCGTCCATTAAAATTCATCCGCGACCCACTACTAGCAGGATACACCACTCTCTTCAATCGATTACTGCCCCCAAGCGGTTGGTAAGCCTTCAATCCATGCCAAGGATCCAGTCGCATGTGATCCTCCCAGAAAGCCTTCCTTTCCAGATCGAAAGACTCCTGCTTCGGGATCTTGAGGACTGCGACTGTCTGCCAGGGATACTTTTCTTCGTCCCAGATTGCGCCTGCGTATTCTACGGGCTGCTCGTCTAGATTCTCCAGCAATTGAACTTGGAAGAGGAATTCCGCTTCGTGACTCTTGTGAAAGTGTTGGAGCCAGCGGTGGAGGATATCGGATTCGTGCTGGTTAGGTTTGACTTCGTCATTGGAGAGCTTCTCCTGGGTGGTAGTGTTGGGTACAAGACTGTACTTCATGACGTAGTCCCCGAAACGGTATGCGGATTGGGAGTATTGGCGAAAAGATGCTAGATGAAGATTGCGGGCCTGAAACCGGGCTTTCTGGAGTTTGGTGTCGTTCCGCGTTTCAAGTCCCCTGTTCATGGCGGACTCGTTGTGGCCAGCTTTCATKCGAATGTCGAAGATCTCGCGTGTTGGGCGACCAGTTGCCAATTCGATGGCTGGCGTACTGTTGAATTCGATGTCTTGAGTGGCTGTGTCCTTGCCGATGTCGAAGAAGTCGCCTTTGACGTTGAACAGCTTCATGGAGAAGTCCCGTGGTGCTGGAAGGGYATCTGACAATCCCGGATCGCCTGGCTCGGTGCTGTATCGACATGCTGCTGGGTAGACGGCTGCTTTAGCGAAGAGCTCGCCTTGGCGGAGGTGTGCTGGCAGATTTGCCAGCACCTCAAATGTTCCTTTGACGATACCATGGGTGCGAGAGAGAGCTCCGGTGTACGCATGGCGATGGGTGTCGAAGGGCTGTCTTTGCTGGGTGTAAATCTGCTCGGCCACCGCYTTGATATCATCTGCCTCGCCGGGAGGAATAATCTCAACGCCTGGACTGTCCCATTGTAGGTACTTGCGGGCAGCGAGATCGGGAGCGACCGTGGCCCGTTTGAAGTTTGGAGGTTGGGAGTCAGAAGAAGAGAAGATGCTCTTAGTAGTCTGGTTAACCATCACATGGAAAAGGTAATCCCGATCAAGCCACGAGGGCGTGAGATCGAGATTGATCGGGAGTGGATAGGAAAAGAAACGTCAGTCCTGCAATCCTGGCGGGAGGTTTCCATCAACGACGTCAGAGCAAAGGGTGGAAGAAAAAGGTTGATGATCCAACCGATCTCATATTGGACCCTGAGTGGACGGAGGTGGTGGTACCTTTTTAGTACGAAGATATGACTATCATTACTGCTCCAGTGGGATTATTGCCGCGAGCTATTATATTAGGGGGTCAACGATGTCTTTTTTTGAGCATCCCTTGCCGAGCACACATATGTAGACGAAGATGGTATACGAGCCCCATCCACAGATAACCCTGTCACTGCTCGCCACATGGGAGTTTGACGGTTCGCTCGTGTGGTTCAAGTGCCAGAGTGACGTGGATGAGCCGATCGGTCTAGCGCAAGGCGATCACGACACGATCCCGCCGTGCGGTGTGGAGACGGGGCGTGATCGCAAAAGGCCGTGTCCATCGACTCGGCAGCGGCGGGCGCCGGGACGGTACATCTGACCTGCGGCGGGCGTGGTGGATGTTTCGGTATGGGTGAGGGATGAGTGCGTGTGGGGGAGGATCTCATCTTGAAACGTGCAACCTGTCCCTCTGACGGGACTACCCGGCGCTACAGGTAATGAGAGAGTGCCGTGGTCGTGGCAGGGCTGTTTCGTGGTCAATGGATGCGAAGCCTCTCCATCATTGCGCACGATTGAAGACTAGATTCAAGACATGTCGGCGGTGAACAATGCGTCGGTAGACGCGGGAAAACCAGGTATGTCGTGAGCACAGATACTCGAGCAGCACCGGCTTGCTCAGCAATGGCGGGGAGGCCGCATCTCAATATCTGATGGATCTGGAAACACCTGGCTGATATACATACGCTACAGCCGTCGCGAAGAAGAAGAAAAAGAGCAAGAAAAAGGCCAATGGATCTGCTCAGACCGGAACGGTGTCAGGAGAGTCCAATGGTGGAAAGGATGGAGCGGAGGAGGACGACGAGGACGATGCGGGGGAGGATGCACCCGTCACGCCGCCGGCGAGCGAAGCAGCACCGAAACAGTCAGAGGAAAGGGAACTGCCTGTACGGAACGGATCACATGAACCGGCGAAAGAWGACGATCACAAGAACATACAGCCAGATGTTGCACAATCCGCAGCCAGGACCACCACCGCGCGCCTGGACGCCATGCAGCAGGAACGAGACAGCTTACGGGCCGAGGTCACAGAACTGCGCAGGTCATTGGAGAGTTTGCAAGAAAAGCACAGCGAGGAGGTGTCTGCAGTGAGAGAAGAGCTGGAGCAGTCCGAACAGGGCAAAGAACACGCCGAGACGCAGTATAGGAATCTGCTGGGAAAAGTGTCCACCATCCGCTCTCAGCTTGGTGACCGGCTCAAGGCAGATGCCGCAGAGCTGGAACAGGCACGTGAGAGGATTGAAGAACTGGAGAACTCCAACAAAACAGCATCCGAGGAGAACGAGCGATTACAGCACTCTATTGCGAAGCTCAACTCAGACGTGGAATCACAAACCTCCGAGATTGCAACCTTGCGGAGTCGGACCAATGCATCTACCAGCAATTGGGTCAAGGAAAGGGATGATCTAGTCTCGCAACAAGCATACATCCGCGAGGAATATGAGGTCGCGAAGCAAGCCATGCAGGATTGGGAGATTCTGGCCACCGAGGAGCGATCACGTCGTGAAGCCCTTTCAGAGCGTGCACAGGAACTTGAGGAGCAGCTTACTTCCGCACGCGAAGCTTATGAAAAGTTAAAAGACGAGTCAGAAACTCAATCTTCCACTGTCGATGGCCTGCAACGTGCGCTCCGGGATATGCAGGAGGAAAGGAAGCGCGAGCTGCGGGAGATGGTGGAGCAATCACAATCTCAACTCGATGCACTCCGGACACAGACGAAGAGAGCCGAGGAAGCGGCAGCTCAACTACGATCTCAGCTTGAGACCACAACAAGTGAGCTGGAACGCGCAGCACCCTTCGAAAAGGAAGTCAAGGAGAAGAACCTACTCATCGGTAAACTCCGACATGAGGCCGTCATCCTCAACGACCACCTCACAAAAGCTCTTCGCTTCCTCAAGCGAGGCAAGCCAGAAGACAACGTTGACCGACAACTCGTCACCAATCACTTCCTCCACTTCCTCCAACTGGAGCGTAGTGACCCGAAGAAGTTTCAAATCTTGCAGCTCATCGCCGCTCTACTCGGCTGGGACGAGCAGCAGAGAGAGCAAGCAGGTCTGCTACGTCAGGGTACTGGCTTCACCAATACGGGCAGTAGTCTACGGGTGCCATTATCCCCTTTCCGTCGAACACCAAGTACACCTTCGCTTTCGGGAGATTTCAGCCCGATTAGTCCTAGTGGAGAGAACCGGGAGAGTCTGGCGGAATTATGGAGTGAATTTTTAGAACGGGAGGCTGAGAGTGGAGATGGGAAGAGCGGCAGTAGTCGGAGGGGAAGTGTCATGAGTGGTAGAAGTGGGATGACGAGTCCGACTATGAGATTACCGGAGGCGAGGAGGAAGGATAGTCCGAAATTGGAGAGTGGTGATGCTGGGTAGAAGGGGTTGTGGTTTGGTGTTGGTGTATTATGACGAGGACATGTGTTGAAATACCAGATGGTTCATGGCGTAAAGCATGTTTTGCATATAGATCTTGTTTTACTTGTCTTCATTCACTTTCATTTCCACGCCACTAAAAAGTAGGCCTCGTACTCTTGCATGTGGAACGCAGCCTGCGCGCAGATCAGCATGGTAGGAGTAAAACTCGACGGTATACCCCTACCATTCACGACATTGACAGGCTGATAGGTTGCTATTCTGTTCCAAGGAAGCTCAATTATGCGCTAAGATGGCTTCTCTTCACGTGAAGCATCTGAAGATCTGTGTTTCTCACCACGAGTCTTGTGATGTGATGATTTCATCTTCTCCTGGCATCTCTACTTAGCTACTGGCTACAGGGCATCCTCGCGCGACTCATGAGTGCTTATGATGCCGGTCTTAGCCAGAGGTCAATTCGTGCTTGTGCTATCTCCATTTGAATCACGGTAGCGATTCATCTCAATCCGCACGTGTTTAGCGATTTCATTTGAAGATGATACTCTCACGAGTTGGAGAAGTAAAGTGTCTCTGACAACAAGCGCTTTCGTCAATGTGGCAGATGTCGTTTTGAAATTGCAGATAATAATACACCTTTCATTGCGAATCGCTGAGGTTCAGAACCTGATCGAGCGTTGTAGCATAGTGTGCCGCGACTGGCCATGGACCCAGATGTCGTAGCGTAGCGGAAACACCAAATGCAAGCATGCCACATCGCGTGGGCGTAGCATCGTCTTTGAGAACCTCCAGGTCACTTTCGGTCAAAAAGTCTGCTTGACGGAGCGTTTCGATGCCTGGGTAGTGCTCTGTCGTCATGGTAGGTAATTCATCGCCTGTTGCGTTGGGTTGCGCCAAGGAGGAATATACTGCTAAGATGAGTCCCGCGTGCCAGAGAGATCTTGCTACATGTGCTGCGGGCACATCGGAGATGCGGAAATCGTCGGTCAGTCTGCAGAGAAATATTGCATGTGCCATGCATTGCTTGGCGCGAGGCGTGAGCATCCAAGCACGCAGCTGTTGGGTCTCGGCATTGGGGATGGTGGATCCATCTCTTCCACATGCTTTCTCTACGAGATTCACATCGCATAGAAGAAGCAGAAAGGTGCAATGCCATAAGCTGAGCATGGTCAAGCGTTGCACTCTATCCGCTCGAAATGACTCGGCGGACTCTAGAAACCATGCGTGGAGTGCCGTTTGATACTCGTCGATATATTGATCACTCATATTGGAAAAGGGAAAGCAGCGAGCATGGCTGATCTCGCCAATAAAGCACTCTAGCATGGCGCAGTTCGAAAAGTTTGAACGGAATGGAGGCGAGTTGGTGGGAATTGCATGCTGCAGGTTGACCCATTCGTCAGCTGTCCTGGCCAGGTACAGACTGTCATGAGCAGCAACTGGAATGTCCATTGTTTGCGTGCGGTGGAARGCAGGTTGTTGAGTTATCGCAGCAACTTCGCCGTTGTGAATATAGAGGGCGTTGAGGAGTCGAATGATGGTTTGGGCTATGACCCAGTCGTCCCAATCCTTTGCTAGAACGGAGCTTGGTGCTGGTTCAGGTGAAGGCTGAGAGGCTGAGAGGTAAGTGTGACTCTTGCGTGCGGCGATGAACAAGGTGCTGTGGAAGGCTTGTGCAGTCATCAGATGCTCAGGCTTGCCGGACATGAGCGCAAAGGTTTGTCCAATGGCTGCTGCCTGCAAAGCAGCGAGCACATGCTTATCCAAGGCTCTGTCTGGCGAGTAGGCTACCAGTATAGCTTTTTGTACCCCTTCGAACAGCCTTTCCGCGTAGAAGATGGCTTGCTCTGATCCGTTGGCTAGGGCTCCGAGTGAACAGATGGAGAGCAACAGTAGCGGATTTGTCCGAGCAGGCTGGAATGTTGGGAGATGGATAATTGGAATGGCGGGCCAGAGACGAGTAGTGAAAGTGTGAATGCAGCGATTTAGAAACCGTGCGCTGGGTAGGGCTGTGTTTTGTAAGGGCTGTCTGAGTACTAAACTGCTTGCAAGCGCATCTCGTGATATCTCTCCTTCGGCCGTGGGCATTGGCGTGTGAGACTGTGAAGGTCCGGCAGACCAGCTTGGTTGAATTCTGGGGTGCGCCATGTGCGTGAACCATTGTGGGCTTGCCTGTTGCCGTGGGAGGCTATTTGGTGGTCCTGAATGTGCTTGAAATGGTGKCACCTCGAGCTCGCCAGATGAGCGCAGCATTGGTAGCCATGGTGTACTGAGATCGGCCGTGTTGGGATCAAACGAACATAGATCATCAACGGAGAAGTTTGGATCCAGATTCAGTGCATCGTCCCAATGCCAACTCATATCATTTGCGAAATATCTCGAGGGACTAGAGGGACTTTGGGCAGCTCGGATATCATTTTCTTCTTGAAAAAGATGGCTCAAATGGGTTGTTTGCTCCACAGAAGTCGACGGATGCACTGCATCGAGCACGCCTGTATCGGCTGTCGCTGGGGTCYCTGTATGGACACTGTTTTCATCTTCGTCTGGATGGCAGATGCGAATGTGACGCCGTAATGCATCCCGCCGCGAGAATTTGGACGAACATCGAGTACAATTGAACGGTCTTTCGCGTGTATGTGTCCGTACGTGACGATCGTAGTGTTCCTTCTTGGTGTATGATGTCCCACAATACTCGCAAATACGACAACTCTTCGGCATCATGTTCCGGTGTAGGCTGGCCGGCTGGTGTGGAGAGTGGATGGAAGGAACATGGATTGTGTGGGGCAGGGAAGAGGGGCGGGGAGGGGCAAGGGGTGAAGATTAGTAAGGTAACTGCTGTTGAATAATACACCTAGCTAGCGTACCCTTCGCAGCAGTTAGGTAGGTACTAGGTACAGTTATTAACGGTCAAAAGTCAGTTTGACAGTTTCTCCTCTCTACTAAGCTCTACACTATTCACATCATACGACATGTTCCGCACTACCATCTAGGTGAAAAGCCTAAGGCCTAGATTTTGGACAACGATGTAGAGGCGTCGCCACCAGACCATACTAATCCATTGGTTTATCAGTCAGATTCAATCCTGCGGGGAGCATGCATGGCGACGTACGTGTTGGGATTAACTCACTTTTCAAAGCGAATGGTGTTGCGAAGGACGCCTAGGGACTCAATCTCGACCTCTACGACATCTCCATCCTGTAAGAAGGTCTTTGGACTTCGGAATGCACCAACTCCAGCGGGTGTGCCTGTCATGATTGCAGTACCGGCTGGGATCGTGGTGCCTGTGGTGGACGGTCAGTAGAGCTTCTCATACTTTTATGACAGATCTTAGATATGCACTGACCTCGACTCATATGGGCCAGGATCTGGGCTGGGGTGAAAATCATGTCCTTGGCAAGCTCGACGTCCTGAACAACTTGTCCATTGACTCGGGTGGACAGTCGTTGTCCAGATGAAGTTGCATTGTACTTTTCCGTACTGACAAGTAGTGGTCCAATGGGAGCAAACTTATCGAACGCCTTTGCGTAGAAGAATTGTCCTCCCGAATTGTTGGGAAGCTGGAAGAACCGACAAGACAAGTCGTTACCGACCGTGTAGCCAAGAATGTAGGAGTCCGCTTCGCTGGCTTGTATATTTTTGGCATCTTTGGATGTAACAAACACTAGCTCGCCTTCATAGTCGGGGAGGCTGAGCGCAAGGTACTCATCAAGAGCAATATCCTCTCCTGGATCTGCCAGAGATGTTGCGGGCTTGGTCCAGAGTGGTGGGTATTTGGTCACAGTGAGCTGTTACATGGGTGAATGAGTACGTTGGAAGAAGATCTCTTATTACCACGCACATGAACTCACCTTGGCTTCTGCTGCGTGAGATCTGTAATTGAGACCTACACAATAGATTGGGACTGTTGTGGAAGGTAGCGGTGCAAGAAGCTGCATGTTGATCGTGAGCCGGCATGTTTTCGAAGAACAAGGCAACCTTTCAAATTCAAACCTTTTCGACGGTACGTTTCGATCCGCCGGTCTTGGATCTCAAGTTATCGATGGAAGCATATCCATCGACAGCGGTCCCAATGAGCTGTGCACCAGACATTCCATCCTTCTGACATGTGGTGGGGGCAAAGTATGCCTTCTGATCTTCCTTTGCTACAAACTTGAAGAGAGCGTCGAATTCTGACATGACTGTGAACTGCTGAAGACAAACGGATTGGGGAGTCCGAAATCCAAGACTATCTCAACAGCGGTCCAAAGGCTGGGGCCTTGCCCCACTGTGGGACCGCTTCCTACCAGGCACCATACGTCTCACTGCCGGGGTGGTCGCGCTACACGGGTCTCCATCGAGCTCGCTTGTCGTATTCGCTTTGAAGAAGGCAGTTAGACTCGGTTGGTACTTTCTGTTCTTAACGACCTCGGAGTTCAAGACCTGTTGCAATTTCCGCTTTAGCTGCAAAGAGCTCATAGGTAGTGATTCTCCCGCCTTTGACCTAACTTCCCTAAAGCTTGCTGTTTGGCTGCAACGGACAATCATCTCGCATATCATTAGGTCATTATTGAAACCATACAATTTGTATCTTTGCTTACTCGCTAGATCTCAAGTGCAAGATTATATAAGCAATCACATGCAAATTGGAGATGAATACACGCTAAAGTGGGGTCGCTGCGATGAGGGGCTGACGWCCCACACAACAAGCATAAGTGCGGGCTCTACTAGCTTGCCATGAAAGACGTTCCAAACCTCTCGCTACGCAACACACTTCACATCAGGCATGGGATTGAACGAGCTCGCCTTGTCTTTTGTTCTCAACGTCATCAGCAAGCTTCCACGCAACATTCGAGAGAGCATTGTGCCCGACATGCTCATCCCACCGATCGCCAACAACCCAAATAAGGTGCAACTCGCGAGTCTGGGCCATGTTTACTTCGAACATCCCGATTTAGAACAGTTCGATGCCTTTGCGGTCGACTTCGGATTTGCGGTCGTGAAGAAGGAGAAGGGAAAGTCGTTCTATCGCGGGTACGGCAAGGACCCCTTCATCTATGTAGCATCGCAGTCTGCCGACGACGCGCCACACTTCAAGGGTCCCGCCTTTGTTGCGAAATCACAGGAGGAGTTCGACAAAGCCAAGGCCCTTCCTGGTGCACAACTTGGTTCACTGGAAGACGCTCCTGGAGGTGGTCAGATCGTCACCTTTGCACGTGCGGAAGACACCTTCTTCCATGTTATCTTCGGGCAGAAGCAACGAGAGATCGATCTCTCTTCAACTCCAAGTGCGACACACGAGGAAGTGGGGCCATGGAACACACCTTTCGAAAAGCCGCGGAAAGGTATGCAAAAGCTTGTGCTGGAGCTTGAGAAAACGCGACAGGAGTAACTGATGTCACGAATAGGTACTTTTAAGCGGTTCCATGAAGGCCCAGCTCTCATCCACAAGTTGGGACACTTTGGCTACGTCCATCGTCAATTCGACGAGGAGTTGAAATGGTACACAGACAACTTCAACTTCGTTCCTTCGGATATTCTGCATCACTGGGACTTCTCAAACATCGATGTCATGACATTCATGCACCTTGATCTGGGCAAAGACTACTCCGACCACCACGTCTTCTTCATGCAGCGTTCGCCGCCTGAGGTTACCAAGACGTATCTACACCATTCGTCTTATGAGGTTGAGGATCTCGACACCCAACTAATTGGGCACCACTGGTTAGCGAAGAAGGGGTGGAAGAGTGTTTGGGGTGTTGGTCGCCATGTACTTGGCAGCCAGATCTTTGATTACTGGCAGGATCCTAGTGGTTTCAAAATCGAGCACTACGCAGATGGAGATCTCGTCAATGTCGACACCGAGACGAAGAGAGATGTTGTCGGTCCATTATCAGTCTGGGGACCTGAATTGCCGAAGGACTTTGGTGAGGACGGAACGTTGTTGTTGGTGTAATTAGATCATGATCGCACAAGTATGTAGCATCCAATGACTTCAGTACCGGCACATGATCATCAAACCCCTCCTTGATGGCTGTTCGACCGGGCGATCTACTACTCGAGCTGTCCCACATTTCGAACAAGATGGGGCAGTGTGGGGTGAAACCTAGCAGCCCCATTCATAGAGCAACTTATACGTGTCGGTACCTGGTCGTACCTTACTGTCGCAGTTTCAATCAGTTCAAGATGGAGCAGGCACGTGTCGTCGTAGTCGGCGCTGGGCCCGCTGGTCTCGTCGCTGGACTCTCTTTGGAACAGCAAGGTATCGCGGTCAGTTCATTCATCTTTGGTCGTTTTGTCTAAGATTACTACATATACTGATGATGTTTACAATAGAGCATCATCCTCGAAAGGGAGCCAGGCATTGTCGAAGATCCTCGCGGGGTCTATCTTGCTGCTGATGCTGTCCGCATCTTGTATGCCCTCGGACTGGGGCCTGATATGCCAAAGATCGGCCATGGCATGTTCATCAACTCAATCTAAATTGCGACATCCCTGATTGGAATCCCAGATCTACACGCGGTACACTTCCATACCTCAAGTCTTGTCAATCAACCTTTTCATAGCCTTGATGTCCACAAAGACAGTCTACAACAGACGGTCCCGACTGGAATACTGCAGATTCAACCAGAGTTAGGTGAGTCGATCGATCCGCTTGTCGACTTTGTTAGATCGATCACGTCTTTTTAAAAGCCACTGGTTGACCTCTAGTCCAGAAAAGGCACTTCGTACAAGGATAGAAGCTAGCAAGCTCTGCGATTTGCGCACAGGATGTGAGGTGGAGAGCCTTCGACAGGATGGTGATGGTGCTATCATAGAGTACAAGGATTCTAACGGTTCGAAGAACACATTACAGACAGAATGGCTGATCGGAGCCGACGGTAAGAGAGGAGTGGTCCGTAAAACATTCCTGGAGAAGGTGGCAGACATACGACAAGTGCACTCGAGCTATCGTTACGAAGGAACATGGATAGCGGCGAACCTCAAATTATCGCTGCCCACACCCGAGACTCATCCCGATTTCCCAGCTTGGAAGCTTGGTATGAGCCCTCAGGAGGTGTATGATCTTTTCTGGCCCAAGGGCTGGCATTTCTGCAGCCCACCCGGAAAGCCCACAGCTACTGGTCGATTCGGGCCTCATGAGCAGCGATACTGGCGTCATRAGCTCAGACAAGACGATTGGGATCCAAATACCATGAACGCGGAGGAATTGCTATGGGAGCATCTCACTCCAATGATAACCAGGACGGAAGACAGCAGTGGTAGGCCATTTGATCGACCCACCGTCTTTCCACGAGACTGCATCGAGATTCTCCGGTGCAGGCCTTTCACATTCACCCACAAGATTGTCAATCGATGGTATCACCGCAAGACCGTCCTCATCGGGGATGCTGCTCATGTCTTCCCGCCATTCGGCGGACAGGGTATCGCTAGTGGTATAAGGGACGCACATCAGCTGGCTTGGCGCATCGCTCTCATTGAGAACGCATCATCATCAAATGCCACACAACTGTCGTCGGATGCCATTCTCGAAGCCTGGTCGAAAGAACGTACGCAGAGTGTCGCAGATGCAGCCTATCTCACCAAGATGAATGGTACCTTGTGCAACAACGCAAGTCCAATGCTGTTCACTGTTATACACTTCATTCAATGGGTGGTCAAGCTCCTATTCCCATCCGCCGAGGACTACGACCCGCAGGCACTTGGCGAGCGGAATGGCATGCGCAATCTAGCTGGAGGTTTCTTCCTATCCAAACATGGTGGCGGGCTAAGGATACCGCAAGTGTTTGTCGACACCATTATGAAGGGCACGGTAAAGTCTGACGAGTTCTTCGTCTCCGCTCCATCACCCATGCAGATCTTGGTCCTTGTCAGAGGTGATGGAAAGCCACAATCCGGACGTCATGCAATTCGCACTTTGCTCGACAAGCACCAAGTACCTCATGGCGTGATTTCCCCAGATGCCACGTCTACACTCAGCTTGGCTCCGTGCAGTCCAGAGAGTGTTGGATCATTCGCTGAACGTAGCGTTCGGAAAGCTTCCTTGACCCCCTTGAGGCGTCTGAATAAACGACAAGCAAGACCAGGATATAGCGTCGATGTCTTCGATACCCGGCTGGGGAAGAGCACGCAGTATGTGATCCTTCGGCCGGACTTTTACATCTTTGCTACAGCCCGGGATGAGAGGGAATTGGGAGTTTGCTTGCAAGGTCTAAAGGGAATGCTCGAAGTGTCGTAGCCAGTGTGTCCTGTATAGAACATAATAGCAAGCATTTTTGAAGATATCCAGATCTTGACCTATGTCTCTGACATGTTCCTCTTAATTGGGTAAGTTTGGTACCCACCTGCGGCTCGTCAGATGTGTCTTCGTTACGGCATCAGGAGTTTGGTACCGGACATCCGCTGAGTAATAGCGGTACGTCGTTACACCTGTGACGCTGTGGCGGCGTGAAGATCTGTGGGAAACACATTGTGTGGGGCGATTTCAAGCTGTGTGGGGCATTCTCCTGTCACTGCCGTGCCTTGGCTGTCCTTTATGGGAGACATCGTATAGCAATGGCTCTATTCACGCCTCCAGTTCCTGCCACCTCAAGTCATTGGCGGTCATATTCAGTTACATGTTCCAGGCTACCTTACGAACATGTCGTCGCTATCTTCACTGAGCTCCTCACCCTTGTTGCTCTTGGCACTGGGATCATTGCTTCTGTTCTGGATTGGAGTTCGTGTTCAGAGATTATACCGTCATGATCTTCGCAATATACCCGGTCCTTTCCTGGCGAAGATCTCGGGATTGTATCGCTTGTCCATGGTTGGAGGAGGCAAAGGTCCAGCCGAATATCGCAAGCTACATCAACAGTACGGACCCATTGTCCGTGTAGGTCCCAATCATGTCGCGGTCTCAGATCCTGCAGCTATTCCTGTCATCTATGGACTTGGAAGCAAATATATGAAAGTCAGTATCGTTTCTTTCAGATGCAGTGTCCATATCTTTATATAACTGACAGGGATGTTCTAGACGGAATTCTACAAGACCATGGTGCCGTCCTATGATGGTGTTGCTATCGACAGCATGTTCACTGCGAGAGATCCAGCAATCCACAAAGCTCTCAAGACACCGGTAGCCTCGTTGTTTGCCATGTCCAACATGCACAACTACGAGCCGTACGTGGACGAGTGTACCCAGCTATTCGTTGACGCCATGCGAGATTTGGAAGGCCAAACGGTCGATCTGGCAATCTGGCTGCAATGGTATGCATTCGACGTTATTGCCGGATTGACGTTCCAGCGAAGATTCGGGTTCCTGGAGCAGAGAAAGGATGTGAACAATATGATCAAGCAGCTTGATGAAGGGCTCGATGCCGTCAAGGTTCTGGGTCAGTATCCTGTGCTAGATACCCCAATCAAGGCGGTACTGCGGCAGTTACAGCCTTTGCTCGGGGGTTACGATCCCTTGATCAAGTTTGTGGACGTGAGTTACTGTTTGAGGTTCCCTAGTACACGTTGATCGTTTGACCTCTAACTATCTCCAGATTTGTAAAGATGAGATCACCCGCTACGACGACTCTGCCAAGGGTACGAAGCGGACAGATTTTCTGTCACAGCTTCGCCAAAGGGAGGCCAAGCTAGTATCAGCCAATCCAAAAGGTGATGTCCGTGGTGAGATTCTCAACCACCTGAGCAACAATCTGTGAGTGTGACGACGAGTAACTAGAGGCTATAGCTACTGACCTGCTCTTGTAGGCTTGCTGGTAGCGACACTACCGCAATATCACTACGGTCATGCTTCTATTATTTGATCAAGACCCCACGTGTGCTGGAGAAGCTGAGACAGCTGTTAGACCAGCAAGAGCGCGATGGAAGAATCTCTAGTCCAATCACGCTAGAAGAGTCTCTCCAGATGCCCTACCTGTGAGTGAAGTGAAGACTTTTGCTCGCTCTCTTTCCTGAGATACTGACGAAACACCATTCAGACAGGCTATCATGAAAGAGGCAACACGTCTGCACCCTGGCGTTGGTTTCCCCTTGGAACGATCCGTCCCGTCTGAGGGCGCAACACTATGCGGTTTCCCATTAGTCGCAGGTACTAACGTCTCGATGATGGCACCTGTGGTACAGGTCGATCCGGATGTCTTCGGTGAGGATTCTCAGGAGTTCCGGCCAGAACGATGGCTGGATTCTGATCCGGAGCAATTGAAGCTTATGGAAAGATCTATGTTGGTGGTGAGTCACAAACTGCCGTCACATGCTCGATTTGTCCGAGAAAGAGAGACTGATCAATGAGATTTACCTAGTTTGGCCATGGTGCTCGTACATGCATTGGGAAGAACATTTCCATCATGGAGATGGGCAAGTTCATCCCTCAAATCCTACAAACCTTCGATCTGGAATGGGCATCGAAGAATCCAGAGTGGAACACGAATGCGGCTTGGTTTTGGAAGCAGACTGATATGCAGGTGAAGTTCAAGGCTCGTCGCAGGTCGTAAATGGACTAGAGTCGCGTTACACGTCGTGCATGGGAGTATGGTCCCTACAGGCTGCAATCCCTCCCTAGTGATATATTGCTTCAAAGTACCTCACCGCCAAGCATAGGCGAAATGTCTGTCAGGTGTCAAGGCCTGCCTCACTTCTTGGGGGTAGCATAGTAGTTCCCTGAACCCCGTCTGATCGGCGGTGTTTGTACATCCGATAGTTAGGCCGGATGAAATTTGAACTAGGCACTAGGCAGGCAGCTTTTTAAGACGTTCATTCCATCACGTCTTGACGAAATATCAGCCCTTAGCTTTGTTAAGAATATGTTAAGCAATGCTTGCTTTTTGTTGCCTTCCTTAGGAACTTGTTCTTCAGATTGAGTCGAGGTACAACCAATTCGACTTCCAAGCAGCCTACCCGCGAGCATTCGGGTTGAAGTTTCGGTCCACAATGAAAGTGGCCACCAGAGGGTACATGTCGGCCGCCGCTACAGGAGGTAACGGAATTGCTTCTGGGTACCACCCATAACCTCCCTCCTCACACACCTTGCTCTCGTCACCTTCCTCCCACTCGCCTGTCTCCTCCAAATCTTTGGAATAGACTTTGTGGTACGGTTGTTTGTCCGGCATCGCCATCTGGATAGAGAGAGAGACGTTGGGACCGTTTGTTGTGATCTCGAAGCGGATCCAATATTCATAGACGTACCCCCGACTTTTTACAAATTTGGCCTGGAAACCCAACGCCTTGAATTTCGGTAAAGGTGCCTTGAGGGTTGGTCCCCACTGATGTATATCGTCTCTCAACTTCTGGGTCGCCGGTTGGAGAATCGGGCTGTCATTGGGTTTCTCATGCTGTGTCCAATAGATGACGAAGTCCTCAAGTGCCGTTTCATGTACTCCGGTGTAGTAAAGATGCCACATCTCTGTCGTGTGAGCTTGCCCGAGAGTGTTTGTTGAGCCGTGACCTGAGATCGATCTCCAGCGATACTCCAACATGTCACGAACACCATCGATACCTTTGGTGAACATTTCATCCACCCTCCTTCTTGTYTCCCCGCCTCGTGGACATGGAGTGGTGGCATCGCGGTGATTGACATTGTCGGGGTCGAACACCTGGAGTTCCCCAATGCCAAAGTAATTCCTTGTTGTGCAAGCACTGGTGTCTATGTCATGGAATCTCAGCAGAGCTCCGAGGCAAACGTGCTGCGAATCTTCCACCGCCGGATCCGTACCGMCGAGAATGAAGTGATATCGAGATTGATAGTGGTTGCGCACAATGGTCTCAACATATGGTGAGTTGAACGTGCCGCCCTCCGCGATTATCATCGTCGTGGTTGGAGCAATCTGTGCATCGATGCATCTGATGATATCACGCACCACATCCCCGAAGAATTGCTCCATCAGTGCGGGTGGGATTGTCAAATGCCAGAACTTGGTATTGTCCGGTGACCATATGCGAACTTCACTTTGTCGTTGCAAGGTGAACTGCATTTTGACACATTCGAACTCCTCGTTAGCTTGGACCAAAGCTTCATCTGTGTCGGAATGAAGTGAGTCACACCATTCTCCCAACGACTGATGACTTCCAGTATCGTGTGCGGTATGTTCGAGCCACATCAGGAAAGCCTCGTTGACGTGTTGTGACCCGCAGAGTGCTCCTTCTGCTTCGCCCATGGCCTTCAATGGCATCTACGCGGATATGTCAACAGAAGTCGATATTGACGATCTGGGCACATGGGATTGTGCTGATGAGGTAGGTCAACTTACCTGTGCTCCCGTCGATTTCCCGGTAAGCTTCTCATATGACACAAAATCTCCGGTGCCACCTCCCACATCGGCTAGAATAACCACACTACCGACGTGCAGTAGCGATGCCTCGTACACTCTTCGCAGTATATACGCCACTGCACACTGTGGTTCGTATACGAGTGTGGTGCTCACGATCTTGGTTTCTTTCGCCACTCGTCTTGCTGCTTCGGTCATCCAGTATGTTGCTGGGGCTATCCACATTTGTGGCACGCTGATGAAAAGTCTGACTTCCATCTCATCGATATCCTTCTTTCCGTTAGTTTTGCTGCAGATTTGAATGGTAGGGGACAACTTACACCAACTTGTCCAAGACCGAACCTAATGTCGTTCTTCATGTTAGTTTTGATCAACTTGATGATGGCAAGCAGGTGCTCGGTGATGAGGTCTTGAAGAGTCTTTCCGTAGTGTTCCAGTTGTTTGTGGACACGGCGCACAAGCGGCGAGTCCTTGAAGGCAGGATAGAGGCATAATTTTCCAGAACTTGATGACGTTTCTTTTGGGGATGTGCTTCCTGTCTATAGCCAACCTGATATCATGTCCCCATATGAATTCTTTGTTATCATCCCATGCGACTTCCCGCGGCGCAGTATCCTTGCCACGGAGGAATCTGATCCCTCCTGGAGGATTGGCGTCCATCTGTTGTGGAGTCTCGTCCTCGGGGTACGTGCGGACCGCCGCAGCAAGGTTGCTGGTTCCATAGTTAATTGAGATATCAAGCGCCCTCTTCTGCTGGTGTGAACTATGCTCCGGGTCGAACTGCATGGTGATAGTTGGTGTGATTGTATGAAGAAAAGGTTGGGCTACCTCAAAAGTGATGTGCCGCGGATGCCAGTGTCTGACAGAGAGGTTAGCACAAGAGCTTCAGGTAGCTGTTATTGATGTCGTGTACCAGAGCCTAGAGTCTGGAGCTCACGAGTTCACGAGCTTGCCGATGTCACCCTGATAGAGTGAATCACGATGCGGGGAGTGGTCTGACGGAGCCGTCCCCGTCCTGACAACTTGAGCAACAGCTCAATGGCGTGATAGGAATTGGCCGGCAAGGCAAGTGTTCTTTTGTTGTTTTTGCTGTGGAGAGGTTCACGAAAGCGCTAGCCAAAGAAAGTTATATGGATGGGGTAACTTCACATTGTTCTTGGTGAAAGTGTACGTGAAAGTAAACGTGACAGTTAAAAGTGAAAGTAAAAGTGAAGTTTCATCTTTTTGCTGCACCGGAGTTGATCTTCGCCTTTCCCAAGAAAGAACCACCATCGTACCCTTGACCATCTACTACTTGAACACAGTCAACAAGGATGCAGCCGCAGAGATCTTCACCACGGCATACCACACCACGTCCGCCGCCCGCATCGATTCGGACCTCGACCATGAGTTCGGTGGAGATGCGGTTGGCGGCGATCAAGCTCGGCCTAGAAGACATCGACGAGAACCTGCAGCTCTACACAAGCCAGGTAGAGGCAAACTCAAGAGTCGCCGTGGCCTTGCAGCGTGAACGTCTTTCTGCCGTGGCAGAAAGAAATGCCTTGGAGGTGCGCGACACCCACGACAGAGTCAGTGCGCTAGGCGGAGAGAAGTTTAGAGATTGGCTCATGGGCACCGTGGATCCTTACAGACGCCCGGAATACGGCAATTTCGGCAATGGCATGTTCAAATGGGGTAGCGCTATGCTCACTACGAAGTACCTGGAGAAGATTGGATATGTGAGATCCGAGCCAGCACCAGAAACGCCCGACCAAGCATCTTCAAACATGAAGAAAACATATCTTACGAACCTCAGTATTCCCGAAGATCAAAGCGTTTCACGGCAAGAGTACGCTACGTCGCCAGACTTTAGCCGTCTGACTGAAGGAGAACGATCGGCGGCTGAAGGAACCGTAGCAGAGGCGTCGAATAAGGCCGGAGTCCAAAGTGCAATTGGCCAAACGGGTCCACTATCATGGCCAAAGAACTCTTCGTCACAAGAGAAGTCTGTTCGCAATGACATCCCAGCTACCATCAAGTTAGCGGCACAGAAGCGAGGAGGGCCGATGATGCTGAATTCCACGCAAGACGAAGCAGCGTCGAACCCGGTTCACCCGCAGTCTCACGCAAAAGTCGATCCGCAGCTGCCGACTGCACAGCGCCAGTCAAGGGTATTTAACGGCCAGGTGTCTGCGGGGAGTAGACTTGCGGACATTCCGGGCTACCAGGCTCTGGGTGCCATATCCTTGATCACACCAAAGTCACCATCGATCAAAGACCAAGCGCATCTCCAGCGTGTCAAGCGACCTGCACAGTCACCCGCAACAATACCAGCTCCGAAGCGTCAGAAACCCCTCGACGGATCTCACGCCCAAGACTCATCGTCGCACGCGGTTGATGCATCACCAAATATACAGCAGCCGGGTTCGAGCTCAGAGAAAATGCCAGTTGCGCAAAGCACGCTTCAAGGTATGAACGATCTTCCCGTGATTGAAACGTCACCTCCGACACACGTAGGTCATACCACGGACGGTCCGCCAGTCAGCCTGAGTAGGGTCCGGCCAAGACCAAAGCATACCATCGCCCTTCTCACGTCGCCGGGTTGTGAAGCCTACACAATTAGGACCAAATTACTCCGCACCGCGATCGCACAAATGAGCTCGACGTGTTTCTCCCTGACTGAAGCTGGGCGAGCCGCAGATCCCGCGGTTGTGGAATATCCAGCCGATAGTCTCAAAGACCTATACAAGGTCATGTTCTGCCGCAACAACAGAGACCCGTGGAAAGATKGCGCAAACCCAGTTCTTCGGGATGTTCTTGATGGGAACATGCTCCTGGAAGGAATAATTGGAGCGGCAGTTTATGACAAGGTGTTTACGAAGCCAGTTCCGTGGAGCTCTCCAATCGACCTTATTCAGCGAATCCAGGAGGATGGCCATGCGCCGTACCTCAAAGATGCAGCCGACCAGACTTCTGGATTGGACTTCGACCTCGAGTTCTTCATCTACAGAGCTGCTCAACTGAAGGCCTATGATCCGCAATTCCAGAACTCAACCATCCGTCCCATTGCCAGACGACTTTCGGCAGACATCCTCATTACACTCATGCCACAGTTCAAGGTATTGGAAATTGAAAGGGTCATTGACAAGCCCGACACGAAAGCCCGGGAGGCATTGTGGAACCAAATTTCTGCGGATCTGACAGACATCGTGACGCAGGCACTCATTATCCGGGGAATGATGCATGCAGCAAGGGATGAGTACCAATTGGTGTGGGTACCGGGCGGATCTCCGTACGACTCCGAGAGAATGTTCGCCATACCTCCAGCATCCGAAAAGGTCGGAGAGATGGCGTTTTGCGTCGTGCCGGGGATTCTCTTCAGGGCGAGCCCAACTGAAGATTGGTGCGTTACAAGCCAGGCGATTGGCTACCGCAAGGTGAAGACTGTGGGTTGAGGCGATGCCTCCAGGTGATTGCCATGCCTATTGGTTTTGCGAGAGGGGGCAAGCGAGAGGCGTGTTGTGCTATGTCTAGTTGGGCCGAGAGTGGTCGGGATAAGAAGCCCGATATGACTTTGCGGAAACCTGAAAGTTACGAGAGCGTGAAATACGGACTGCTCGTGCGCGTAGCTAAGTCTTGAAGTAGTATTCGCTGCTCATGGAGATTGGTAGCAAAGGTGTGYTCTGAAGCTCCGCTACACAGACTTGTTGATAAGTCCATTTGATGCGACGTCAAGAGGCTGTGACTTTCTCGGACAGACTCTCAGCTGGGGAAGTTGCCTCGTTTATCGCCAGATGCAGCGTTCCCAAGAGGATGTGCCTCGCTGTACATACTACTCCACATGAGGTTGTGAGGTGAGAGATAAAGATTGATCCTTGCCATCTCCGGGTAGATCCGCGGCCGCCTGCCCGCCCGGCTTGGCATGTCATAGGAAGATTAACGTGGTAGGTTGATGCAACCTCACTTCGCGCGCTGTCAATTCACCAACATGAACTCCATGCGCCCACTCGTTATATCCGGGCCCTCGGGGTCTGGCAAATCCACCTTGATCACCCGTCTCCGTAACGCGTACCCCAACCGATTCGCACTCTCAGTCTCACACACCACTCGAGCACCACGGGCCGGCGAGCAGGATGGACGCGAATACAATTTCACGGACAAGGAGCGCTTCCAGAAGCTCAAAGATGCCAATGGCTTCATCGAGACTGCGCAGTTTGGCAGTAACTTCTACGGAACAAGCGTACAGGCTGTGAAGGATGTAGCAGAGGCCGGCAAGGTTTGTATTCTCGATATTGAAATGGAGGTGAGTGGACAACCCGTCGTATTACTGTCTTGACAATAAATCCAAGTCTGACAACTTCAACAGGGTGTCAAACAAGTTAAGAAGACCGACCTCAACGCCCGATTCCTTTTCCTACAGCCACCATCCGTCGAGATCTTGGAGCAGCGGCTTCGTGGTCGAGCAACCGACAAGGAAGATGCAATCTTGCAGCGACYGGCACAAGCAAAGCACGAGATTGAGTTTGCGAAGACCCCGGGTGTCCATGATAAGATCATTGTCAATGATGACCTGGAGAAGGCATGGAAGGAGTTTGAGGAGTTCTGCACTCAGGATTGAGCTGCCAGTACGAACTGTCGATATCAGATGTTGCGGTGATCCGGCAAGTACCAAAGAATCTTCGCTATCTCCTTCMTTCTCCGGTACCTACTTTTCTTCGTCATATGTGAGCGCCGACCGACACTCTAAAGATCTCACATGTCACTCGAGAAGAAGAGCGAGAACTGGAGCTGATCGTTGTTTCATGAGATCTTTATCTGCCTTCATACTTCCACTGCTTGTGTATCGTAGGTTAACCTCTACAGCACTATGCGGCTCTGTAGTATTACTTGATTGTGCATAAGAGGCTCTCTCCGGGCTGTCCGTCGAAGCGCGTTTTCGCTGGCTTTTACCCACATCCAAGGCTGTTAGACACACGATAATGTCGAGAGTCTTTCTTGATGACTATGTGCCTGGCTGGAGTCTCCCACGTTGCGGTAGCAACTCTTCCGGCAGCTCTGGTGGGGTAAATCTTTTCCAGCTTTCACATGCGGCTTCACTTCACTTGAGTCTCCGGGGTACGGTCCGGACGGTGGCCAATCCCATGGACATATGGTCGGTTTCCATCAAAAGCTGCCGGTTCCCGTCCTGGAAACTACGTATAATGGACACGGATGGACCAACAGGGTAGGAACCGCTACGCTGCTATGCGTTCACAGTTGCTCTTCCAGACTTGAACAACGCTGCGCTGTCGTGTCGACCGTCTGCGGCTCCACTTCACTTTGCTCGTATGCACATGCGTGACTGCCGTTTGGCACTGCACAGAGCTTTGACTGTTTCAGCTTCTCACCACACTACTTAAGCTTCACAGATCACCGAACCGACACCTCTACAAACAACACCACCATCCATCACTGTCTATCACTTCCACTGTCACACTTCTCCATCTCCGAGACCGCACCACACTATCCACACACTATTGGCTGCTGTAGCCTCGCCACCGGCGTTTTTGTAGCAGTTGCTCGCACCAAGCTATACAGCAGGTCTGCAATCTGCTGTACTCGCGGCGGCGGCGCAAAATTTCCTACCTCGATTCACTTTGTGTTTCGCTCGTAGACACTCTCTCGCGGGTCATAACACGCTCTAACAACACAATCTCCCGACTCTCACAACATACCACACGACAATGGCGACTAATACTGACGGTATCCACATCGGACTCGATCTCGGCACCTCAACTATAAAGACCAGCGGCACATACCTGAAACACGGCAAATACCTGGTACCATCGGATATTCTACTAGTACAGAATCTCCGAATGGTTCCTGCAGCGGCTGCTTATCTCAATGGTAAATTCTACTGGGGTCAAGCCCTGATGGACCTTGTCGCGAAGGGCGATATTCCAGTCGAGAATGTCATGCGGCACTACAAGGTGCTTCTGCATGAACCTGAAACCGCGTGGGATACCGAGATGAGGAATCGCCTCGTGCATCAGCTTGCTGTGGCACATGTTCCACTCGRGGACTTTTACGTCGACATTTTCACCCACCTCGTGGCCGCAATTCGCGAGCGCGTGTGCGAGAGCCAGATCGGACATGTTCTTGGGAAGCATGAAGTCTTGACAGCGGCAATCGCTGCTCGCATTGCTTTGCCGCAGTCGTTCAGTTCAACAGCCGCGCGTATATTGACTGCTGCTGCTGGAAAGGCTGGAATAGGTCTCGTTAACATCACATCGGAGCAGATCTGTGCGCTAGCGGCGTACCTCGACAATGTGAAAGGAGAGCTACCTTTCTCCGAAGGCGACGCTTTGATCTTCGTGGATGCCGGCTGCTTTACGGTGGATAGCGTTCTGTACCTTCATCGAGGTGGCCAGGGTTCCAAAGCCCTGTTCGAAGCTCTTGCCAAGTCTCATGGCTCTATCTTTGGGTCATTGAAAGTAAACCTTCTTATCAAAGCTAAGATCGAGGCCAATACCCCGGGAGGAATGCAGAACCACTACACCAGACTAGGTCTGTCAGCCGAGAGCTTCAATTTCCAGCTTCTGGATGGCATTGAGACCGCCAAGAAAAAGTTCAACCCTGAACTTCCAGACAAACACCTTCTCGAGACTATCACTATTTCCAACTATACCACGGACGAGGAGTTCTCGTGCAGGGTCACCCAGTAGGTCATCTCCTGTGGCTTTCTTGATTGCGAGCTAATTCACAAGTAGGAGAATGGCCAGAGACGCGTTTGACGTCGTGTTCGACGAGAACTGCCAAGGTGTCGATGCGCTGCTCCAGCAGCACGTGGAACTAGCTCGAAAGGCTATAGACGACGCAGTAGCCGCTAATGATCCGGCACGTACGAAGGAGCTAGTCAAGAAGCAAAAGCTGGAGTACATCGTCCTGTCTGGGGGTGGCTGCCAGTGTTCCTACATGCGGAAGCGGTACAAGGGGCGCTATAATCGACAAGGAATTACCATCATATCTGTCGCAGACCAGATGGATGGAGAGTGAGTTTCTGTACCCGCTCTTGGTTGTCATCTTTGCTGACCTTCTAATAGCGCAATTCATGTTGCCAAGGGAGCCTTGTCCTCACGCTACGATCGAATCACGCCACAGCCAGTGCCACTAGGTCTCAACTATGCGCTCTTAGAAGACCAGGTTTTCCAGTTCCCCGAGCATCGCGACTGCTGGTACACAAAGGGTGGTAGACGCGTGGTCGACAAGAACAAGGTCCGCCGCCGCATCCCTGGCTCCGCATGCGCCGACCGCATCGTCATAGACCGACTCCGATTCCTAGGACACAGCGTTCAAATCCCCAACGACGTCAGACCCGTGGCTCAGATATTCTTCCCCAACGTCGCTGATCGTGTAATCAAGATGAGAGCGGTCACCACTGATCAGGACCATCTCAAGGACAACGATGCTGGATTGAACGATGACCACGATATCACAAAAGATGATAATCAGCTTCGTGAGAGTGTCAAGGAGTGGACAACAGCGGAATGGGTCCTTCCTAAGGACATCATGGAGTCTCAGGACTGGAAGGTAGTCAAGGACATCAATACTGGCCATAAGCACTACCAACATGTCAAGGTCACATTCAAGATCATCAGAACGTCAGCTGGAAATATGACTGTCAAGGCAGAGCTCATACTACCGAAAGGTCCGGATGAGGGGAAGCACATCGAACTGGAAGGCACTTTCGTCCTTCACGACCCACGTATGTGTGAGTTCGTGTCCGACGCTGATGCCGGTAGGCGCCCCCACAAAGGCGTCGATGCGGACGGGGATTCTCAGATGGCTTGAGGTGGACGAGCGAGAGATGGAACTCAGCTGCTCTTCACACCATAGCATGCTACGTCCGATGGCATCAGAGCGAATCAGACAGAAGCACGGCGTGGTCTTAGTCGCGACAGATGCACATTGAGCATGGCTTGGAGTCCTAGGCAATGMTCGTGATAGACCAAAAGTACCAGAAGTACGTGAGCAATTGATTTGATATCCAAGCTCGAAACCACAGACTCAGCTCAGTTTTTCAGAGACTTTCTGGTGTCTTTCAAGTCCAATTTTGTCACTCTACAGCTGTTCGGCATTAGCAGATGCTGCCCTGTTGGCTGATGTCAACGGCAATATGAACATTGATCTCCTCGTAGCATGCACCTTTGATCGCTCAGTCTACTGCTGTTGTGTGAGTATGATGCTATGTGTTGCTCTGGATTGGACAAACCATCCTAGTTCATGTGCGTGGCATACGAATATAATGCGGAACACGGGCGGTTTCGGCTTTCGCGAGCTGATTTTGCCTCATGGTCATTCTGATTTTATTTTATTTTCCATCACATGCTTTGTGCCACAATAGGAAAAATCTTACTCATGATCATCATCCTGCTGACAATGAACTTTTTTTTCTGCGACACGACCTGCCCTCAAACATCACAACCAAGCTCATCCTCCAACTCAGACCTTCACTCTCACATGACATTGCTGCTCGCCGACAACACAAGACGCCAACCTGCCACAATGGCTCCAAGGCAGAGGAATGCGAGGGAGGTCGAGGTACAGACCAGCATCTTACACCTGCTCAATGCAATCCATCCGAAAATAGGCGCTCTGGGCAACATCAAGGAGCAGCGCCAGCTCATGGAAAATGTCATCAAGCAGCACCGGCTTCCTACGAACGCCGAAAAACTGCGCGCTCAGATTTTCGGTGCAGTCGCGAGACATCCTGCTTCACCGGGCTCTACGAAAGGGTCTGAAATCTTMACTAAGCCCGCAGATGAAGTATTTAGCAAGGAGTACCTGGACAGTGTCGGGTACAAGCTTCCTCTCAGAAAAACGGCGCGCAAACGCACGATGCAGCCTACCAAGCCAGCGTCGAGTCTCAAACTGACCGTGAGGCGTCCTGTTGCTCAGACAGACTCGTCGTCGACAAATATGGCCGCCAGCCCTGTGCAAGACCACGAGCTTCAATCCGCCCGGGAGCAGAGTGACGACCTTCCCACCACAGGCAGGAACGAGACCGGTGAGAAGYCCATTGATGACGGTGACGCTGAGAGGACCATCGAAGAGACCCCGTCGAAGCAAGGTAGTTCTTCAAACCACCGCTCCCCGGCTACCATCATCCAAAACCAGCCAGCAGAGAAAGATGCTACCGTACTTAGCGCGGACGCTACTGCGCGCTATGTAAGCCCTGTGAATACCAACGTACAGAGGAGCATGTCCGAATCTCGATTGGACGAGGACGCTGTCAACGAAGACAGCGAGGCTTCCCAGGCCAATCTCCTGCGCTCGTCTACTCGCCACTCTTCTGTCGACGTGATTCGAAAGGAACATCCAGAGACACATGTCRGAGAGAAAAGCCACACCTCAACCCAGTACCGACAGCAAATCGAGGAGGTCCGCCTTGCCAAATTACAATTGGAGGCCGAGAAAGCACTGCTCGCTCAAGGTCAGGAGCGGCTGGAAAAAGAGAAGCGTGGTCTGGAGAACCAGCTCAGCGAGTTCAAGGCGCAAGACGCTGAGTTATCCACCAAGAAGCGGGCATTCGACGCGCTGCAGACGGGTGGAGGCTTTGCCTTCCAGCCTGCGGCAAAGCGATCCAAAACCAACATGGCTACCCTGCAAAAGGACAGCCTCTACGAAATTCAGGATGAAATGAAAGAGCTGAACCAGAAGAACAAATCTCTGGCGGACATGTACTGTGATATAAGAGACATAGACTCCGAGACCAAAGCAGAGTTTCTCGTCAACCCAAGTCCGGAGCTGGAGCAGCTCTATCGCCAGATCCACGTCAATGAGTCAGGACATAGCTGGAAACAACAACGACCGAACCCTCCATATCGGGCTCACAGAGCCTTAAGATGTCTCATCGGAGCAGGCATTTATCAGTCCGTCTTCCGTAGCAAGTCACTCTGGGAGAACGAAGCGGCCGATGACCAGACGTTCGCAGGTCTCACTCGATACCTCTTCACAAACGACGATGACGTGAGAGAAGCTGCATATCAGAGAATCAAGAACCGAGATTTCCAGAACGGCGAGGTCGCACAGTACGCASAGAAGCTCACTTGGGATTTGAGCGTCACTCTCGAGCCTCACTTGAACAGAATGATGGCTGGAAGACGCCGAGTCCTCTCCACTGATTGGATCGATGAGTTGAGATCCATCATTCGCGCTGCATTGATTATCAAGGCCAAGATCGACGTCTACCACGATGGAGATCTCGAGGCGTCCTGGCCGTTGATTGGCAGCAAGATGAACCCCGTCACGACCGATCACGAACGCAACGAGAAGCAACTAGCATACGAGGTCGTGTTGGTCTTCTGGCCAGGATTGCAGATGAAGGTCGAGGGCAAGCCAGATGTGATTCTGTCCAGGGATCAGGTTGCTGCTAAACCCATTAACAATGCTGAAAATTGAGCACCGATTGCCGTCTAGATGAGATGGCATATCTCCGCAAGAATGGCTGGTAACTTTCTCGGGCGGTTCGACGGCTGGCATGGTGGTAGGCCAAATGTATCAAGGAGTTCGTATCAATCTTAGCCCGAATGATGCCCACGTTGTACTTCCTCGCCTCTACCTCGCTGATGAACTTTAGAGGACTCCGAAAACATGATTGTCCAATGTCTCTAGAGCACAGCACGTACGCTGTGGCGAATATGCCGCGTGTTCCCCAGCCGAGCGCCTAGAGAGTCGCACCGGAATCAGATTACTGCGAGCATTCAAGTTCTCCGGACACGGCCACACGATACCTCATCGACATCACTGCCATCTTCAAGCTGACTCGGGATTCCAGAGGCTGGAAGGTACGTGGGATCTCTCTTGAGGTGGCTCTGGAGTCGCTACCGTTGCGGACAGTCGCGCTTCTTCCTTGTCATTCTCTGATCTGCTTTATGTTGATGCTCTGTGTTCCTCCTCCAGACCTTACATGTCAAACGCTCCAGTATTCGTGGCGAAGCCAGTGTGCGCCTTCTGTCTTGGGTAGGGGTATTGGGTAGGTAGGTATCAAACGCAGTCGAGCCACAACATTCTCTCGCACCGGAGCATCGTCCGCCTCGGCACATCAGCCGACCTCCTCGTGATCTTCAACCCGTCGTACTGTACCTGCTTCTTACACATTGCCTTTGTGTCTTGAAAGGTGAGACAAGTGTCTCAGATCCAGGCACTAGCGCATACATGRATGGCGACACAGTCTCAATTCTTATTTGAGGTCTCAACAAGCCTTCCCTTCCAATGCATGATCGACCTTCCATCGCACAAGAAATCTCAAACCTCGGAGTCTCTTTCCCCCACGTGTAAATCTTTGATACGAAGGATCAGGCACAGATGGTACTGCCATACTTGATTGCGGCAGAGAGTGTCGCATTACGCCATCTTCCGCAATCAAATCGTTACCCGATCAGATCAGCTTGTGCTCGGTAGGTTTGCTGCAAGAGACAGATCTTGTTGTCTCTTTGATGACTGAGTCATGCGGGAGTAATCAGAGACAAACCGAATCGATCTTGCGACATTCACTATTGCAAGTTGAAAGTGTCCCAAATAGATTTCCTCTTTGGAAATGGTTCTTTCGCAAACATCCACCAAAGACCAAAGCAATGGCGACACTGAGCATTTCCACCACGCTGCTCTATGGTGTCTACGTTTCGGAGAAGAGCCATCTGATTGGTGTGCGCTGTCTGGTAAAGAGGGAACATTGCAGGATGTTGGCTATGAAAGTCGCGGGACATCTTCCACAGGAACTGACGGATTTGATCGAGAACATGCTTTACGAATTGGAGGAAAGCGATGTTCGGGCTCATTGGATACTCAGAGCACCACAGCAAAGCCATCGAAAGTTTCGATACGAGAGCATGGTGACGGAGGCGGAGGCTGCAGCGTTGAGGAAACTGGTCAGACAAACTGCCTGTCTATGCGCCGGAAATCCAAGCTAACAGTTTGATAGGATGCGCTCGGTGTTACGACGACCGCTGTCCATAATACCAGACCAATGGGCGGACCAGATCGAAGTCCACGATACATCCATCTCTCCGCGATTCGCAAGCTACCAAGCATATCCCTGGCAGTCCCACCGGTAAACAGTAAGAAAGCATCGACCTCGCCGTCATTTGCAGCCGGTCTGCCATATGCTGGGAACCAAGGCGCTATCAGAGTCACCTTGGAAGGTGCACCCTCGCAAAAGAGTGACTTGGCAACCTACACGCCGATGGTCCAGGAAAGTATCCCCGCTATCCGATTGAGACCATCTGTGGGCAGAATCCTTTCGGTCGATGGTTTGGAGGCGGCGATGAGGGATTGGGATCCTGACGCTTTGAAAGCATATGTGGCTCTGCTTGGCTTGCATGTGATTGAAGAGCATGGGCAGGACGCGGAAGCCGCTCTGAGGCCAAAGGTGCATATATGGCAGCAGATTGATGATGTTTAGAGCATCACATCCGTCTGAATCTGAGCTGAGCCTCTCTGTTGACGGTGTAAAAGATACCGTTGCTGCCYCCTTCCGTAACACTCCCAGTGTCATGGAGACATGTGGTAAGTAGGCCATGGAAGGATGAGCCCAGCACTTCAACCATGCTCAAACACCAGACTCCTTCTGTGCCTTTACTTCACATATTTCAATCCATTTCTTCAGACTGTCGCCCAGCTTCGTGTCGACCACACACACCATTTCAACGCGATGACAGAGATCGATGACCTGGGAGAACTTTCGGTCATAATACATCTCTCCCACCGCATAGCCAAGCAGATTCTTTTCCTTGTTGCCCAGCTTTCTTTTTGATTCGTTCCCACCTTGTGATGTAGAGTCCGGAGACCGCAGAACAGGGACCGTCTTCAAAAGGGCTTCGTAGTTGTCCCCAGTGTCGACTTTGGCCGTATAAGACTCTTTGATCCTTTGGAAAGCCTCCTCGCTTTGAAAGGTTCGGGAGACATTGGGTGCGTCGTTTGCCGCTGTTTCTGCGTAGTTGTCTATGCCAACGTCTATAGCGAAAAGGTCGCCGTAGTCATCAAGATCGGCCATGATTTTTGGCGCGGGAATGCGGCGCAAGGATGCGAGTATTGGCGGTGAGTATTGGCAATGGCTGGCAGTGATCACATGTCTTCATCTCACTGGAGCAACCCCTCTTCAATACCGGTTCTGACCATTGCTGTCCTTGCTGCCAAGTAGATGTTGTTGGCAGCTTTTCTCATTTCCACGGCGCTATCAGACTTCGCAGATCCCGCCCGAATCCGGAGGCGCGGTCGTCGGCCGACGTGTCGCGACTCGCGCTCCAGCGATGTCACAAAAAGGGATCAGCGGCATGTCCAGATATGTTTCGCGATAAGGAAAGCAGGATGTTGTCATCCTGCTGCGCCATACTGACACGTTTGGAGCCGTGAGCAAAACGAAACAAATGCTTCACAGGCTCCACTCCGTTTCGTCATAACGAACCTCTTCCCTTCACCATTCCTACACACACACGATCACGGACTACGCTGCTGCACTCGGCGTACCAACGAGATGGAAGAGCAAGTGGAACGACTAGTGAACAAGACATGGGACAGATATGAGGAGCTGCCGGCCAGCAAGAGGCTGTTGATTGCTGTCAGCGGAATCCCGGGTTCAGGTACAACAATATCACGATGAGCAGCGAGGGACATGGGCTAATATTTTGCTCAGGCAAAACGACTCTCGCAGCGAAAGTTGCGCAACAGATCAACGAGCGCTGGCGCAAGCAGAGTCCGACAAGAGAGGGCTCCGATGCTGGGATAGCAACATTCCTTCCAATGGATGGCTACCACCTGACTCGCGAACAACTCTCCGCCTTGCCGGATCCGGATAACGCTCACGCGCGACGAGGAGCCGCCTTTACATTCGATGCACCAGCTTTCCTGGCTTTGGTGAAGAAGCTGCGGGAACCGCTATTACCCGAGACTTGCACGATACATGCACCCAGCTTCGATCATGCCAAGAAGGACCCCATCGCAGATGACATACCCATCAGGAAAGAGTCCAAGATCATTGTCATGGAAGGCAACTATCTCTCACTTGGTAGTGGTGCATCGGRGTGGAAAGAGGCGGCCGAGTTGATGGACGAGCTGTGGTTTGTCGACGTCAAGGAGGAGGTTGCGAGGAAACGGTTGATTGCCAGGCATGTCGCAAGTGGCATTGCAACTGATGCCGCAGATGCTGCGAAGCGAGCAGACGAGAATGATATGGTCAACGGAAGGGAGATCGTTGAAGGCAGAGTGCAAGTTCATGAGGTTGTGCAGAGCGAGGAGGACCAGGAATGGGCTCCGCGAGCTTAAATGGAAGCGTACGCCGTACGATAACGACTCTAGCGTGTTCAATGGTGTGTTCAATGATATGTGCCGTTGATGGCATCAGTCGCCTCTGTACTGCCGTCCATCAATCGTTGTGAAGGTGGAGTCGAGCTATGGTGACATTTTGTGAACATGGTGGATGTTTTCAATGCCTGCAGTTTCCATGCTCGTGATGCGAAGATGACTTCAGTGACCAGGACTCGCGGTGGATCAATTCCATCATATGTGAGTGGAACAGTCGCGAGAACGATAGAATGATGCTGTTGATCCAGCAAAACCGGTTGGCTAGAACGCCCGAATTAAGGTTTGGAATGACGACACCGCTGATCGTGGCTGGGGCAGGAGCTCTTCTCTGTTCCCATAACATCTTGTGCTTCTCTCCTTCATCACCTGCACACCAACAAACCACTTCCAACCAAAAACTACCACAACAAATCAACCAACATGGCCTCTCTTCACTACCTTCCCCCGGTCAAGCCATCCGCCATTGCGCTCGGCACCGTCTTCAACCACGCCGCATCCCTCGCCATCCTCGGCCCACTCTTCGGCGACACCTACCGCCGTGCGCAGTCCGCCAACTCTGCTGAGGAGTTCCTCAAGTCCAAGGAGGCTGCCTCCGCCGGTGCTGCCTGGGGTACTTCCCTTGTCGGATCTGCCATCCAGTCGTACGGTGTTGGTGCTCTGATCAACGCTACCGGCACTCTCTCCTACAAGGGCGCCGCGTACCTTGGTGCTCTCATCTTCTTCGCTTCCTCCGCCCCATCGGTTCGTATACCATCACATCTGATACATCGATCATCACTAACGACATCACAGTTCGTCTCCCAGGTCATCACCGAGAAGCGTCCTCTTGACACCATCGCTGTCGGCGCTCTTTCACGCACCTTCGAGACCGTTGGCCTGTCCCTCTTCCTCACCTGGTGGGGAACCCGCACCAACCCACTCAACTAGATGGGTTGACATATCACGGAGCATGAATGATATCTGTACGAGTGGTGGAAAATGAATCGATGATCATGGAGTGAGAGTTCGACCGCGACGGAAATGGTGAGCTCCACCCATCAGCACGGCGATGAGTTGAGCTTTATTGCGACTATCAGAAGCGTATGAATTTCTTGTAAAAATGAACTGTAATCCTCCTTCTTCGTTCCAACAATCACCCACCTCGTGATCGCCGTGCCTCTCAATGCATTGCTCGAATGCGGCTTGCGGCTTGCCTCGGGATGTGCATGATGCCCCAAGCTCCTTTTCCCAAACTGCAAACGGCTAGATCGATCGCTCTTTCCTTACAGATCTGCATCTCAAACTCATGACGACGTCGATGCGCGACACGTCCATCGAATGGGTGTGGCTGTCATTGATGACAACGGGCGGTGTAATGCATCAATCAGTGACACGAACCTTACATAGAGGAATGACAATGCGCTCCGTTCCCGACAATTCCATTCCATCTCGACATGGGCGACGATAGCCGTCCGATTCTCGAACCACAGGCATCCCAGACACGATTTAATATGAGCCAGAAAATAGAGGGTCGGAGGCGGAAGAAGGTGTTGGTGGTCGGTGCAGGAGCTGCTGGTATGGCTGATTAGTATGAGTATCACGCCATGTATTGACCGTCTTGCAGGCATGTCGTGCGCACACCACCTTTCGAACCACCCAGACAAATTCGATGTAACGCTCGTGGACGCAGTAGACTACTGCGGTGGTCAGGCGTATTCCATCCCGATAGACAAGGAGAAGACGGGCGCATCATGGCTCAACCAAGGAGTTCAGGGCGGCTCTCCCATCTTCCACCACACCATGACCATGTTCGCTCGCAATGGCTTCTGGGCGGATCCTGTCAAGCTTCAGGTGTCGTTCGGCAAAGGAGAGCAGTTCTGGAGTAATGTCTATCCTACACAGCTTCTCAAGAAGCATGAGAAAGAGGTGAAGCGATTCAACACCATGTTGAAGATTGTACGCATGTTTGAGGTCTTCTTCGCTTTGCTGCCAATCAAGTACTTGGTCAAGATCTTTAGATTCTCGGATGAGTTTGCGAATGCTGTGGCATTGCCTATGCTTGCCCTGTTCCTGGGAACGGGAAACTATACACCAGAAGTACCCACCATGGTTCTTGAGAGGCTGTGTACCAGTCCGACATATGGCATGTGGTATCCTCCAGATAAGGCCAGCATTACTTCGCAGATGCCCTCGATGGTGGTATTTCCAAATCTCAGCGACTTCTACGATACCTGGCGGAAGAACTTGATCAAGAAGGGCGTCAACATTCGACTTTCCACAGAGGTCACTCAGGTGATTCGAAGAGATAAGAACGGAGTAGCTGTGAAGATCATTGGTCGCACACCGACGGAAGACGGACACAATCCGAATTCTGCTTGGACTGGGGAGACCCCGAGAGCAGATGCTGATGCCATTGAGACTATTGAGGAGTATGATGAGATTGTGCTCTGTGTTCTCACGGACACCGCAAAGCGTCTTCTCAAGCCTACCATCACTAGAATTGAGTCCCGAGTTTTGGGGTCAGCCAAATTCGCCAACGACATTACTGTCACTCATCAGGTTCGTATAAAACAGTCAACCAGTGAGGCTCGACTAACACACGTGTTCAGGATTCCGAGTATATGAAGAAGCACTACGAGAACTTCTATTCGAAAGACCTCGCAGTAGCAAACATCAATGGAGTAGACTCTCAAGACCGCTGCGACTTCGCCAAAGACAACTTCAAAGCCATGTACCTCATCCGAAACTACCAGGAAGATCTCACCAAGTTGGAAATGTGCTTCGATTGCACAAACTACCAAGCCCAGTTCCCACCCGAGGTCCCATTCGAGAAGCACGTATTCCAGACCATCTTCCTGAACAAGGAGCGTGATGGACACCTCTGGGCTATCGATGAGATCGACGAGAGCAAGATCATCCGCAAGGATTGGTGGCATCAACTCTGTCACAGCTGGACCCACTACATGTTCGTTGTACCCTGGATGTGGCTCCTCCAAGGAAAGAGGCACACCCGCTACGCCGCCTCTTGGACATTGGTCAACGCACACGAAGTCGCTTGTATCAGCGGTATCAGTGCTGCTGTGGATCTTGGAGCTGACTATCCCGAGGATCTGGAACGAGACAAGTTTTCGTTCTTGGCTTTCAGATTGTATTATCTGCTTGTTTATGGAAAGTGGTTTGGAAGGAAGGCCACGAAGAAGACGAAGGAGGGACCGGGTAAGGAGTGGGCCACTGGTAATGAGTATGGAAGCGAGTATGCTGGGCCGGGTGTGCAGTATGAGACTGATAGGTTGATTTGGAGGAATGAGGTCAAGGCTGGGAGGAGTGTGGAGAGCTTTTAGATTGAGGATGTGTTGTAATGTAATGAGAAGAATTGGCCAGAGCACAGATCATGAAGGAAGTCTGAGGTGGTGTCGTGAAATCTCCTCGATCGAGGCATGTTAGGACTTGTTCCTGTCTGGAATCATCCCAATATCTTGATCCACTCCAGAATGCCGGTCGTTGTGTAGAATGTAAGATGGGAACCCCAAGACGTTGGAAAATCAGCCATCGATGCCCTACATCTTTGTGGCTTTGTTGAAGTCACTTCAACACGAGAGTTCCCCTCACCCCAACCCTGACCCTAATAACGATTCCACAATCCCCTGCATGTCTTTGCACTAATCATCGAAGCTACTCCTGCTCGATGCAAGCATCATCTCTCTAACTCGCACTTCATCTTCACCATAACCAGACAAGCTCAAGATATGTCGCAGCTCCTGATGCTACCCGCTGAGTTGCGAACATCCATCTTTGAATTTGTGTATCCTCCCCAGCACCAGCAATCCGGAACCGTCGATCTTCTTTCATCCGACCCGCCATCCAAATCCTTACTTTTGACCAACAAGCAACTATACAGCGAAGCCCGTGGCATCCATCGCACTTCCTACCGATCTTTCTGGAGCTCAACWCATTTCACCCTCAATGTCGACTTCGAAGATGAAGACGATGACGACGGCAACACCWTAACCTCCACTCGTGCCGCTCTTGTTGCTCTACGGAAAGTCGACATGGATCATATAAGGAACCTCACCATCCACCTAGCACCCACATCAAAATTCATGCTTGTTCATCCTTATGGAGCTTGGAAGCTCGAAGTCGGGAGTAGGACTACTTATCGCCGTTACAGACCTTGGACCATCCGAGGAGAACTTGTGCCTACTCGGTTGGCATATGATGGGCATGCAGAGGCGGAGTCTTTGATCGATGCTTGTAATCATTATAGTCGTCGTGGTACGCCGGTGATTAATCAAGTTCTTGATCTGTTGGATTTGGAACTTGTGAATTATGCTTATGGACGTGGAGGTGGGCCTGAGGTGTAGCTCCGTACTCACATCGGTTCAATGGCAGGTGTCTTTGCGGTCAAGGAGGAGATTTAGTGATTGAGGGCGACTGTATCCTCCGGAGGGGAGAGATGGTCGTATTGAGCTGTCAGTATCATCATGCTATCACGATCGATCGGAATCTTGTTTGTCGAGCCAACCGTCGAGAGCTTTGCTGGCCATCTCAACGTCCCTCATCAGCCCTTTGCTCAAACACAAGAAGCAACATCGGTTTACTCATGTTGCTATAAATACTACAGCACTTGAGAAGTCGCCTACAATGTGAGAGATGGTTACACCATATCACTGGAATCTTTCCAACACCAGATACTCCTGAGCTTTCCACGATGGCTTATTCTTGAAGCTACCTCCTCGGGCGAAATCTTTGGATGTCGCTGGGTTGTACTGTTACCATTGAGCAACATCGACGTCAAAGCCGTCAGACGCGAAGAACTACCCAGAGTCTAAAATCAGATGGACAAATCGGATTGAAACCATACGAGCGAGACAGCCTAAGAAGTTCAAAGGACGAGGTGGAAAGGGGGAGAAGGACAGGAGAGGACGTTGAGCAACAGCCATGTAGTCCCACTACTTCGCTGCTCTGGCACTTGACATCAGTCACTCATTGAAGTTTTACACTCTCTACAAACGCAATTATACTCCCCAACACTCGCCCTTCGCGAATTGGCAACATGCATTTCTTTCGTGCGGCGCTTACGCTTGCCATTACCATCGCGCCGCTCGAGCGAGCCCTTGCCTTTCATGTCTTTGACCGCTGACCTTTGCCGTCCATTGACCCAAGCTTGTCGGATTCGATCCCCCGCTTTTCAACTGTGCGTACTCGAGAAATCATCCAACATAAGCAAGCAGGAAGTCTCTGAGTCTTGAAAGTTCTCCGGTATAGAAACAAAAACTCAAGCTGGTAAAGCCGTCAGGGTAGGTCAAATTGATTCTAGATGTGCTATAGTCTCGATAGAACCCCTTCTGACTGCCAACGGAGATTTCTCTAATCACTAAGAATTTCATAGCTTCTAGGCGAGCTTCAGGGTATAGAAATGCATCAGCTGACGTCGGATCCGGGAGTGATGTTTTCGAAAGAATGGGCGAGTCATCGATCATAGATTAATCTTGGAACGTCGTTTGAAATGGGACAGTGATTTAGAATCGTTTGATTTGATCAACATTTACAGAACTGTCTAGAGGGCGAAGGCAATCGCAGCTCCACCAATRGCCAAGACCATTGCGACGCTGGACTTCATTCCATAGACAGCGCCCGAGGTATCACTACCGGTAGCGCTGGCAGAAGGTGAGTTGGTCGCAGTGCTCGAACCGGTGGCCATGCTAGAGCTGCCAGACATGGTCATGCTGGAGCTTGGCATGCTGGARCTCATGGACATGCTGGAGCTCATGGACATGCTGGAGCTCGCGGATCCGCTGGAACCTGCCATCTCAACCATGCCTGAAAATGATTTGGTTAGTAATGTAGATAGCATGAACGGATACTGCATGTAGTGTTTACCTCCGACAACGGTACCCTCAGGTGCTCCCTTGCTCTCAGATCCTTGGGCATTGGTCACGGCCATTTCATGGGTCTCGGAATCCGTAGGGTTGATGGCGAGAATCATTCCGCTCTGGCAATGTTCTCTGATTAAAGGTTAGCGCTGGCATGAGACGAGTGGATGCCGTTGGGAAACGTACCCGACCGAGCAGAAGAAGAAAGCGGGATCCGTCGAGTTGACGGTCCAGACGAAGACCTCTCCCTTGTTGTAAACCTCAGAGGCAACACCGCCCTCGGAGTCGTAAGTGCAAGGTGTCTTGAAAGTGCTCGACAAGACATTGTGAGGCTGAAGGCAACAGATTAGGTCTTCGTCAAGCCATAGTGCATCAATTGAATGTTACGGACAATTTGTTTGGAGAAGGTCAATCGGACCATGTCACCTTCCGCTACATTGTTGAGGGTGTTTGGCGAGTAAGCCAGGCCATCGGTCATGACCTCGTGGGTAGTCTGGGCATGAGCGCTGCCTGCCAAGACAATAGCAGCAGATGCTACGAGAAAAGTGGAGAACATGTCGGCGAGGGGGAGTGAGTGAATTGTTGTTTATTGTTTGAGCAGGTTTCCGGGAAAGCTTGTATGAAATCTGCGACAGAATGAGCAAGTTTTGCGAGATACTTATACTCGTGAGATGATTGCCTTTTGTACCCCTCAATCGAACGCTCACTGGTGTCACTTTCCGGAATGTTTAATCTCCCTGGCTAGCGGGCCCCGAGAGGATCAACTTTCAAGCCGGGGCAGTCGAGACTTGGCCTTACACGGGCCAGGGTGCTTCCGAGTCTGCGGGTTTTCCGTTGAATGTCAGGCACCACAAACTCTTGCATGCTCTTGCATGCGGAATCGTGCAACGTACAGAGCTTCTCTGCATACCTCGATTCGCAATTGGTTGCAAGCTCTGCCCTGGAAAACGCACCAAGCAACGAACCCCTTCTGATATGAAAGTCAAGCAAAAGATACCATGACGGGTTCAGGACGTACCGAAGAAGGGCCCTCCCTCATGGGCATGTGAACACAGCACATTTGCGCGTCGAAGTGGAAAAGCACCAGAAGGCGGCAGCTAACAACCCTGGTTGCCACAGCTTCCGAAAACTGCCATTGGCGACGCACCCTGTTCGAGGCTGCGCTGCTAGGATTCCAGCCTTTTACCACTCCGAGGCGCAAAGGTGCTCGTCTTCGTGCATCGGAACAAAATCTCATTACAGTATACCCATCCTACAGTACGAGCCAGGGCCGGCTGTCACAGGCTGCCACGACTGATTGGCCCAAATGGTGATCTACACACTCGATATAGAGAATCGAGCGAAGGAGTGACTGGGAGATTTTACTCCGATTCCAGAAGAGGCTGTGCGTACGACTGCTTCGAAGCGGCGTGACATGAGAGCGGCATTGCAATGCACGCACAATAATGCCATCGCGGCTGGGCAAGTCGAGAGCGCTGCAGGCGAAGTCTATGACGCCGTCAAGCTTTTCGTAAAGTTCGTACGAACGCACAGAGACCGCAATAGACTGCGAGCCCGAGCTCGGTGAGTAGAAGATAGATAGGTTGAGCATACATACGAATGCCTTGCCTACTTCCCAGTGCGGGATGGTGTACCTTACTGTCCTGTAGTGCGACTTCCCCAAGCTCCCGCCAGCGCTTACATGCGCGCCTTGTTGGTGGCACTGCTCGTCGTGGATCTGCCGACGCTTGTCGCACGCGCGGCTCATCAATGAAATGAGGGCAGTGCCCCATCATCTCCTTTCGCCGACCTGCTCGCTATTCGGAGTCCGACTACCGAATGGAAATATAAATCAAAGTGCACAGGTCGGTCCATTGTTGTGTGATGGAGAGGTCAGAGGAAGATGATGTGAAGATGAACTTCGACTGCGAAGGGGAGAGAGCAACAAAAACAAGACGGAACTTTCCCCTGTTGCTGTTCACGCCAAGATACATGACCTTGCGCTCCCGCTCCCGCTAATTCCCGTCTCCACGCCAAGCATCTCACTTCTCGCTTCACCTCTTCGCATCTTCATCTGCGCCACATCAGCATAGCCTGACGACTACGAATTCTTAGCCGTCATCATGACATGCCGTACACTTAGCCTTGAGCTGTCCTCCACCGGAATATCGCACCGAAAATAGCTTGTCCGCGGATGGCCACAGCAAGCACGAGAGGAGTGTAATGCAGGCTCGGCTCAGACATGTAGGCTGGGGTGTCGCCCAGTATGACTTGGCACGTTGGCACGTTGGCAGGCCAGGGTGGTATAAATTTGCAGAAGCCGTCATCATGCAAGATGAGACTTTGGCCGAKGGTATTAATGGAGTGCAAATAACTTGGCACGTTGGCAGGCAAGGATGGCATGAACTTTGTGCATAATAAATAATGGAGTGCAATGCAGGCACGATTGGTAAGCGGTCTCGATCGCCTCATAATATGCAACTGGAAACGTAGTCTCGCTTTCGACGATGCTAGGCGAGTGTTGCAACTGTCGGTCTATCCGTCAGCAAATCTCTAGTCGATAGATTATACTTCCTCAACCGTTGGAATTGCGAGCTATGCTTCCTCAAATGACAAGCAGCTTTCCATGGTTATTCCCTGCCAACACCTGAACTATGTCAGCTTGACTCCGGGCAGAGCAACAGAACAACTGATGTTGCTGTTCGATGCCACTCCTTCCGCATTAGGAAGTGCCCGACACCTTAAATCCGTCTCATTCCCGGCTACTCGGGCCGAACCCGTCGAAGACGACCTCGGCGAGGTATCTTTGTATAGTATTGCAATGTTTACGAAACTGCCACGGTGACGAGAAATCATACTTAATCAGTATCGCCATGTCGAAGGCTGTGCGTGGCTCGTTCCCAATCTCGATCAAGGATCCTGTGGAGAGAATTCAAGCGTAGGCTTAGAAGTACACGAGATGTTGGACTCGTCGCTAATCTTTCCCAGGTACATGAACACATACCAAGATGACCCTGAATACGATGTACAGGGACCTGTCTCGTCGATCGCTGCGAGAGTCGTTGGAAAGCTGACTGGCTGATAGGGGTTCGACGCTCTGCTCATGCGGAACTTGAGAGTCATATCAGCCAAGGCTACTGATGCTGCTCAAGACGGCATGGAGGCTGTGTCGGTCTATGAACTGGATGTAGTGTAAGTGACTTAGTGGCTATCATGACAAATATTTCCACCCGCTGAGAGTCTCAACCTCACAGCCCCGGTTTGTGCAATTCCATGGGAAACATGCATGGAGGTGAGTCACATTCTTCTTCGCCGATGGCCAGGTCGCCGCTGAAGGAAGTACCAAGGTGCAGTGGCCACGCTGGCAGACAACACCACGACACTTGCTGCAGCGCCCATTTCGCGACCGGGCTTTTGGGAGCATGGAGGAGTGTCACGCACGTTGAACGTGACGTACCTGAGACCAATCACCAAGGGATCCACGCTCAGAATTGAGTGCGCAGTCCGATCTGTTGGCCAAAAGCTCGCTGCTACCCAGTGCAGTATAAGGAGTAAGGAGACTGGCAAAGTCCTGGCTCTGGCAGAACACAACAAGGCAGCCATAGCGACGCAAAACCTCCCAGGCCGTCTGTGAGAGAGAAGATAGAAAGGAGGCCCCCTGTATCGCATAGCCACATTACATCAGCTCGCCGCGTGGGACCACGAAATATGCTCAATGGATGAGATTTGGGGGGGAAAAGATGGGTAGAGCCATGTACCAATTGAGCATCTCATGGCTCAAGCAACAACGCTTGCTCTCGACTCTCTCGACCTTCCCTCACATACTCATCTGACCCTGTGTCTTCCCTCTACGTCAACTGGACCAAGGCCATCGTCAGATCTTCAGCAATTTCCGAGATTGCCTCCGACCCTCCTCCCTGGTACGCTCAACCATGGTGTGGAAGTCGTCCTGCAGGAACTGCACCCTGCTTCTGGGTGTGAAGAGACATCCCGTGTACCTGCAGCACTCCCCCTCATCGGGGCACAGTCGGAAGCAGGAACACCCAAACTTCAATATATGCTTAGCCACCTCAGGTTGGAGATCTRCAATCTGGGTGGTACCTCGACGATGGGTCAATCATGTTGACGATGTGCATCGGGGAATTGTGGGACGTAAAATGGCCGATCGGTATGCATGCAATCGCTTGGGAATATGCAGGTACGGTCTTTTGTTCGAAGGGATAGTGGGCGGAATTATCTTCTCCAGCTTCCGAACCGAAGGCTTGCAGCTGCGTTGTTTTTTTTCCCGCTGCCACAAACATTTCATTGTCGCGATGGAATGGAATGGTTTGACGCTTTCCCCCCCGCCTTCCCCAGAGTTGGCTTACATACCTCAGCATATGCATCTAGATGTTGTTGGTTTTCTGGTATGGCCTGCTTATCAAAGGAGGATGTTGCACAGTACTGATTGTGAAAGATTTGGTGGTGGTGAGACTTGGTGAGATCATAAGGGTCTTTGTACACAATGGGGAACCAGAAGACTTCTCAGAGTCAGTACAGAGTCACGCGGCGATGGCATTCGTGCAAATGTCTCAACCCATCACAACTTCAAAGTCATAGGACCGGTGGTTTTCTTCAACTTCACAGCAAAGGTAGCGAAGGTGCATCAAGTGATCTGAACATGAGTGCGGTGGAATGCGAATGTGTCTTTAACATCATTAATTTTGCATAAAGCGTTCTAATCGTACAGATGAGGGATATTTTGCAATAAAAAATGACCAGAAACCTCCCAGTGCTTTCCGTCTGCGGGTATATGCCAAGAAAAAAATGCGCCGACCACGCCCGTTCAGGGACATGTCGAATGCGTGTGTGTACAGAAGAGTCTCAAATCGGAGAGTTGCTAGTAGTACAGAAAATGAAAATGATGATGAAAATTGTCCTGCAAAGAGAGGATTAGTGACTGTTCAGATGTAAATGATGCCTTGGAAAGGTGCTCACCTATACGTGGCTTTTGCATGGAGCGCTGTTGATTTCAACAGTACCGCACTGGCAGTTGTCCAAGCGGCTCTGAATGGAGTTGACAGTTGATCCCATGGCGTCTAGACGCTGGTTCAAGGCTTCCATGGACTTTCCAAAGCTCTCAATGAGCGCAACAAGCTTTTCCATGGAGTTGTCCTTTCTGCGAGAGGCTGTTAGGTCGATGTTCGAATGCTTTTGTAGGATTCTGACTGATGCTTACTTGGTGGGTGAAACCTCACGGTATCGGCAGTCGAGCTTCTGCTCTTTGCATGATTGGCAAGGGCTCTCGCCATCACACTTCTGCTTGCGCTTTCTGCACTCCTCACAAGCCTGTAGATAGTATGTCAGTATGTGCTGGTAGGTTCAACCTCCTTGGACGTTGCTTCAACGTACCGTTGCGGTTCGCTTCGCCTTCTGTCTTGGAACAACGTGGCTGGGCGTAATGGGCACCGCGGGGAACTTTGTTGGCATGTGGTAGTGAGGCGCTGGTGGGGGTGTTGCTGGACCGATGGACACATTGCACGATGACGAGCCGCTGCTCATGGAAGAAAACGAATCGTTGGCGTTGTTCTGGTGGACGAATCCCTCGGAGAGGGATCGGTGTGTTGGAAAGTAACCCATTGAATCGCCAGTCGGGAGGTAGCCATCGTGGACAAACTCGTTTGGCGATTGAAATGGCTGTGGGTTGCTGAAGAGGACCTGGTGAGGTGCAATCTGTGGTTGCTGCGGTGGTGGTGGAGTGTAGAAAGCACCGGGCTGGAAGTCGTGGTATGAAACATTTTCCATGTTCACCATGCCATGCGCTTGATCCTGCATCATTCTCTGAAAGCTCCTCTTGAGGTTCGGGGTCTGCGACATTGCGGCGAAATGAAGGCGTTGAAGTTTGCAACGGTATTCGCTATGTGTTAAGGATGAAAGATGTGTGTGAGAGAGTATGTGTTGGACGTGGTAGATTGCGGACGATCCAAGACAGGTCTTGTTGTTGGTGTTCGAGATGACCCAGAGACGGTGGGAAGCAGTTGGGTATCTATATGGAGGACGACATAGACAACCCACCCTGCATCACCTTCAAGCCTCTGGCGCAGACGCAGCGACAAGGACCTTCACGTCCTAATCGGGGAGGCCACCCACGGTTTCAAGCCAAGCAATATGGGCCCCTGCACCTGCAGAGAGAAGTGGGTCTCCAGTACGCAGATGGTGGGAAGCTAAGCCAAGCATGCGTGAAGAGCCATTGGATTCAGGGCCTACCAGTGATTGAAGTGCGTGAGCACGGGAGGTGGGTAGACTAACTCTAGAGGCCAGTATCGGGACCGACCTCACGCTGGGGTTCTGCTGGTCGACTGCGGTATGCAGGACGCGTGCTGGAGACCAACCGCAGCGCGGCCTCGCCGGTGCTCCCAGTGTTCCGACGACGTTATTGCATGCACGGCTGGCAGCCACACCCTGCACCAACGCGACGATGACACGGCGCTGTCAACAAAGCTGTACCGCGCCGGACATCCCTGCCCGTACCTGCAGCGCCTTCCACGAAGATGGGTCGAGAGCCCAAGCTGGTATACCCAGCTCTCTTCAGGGTCCCGGCTGGGAGTGGGGAGATGGATCGGATGCATGGAATCGAGTGGCGTGGTTGGGATCGGCAGTCCAGTCGTATCAGCAGCATCGGAAGGAGCGTCTGTATCCGGTATAGAGTTGGCACTCCTCTTGCTTGTTGCAAACCCATCATTGCCTACTACCGTGCTATGAACTGGCCCATGTTACCCCGTAGCACGCCGACATGGGAGTCACGGATTGAATGCTCAACGATCATGATGCATGATCGTTGGGTATCGCCGGTCAGACCAGCCCGATCGATGGGATATGACGCAAGCGAGCGATTGACTGGGGCTTTGCGGAGTGCTCGTGCAGGCTGTTTGTTACAGGACAGAAGTGAACAAGTCTGGGCGTAAAGCACGCGGTCCACGGGCCTTTCGCCGCATGGTGGACATGTCCCACACGGCTGAACGGGCCTCCCGCGACTCCCGCTACTCTATCTGCGCAGCAAAACGCCGCCGCCTGGCATGTGCGCGCGTCTGAAAGCCAATCATAATCCAGCATCGGCGGTCGCTTCGATGTCGGCTAAATCCATCCTAAGCCGCTTTTCTTTCTTTTCGAGTGAGATTCGCGATGATCGTCCGACCAAAAGATGTTTTGCAGTAGTGTGGCCCCTCCGTCTCGGAAGCGAGTGATGGAGCCGACCAGCTTGGCCCACAAAACAAAACTCAGACTCCACAAGTCCTCCCACCTCGCCGGGGAGCACCCGGTCAATCAGAAGACCAGTCCGCAAAGAGGGGTATTGCACTATTGCGTACACGTTACGCCTGTGTAGCCTAGCAGCTTCAACCTGTGAAGACCAAAAGACCACCAGCGGTTTCGACAGCTTCTTCACACGTGCAGTAGCTCCCGCATCGGCGTACAGTATGCCCAGTTGAGAATGGTTGTCTTTTGTGACAGCTGGGCTGGCCGGGATATGTGGCTCAGCAACGACCTGCCCTAATCCTACGCTCGTCTAACCCACCTTTTGAGATCCAGGTAAGTTAGATCACAAGAGCCCAGCCCAGCATAGCACCGATGAACGATCGGACGCGGCCCGGAAACGATGGTGGGGAAGACGATAGCAGTCATTCGGTATCAAAAGTGGGTGCACACTGCAGCCTGCATCGAGTAGGCCCCGCCGCCCGTTGCTCKTCCGCTTCGCCCCGTTGCTGCAGCTGGCTGGCTTCGTGCAAAGCCTCTGCATTCGCAAGACTTACTACGTAGTGCCAAAAGCAACACTTTCGTCAGTGACATAAGCAGCGTCCGGTCCGACGATCCATGCTTGCAGGATGCATGAGTGGCGCTCCCTGTAGCTGGGCTTATAGCAACCAGAAAGCGAAAGATGCACATCGTCTGCGGACCGGAGGCCCGGCTCTTGGCTTGCAGTCTGCAATGCACAACTACGGCCCAAAACCTTGCAATTGGGAATCCGCAGCGGGGCGAAGAGAAATAACCCGTCAATTGGGCACTGTCATTGGCCGTACCTGGCATGCACGGCACGATCATGACCCAAAATACCAATTGCAATGCCCAGAAGGTGATTTTTCATTCCGAGATTGGGGAAATGCAAGCTGCCGGTGCATACAGAAGTCGAGATCGCACTCAGTATTGGCGATGTCAATGCTCTTGACATGGATGAGTGCATGCGCATTGTACCTTATTATGCCATGACTGGACAGGAGTCTAGGAGAGTGACGCCACTGTGGATGGTGTCATCCCAACGTGGTAGTCGCYTCGCCTAATGGCATGACCAGCACTATCGCTCCATATCTCGGTGTCTTCTTTTACTGTGAGGCCGGCGTGAAAACACAGGCGCCACACATGCTGCATGACTTTCTGCGGATTGATGTCCTCTCTGCGAGTAGTGAGGACCTTGTGGATGCCATCGGAAGGACGAGCGATACTGATTGCGGGCAGATGACAACTCGTCACCACTACCGGCGAGGAAGCAGCGTGATGGGATTGTAGTACCCAGGTACGTCGCTAACCGTATGTGATGTGACGATGCAGATCGCAAACGTCGAAGACTTGCGGTGTAATCAAGCTRCGATGTTGGAGGACCCCCGATGGCTCTCAAATCCCCAGACCATGTCGTGCGAGTGCATGACGATGACAGTCTCAACTCATGAGATCGCCCGTGCTTGGCCGTCCGGGAGTTGAGCAGCGTGCTATACAGCCATGGAAGAGGTCGCAGCATGGTCTTCTAGTGTGCTGGTGAAACAGCATACCAGGAAGAGGCCGCCGGCGGCCGCTCTTCAGCTCAGCTAAGCAGCCGGCCGACTCTGTGTCGTTCTGTTTCAAACAAAGTCCGGTATAAAGTGAAACCAGCGCACACGTGTGCTCTGTAAGGTCGTCCACAGACATGGCGAATAGATGAGCATCAGACTATTGGGAATTTACAAGCGCAGCGCTGTCGAGTTGTTGGCAAAGACTCCACTGTGTGAGATTTAGCACTGCAACATTGATTCCGACTTCAAGGGAAAGCGCCACCCTTGCTGCGTCTCCATATTGCTGCGTCTCCATACTGACGCGTCTCCATATTGATGCATTTGTGCCGTGTTCATGCATGCACTCAGCCGGCAAGATGGGTAATTCGATGCGGATATGTGCGTAGATCGTCATGCCAGATTGCCTTCAGATGCCGCTCTTTTCTGAGGGTCTGGACAGGGTGCATTTTGTCGGTCGCTTTCGCGGAACAGTACGTGACAATCTTGCGATCTGGATGGGCCGATGTGATGGCCTTGATGGGTCTTGGCTTCGGTGATGATAATATCGGGTYCATCAGTCCAGCAGGCCGCGCAGTTCAGGGTCATGTTTCCGTCTGCAGATGTTTGGGAGTGCATAGGTATGCTTCCAGAGTTTTGTTCAATCTTCGTCTCCAGAAAATGCAGACACCCTGGTGTTGATCATCTGTGGGCTGACCACGGTTCGGGGCAATTCGGCGAACTGCTGCGGTGCACCCTGCCTTGACTGAGGATGACAGCTCAGCGMAGGGTCGACGACGTTGAGGTAATTTCCCGGTCTTCACGTCGACATGGACCCTTGAATGTTGAAACAACTCTTACCACGCTCACGAACGCGGACCTGCAGCGGCTTCCTGTAAAACGCATCCGGATAATCGTGCACTGCCTTGATTGTCCACAGGCAGGGGTTTCATCGTTCACACGTGCAAGTCGCACCTGATGCTTCCTCCCCAGACGTTGTTCCGCGTTTCTTCACGGGCGGTMTCAGAAACAGACGGGAAACGGCGTGACGAAGAAGCTGACAATGACCGCCGATGATGTGTCGCGTGCTGGCTCCCTCTACCGGCCGGCGCGTGTCCTAGAGACATGGAAGGACTCACAACGCGATTGACACCAGGTGGAACTGACAAGACACAGATGAAGACCATCACAGATACCTCCAAACACGACTCCGCCCTCTGCAGCTTCATGCAGGAATCACTCACTGACTCAGTAGCTCCATGCGTCTCAGCGAACACTCCTTGTGCGATTGTGCAACAAACGTCTGGTATGCCTGCGAGTAAAAATTAAATCCTCGGCAGCAGCTACATACCATCCACGGAATCTTGCGAGACTACCGAAACGGCCACGAAGAAGATTTCGCCCATTTCTCCAGGATGCACTGCATTCCAGTCGAGATATAATTCCAACGCAAAAGCTGAACACCAAAGAGCACCCCTCGAAGCTCCTGAAGAGTAAGACGTCTCGCATCAAGTCTCTCCTTCATTCAACCAATCGGGCATCAGCACTTGTCTTCCACGGACCTTGCCATCATCTAGTTTCTTCAAAACCTGCGGTAAATCATTGATGGAGCCTTCGACAAGCTCGGGTTTGACAATACCCCGACCAACCAAGTCCAGACACTCTCTTAGGCCATCCACAGTACCACAGAATGATCCCTTCAACGTCAGAACATTGGTGACGATGATTCCTGGAATGACAGTGACCGTCGGACTCAGCAATCCCACAAGCACAACCAATCCTGCAGGCCGTACGGCGAGCTGTGCCCCAAGTACTGTCTGTTCATGGCCAACAAAGTCAACCACGATATCAACCACGATTCCCCTCTCCTCCAACACAGCATGAACAGGTTTGTCATCAGGATCCGCGGTACAAAACGCATCTTCTTTCGCGACACCCAATCGCACGGCGACATCCACAGCTCCCTGCTCCCTATCGCATACCAAGACACGTTTTGCTCCAAGATGCTGCGCGACTTGCAATCCATTCAATCCCAATCCGCCGAGTCCCATGATCAGGATTGTGTCTTTGGGAGTCACTCCAGCAGTATACTTTACAGCATGATAGGCCGTGAGCAGCGCGTCTGGGGAAACGGCTGCTTGCTGTATCTTCACACCTTTCGGAATGACAACCGCGGCATCTGCTCTGCAGACCACGTACTCTGCGAAGAAGCCATCTTGGCCCAACCCGTGATTGCCATTGTCTTCGGCTTTGCACGCTTGCTCCCACCCGTGGGCACAATGCACACATTTCTCGGACTTGCAGCCTGTGACTGGGTGGACTGCTACATGATCTCCGACGGCTAGGGAAGTGACATTGTCGCCTAGTGCGACTATCTCCCCGGCTCCTTCGTGTCCGAGAGTGAATTCTTCCCGCCAGAAGGGTGGAATCTCTTGCATGTCGCGGATTGCGCAGTCGCTGTGGCAAACGCCCATTGCGTGAAGTTTGACTAGGACTGTGTTTGGTCCTGGAGTGGGGATCGGGATGCGGCTACGGAAGATGGGTGGGGTCTTGCCAATTGACATTCGCCATGCGTGCATCATCTCTGTCATTGCGTTGCTGGTTGCTTTTGGTTTCTGGGCTGTTGATTGATCTGTTCTTGGGATGAGTTTCGAACTGTGAAACTTCTGGCTTCGACTGCGGTGACGGTGACTTTACGGACTAAGTTCTAAAGTTCTTCCTGACGACTCAATACAACCTAAGGTGAGCTTCTCTGCTTATTAGACTCCTGTTTTGAAGCTCTCGAGATCTCCGCTTTCGTCGGATCTGTCCGGTTGAACCAAACTGAGTAGAGGAGGCGAACCACTACACCCGAGGTCAAGTTTGGGTAGGTAAGCTTGCTCGACATGTCATCTTAGCATTCTCACTTTTGGAACAATGGTACAAGAGTGTGAAGACTTTAGTGAGGGCTGAACATTGAACAAGCGGGAAAGAGTTGACGTGATTGATGGCTGCCAGGCATGTCGCCATCGAGTGATCACATCCAGGATTAGGGTTGGGGTAGTGACAAGCCGTCGACGGGGATGTCTTTGAGTATCCTATACTTCTTCTCTTGGTCTGTGTCAACAAAAAGACTTGTTCGTATGTACGTTTCCCATTCACTTGCGGTTGGTGGGTTTCAACGCAATAATTTACATTCTCTTTTGACGTCTGCATCCTGCAACTTGAGAGACACTGGTGTTCTAGTCATTTTGCTGCACACCCTCATTGGCGTCTGTTTCCAGAGGAGACACACGGAAGCGTCGGTACGGAACAACCAGATGATACTCGCACAAACGAAGGTAGTTCTGGACTTCATGGCTGCATTGAGTTGTGCAAACTCCACGCAAACAACTAATTGTTTTGCTGGAGACAAGAGCAAAACGGCTATATAATGTCATTCCCTTGGACATCCTAACCATCATTGACACTTCCACTTCCATCTCATCCCACGGAACAGCATGTCGGATTCCAACGCCATCCATCTTGCCATTCTCATCGACAACAAGACAATCCCCACTTACGAAGGAATTGATGCTTTCTCCAAATACATTCGATTCTATCCCTCAGCGAACTTCGCACTACATGTCTTTTTTCCCTCCGACTTCAAGTGGCTTGCAGACATCTTGCTCTTGAATGTCTCAATCAATGGGAATTCAGCAAGCTCATTCCACATTCGTCCAAAAGGGGAGGGTCAAGAGTTGGAAGGAATCATACGATCACCAGCTTTTGTTCTGCCGTCCGAACCACATGATCATGGACAAATCGTCGCTAGGATGTGGCATGCGAAGGTCTCTCCTACTGAGGACAGTCTCTCATCATCTACACAACCGGCTGAGAAAGAGATGGAGAATGTTGTCGATGCGAGCTCGTTGAACTCGAAAGTCGTATCGACTACCCCTATCGAGAATTCCTCACAGCATTCACTCACATTCAAGTGGAGTTTCCGCTCGTTGGACGCTTTGAGGGAGATTGTGCCGAGTGCCAGATCGCAAGCTGGTCCGGTGTGGACGGAAGAGGATGAGAGGTATCATAGACGACAGTTGGAATCTGGGGGTGACAGGGAGGTAGAACAGGATGATTACATGCTTCGTCGGGCTGAGGCCGATGATAAAAGGTTGAGTGTTACGGAGGATGGGAATGGTGGTGATGAATGAGATGGGATGTAGAAGAGGTGGCGAGAGAGCAGTGAGAGGGATCATGAGAGGGAGAATCCCCGTGTAGCAGAGTCTGATGATATGGTTGATTGTGACACATGCGACGCCGTCGTACATAACCACGGGGCCGCTCAATAACGGCCTCTACTCGACTGCTGATGACCTTTCCGTAATCGATCGACGTAGGAGATGCCATCGCCAAAACATCTCCTCTTTGCCTCAGTTCTAAAAACTACTTCCACGCGACAACTTGGAGTCTTCATCACCATGCCCCAACAGTATGCCAATGTCCTGTTCCTCCACATTACCACGTAGTTCAGCTGTCCAATACCCCAGCAATCCCAGAGTGCCAACATCACCACTAACAAAAAGACGAGTGGAAAGTCCCGAAAAATGAGAGAAGAATGCAACTTTCATTTCATGCTTTCCCATTTCCTTTTCCCTTCCCTTCCCTTCCCATTCCGATTCCCATTCAACATCTATAGTTACATACCACACCCACAACGCTACGCCCATGCAGCAACAGCACGCCACCCATCTCCAGAATTTGAATCACAAGAAGCGAAAAAGAGAAGAATCATCGTCCCATCCACCACCACCACCATCACTTTCCCCCCTCTGACTCCAGTCAAGTCATCATCAACAAAAACGACACGAAGCCACCCCAAGAAATACTTGTTGTCATTGCCCATCAATCAATCCCCAAAGCTGTTTCAGTTTTCCATATCTGTAGGAGTGAAGAAAGGTGCGTAGGGCCGGCACAATACACATCTCATCCATCGTATGCCTGATCTCCTGCCCTTTCCCAAAAGTTGCGTTTTTTTGCCCTCCCAACCCGAGATCACATCCATCCATCCTTCGTAACTTCATCTCCATCTTCATAGGCCATCCCATCCCACCCATGTACTTGTGTACTTGTGTCGTGAAGAGTGCTTCCTGCAAGCATTGAGTTCACTCCTCACTAATCTCCGCACTCCGCCTCCCATCATCACAACTCTCTCTCGTCCGAACCTTTCTCATGGTGTTGTTACTCCCACTCCTCGAGCTCTTCTTACTCCTCATACTCACGCCTGTGCCCCTCCTTTCCGGCTGGCTTCCATGGATGGCCTGTTGTCTCTTATCGGCAGACTTCCGTCTCGACATGACCAATCCGCCATCACTATCGCTGGAGTCTCCTTCAGAGCTGTCGCTATCGTCGTGGAGTCCGCCATAGAAGTTGGCTTCTTGATCAGGGGAATAGCCCTCGTCGGGAATTTCCTCTTCTTCGAGACCGTGCATGGAACGCATTTCGGTGTTGAGCGTGTCGCCTGATGAAACATCTCTTTTGTTTTCGCTCATCCAATCGGGATGATGGAATCCTTCATGAGGATCGATAGAAGATGCTTCGGAGACGACGGATGGGATAGAGGGGTTGGAAATGGACATTGACACCGCGGAACCCAGATCCGAAGAACTGGACATACCAGGTGGGAAGTGTCCGCCGGATTGGTTCATCGGGCTGAGWCCATCAAGAGGGGTTTCAGGTTGAGAGGTATCAGGGATTGAACGAGCTCGTGAGTCTCCTCCTCTGGAATGGAAGTCATCGGGACTGGGTGGACATTGTCGATCACCTTCCGAGGGAGAGTCATAGAACGATGGTGGTTGTGGTGATGAGCGAGCAGAGCGTTCCGCAACATCCTTGCTTTCGCGGACCAGTTTCCTTACTCGCTCGTCGTCAATGCGACTGAGAGATTCAAGAGCAGGTTCTTCTGCGACGCGAGAATGTGCTCTCGACCGCGACTGGCCTGCAGCACGCAGCAATCTGCCGACGGAAGCGAGAGAACTGCTAGAGCTCAATCTCGACAGTAGACCGGGTTCTTGGGGACTAGGACCGAGGTGATGGACATCTGAGGCGACGGAATGTGTGCGAGAAGGTACCGGGCTGTTGTGTGCGCTGGAAGCGGGGGTAAAGTCCTCGCGTAGTGACTCGGGAGGCTGCACCGTTCCAGAGGCAGTCATCTGGCTGATAGCCACACTAGCCTCTGCGTGATGGTCGTTAGACGCCACGGAGCCTCGATCACTTGACAAACCTCGATGACGCCCCCGGTTCCGGCTTTGCTCTCGGATACTCCTAATGATACGACCAGAGCTACCCAGCCCGCCAAGAAGGCCACCCAAACTGCTGCCTCCTGGCGATGACAATGCCATGGGTGTTGAGGGAAGACCTGGAGATGGCGGAGGCGTTTCGTCTCGGTAATCTGACTGTTTGACAGTGCGCATCGAACCGCTTGCAGATGCCACCGTCATGGCTCGCTTTGGTGGGTCCGGCCTGAAACTAGTTCGCGACAATGTTCTCGTGAGTGTTGTTGTGGTGGTGTCAAAGTTCTTTCCGGACGTTTCCGTTTCGGGACTCGCAGCGAGGCTCTTCGCGAGAGGATGTTCATGTTCGCGAGATGCCTTCAATGCAGTAAAGATTGATTCATCCCCGAACATGCTCTGTCTTCGGGCATCCCGAGCATCCTTGCTGATGCTACCGCTGGAGGAGCTTGGAGATGGCGCCGCCGAGCTGTCCTTGGCAGCACTACTCGCCGACGAATTGCCTCGAGCGCGAGTGGTCGATTTGCCCATGACCTTGTCGGTCAGTTTCTTCACGCCAGAGCGCATACGCTCCACAAGGTTCAATGGCACGACGGCAGTGTTGAGTTCCTCCTTGGAAACTTCAATCTTCTTGCCTTGAGAGTGGCGTGAAGGATCAGTCTCATCAAGCCACTTCATCTTGTTGGGCAGGTCTTCAAGAACCCAGGGGTGCATCCGCACTTCTTCCAATGTTATTCGCTTCCGTGGATCCTTAACCAGGAGGCGTTTCAGAAGGTCGTGCAGCTCATCACTGATCTCCTCATACTTCAAGTCTAATTCGCCTCGTCTCCCGGAGGGCATCGGCGGAAACACCCTGCTGTGAGATGAGGGTCTCGATTTAGGCTTGGTGTCAATAGGTTGTAGTCTTTCCCGTGGGATGTAAATTTCTTCGTCAGCAATCTGCCGCATGACCACATATTCGCTATCCACGAATGGGGTGCGTGCAAAGAGCATACAGAAGAGTGTGATTCCCAGCGCCCAAACATCAATCGCTTTCGTGACAGGGATAGCTTCCTCTGCAGGGTCGGTAAAGCACAGCTCTGGAGCGTAGAAGGCGGGTGTACCAACAGTCTTTGCCAGCTCTTTCGCTTCATCATCAAGATCATGAGCCTCACCCTCACTGACGTCCTCTGCTGCCTCGCCGTTCTTCACCGGCTTCCCCAGATAAGAGACGCCAAAGTCCGAAATTTTGACGCGGCCGTCAATGGTTGCAAGGAGGTTTGGAGGTTTAATATCGCGGTGCACAATCCCTTGGTAGTGGAGGTACTGCAATCCAAGGAGAGTGTCTCGGAATGCGACGCGAATCTGTTCCATGGTCATGACAGGAACGTACTCCAATTCGGTATCGAGATACGAATCGAGAATCTCACTCGCGAGGTTTGACAGCCCCTCGAAGCTGCCATTCTGCGATCCACGCAGGCTTGTGGGCAGGCTGGATAGCCGGGTTTGTGGCTCTACAAAAGGCTCGTACGGGCCGTACATGGTACCTTCGAGTCCAGTGCCGACCATCTGGTGAAGACTCAGCGAACTTGTTGCGCGGCTGGCACCTCCACCATCGTGTGAAGATGTGGGAGAGATCATTTGCGGTTCAGCGGTCAGCTCCATCCACTTTGCTTTGGTGGTTGGACTGGTAGCGCTGGCATTCGGCAGGAGAGGAGAAGGAGTGCGAGAGGCGCGTCTACTTCCAGGATCAATGTGCAAACGTGAGGATATCGACTGGTCTGTGGTCGAGGAGATGCGTGACAGACGGTCATCTTCGTCATCTTCATCACTTTCGTCGTCACCTGCAAGCTCGATACTCCAATGCTCTGGGTTGTCTTCCCTACGCATTCTCGCCCGGCGGAACAGTCTCGCGGCCCGTCGCTTCTCCTTGTCGAGCCGACGTGTTGCCTCCTCCAGCACCGCGCGATCTTCCGCTTTGAGACGCTCATCTTGCAAGCCACTCCTTTCCCGTTCGTAGCGTCTCGCTTCGATCATGGCAATAGCCTTGTTGCCCTTACTGCGCCACTTGATCTCACCCTTCTCCACCCACTCCAGCACAATGTACACCTTTTTGCGTGAAGGGTCATCAATCACCTCCAGCAGAGCTACAATATTGGGATGACGAGCCTTTTTCAGGATCGCGACCTCCTTCTTGACCTTGTCCTCGGTGGTGCCCAGTCGACCAAGTTTCCTGCGTTTCGAGAACCGCTCCACAATCTTGATGGCGACAAATGTGCTTTCGGTGTTGAGGTCACGGCCAAGCTTCACTTTGCCGTGCGTTCCGCGACCCAGCTCATCAACAATCTCGTAATGATTGATCAATTTCCTGCCAGAGATGGGGTCGACATCGACGTCTGCGACGTGGGTCTCCTTGGGCACGTGAGTGTGGGTGAAGTGTAGGAAAGGACTGGCGTATAGACGAGGCGCCTCGTTATTGCTGAGGGCCGGTGCAGATGGTGGACCCGCCAGATTGAAGAGGCCAGTGCTGGGCGACACGGTGGGAGAGTGGAGTGAAGTTCTGGCACCCGCCGCCCCTCTTACAGCGAGGGCAGACGCAAAGGTGCGCACCTGCGATGTCTGTGAGAGAGTGGGTGGCCGGGCCAGATATCTCTGCGTGTATTGGTCTTGTAGGGCCGCAAAGGACTGATTGGGATATGGTTGTGGGGCAGGGTAGAATCCCGCAACCACACTGCCTTTCCTCGGCGTGACCGTGGTCGCGCTGTCGGTGCTTTCAACGCTGATGTTGGAGACGGCCGTGTATGGGGTGGGTCGGATGGTGGTCAGCGGACTCGTTCCAGGCAGTTGGAGATTGTGGACGGCAAGATGCCCCGCAGCCGTTGCATTCCCCGCGCGAGCACTGGCGATGTTCTGTGCGATAGTGTGTTGCTGTTCCTGGGCGTGGAACTTTGCCGCTATCTGCTCCTCCGTCGGTGGTGGCGGTGGATGAGATGAGGTCGCCCCAAAGTAATCGTTCCCGCTTCCCGCCGTGCCTGCCATTTGCTGCCTCGCTTGGGCTTCCGAGGCGCTGGGTGTCATGACCTCGAAGGAAGGAGGCATCTCCGATCGGGGCGTGTCCTCGACATCGACCTCTGCTGTGTATGACTCCTCCACTCGCCTGTTCGCGTCTTTGCCCGTATCCTGCGGTATTCCCGCCGCCTCCTCTACCGGGACGTGTTGACTGTGTTCATGTTCATCCTCATGTGCATGCGCATGCTCCTCTACCACCCCACTTTCCTCCCTCTCAGTGCTCTCGGACATAATCAAGATATGTCGCCCCAAACGCTCCCTCACACTTTCGGTCCCCTCGAAGATCTCAACTCAATCGCACTGCGAATCACCTGGCTCGCAGCACCGCAGACCGGTCTACCCGCACTGGCTTCGGCTGGACATTTGATTCACTCTGACAACAATATTTCTGGCTTGGCGACGAAAAGGCCGTATCATGTTCCGGCGGCGGCGGACTCGACCTGTCGGGGTTCAGGATGTCGATGCCAAGAAGCGAAGTCGGGTGGACCCTCTTGCTTTTTGGTTGGGAATTGCGATTTACGTGTTTGGGTGGGAGGATTGATCCAAGATGAGTGGTGAATGAAGGTAGTGGAATGATTGGAAAGAAAAGGGCCGTAATCGATGTCTCTTTTGAGAAGCAGAAGTCTAAATTATACAGCAAGAGAGGGACAGACAGACGATGGGAAGCCGGCACAGACAAGGACAAGAAGAGACGAGGTGATCCAAGGGCGGGCAACCCCGAGCAAGCGATGTGGGGATCGATTGTCCGACCAGCATCCCTCGCGCCCAATGAGATGCCWTCGCCTCCACTGCGAACGAGGTATGCGCTCGGGAAGCGCGGGTGTCAGGCCAAGCCTTTGTAGTAGCGAAAAGTCATCAATTGCGATTATTATTAACAGCATCATCACGACCATCCTTCAATTTGGGATTAATTAGGAGGATATCGACACGACGGCCAGAGCGTGGCTGAAGATATTCTCCGTCTTGCTCTCCTTCCAAGGTCAACCAATTGATGCAACATCATCGTCCTCATCGACACGCTTTTTGTTGGGACACGACATTCGCCGGACATGCCTGCTGCATCTGCATTCGCACTGCATCTGCACCTTTGCGAGATCCCAATGAATCCATCCATCAATCATTAACCGACAATTCCCATGGGCAATCATCGTGAAGAAATGTCTCCGTCCGTGAGACAAGGACCAGGGCTACGGGCAAGCAGACCAGACGAGGGTTTGCCCGTCAAGCTAGGTTCGAACGTGCGCGGTGACGCCACCGTGACTAGGATGCTTCTCGATCTCATGTCTTTGGGAATCACCAGAAAGAGTGAGAGATCTCTCCTTCAACCTTGCCGTCCTTGTGTGCTGCTCCGGGGTTCGTTACGTTGTATGGTACGTGCCATGCATGTCGGCGACGCAACGCCATCGGCTAACCTACCCAACAATCGCGATCACTACCCGACCATCTCACATCACCTCACCATTATGACGAAAGGGCAATGCATCCCAACTCTCCCCAACGCATTCCATCCCCCATGTACCGTATGTTGTTCCCGTCATCTCAATTATTTGCCCGCCAATTTCGTTCGTTCGCACACCCAATTCTAGGTCAAGGCCCAACTGCGCCACAGCTAGACGCAATGCAGTCTACTCGTCCTGGTATAAGCATCACCATGCCATCATTGCACGGCCTAGCACGAATAGACTTTTGGGGTAGTGTAGAGAGCCAGAGAGAGCGTGGTTGAAGGGGTCCGTGCGTGGCATCCTGGAAAGCTTAGATAATGAAACATCAACAGCTCTCGCATCATCACAGGCTGGGTTGGTTGAGACAGGTTCGAGAAAATAGAAGAGGRAGCGGATGCATCGACTGAATAGGGAGAGATGTGCAGCGTGCAGCATTGCATGTGAGCGGGGTACTGTATGTATGCATGCCCGCCTCCCGTCATCCTATCAGATGGGAGTAGGGGGCGATGTGCATGGTGCATGTGGKAGCAAGTTTTCTTGAAATCTTGGACCTTTGTTTTAGGTGAGACATGATTATGATGATCTTCTCTTATCACGAACGAGGTGGCGAGTACGACTAAATTGCCTGGGCATGTTTGATCGATGGAAGGATGTGGATAAGCGAAGATTGTAGGAGAGAGGGATTTTGTGAAAAGAACGAAGAAGCAGACGTCAAGTCTCCCAGCGTACCATCGGATGTCTCGACCAGGATCCGAATAGCTTACAACAACCCTACTAGAGGGAATCAGAGCCCTATACGTTCCGATCAACCGAAGCTCTTCCATCATCAACACTTTCAGAGCATGATGCAGCGTGCTACCAAGGTACCTTAGTTAGTGAGCATGCCGCAATCCATCACCAACACACAATCGGCTTGCACATGCTCGTCGCGGACATACACAGTACAGTACCCCGGGGTCTCGCTAACATGCAGCAACAACACCCGAGCCCCAAGATTCCAGCATCAGCCCAAGGCAAGCCAAGGTACAAGTTCAGTTCCCAACGCGCGAGCGAGCGACAGAAGCGATCCAATCATTTTGGGGAAGTGAGCCCGATTCGAAAAAAAGTACAGTGTTTTCACGCAGAAATCCTGTCCATACATTCACCGGTGACAAGAAAGAGACCAGGCCAGGCCATGGCTCCAACACACACACCATCATAAAAAAAGGCAAAATACAATTCCATTCATGATAAAACCATGAACCATGAACCATGACCACACCAGTCGTTTCACCACCTGCATGCTCGGATGGTGATATTATGCACCCCTCTTTTACCTGCTCTCCCGCTCGCTAACATGCAGCAAAACGACATCCGAGCCCAGAGAGGTTTTTTGGTTCCCAAGGTACGAGATAAGATACCCGCGAGTCCAAAAAGGACAGCTTCTCAATCCATTTCGAGGAGAGAGGACGGGATAGAAAAGAGAGTTAAAAACAAACATACCCACACGCCGTACCCAAAAAAAAAAGACAAACAAACAAACAAGCAAGCAAACGAAAAACAAATCCCCTTCTATATACACCCATGTCACACACTCTCCCTCTCACTGATAACCCGTAAAGCAAACAACACACAACACTCGCGATCCCCATTTCCATCAATCCCGACATAATCCAATCTCCATCTTTTCAAAATCATACCCGACCCTACCAGCCGAACATACAGTACGCGAAGCATGTGCGTGCATGAAATGATGTGTGAGTACATATATCCACAGTAGGAGGAATTCCATCTTAGGTTGTCCATCTATGGATTACCTGCCCCTCTTTTACAATTCTCTCGCCTAGATGCATATATCTCATGCTTCTCATGCTTCTCATGCACGCACGCACGCATGCATGCGTTCGTTTCAAAACATCCGAGGGGGAAAAAGGAGAGAGGGGAAGTTTTCATTACCTTGCCTTAGGTACCTTGAGATTATCTGGGGAAGTCGGAGGGGTTGGAAGTTGGATGGCTTGACGATGAGGGAAAAGTGGAGTGTGTGGTGTGGTGTACCTACCTTGGGCGAGATAAGGTATTGAAGCCCGGAATCATCTCCGGCAATTTTCATGTGATGGATGATGATGATGAAGCATTCATCACTGTCAATCGAGGGCTACAAGTCTTATTTTGAGAAGATAAGGATGTTATGGGATGTGATGGGATATCGCGATACTCTTTACGATGGCCGCGTGTTCTCTTCGTATATTCTCTCCGGTGAAGAGCATGTGTGTGGTGAAAGTAGGTGAATATCAGCGACACGATACCACATCATCCGAGCGAGTGAGAGAGCACGCACGCACCCACCAACGACACGCGAACAAGGCTGGCGGCTAGCATCGCATCGCATCCCATCCATGAGCCCAACAAGTCTACAATCCCTCATCGACCCCGGAGACGCAGTATCCTGCATGACTGTAGTCACTAGGTACTGCTGGCTGGCGGCGTGCGTACTTGTCACGAGCAGGCTTTGAATCATCATTCAAAGGGCGCGGGCCGAATGATGCATGCAAATGGGTTGCGCAGCATGGTGGCGTCGCTTAGGAGCAGCCGAAGGTAAGACGTTGCTCGGCTGATGTTCTCCCCTCCCATTCCATTCCATCCCCTGGCATTCGACGACCGAGCGTCTTGGCACAATCATGTCGGGTGTGTGTGTTTGCATGCAAGGCAGGCAAGTCCACGAGACGTGTGAGGTAGATACGCACGCATGCATGGATTGATGCATTCATTCAGCTCCCATCCAGCAAAGCCGCCTCCTCTTCGCGTTCTCGCCGCGCATCTTCCTCGTCTTCTCGCTCTCGGACATGGACGGCCTCGACCAGTGTGGTGCCTTCAATGCCCATGACCTCCTCAGCCTCACCCTCGCCGTCTCCACCAGCACTCTGACCATTCGTGACCTTTGCCCTCGCCGCTTCCTGCTGCTTCCCAATCCTCTCCCGCACCAATCTCGCAATGGCATTATCCGTCCGTACACTGAGCACATCCAACTTCCTCTCCAAGTCGCGCTTGAGATCCCARTTGGGCTTCTTGGGTTGGAGTTTGAATAGATCGAGGGGAGCATCCACTTTTGCCTCTTCTTCCGCCGCGAGTTTGGTCTCTTTCGCGAGCGCTTCGGCCTTGAGTTCGAGGGTGAGTTGGTTGGCAGAAGGGGCCGCTTCGAAGCCGAGTTTGGCCCCGCGCGTTTCCGCGTCGTAGTTTCGCCCGGAGAGGTATTTCGTGGTGATGTCAGATTCTTCGCTGGGATTGTCGTCTTTTCGTGGGGATTTTGGGGCGGAAGAGTCGTCGTGGTGGTGGTGGGAATCTTCTTCCTGCGTGTCGGGTTGTTTGCGCTTGAGAGATTTCAGTTGAGCCAGACGCGCTTTTCGATCCAGAGCGGCTGCACCGAGGGCTTGTGTCGAGGCCATGCTTGATGGATTGATTGATTGATTGATTGATTGATTGATGAGTGGGATGTTGGGGTGAAGGTGGAAGGATGGATGGATTCCAGCTGCAAAGATCAATGTGATGGGATGGATGGTTTATTCGAATTCCCCGCGGAGGTGTCTCGCGTGTCAATCTCCGACGCGAGAAGTTGTGCAGCTCGCTCCAAGAAATCTCAACTCCATCTCCATCGCCATCCTTTCTTCTCCATCCACCGCTCCTCATGTTCGCCTATGCCGCCATGTCTCCTCGCTATCCGCTCGCTTCTTCCTTCCGCTAGTCGCACTCGTCGGTCAATTCTCCCCTCATTTCCTCCATTTCCGCCAACATTCCATTCCTCCCATTCAACATGGCGATCCCCAGCACAGAATCGCCATGGCATCGCACGCGACGGCGACGGCGAGCCACACCAGCAGGATGAAGAGGAGATTTCCTCCATTCCCCCGGACCCTTCAGGAGATTCACCCATCTACACGGCGCAACGACCTCTGGGCCACGAAACGGAGGTGCATCGCGAACCATATGTCTCGGCATCGGGGTCGAGGATCATCAGCTTGATGGCGCCCGCATCGCCCGGTAACACCACCTACGCCACGCAGTGGGACACGGCCTTTGCCAAGTTGCGGCTGTTGGGGTACTCGGAGCGGCAGGATGAGGAGAATCGGACGAAATGGAGGGATCGCATCATGTTCGATCGTGAAACAGTCTGCTTGGCCAAGAAGGTGCAGGCTCATTTCATGGAGATGGAGCGCTTGTCGCAGAAGGTGCACTCTGAGATTGAGGATGGCCCTTTTCCTACAGAAATGGACGGCGCCGTGCCCAGTCCTCCCTCGCCCGCACATCTGCTGGGTGCGGGAGACGATCGGACGTGGTACGCGGTGATGCTCTGGCTCCTCGCCTATGATCCCCAGCACGCCCTGGATTTCGTCCATGCCACCCACCACGCTCCCTATCCGCCCCTCTTCGCCGTCCAGGACTCCCTCCTACACCTCGCCTACATCTTCCACAACAACCCGGATGCCCGCGTCAAGCAGCAGAGGCTGAATCGACTGGGACACGTCGTCACCCTCCTCGCCCACCGTACCGATGGCCAATACCTCCGTCTCCCCCATGGCACGCTGGCCTGGCTCATGCCCGCCATGCGCCCGGAACAGCTGCTCCGATTATGGGAGGCCGTCCGGGAGCACCGCGTGGACATCCATTGGAATACCCTCCTCCACTTTGCTACCCGTCTCGCCCATGCCGATTACCTCGATCAAGCATTGCATGCCCTATCCGAAGCCCAGGCACAAGGCGCGCCCTCCACCGCAACCTTCTTCCTCTCCACCTGCTCCACTCTCCTTCGCTCCGCCATGCGCCAACCATCCGGCATGAGAGTCGGTCTCCGCATGGTAGACAGTCTGGTCGAAATGGGCGTAGCCCTCGACCTCCCCCTATGCAACATCCTCATGCTGAACGCTGTCGAGGCCCACGATCTCACCACTGCCTGGTCCATCTACCGTTCTCTGCCCGGCTATGGATTGGAAGCGAATGACCGCACATTTGCCGTTCTGCTCAAAGCCTGCAAAATCAACCTCGACGATACAGACATGCTGAATGAGACCATCCGCAATGCAATCGCTCATTCAGATGTCAAAAGCCATCCCATCCTCGCTGCCGACATCCTCAACACCCTCGCCCTCCACCATACGAGACACCATCCAGAAATGGCTTTTCAAACCCTCGCAGACGCCTACTCTCAACTCTTCGACACCACTCCCTTGAGTGACCTCGGCATTCTTCCCCCGCCGTCTCAATCGGCAAGGTCGGAGGATAGAATGCAACCCACTCGTGGCGCCATCGGAGTCATGTTGATTACCCACCTCCACCACCTCTTCCTCCAAACCCAGTCTCACACCCAACCTCATGCTCTCTACCGTCGCTATCGTGCCCTCGTCGCTTCTCGCGTGGCACCCTGGGCCGACACCATCGACGAGGATTACATTCCCAACGCCTTCCTTGTAGCCCTCACCAAGACCAAAGCCGGCCTTCTCCCCGCTGCAGCAATCATCAAGGACATGCAACGTCATGCTCCTGATCACGTCGGTCCGAGGCAGTGTGAGCCCACAGTCCAAACCTGGACAATCCTCATGCACGGATTTCAAAAGCACGGCCAGATGAAAATGGCCGAGCAAGTCCTCCAATACATGAGGAGCAAAGGCGTGGAACCCGATCAAGTGACATGGAATGTATTGGTGGAGGGGTATGCAATCTCCCGGGATTCCGAGGGTGTGGACAGCATATTGCAGAGGTTGAGGGAAGAGGGCGTGGGATGGGATCAATTCACGACGAGCTCCGTGAGGAAGTTCAAGTCACATTCTCATGGGAAGGCGGAAAGCATGCTGAATCCTTCCTGGAGAGCAGGAGATCAGCAGAGGGAATTGGATTTCACGCAGGATTTGAGGGAGGGCATTGGGAGGAGGTTTGTTGAGGGGGAAAAGTCATCACGGGTCGGCGAAGCCGGGAGCAGGGAAAGTGGCAATACGGAAGTCAAGGAGGGAACATATGCTCTGATTGTATAGTGATGAAGATGAAGCAGAAGAAGAAGGAGATTTGTCTGTGAACATATAGTGATCATAATTAAGGAGAGGAAGGAGGGATGTGTGTAAAAAGATGTGTTGTACAACATAGAATATAACACAGTGTAATGTCAGTCCCCTGACCATGACGACTGAATGGGGAATATACATCATTCTCATCTTTATCAAATTGTATGTCCTGCCATTCCATGCATTTTCAGGTTGTCTCTACAGCTACTTTGCAAGGCCCGCATTACCTGCCTGCCTGCCTGTCTGCCTGCCTGTCTGTCTCACTTACACTAAGCCGACCCAACGAGAAATAATCACAAGATCAAATCCACGTAAGAAAGAGAGAAAGAAGAAAGAAAAAGAGGCAAGACAGCGTAAAAGCGGGGATCTATCCAGGTATGAACAGTAGTTCTCAAGGAAGTTGGAAAGTGTGGTGTGAAATAATAGATARGGAGGAGGACAGATGGCGTGTAAATTATCCCACAGTATAGTCAAATATACAATCTAGGATACACGAAAGTGATCAAGACGCTTAGTTTGGGTTTTTTTTCCTTCTTGAGATGGATAATGATGACGTTTTTTGACAATTCGTCGTGGGAAAGGGAGTTTGATACTTTAATTTAGGCACCGACGTTGCGTTCCGTTCTTACGGGATGAGGGAAGGGGTGTCGTGTGTGTTGAGAATAAGGTAAGTGGGAGATATCGAAAAAGAAAATTGTATGCATGGACCAGGTGCGAGATCCGGGAGGATGGTAGTGATGAATGAATGAATGATGCTAAGGTCGAGTTGCCCTCGGAGTTTGCTAAGGGTAACAACAATGACTCTGACCGTAACCATCGATACACGGACGTCTTGCGAAAGGGGCCCAGAATTGTACAGGCCCCAACCGTGCATGCCAAAAAACTTGTTCAATACGAAGGCTTCCGGCACTCACTCGAATGCAGCATACTACCAAGGATCGTGGTCGCTGAAGCTGCTGTGAAGGTAAGCGAGGCTACCAAACGAAAAGCAGGTTGTGCAAGCATGTCTACTGCTCCAGTAAGCCATAGGAAATTGAGGTAGTCTGTGCCTCGTTCGTGGGCACTTGACTGTGGTGATAGTCAGAGCTCTGTCCACTGAACATTGCCACCAGCTTGCGGATGTCTTGGACTCCAGCTCAAGGTCTTCGCAGAGGTCGCAGAGGAGATCAGGAGGCAAGAACAAACTCCAGCGTATATGCCTGTAGATTTGCTGAGTTTGGAGTCAGTGAATTCGATGACCACCGTTTGCACGCCAGGCCAATTCGAAGCGCATTTGTATCGCATGTCGTGATAGTCAAAGATGGCCAGGCTATCAGGCTGTACTACAGCACAGATGTGGCTCTTGTGGCCTCTTCGCTGCCTGGATCATAAATGGGCGGTCCGAGGCGACAGCAAGATCCCCATTTCGTTGCAGACCGGGTTATGGCCCAGCGTGGAGGAGATCATCTTGCCTTGAACTTCCGAGCACGTCAAGCTAGAAGGGAAAAGTGTGACCCGTCAAAACGACAGGGCTGCTGCATCTCGCGGGGGCTTACATCTGCTGTAAGGTACGCAGCCTGTTCAGCATGTCATACATCGATATGGAGTCCTTTCCTGAGGTTGAAGTTTGGAGAGGCTGATCCGATGGACGCTAGGTGATGTGCCGACATCCGAGCCGACCCTCATTTTTAGCGCGTCATCATGAAGGCGCGTCTCTTCCATTCGTCTCGTGTTTCGGGCATCTCATCCAAACCAGATCCGAAGACTCCGACCACCCATCCCATTCTCCAAGTAACGGCGCAAAGATGCTCGCCGCACCCTCTTCATCGCCCCATCAATACAATCCTTTCCTCCCGACCCATTCCTCCCCGCTCGCTCGCGATGCACGACGCGCCACCTTCAATTTCGCAATGAACGATTCATCCAACACTACAATTCACGCTTCCTCAAGCCACGGCGCATATACCTTTGGCCAGCAATCAAATACAGATCAAAGGCAAAATCCAAAAGCTGCGCCTAAAATCAGCACTGAGCGTCTCGGAAGGCAGCGGACAGGAGCGTTTTTGCGGAAAGTCCGGGAGGGGAGGGAGGAGAGACGATGGGAGACGCGAGGAGAGGATGTATGTTACGAGAGCGCGTTGCATTGATATATCACAAACTAACGCGACGGACTGCAGATAATGCGTGCCGACTTCCTTTCCCGCCAACGAGCCTGGGAAGCAGCACAAGCCCGGAATGCGCCGGCGGAAGACGTAGTGCACTACGAAGACGAACTGGAGGAGGGAGGCCGCGTCTCAGAGGCCATGGAGATCAATACCAGCCAAGTCGCGCCCGAGGACGAAGTGGATGACTTTCTGAGGGATGAAGATCAGGAGTTGGAGGCGTTGTTGGAGTTTATGCCTGCTGGTGGGGAACGAGATGATGGCATGAAAGACGACGGCGATAGTCTTTGGAGTGACGATGCGGATTATGAGGCGCTGTTTGAACAGGTTTTGAGTCAGGAGCAGGAAGGCCAGATCGGAAGTCTGGATCAGCAGTTATCTGCGAATGATGTGATGGACAGCGTAGGAGAGGAGATGGATATGAGTTGATGGAAGATGTTGAGAAGATGTCGAAATCTGCTTTGGGTTGATTTTAGCGCGGCGTTTGGGTGAGACTGCTGTTGATCGTGTTACGAAAGGGAAGGCCAAGGCCAAGGCGGCAGCAGACCAAGCTCAGTGTATTGCGAGAGCGCATGTTGAAGGTCTCCTTCAGATGGTATATATCGATCATCGACTGAAAAAGATGTGCCGTGGAAACTTGAATCTTGTGAACGGGCGGCCTCGCTGTAATTGACCATATTTGCTCTGTTTTGCTTTCGGCTGGGGTATCGCATCACGCAATGACAACACAAGGGGAGTCCCACCGCGACAGAACTCCAAGCACATCAAAGACTTTGCATTATCCATAATTTTCGTCCTCCACCGCATCACTGCATCGGACACCCTTGATCCAAATCTCCAAGCGCCTCCTGAGCCGCACTCATGTCTCCTACCAGATCGGAGGGTGGGCTTCCAGCCGCTTGCATCTAGACACATCACGTCAGCTCTCGGGTCTAAGAAGTTGCTGAGATGTAGGCTTACCTTTTGCATTCTCTCCACAATATACTCTCGATCATCTTCATTTTCATCCTTGTATCCCTTCCTCTCAAACCTCCCCACAATCTCTCCAACCAACTTCTGCTGTTCCTTGTACCTGTCCAGGTCCTCTTTCTTCTCCTTCTCCGCATTCTTCTCCATCCATGCCGGGAACTTGTCATGCAACTCCTTCATTGGCTCGTACAAAATCTCCTTGTTCGTCAAATGAGCCATCATGTTCATGAGCATGCTGTTGAAGTCACCATCGCCACCTTCACCTCCGCCAAGTTCTTTCATCATGGCAGCCAGAAGGTCCTCTTCGCTAGTAGGTGCAGCAGCGGTTGATGCTGCGGCTGTGCTGTCCGAAGCATTGATTCGTTCCATTGTTTTGCGGATTGTGGATTGAAAATCTGCTTCCTCTTTCTTGCCAGTCGCGCTTGATGTCGCCGCTGGTAGTTTTGGTGCAGGTTGTCCCGCTGCAGCTGCTCCTGCTGCTATCCCCGCGGCACCTGGACCTCCAGCATCGGCGGAGATGAGCTGTGCCATCATCTGCTCGAATTCGGCTTGCATAGCGGGATTGCTGTCAAGCTCGGACATGAGACCGACCATACTCTCTTGGATCTGTTTTGTGAAGTCATCGGGTGCTTGTGTTGCTCCATCTTGTGCTGCTGCCGGTCTGCCAGGGCCGGAGGCTAGAGGTGCGGATGTTGCTGGAGCTGGGGTTGGCGCGGCAGCGGGTTTTGCTTGAAAGGAGTCGAGAACATCGTCGAGGTCATCGAGGTCATCTTCTTCGGGATCAGGCGCCATGGTAGCATCTTGGGGGATTTTGTCGGTCATTGTTGTGGTTATGGTGGGGCAGCTCTCGAGTGGAATGTCGGGTTTATACAGTCTGTTGCGTATCGCTCTGTGCTGATAATGTGATCACCTGCCGTTGTAGACCTCCCAGCACTCGACACGATCAAGTTGCTTCGGACTCGGTGTCTGTCATGTGGAAGACGAGAAGACGCAGTGCGGCTAGTTGTCCCGCCTTCACATGCCGAGGCGCTACTGACCCTGTTTCCTTATTCGTGTGATCCCGTAACCGATTCGCCGGAGCGAGCTCATGTCAGCAATCTTCACCCATCGCCCAACCAATCAAGCCGCACTTTCCCAGACGAAGATCGCATTTCATTCACTTCAATTGACTTGTCACGTTCCCGCACGCGCGGTGCCACAGCAAACGCACGTGCCACTTCGCGCCGCAGAGACAAACTTCTTCCGCAACGCCGTCCACTCATCGACATCGACATCGACATTCGACGTTCGCCGTTCGGATCACAACATCAACCATGTCGCTCACCACCTCGCGACTCCAAGAGGAGCGGTATGTCTTGTCCAATCCAGCTGAAGTATGCGCCATTGACTGACACACCTCATCTTCAGCAAGCAATGGCGCAAAGACCACCCCTTCGGCTTCGTCGCGCGACCTCTCAAAACGCCTCAAGGCGCCCTTGACCTCAARCGTTGGGAATGCGCCATTCCCGGCAAAGACAAGACAATCTGGGAGGGCGGGCTGTTCAAGCTCGAGGTCATCTTCCCCGACGGTACATCCTCTCCATAGTCCCTCGTCTTCCGAGAGAATGCCTTCTGACAACCCCTCCACAGAATACCCCACCAAGCCGCCCAAATGCAAATTCACCCCACCTCTCTTCCACCCAAATGTCTATCCCTCCGGAACAGTTTGTCTCAGCATTCTGAACGAAGAAGAAGGCTGGAAACCGGCCATTACGATCAAGGAGATCCTCCTCGGAATTCAATTCCTCCTCGATGAAGTCAACCCGGAGAGTCCTGCGCAGGCAGAGGCCTACAACCTCTACAAAAAGGACAAGGTGGCATACGAGAAGAAGATCAAGGCGGTCGTCAAGGACAATCCGGCGCCGTAGTGGGACGGCAGCTTTGGTGAAATGAGTGCTTGGGCTATGGGATGGATTTAGCGATGGCGCACATGGCGATGGGTTTGTTCTTTGAGGGCCCTGGGTTGATTCTTCTGGGTTTCGGGCAAAAGTTGAAGAGCGGACATTCTGAATTGTACGATGCCTTCTCCTTCCTGCTTGAATGCTAGACCATTCTGCTATGACACAGCATAGCTTAATGTGGCATATCTGGGAGCAACACGATTTGATGCGAAACGACTTTCCTTCCTAGGGATCATTCTCCACAATGACCACTTGCGGAAGGTGTGGTGCATGGCACTGGCGCCGACTGCAAAGCCACATCTGGACGTTCCGCAACGCTGCTGGGATGAGTCAAGCTTGGACATTCGGGAACGCTGCTTGCATGTGACTTGTAAAGCTAGTTGCAACGGAGAGTCCAGATCGTTACGCTGCTGCCGGTGGGGAAGATGTGATGCTTTCAACATCATCATTCACTGCAATGACAAAACTCTGTCAATACGTCCCAATCACGATACCTTTCGTGCACCATTGTGCGAAGAAATCATTGTATCGAGATCTTCAAATATCTTGAAGGCGAGATGGAAGAAGTGAGAAACATTCGCGAGTACGTCATTTGCTTCTGCTAAAATCACAGGGAATGCCCAGTTCTTACCACATAGCAAGTGGTTGCGATCCGCCCTCCAAAGTATAACACTCCCTCCGATCTAGACTACTTCTCAGAAGACTGCGAGCAGGTCCAGCTGTAGTGAGCAGCAATTTGAACGCAATCCCAAGCCCACTGCTTTGAAGCGCGTAATCCTGTAGTGCCCGCACCAGAGAATCCATCATTTGATCCGTGGAGCGATCGTCCAGCCATTGCAGACCATCGATGACGCAGTATAGAGCTGGAGGTGCTTGCGAGAGACCGTCGTGAAGAAGCCCGAGTCCTGCTTCAAAGGTCTCGATATCGCCGTCCAGGGAGCGGAACCTCTCCGGGCTGAAGTCTTTTGAAGAGGAGAAGACGGCTGGAAGGAGTTCGAATGCTTGGCGAATCAGAGCGTAGACAAGGCTTGTTGCTGCACGAGTTTCTCGAGTCTCGCCGTCTTGAGTGCTGGCTTCTCGATCCAGAGTACAAAAGTAAGATATGATGGGTAATTTGGCCTTGTCGATGAGCTCAATAACCCCTGCTGCGACGTCGGAGAGCGGCGAGTAGGCATCTGAACTCGCCAGCGATAGGATGTTTGATCCCCTGGACATGATCCATTGTTGAAGTCGATCTGTTGCTTCGGCCGGGAGAGTCGCGAGATCTGGGTTCCATGGAATCCGAACATTGTCACGGTCGAAAAAGTCTTCTAGACTGGCGGAGGAGAGGAGTATGTCTTCTCGGCTGCGACGGACGCCACCATGTTCAGAAGGATCCTCCATCAGCGAGGCAGATGGTGATGCGTCCATGATGAATCCATGTCGGGACATTGGGCGATGATCTTCTTGGAACAAGAGCAAATTGTCCGCCTTCTCCTGCAATGTTGCTTGAATGAAACGGGTGACATCAAACTTGAGCTCGGCATTGCGACGGAATTGCTCCTCTTGTGAAGTGAGCGCTTTACGCTCTTGCATTTCCTGAAATCGTTTGTTCTCCTCTCGAAAGTATACCATCTCGTTCCGAGCAAGGCTCAACAAATCCTTTGCCACTTCCTTCATGATGATTTGCTGCGTCTTCTCCGCGGTCAGTCTCACGCTACGAAGCTCCGCGGACTGGCCGAGCATCACTTGGTCTTTGATGGACTGTACACATCTCTGCATGTCGGTGATCTGGTCTTTGAAGTCGTCGTAGAGATTCTCCTTGAAGGATTTCAGCATTCTTTTGTACCATTTCTCCAAGTACCAATCCAGCACGGAAGCCAAGAACTTGAACATTCGTCCGTAGAGCGCCATGATCTGAGTCTTGATTGCGGCTGTTTGGTATACATCCAAGACCTGGACGCACATTGCGACATCCTCGCTGATGTCTGCAATCAGTTTGGACAGACCGGTGGACACCTCCTCATATCTAGCTGTTGCCTGATGAGCTATCAGCAACGATGTCGTCTTCTCGGCATACAAACGGAGACATACAAACACAATAGAGGTGAGAACACCGCTGATCAACGACACGTACTCACTACCCTGAGGTATGACCTTCAGCATACCCTCATGCTCCTTGATGAACACACAGGCCCTGCTGTAGTGGGACGTGATGAAGCCCGTGGCACCACTCTTACGCTTTTGGTGGAAGGATTGATCAACGTCTTGCATCACTTGCTTTACATCGTTCAAGGAGGGAGCGCGATGAGCCCAGCGTCGGTATTTCGCCTCGTCTGGCACTTTGTCGCGAAATCTGGTCCATTGCTTGCTGAGTTCGACGGCTTGGTCATTGAACAACTTCTGGACTTCATTACTGTCATGATATCAGCGGACAGGCATCGAGAGATTGTCTTGGTAGGTAAAAGTTCACTTTGATGTTGTAGGAGTCCAAGGCTCAAAGTACTTTTGCCAGCGAGGCTCTTCGCGGTCGGCGTGCCGAAATTCTTCCGCCACCAAGGTTCGGAGCGTGCCATCTGATCCATCTTCATCCGTCTCCTCTGCCACACGCATGCTGAAGCTTCGGACCAAAGACATGGTGTCAATGCTATCTTGCCTCGCGAGAGCCATGTCTGCGTCTCGACTTTGGATCCCTTGGTGGGTGAGCTGGAGCGGGGAAGAGACGACGATACCTGACAGCACTGCGACTTGTTGCCTTTCGCTTGTTGTTCCTCACCTCAGCCTTGTGGCTACAGACCCCACCCACCCATTCATTTGTGGGATCGTAGACCCGCATGGCGTTCTCAGCCTGATCGGCATGGCCAATGATTCCGCCGTTGGAACCGCTTCAAGGCGCTAACCGGCCTCTTTGACGGCCTCGAAGGAGTGCGGCTGAATGCRTTGGTGCAACCTATAGCTTTGTGAGTACTGGTTGTCTACTTGTGGATGGGCTGTGCTGCAAGCCACATGGACATGTCAAATTGATAAGGTAAATGTGCCCACTTCTCGCAGCCTACCTTACTTTGTTCATCTTCAGTGGCAAGCGCTACATCATCATCTGCTGTACATCAAAGATGCTCGAGCTAGGTCTACGAGATTCTGGGTTGGGAGAGTCCATCACCACGGAAGGAGAGCTAGACGCCTCGCTCAAAGAAGTCGTGAGCAAATGTCTGGCCGAGGGCGAACGCCATAGCCAAACAATAATCCCAAAGCATGAGCAACAGCAGYAAGAGTCTCATCATGGTGCTGAGTCTACAGCCAAGGAACCAGACCATTCAAAGCTAGCATCGCAGCACGATTCACATATCAGTCCGGCGTCTACAGTTGAGAAACCAAACGACCCCGATGATGCGGTTACCGGAAGTGGTGGTCAGCCCAAGGATGAGGATGCCACAGAAGGTGCCGCTCCCGAGAAGGAAGATGATGCTCCTTCTGAAAAGACTGCACCCGACGACGGATCACGTAAAGCACTAAAAAACTTCCATCTGGACGTGACCTGCCCAAAATGCAACACCGAGATCTGCTCCTCTGCGCCTGAACCTGAAAAGGACTCCGAGTCGGAAGCTGCGAAGAAGCCCGGTGACTCCAAAGACGAGTCGAATGAGCCAGAGCCGGAAGAGCCTCCTACAGATGGGCCTTATATCTTGTACAAAGCCGTCTATGTCGACCCAGACGACGACGATGACATACTGTTCGACACCAAATCTTACAAACCAACACCGCTTGGTGCTGCCGAAAGCGGTCAGCTCTCTCATCCAGTCTTCGATGTTGTCAAGAGATACACTGCAGCTGCTCACGTGCCGCGTTGGGACAGATACGATGGACCTCTCAAGAAACCACCGCGAACCGACTCCAAGCCGAAGTATTCTCTTGTCATCCGATCTCAGGCCATCATACGAGCTCTGCAAACGACGGTGCAGTTCTATCCAGGAGTTGATTTGTTCAAGGATTCAATCAAGATCGACGAACCATTCCAGATGCTGATCCACCACTACGATGATATTGTGGCTTTCCGAGATGCACGTAGCCCAGAGAATCTCTGCGAAGGCGCATGCGAGACGGCTCGGGACGCTCACGCACACATGACCATGTTGATTGACTTCTTGGAGCAACTCATCATGCCCGAAGTCCGTGCAGAGCGAGCGAGGCACGAGAGAGGTGTTGCGACCTGGAACATGCTCTGGCTTCTCCTTCGTCCTGGAACAGACGTGGCCCGACTAACATTCTCCGGGGCTTCTACGACCAAGAGGAGCGCCACCTACAATCGAGACGGTGCGATCGTCCAATCTATAGAGCGCGAGAACATGACGGATGCTTCCTATTGGGAGGTCAAGACCTGGCACTTGCGATACAACGGKGACGTGATTGGACGGGAAGAACACCGAGAGCTGATACATTATTTCGATGGAGAGATGGAGCTCTCCCGCATATCCATCCTGCCGATTCACTATGCGCCGATGGCACCAAACAACACAAATGCCAAAGAATATCTAACCAACAAGGGCATGCAGTACTTCGACTTGCTGCGCCCACAATGCAAGCATCATCGAGGCGAAACTCTCGAGTACCCATTCCAGCAGGTGATTACTAGCACAATCATATGATTAAAAGCGGACATTGCTAAAATTGGAACAGATCGAGGCTCAGGTTCAAGTGGACTTTCCGACATTTTTCGACAGCCTCCCTGAATTTCGTCCAGATCTATCCGATCCACCCAAAGGACCACAAACCACACCCGGACCCGATTGCGACTGCTCCTCTTGTAAGACAGGCCCAGTTGTCGAAAACTTGCTCCGAAAGTATTCCAGCTACCATGGCATCATACCAGAGGTTGGATCCAGCCTGACACCGCACCAATACTTTCTCTGTGGCCAGGCGGTATGGGCGTACATGTTCAAGATTCGCGACTGGCGTACGTTATGACTGCGTCCGCCGATGACCTCCCTGCTAATTTGACATAGAACTGCTCGATGTTGCCAATCTGTCCGATGCCGAATTTCGGCCCGAAATGATCAATACTTTGGTCATAGATCCCAAACGTTTGAGGATGCTCAAAGCTCTGTCTCAGAGCTTCATGCGAGAATCGATCAACACAGGCGCCACTCTCTCCCAGCCATGGACTGCGGACTTTGTCAAGGGCAAAGGGAATAGTCAGATCTTCCTTCTCCATKGTCCGCCAGGAGTCGGCAAGACTTACACAGCAGGTGAGATAAGTCGTACAACATCGGTCAAACCTCACTAATCCAAATTAGAATGCATGGCCGAACACACTCGTCGTCCACTCATGACCCTGACCAGCAGTGATATTGGTACCACTCCAGCAGAAGTGGAGAAGAGCCTCTCGGACAGCTTCAAGCTTGCCAAGAAGTGGCAGGCGATTCTCTTGATTGATGAAGCAGACATTTACCTTGAGCGTCGAAGTCTGACTGACCTGACAAGGAACAGCTTAGTCGCATGTAAGTACAGCGTGTTCGCCTGGGTTTCTTTCGCTGACTGTACAACTTTACAGCCTTTCTCCGTGCTCTGGAGTTCTATGAAGGCATACTATTCCTCACGACAAACAGGGTGGGATCATTCGACGATGCCTTTGTCTCCCGCATTCATGTCAAGCTCCACTATCCCGCTCTATCGGAGGAAGACCGCGAGCAAATTTGGGATAACTTCATCAACAAGCTCAAAGTCGAACGCGGCCATGCCGTGAGAGTTATGAGAGATGTCAAAACGTACATTACATCTAACAAAATTCGCGAGCTTAAACTCAATGGCCGGGAGATTCGCAATGGTAAGTCCCAGCCTTTCACTCGATGATAATCTTCAAGCACTAACACGACTACTTCTCAGTCTTCCAAACAGCAGTCGGACTTGCAGAGTTTGAAGGCGAAAAAGACGAAGAAGGCAAGATCAAGATTTCGGAAGATCATCTGGCACAAGTTGCGGAGATGACGGGTGAGTTCAAAAACTACCTGGATGACTTGCATCTTGCGGATGAGGAGAAGAGGGCGCAGAAGTTGTTCCTGCGGAAAGACGAGACATTGACGCCGGCGGCGACGCCGAGCAAGAGGTGATGGGGGTTTCGTATATATAGTTGGAATAGCAACTGTTCGGAGGGGGATTTAACGCACGTAACGAAGTTCGAACATGGTATAATGATTACTCCTGCAGTCCGTACTTTGCAGAAGGGAGTGCTGTCCAAACGAGAAGTCAAGTCAAGCAAATGCCTAGAAATTTGAAGACACGAACAAGCTTCCGCCAACGGACAAGAAGACCAGATCGCCCACCATCGTGCATGGCTTTGAGTATGATAGTATGCGAAACCTGCAGGGCAAGCTCTGCAATCATGTTGGTAACTTGCTGCACGCCTTATGGAGGATGCAGACTAGTGGTGGAGATTGGCGACAAATGCCGCTTGATGGGACGCCTGAACCAATTTTGTGTATCTCGCGTGCGGTTATTCCGCACCTCTACTCGCCCAATCTACCAGATTGAGGGATACATGCTCAAATTGTTCTCGTTGTGATCGAGCGGTAGATTTGGTGTTGCCCAGCCCCTCGTATCCATTTCTCATGAAGGCAGCTTCGCCCACAAAGTTTGACCACGTCGATTTCGTGTCGGGAGGCCTGAGAGAGGCCTGAGAGGATTTCGAATTCTAGACCAAGGCGCCCAGCATCCACTGATCTGCAATTGGAACTCCTTATGAGAACCCTCCATTATATAAAGAATCAAAACACCCGTCCGTGTAGTTTCCTCCGCACATCGATTTCACTTTCCCCCCCATCCAACAAGCTCCTCTCACCCGCTCTACCACCAACAACATGCAGTTCACCACCATCGCCCTCTCTGTAGCAGGCATGCTCCTCACAGCATCCGCCACCCCAGTCGCCTCTCCTCTCCCAGCAGGTTTCGAACCCATCACCGGCGAGGAAATCCGTGCCCGTCTCGCTGCTCCCGAAAGTGCTTTGACCAAGCGCCAGCCTGGAGGTGTCTACATCTGCACTGGAGCCAACTACTCTGGTACTTGTGGCTATGCTGTTCAGCCTCTGTGCTCGAGCAGCTCGCCTTGCAACACGAGAAGCCAGATTGATGCGCACTGCGTTACTTTGACGAGCCCTTAGTATGTTGTGATGAGATTTTTCCGAGATGGGGAGGTTTGGTTGCTGATGGTTTTCGAATAGCTTGCGCAACATTGGTTCTTTTGKGCCGGATCAGGGTGCTAATGTTTACGTTTCTTCGTTAGTCGACCTGCTCTTCATGTTTTGTTTTCCTGGTACATTGACTGACGCTTTGTGATTGATAGGAATGGAAACTGCCACGAGGCTGATGGCGGTATCTCTTACCCCGGGAGCACCGATTTCAAGAATTACCATGCTGGTACCAATGATCACGAGGGACAGGTTATTACGAGCTTCTTGGTTGTGGCCAAATAGATGGTGAAGAGAATGGATGGGTTTGCAGTTTTGTCTTTCATCTGTTTCCTCGACACATGGTAATGAAGGCAGCCGGATTTACTTGATCGAATGCAGAGGACTGTAAAGATCGACGCATACTTTCGGTGTCCACTCTTATCAACAGATTCGAACGATTGTGTAAGATGCGTTGTTGCGACTAGATGTCCGTGAATCCCGATCCATTGTTGATGAAGATGCTGTGAACGATTCGAATTCATTTCCTGTGGTCTGAATACAATACAACACAATGTCAACTCCGCAACGGATATTCCAAGAAGAACAAGTTTCAGTTGCGCACCTCGCCTTGTCGTACTACTTCAAGGGACAGTAGGAGAGAGAGAGAGAAGGACCCAAAAGAGAGGCCCAAGCTGCTCTATCACAACGAGGGTGGCAAGTGAGATGGAACCCACCTCGAACATGCCCATGTTGAAAACAAAAGCCCATGGAGAAAGATGAAAAAAAAAAAGAATTGGAGCCCCCCAAGAATTGAACTCGGCACTGCGGAGCACATATTCCACCCCAGTACTGCAACGAGTGATTTCTGATTATGAATGTTCAGGAAAGTAATGTGTATATCTACCTTGGTTCAGGGCGGAGTCGGGCGGATTATGGAGAATGAAAGCTGGCGTTGTTGGATTGGCACCTCGAAGCCGTTTCTTGGGTGCCAAGAAAGACAAAGTTGGACCTGCTTCAAAGGGCGTGCGGGGAGGAATGTCGTCGGCGGGCGAACTGAAATGGCTGTATGCTGAACTGGAGATCGTGAGCATGTGTGTCACCGGAGCTTCAGGGTCGAATCGGGTGCTTGTGAGGTGCATCGAGGCAGACGCGAGCATGCCAGCTGCTGCAATCTGTTGGCTCCATAGCCAGGAAAAGAGCATTTGCAAGAAAACAATCTCGGTGACGTTTCCTGCTCGTCGTGTCCAGAGAGCAGGCTAGCTCAAGGAGAAAAGAAAATCCTGCCTTCGATAATGCCTCGTTTCGTTTCTCAAGCTGCCTGTACCTCGGGAGATAACGGACAGCGGCCTGGCGACGTTGCTTCATCCCACGGTGTTGCCACTAAGGAGCCCGAAGAAGTCCGCAGTCAGATTTACAAGTGCAAAGTCCCGTCACTGGTCATGAGGGTTTCACGCTCATGATGCCAAATGCTGCATGAAGCTCACATGTATGTGACTGGCGACCAGGATAGGAACTGCGGTCATTCATGCCCATCCTGACTCTTCGCATGTGACTCCCGAGATGGAGGCCCGGAGATGTTGATGTCAACGGCATGAAGACCAGACTCGCCCGTCTCGAGCTCTTATGCTGAGTGAGATCAAGCACACCCTTGATATCGAGAATGGCTCTTGTAGGCACCGTTCCAATGCTGTTGACTGTAGAAGCGTCGCATGCTTTTGCTCACAAGCTTTTCATGACAGTGGCGGACGAGCACTGCTGGGAAGAGTCGTGTATCTCATGTAGCGAGACAGCAGGTCGGCGGATCTCTCGTCTGCCGTTGATTACTGGAGCGGTCTTGATCCGTCGAATGAGATTCCCTCACTGCCCGATGAATTAATTGATCATCACAGGACGTTGTCGAGGTGGAGAAMATGGATGGATGCAGGTTGGCAGGGCAGGGCAGGGCAGGGGTGCCGAACATTTTCCGTTGCCCAGCATTTTGATCTCAACGTCCAAGCCAGCGGGTAGATCCGCTTTCTTCTTCTTCTGACTTCTTGAGAGGCCATCAGGAGTTAGTTCATCATCACAATGTATGCCATTTTTGGCATCAAAGTGTCATGAAGACGGTGTTGTTTTGTTGTGTCGAAAAGGATTGTGGCGGGCAGTTGGAGAAGCAGTGTCCGCGATGCGGGAAGTTAGCATGGGAGGCACCAACCTTTGATGATGGACATATTCACGACGATGATGGAAAACGTAGGAACATTTCGTTTGATTAATAACAACTGCTGATGTTTAGAGCAGCCAGTAGGGAGCAATCTCATGTATCTTTGGAAGAGTGGTAGAGGAAAAGCAAGCTGGACTCACATTGCCCTCCAAAGATTCCACTTGCTGCTTATACATCACCCTCTGAAAGCCGAACGAACGAACGAATCGTAGACCAACTCCTCCTTCCTACTGCCTGTATTCTCCGATGGTCGACAGATACGGCCTGGTAGATATCCGGACAAAATCTCCCAAGATTTGCTGGCCCACTCGTGGCTGTCTCAAGAGAGAGACTCYTCACTCAGCCACACCCCAAGAATTGGGTGCTGCAAGGCGATCGAATCGCAGCGCGACGACCATCATATGAAAACCTGACTGCTGAGTGATTCGCAAAGTTGGCAAATCATTCCCTCAGTCGAAGACCAGCAAACCGCAGCGTTGCCTTCCAAATGTCGTTCGTTCTCCTCGGATCTGCTTGCAGCCATCGAATGCTGACTTTTCTCTTGGTCTCCAGCGTGGAACTTGATCCCAGGCGCCTGAAATCTGCTCCCCTCGGTTGTGCGCCAGAGATTTGAGCATTGCCATTTGCGTCTTCCTCGGATTCCTTGCCCGGAGGACGCACAACAAGTGGGTTGTGTGGCCATCTCCAATGCAAGCAACCGAAAAGATTTGGTGATCTAAAAGTCACCCAAGCTGTATCCATTGTCCATCATACATTCTCGACGGGGTCACCTCTTCTGCGTAGCAAAACGGACGGCTGGGCCACTGCTTGGGAAAGACTTCCGTAACGCTGGCTGGCTGGCTTGGAGGAGTGTGTCTGGATGAAGACCAGGCGGTCAGGATACAGTTGGAAAAATATGCACTGGGAATGCGCCGCTGCGGTTTCATTCTGCTGGTCGAACGTATCGTTGTCCGGACACGAGAACAATGCGAAATCGATTGGCKAACTTCTGGCGAGACATTTGGCGCCCAGGCTTTGGCAAACTCGTCAATTCAATCGATGTACACCGCCTTGAACCTGAACGCAAAGGGCTGATCGTGGAGACATGCGAATATGTCGAAAACAGCGTTTTTTTCACGAAACATCTGGTTTGACAGGCGACTGTTTCCTTCTGGCCCAGGGCACTCACTCCTTACCGCGTCAAGGACCGCCCGGCAAGCTCTACCTATTTCCGTGCAGTACTTTCTTGCCCGCGACGTCCAAAGTCACCCTCGGCTTGACATGGTCGGATACATCGGGCATGCTCCACCACTCCCGATGACTGTTTCTGATTATGTTTCTAGAATCCATGGATTTTGGACAGTTGCCCCAGTAGCTGATAAATTGGCGGCTGTGGTTACTCGGCTTAATGAGGTAATGCCACCGCGTGCGTTGCCCTCTTACAGCACTTTGCTTATAATGCCGTCATTTGGGTGCATCGTCGCGGATGTGGCAAAAGAAAGTGATGGGCTCTGTCAAGCCATTACTACCTGACCTGACGCTTCATCGGACATGCCTGGCCTTCGTTCAGCTTTCGAGTACGCTGTTCCTACTTCTTCTGTCATTTTTTTTTAGCATGGCATAAGCCATCGATCTGTCCCCGGAGGCAATCATCGGGAGCAGCCGGCTCTTTGCCAGAAACATATAATGTATACTTTGCTGCAACGCGACTTCTACCATGATTCCATACCGCTACCAAACGGAACAGTGATAGGTGTTAACATCTTCCGCATACAACCGGGTCTTTTAATATATGCCTTCATCCGCGACTTCTCTCTTTTTCCTCCTCACAAAACATTCACATGCTCAATACTGTACCACTGCTCCAGCATTCTGTACACGTACAATCTTCACAAAGCATCACACATACTTCACACAAGCGTTCAAAGTCCCCGCAAGACTATAAAAAAATACTTCAATATCAATCATCGCAACTGGTCGGAAATACATGTTTCCACCAAGCCATCGCGAGGCCTTCCATGACAAGAAAGCGCCGTCCTGCTGTGGAGCGCACCATATGGAAGGCCGCCTCAAGGCCCTGCTCCCACCCCCCAGCGGCAAGCCAAAACGCCGCTCCCATCATTCCTGGACCTGGCCTCCGCGACCCCATCCAAGACCGGACAACCGGATCGTCTCTCGTGGGTACCATCGCCTAGCTGGGACTCGAGAGCGTCCACCCCGCCGATTGTTGGGTGAAAATATCACAGCCAATATCACTCAACTCCGGCGCCCACAATCACCCCGTCGTCATCCTCGCCAGACAAAAAAAACCTGGTGTTGTGCGCCCCATGCACTTCCTGGAACAATCAAACTCCCCAGATGAAATGGGCCAACGCCCCGAAAATCCTCGACGACATCCTACATACTTATCTGGAACTACTCTCAATCGACCATCCAGCCGACTGTGCTACGGAGCAGCTCGGTGGCCTGATGCATTCCGGACGAGCAATGGAGAAACGAACCTTCATGTCACTCCGAGGGGCGTTCTGGACGGAAACAAGTCTGCTCGAGAAATACAGCAAAGGTGGCCCACGTCAACTATCCGCCGATTCTTTGAGTAAAGCTTGCTGGGCTTACGCCACGGCCCTTGCCTGGCGCATACAGAAGGGGATTCCCGAACTTCCGAAGGGAATCCAGTCAAGGACACCGAGTCCGCCCCCGACTGTTGTGCGGCCTGCGCAACGTGATACTGGAGCTTGGAGACCGCGCGACGATGGTGAGTCTGTCCCTATCCTCTCGACTGGTTGTCAGAGTACTGAGCTAACGCGTGGGAATTTAGCGGCTCGTCGGACGATGGCTTCCAAGGGAGGAATTTCCAAGGCTGGAGGCGGAGCTTGGGGAAACAAGAGTGAGGGGAGGAGGAAGAGTGGAGGGTTTATGCAGAAGGGGAACTGGCGGTCGGTGGAGGCGGTGAAGTGAAGGGGTTTGGTGGATGGATGGCATGGAGTCGCGGTCGGTTGGAAAAAGGAGAACTCCCGCAGTCGTTGGTCTGGGGAGTTCGCCATGGGTTGTTTCCCTCATTGGTTTGGCAAGTTCACACGGCCGCTTTCCCTCCGTTGATTGAAGAACTCGCTGACCTCTCACCCTCGCAGTCCGCCGGGTACTGCGGGCAGGATGTGACCGCGTCCTGCCCACGGTGTGAAGGTATCGCAAAGGGGAGGTGTCTTACCGCTTGCGAGTTCGAGATCAAAGGTAAGAATCGTCCGATATTTTCACAAAGGTACCACAGGGGCTGACTGTCATCCAGATTGAGTCGAGGAGAGGGGAAGGGAACGGCGGAGGGAGAGGAGGGGAAGTGCTGGGGAAGTCAGAATGTGTGGTCACCGCTGTTGCGCTGGTGCGCTGTTTGCGCGGGTGCGCTGTCTGCGCTGTTGCGCTGCTGCGGTGTTTCTTGTTTTTGTGTCTGTACAGCAGTGCCGCTGTGCTTTGCTTGCTTATTGGGGTTGCTGGCGTCGAATGGGATAAGTTCGTGCTTTGAGCACAGAGATTCCCTGGGATGTCGACAAAGTCTGTCGCGAACAGATGTGGGCCAGCTTTTTGTATGATAGAACAACATCACGGCTCGAATTACGTTGTTCACTGAGATACCATGTTCCTGTCCCTCTCTTTGTCCTGATCAATTTGACGTGCATGGGAGGGAATTTCCCCAGGCCTTCTATTGCAAATCACCCTCGACCGGCATGCAATTGGGATGCAATCTCACTGACATGACGAAGGACCACGAAAGACATGAAGTAACAAGTAAGTTTCGAATTTGCCTCCATCTTTCTACAAGCAATCTTCAGACATACATTCCTGTTCCGCGATCAGCGGCATGCACAAGCATGATCAACTCAAAAGAAGAATCGTGCCCCAATAACGCCATGATAATCCCATCCAGCATTCCCCATATCCATTTCAATCGTCAACGCCATTCACATGCCAACAAAAAGAAGCTTCCTCCCAGGTCATTACAAATCCACGATCCAATCAACCACTGCACATGATACAGCTCTCTGGATTCTCGATACTGCAAGCCAGCACAGCATCGGCGTAGATGTCGCCCTCGCGGTCTGCGCTGGCTTCGCCATCCTCTTCCTGTTCACTGCCCTTCTTCACCGCAGGTTCAGGAAGCTCCTCCTCCTTAGGGACAGCGTTGAGTCCGTCAACTGCGAGAACCTCTGGGCTCTCACCGTCGTCGAGATCGGCCTTGAACGGCGGGTTGACAACTGCAGAGGAAGAGCGGCCGAATGTCCGCTGCTTACGCTCAGGCTGTGGTGGAGGCGTGGTTGCTGGGGTAACAACATCTTGTGGCACAGAGGCTGCTGTGAGTTCCTTGTTTTCGTACATTGGGCTTGGAGCGGCCACCGGCTTCGGTGCGCTGACAGCCGTGTATGTGCTGGGAGCGTTCTTCTTCTTGGAAGACTTGCCGACGTTGGTGTCTGCGACCTTGAGCATTTCCTGGTCGACGGTGAATTGAATGGGTGCCGAGGCAGCCATGGTTCGGAGGTAGTACATGCCAGTCTTCAGGCCGAGCTTCCAGCCAGTGAAGTGCATGCTGGTGATCTTGCCCATGGTAGGCTCCTTCATGTGAATGTTCAAGCTCTGRGATTGATCGATGAAAGCACCACGGTCGGCGGCCATCTGCACAATGTGACGCTGGCTGATCTCCCAGACGGTCTTGTACAACGCTTTGAGGTCGTCGGGAATGTTGGGGATGCGCTGGATGGATCCGCCATCGGCGATGATGCGGTTCTTCATGTTGTCAGACCACAGGCCGCGCTCAACGAGATCCTTGAGCAACCATGGGTTGACGACCTGGAACTCGCCGGCCAAGACACGCCGGGAGTAGATGTTGCTGGTGTATGGCTCGAAACACTCGTTGAAGCCCATGATCTGAGACGTCGACGCAGTTGGCATGGGTGCAACGAGGAGGGAGTTGCGGACACCGTGCTCGGCGATCTTCGCCTTGAGCGACGCCCAGTCCCAAAGGTCAGTGGGAGTCACACCCCACATGTCGYACTGAAGCTCGCCCTTGGAAACAGGGCTGCCCTCGTAAGTCTCGTACGGGCCCAATTTGGCGGCCAGATCGCAAGAAGCAGTGAGGGCAGCGTGGTAGATGGTCTCGAAGATCTGGATGTTGAGCTGGCGAGCCTCGGGAGAGTCGAAAGGCATGCGAAGGGCGAGGAAAGCATCGGCAAGACCGTTGACACCAAGACCGATGGGACGGTGACGAAAGTTGCTCTTGCGGGCCTCTGGAACGGGGTAGTGGTTGACTTCAATGATCTTGTTCAAGTTCTTGGTGACGGTCTGTGTGACTTGGTGAAGCTTCTCAAAGTCGAAGCGCTCGTTCTCAATGTCGACATATGTGGGGAGGGCGAGAGATGCAAGGTTGCACACGGCGACCTCATCAGGTGCAGTGTACTCGATAATCTCTGTGCAGAGGTTGGAGCTGCGGATGGTTCCCAGGTTCTTCTGGTTACTCTTGCGGTTGCAGGCATCCTTGTAGAGGATGAAAGGTGTGCCGGTCTCGGTCTGAGCCTCAAGAATGGCGTACCAGATCTTCTGTGCGCGGATGGTCTCGCGGCCTTTGCCTTCACGCTCGTATCGCTCGTAAAGCTCCTCAAACTCATCACCGTAGACATCAGCAAGGCCAGGGCACTCGTGCGGGCACATCAGTGTCCATGTGGTGTTTGCTTCCACACGCTTCATGAAAAGATCTGGGATCCACAGAGCGTAGAAGAGATCGCGAGCACGAACCTCCTCCTTTCCGTGGTTCTTGCGGAGATCCAAGAAGGAGAAGACGTCGGCGTGCCATGGCTCAAGGTACATGGCGAAAGCACCTGGGCGCTTGTTGCCGCCCTGATCGACGTAGCGAGCAGTGTTGTTGAAGACTCGCAGCATGGGTACCAGTCCGTTGGATGTGCCGTTTGTGCCGCTGATGTATGCTCCAGTCGCACGAATGCGGTGGACATTCAAACCAATACCGCCCGCGTTCTTGGAGATCATGGCGCAGGTCTTGAGTGTGTCGTAGATGCCGTCAATGCTGTCATCCTTCATGTCGATGAGGAAGCAAGAAGCCAGCTGTGCGTTGGGTGTGCCWGCACTGAAGAGTGTAKGCGAGGCGTGTGTGAAATATTTGCTGGACATGTAGTTGTATGTCTCAATGGCAGACTCAATGTCGTCGCCGTGGATTCCGACGGCCACACGCATGATCATCTGCTGCGGTCTCTCGGCCACCTTACCATTGATACGGAGGAGGTATGAGCGCTCGAGCGTCTTGAAGCCAAAGTATTGGTAGTTGAAGTCACGGTCGTAGACGATGGCGGAGTTGAGCTCATCGGCGTGCTTCATGACGATCTGGTATGTGTAATCCGATATCATGGGCGCAGCTTTGTTGGTCTTTGGGTTGATGTAGTGGTACAGGTCTGACACGACGGCCGAGAACTGCTTTTTGGTTTGCTTGTGGAGGTTAGACACGGCGATGCGGGCGGCGAGGATCGCATAGTCGGGGTGGGTGACGGTCATGTATGCTGCCGTCTCTGCAGCCTGGAAATCATCATTGTCAGTGGGAGAGCCCTCCAAACTAGGCATTGGATGAATGGCACTCACCAAGTCGTCAAGCTGGATGGTCGTCACACCCTGGTAGACGCCGGAGATGACCTTCATGGTGATGGCGGCGGAATCAACGTGCTCTGGGTCGAGGCCATAACAGAGCCGGGAGACACGAGCGGTGATCTTGTCGAACTGGACGCGTTCCTTGCGTCCATCTGTGGATTGGCATCAATGTCAGTGGGCCGCGCGATGATAGGGGACGGTGAGGCACTGGACTTACCGCGCTTGTAGACGAACATGTCGTCGGAGCGGGAGGGGGAATGTGGAGAGTGAAGGGCGACTCTTGTCTATGAAGGATGATGAAATGGATGATGGAGGAGGAGGAGGAGATGGGAAGAGGATGTTGATGTTGATGTCAAGAGAAAGACGAGACGAGACGCGGACTGAGCGTGTTAATGAAGGCCGCGGGAAACATCCCACCGTCGCGTAAAAACGCGAGGAGCGCGCGCGAGCCTGAACCGCGACTCCAATTAGTCCCAGTTGGGCTTAGCATCAAAGCTAGCAATCTCTTCCTCTCAAAATCTTACGAGTCTGCTTTCCAATCAACATCTTCATCAACAACATCACATCTGTTGCAACCTCTGCCTTGAAGATACATCACCTCGCGTCGAGTGTGTTCGCATCTTGATTCTGAACATATCAGTCCGCAGATGGTCCTCGCTGCAGAGCGAGGCATGAAAATGGCGTTGCCCAACCTCGCTGAACCCAATTTCGGAACAGCTGGCACTCCGACCACGACCTCAAACATCTCTCCTCAGCCTCGATGATTTTTGGCCGAGAGCAGCACGAGATCATATCCTCCTTCTACACATTCTCCCACCTTTTTTAAGACACGGCACTTTCGAAGGCTCGGCGACATCGACTTTACCACAGTCACGAGTTCAAAATTTGTAGCCAAGAGCAAACCCCAAAGGTCTGYCAAGACCGTCTCACTCGTGTTGCAGTGTCAGAGCATTGCTATGATGACTTTGCGTCTTTTTGTTGAGGTACATTCAATCATACATCTTAACGGATGTTCAATTCTGGTGTAGTGATCGTGGTTGTATCGTCGTCGCCATGCCATTGAATCTACGTATCCTGCCTGGACTCGCTTCTAAGGATGGGTCGACGAGAGGCAGCCAGCCCACATTGAGGGTTTGCATGCGGAGAGTTTCCTCTTCACACGCCCTGTGGCACCTTTCGACCATTTCTCAAACTCTCTTCTGTCTACATCATTCGCAATACAATTTTCAGTCCCGACAATAAAGCTTGCACACCTTCTTGTGGAGTCCCCAATCGCCTTTCTGGCACTCTTGATCACAGTACTTTGCTACTCCACACTTCCCGCACCGTGACAGAGTAATTCCCTCCGTCTTCCCACACGTCCTGCAGCCTAGCTTCACAGGGCATTCCTCCTCTCTCAAATTGTACTTCGGCCAGAACTGGACGAAGTTCTCGGGCGTCATCTGGGAAAAGAAGAGCTCATTTTGATGGACTTCCGAGATGTCAGGCATCTCTCTCTTTATTTTGCCAAGAGAATGTTCAACAAAACACCACAGTCCGTAGACGTGGTCTGCCGTCAGGTCTTTTCCATCAGCTCGGGTGAGCATGATGTTTGGCGGCGCTGCTCCCTCACCTTGCGTTCTGCGTGAATAGATACCTGGCCGTAGCGTCTTTTTCGGGGAAAGGTGGTGTATGATTGGGTTCTCGGAGATATCAGTTGAAACGAGATTGGCAGGGGGTGTGGGGCGGAAGGAGATGTGGTCCCGAAAGCAATAAAAAAATAGCGGGAGTCCGATGCGAGCTGTGAGATGTAGCAGCGTCTGAGGAGCTCCTACCGCATTGTCGGATGCGAATGCTGGGTAGATCTCGGGGATTAATGTATCACCATCGCTGTGGGATCTTATGAGCATTCGAGGATAGCTCTTCACGGCTGTTGGATTCATGACTTGGCCAGACATCGAAAGACTGTTTGTGTGAATTGAGTTGACGTAGTGGCTTGGATGCCGAACAGGCGCCCTGCTTATATTAGTATGATCGGACTCTTTGTGATTCCTCGGTATGTTCGAGCTTTTCCGAGATCTCACGCTTGTCTGCTTTGTTCGGTCCATCGCGAAGAGACTAGAAGATGGCGCTCGAAAATACTCACTGCCGTGTTCGGGAGGAACAACAAGTGAGGTGTTGCGTAGTTGTGTTCCGGCCACATGGCTCTGGAGGGCGAAATGTGTGTAGCAGCAGCTGCTCAACATGCGGTCGACGAATGGCATTGTTCCGCCGCTGCTCCGCTGCTGGCGTGGTGGCCCTGAGAGAGTGGGAAAGTAACTGTACGAGGAAATGTCAGCTTCCGTTTTCCGGATCGTTTCTCCGGCCGTGTGAGATGTATTAAGGACGATGCTGTGTGCGTCGCGAAACGAGTTGATACCGCAAACGCCAAGCATACCATTCACACGACGGCTCGCACGTCATGTCTTCGAATTCCTAGCGGGAGATGGGGAGAAGCAATACAAAACATACCTCAAATTGATGAGACACTGTGCATCTTTTGAGACCAATTGCACAACACATTTCCTAGGAGATTGTCCAAGACCTGGGTAGACTACAAGCAAAGTCAACAGCAGTCAGGCAACTGTTCGGCACATGGTGTCAAAGCAAGAAGGTCGTAGCCAAGCAGCGRTCGTCCGGAATCTGAAAACGAGGTGTTGCTTTTGCCTACTCATTGATCAAGCTGCCGTTGATTCATTCTTGAACTCATGGAGGCCGTGGGCGAGCTTCATTATGCGGAAAAGGTCTTCTAGTTGTGATCAGGACGTCACAAACGAATACAAGGATGACGATGAAGAAGAAGATATGCTGGAGGAAATTGAAGGGAGCATTGAAGAAGACGCGGGATGGTGTATAGTCAAGAAGTCGACTCTGCTGTCAGGCTCCATCTCAGAGCTATGTCATCCGAATGCATAGCAGCATTTCTATCAGCAGCCGCCAGCTGTGGTTTGAAGACCGCGATGACCTAGTAGTGTTGTCATCTGGGATGTCGGACTTCCAGCCCATCATGTATGGATATATTCCTTCGACTTGACTCCAGCAGATGAAGAGATACGTGGATCCTGTGCTAAGCTGGTGAGGACCCCAGAAACATACATTGATGGCCCTAGTTGGTGTTCGTCATATCTCCCGGTGAACCGGCACTCTGATGCCTACGCCTTGCTCTTCTCTGTATTCGCCATCTCTTGTCGTCCTTGATAGAGTGCGACTTCGCGGCTGGCGTTGAATGTGTTCGTACGCGGACCGAGCTCCGCAAGGTGAGGTCCTCCGCTCGCGAGATCCATCCCTCACCAGCGCGTGTTCCCAAGCGTACCTTCTCTTCCCCGAACGCATCGGACACTTCCACCAGCCATATCACGAACCTACGAGATGGATCGTCTCCGCTCGCCGACCCAGTTGCCGCAAGACCGTCACCCGCGCCCGTAGACGACGGAAGAAGAGCTGGAAGGAGGAAGGGACCGTCCGCGTCTACACGTACGTCAGGCGSGGTAGCATCTAGCTGCACGGACGACGTGCGATGTGCTTATTGAACCCTCTGTGGTGCCTGCAGCGGAGGGCTGCGTATCGGCAAGGCTGCCGTGAGAAGGATCGGAGCTACTCTTCTGCAGCACACATCGATCCTTGAACGGACACGGAAAGATCTTCCTCCGCAGGTCGCCGCTTGGAGGTATTGCGTATGACATGACATGCTTGCCATACAGCGGAGGTTTGCTTTCTTCCAGTTTCGCTGGGCATCTTGCGGCAAAGTGRCGTGGGATCAGGAAGCTGAAGTTGTTTCGCGGTTGCAAAGAGGAGCCGGTGTTCTGCTGGTCCCGATCTGAAACCGATGGTAATGTCTAGTTTACACCATTTTATGGTGAAGGACCCTTTCCCCAATCAATTTCACTTACCGGGACAAGGATGGTACTGTAAGGATCTTGAGCTGAAAATATTATCGTCGAGGCGTCGTCAGCAAGGTAATTATGCAAACTTTTCCATTCGTACCTGGAACCTTCGCGAATCCGTGCCACAGAACGATCGCATCTTTCCGCACGGAAGTGGAATGGTATGATCGAATCTCAAACGACTATATTCTCACCCGTGGCTATTCGGAACACATTCCGCATGCAACCACTGGTTGTGTCGTGCCCAAGACCATAGCAAAGTGGGGCACGGACGTCCTTCCGCGCAAGGTCACCTGGTTGGAAAGGTAGCTTATAGGGCGAATGCTTGTCAGCGSCGGAAGCTGCAGGCAGCCGTTTCCTTGCACCTGTCGTCAAAGTCTTGATGGGGACCTGCCTGGTGCCTCTTTTCATCACAACCTTTGCATCAACGAATAACTATCGTCACCACTGGTGCTGCCGCGTGTCAGGTACTCACGTGCTTGGAGCCAATCATTTGTTGTTGGATATTACTACCGCCGTTGTGCTTCCTGGAGCTGCGCTAGGAAGCCATGGGCATCTCGAATGCGGCTGTTATTGTGCTGTGTATCGTTGGCGCTGGAGGTTAGTGTTCATCTTTCATCTGAAGTTCGGAATTGATATGGAGGGAAGCGAGTGAGCTGCTGCCATTCTTGACATCCTCCAGCAGCGATAGATATGCGCGCTCTTGCATTCCATCGATCATGGCTGACCACTGCACAGCTGCACTCATGATAGGATACGCTATTGGCACTCGACTATGGAACGGATCCGCCGACGACAGGAATGATCTGGAGGGAGGCCGTGGTGCATTCAACCAAGCTGCATACATGCGGGAAGTCCGACTGCGCAATCAAGACAAAATCTTGAGCCTTGCGAGGTCTGGAAAGTCGAAGTAAGCAGCCACTCTCGTCGGACTCCATCGGACTGGATTTGTGAAACATTGCTGACAATGTGCATGCAGGATACCGACCGACCAGATAACTCCGACCACTTTTTCGGCTGTCTCGACTTCTTCCTATGGGGACTTGCGGTAGTCGACGGGGAACAGTGCGATCTTTATGAATTATGATTATACCCCGGTTTCGTTTTTGGAAACGCCATTCAGAGAAGTTGCTGAGCAGGAGCTCGAAAGCTCGACGCGTTCGTTCAGCACGAGCAAGAATGGTGCAAGAGGGAAGGAAAATGACTAAAACGCTGCTAATGTTGCAAGCTTCGTGTTGTTGTAAACAGATAATGTATGATGCGTCCGGCGATTCCTTCGCACGAGCTGTTTGTGAGTAACACACAGCGTTCTGTTCGTTCAAAACACAGAATCAGATCGATCTCCCGAGGATCTACAGCATAATCAAATAGCATCTTTCAACTCCCAAGACGTTGATGTTGGTTACCATGTAGTGCTACTGTATACACCTCAAGCCAAGTAGGTGATGCTAGTGCATAGGCTCTGTGAGCATTGCGACTCGTCGAGAAACCAGACGGCAGCATCTACCACTATTGAGGAGTGTTTAGATTGTGTTCCAGCTACGTTGATGAGCCTTCGATGGGATTTGCGCTATTCGAGCATTCTTGGCACGAAAAGTGGGTCGGTCTGACGCCCAATCYCTACTAGCGTGAAGATGAGTGAATAACAGCTGACACATGCATTGCCTCCGCTCCGAGTTACACGCGAAAACTGGCAGTACTGTTGAGTCGTATCTTGGCTACGACTATAGTAAGATTGACAGTTTTTGGACATTTCCGCGCTTCGAATCGCCCGATCAGGCGGAAGAGTCGATGGTCGGTAAGCTTGAATACGAAGGTACTCAACAGCACATCTCGAGTGATTAGCGCTTGGAGGTTGCGTATGAGTTGAGATCAGAGAAGGTGCGGAGCTGTGGGATTGAGGCATCTCAGTACAGTTTGGACCTTTTCGATTGCGAGAAAAGCAACGGAAATATTGCATGTGGCCGATAGGTAGGGCTCAGGGGTTAGGGCGGTACATAACGCTCTCTCGACGATGACTTGGTAGTAAGGTAGTGAGTGGGCTGGAGGAATAACACGCTCCGTTTGGAGGCAAAGGGAGGTACGTGGAGGTAGACAACGGCACTATGGCTCTGAGCTGAAGTCACGCTGCGAGATTGCGGAGGACGCAGCTTGCTTTCACGCCAAGTCTAGATGACTTCACCATTTTCAGCTTGACTCTTGAACGGATGGTTACTCATCTCGTTGTGTACTCTTCCAAATTGATTGTCGCTAGAAAGCTAACAATGAAAGCGAGCAGGTATAGAGAGAACCGCATGAAATTCATCAAATGGAAGTCACGAGGACGAAAACATCGCTCTGCTAGAGAGACTGAACACTCGCACGGGAAGAGAAAGCTCATGATCATATCTGGTGTATTATCTCATACACACAAGCATCTCTCCAACTTTCCGTCTCATGTCCCCACTGCAAATTGTCGGCTCCTTCTGATCTCAACATCATCGTTATATGCATCCGCAAAAGCTGTAGTCCATCGAATTCTTGACCCCCCATCAAATGTAGAACATGGTGTTGCCCAAGGCAGAGTGCTGTGGGCTTGGTCTCTTGGCAGCGTTTACCCAGTTAGGCCCACTAGGGGGACCCCAACCTGTACGAATCAGGTTCAAGAGAAGATCGTCTTTGCGCCGCAGGTCGTCTGCTGAGCCTGGGGTCATGCCAGTGGGGGCTGGTGGCATCTGAGCCATGGTCATGTCGAGCCAGGCACGCCGGGGATGGACAGGGGAAAGGAATGAGACGAGGTAGCTTCTGCCACGCTCAGCCAGAAGATCAGCATAGTATGCTGGGGAGGCGTAGCTGATTGGTGTTAGAGCTCGGGCGAACGTCCAGCAGAGACTGAATGTGATCTTGTAAAGCTGGTCCGCGTTCAGACCCATGCCGTTGTGAATGACAAAGTAGTGGCAAGGCCGAGCTGTACCTTTGAGGGCGACGTGGGACTGGAGGTAAAAGTCGAAGTGGTACGGGTTGCGGATGCTTGGATCCTCGACGAAAAGACCGGCTGTTCAGTTACCCTTGCCATCAATTGCCTAGACATCACTGCGTTAGTCGTTTCTAATATGTGGTAAGCGTCTAAGAGGTACTTACCCAAGACTGGTTGGGGTCGTTCTTCGCCGCGTCTGGTGGATAAAATCGAGTGTGGTGGCGCTTTCCGTAGACAACAAGGGTAATCTTTGACTTGTACGCAGGAAAAGCGGTGCTTCACACCGGCGCTCGCACAACCCTTCTGGATCTTCAACAGCTCCTCGTCTCTCACCATGGCGAACTGAGGCTCAGAGACACCATCTCGGTAGAATAGAATGTTTTCTGGTAACTTCTTGTGGCCCTGAAACCACACTCCCAAACGCTCCTCCAGCATGTCAGCAAGATCGGCAATCATCTCTTGCTTCGATCGCCGAAGGCGCATCGAGCCAGGATAGTTGACTGCGAATGGATCGGTGCTGGCGACAACGGCAGCCACTGAGGGGCAGTGTTGAACGCTGCCACGGCCAGGATGAGTGACGTCTGCGCCTACAACTATGGTGGATCCGCCGTGAGCCAGCAGTTTCATCTCCTCTTCAGCCAGTATGTGGTTCCGCCCGCCAGCTTTGACGTTGAACTTGAGAGCGAGGTTGCCTGAGAATCGTGGCAATCCGAGCTGCGAAACCTTTTGTGGAGTGACGCATACCGTGTGAACACCCGCAAGCGTGTCAGCCTACCACTTCACAAAGCTGTAGGTAAGCGCATCTGAGCTTGCCAAAATGACCAACACTGCGCCAATCTTGACACTCCTCTTTCCCGTAGTGTTCTTCAGCGTCTGGAGGGCGAGCGTGAGCCTGTCCGGGTCATGATCCGCAGAACGTGCCGTGAAAATCAAGCGCCTACCACCGATACCGCATGCCCCGAGTCCATTTAGCCCACCTTAGCTGGGGTAACGTTAGACGCAAACCGCTGGAAATGAAATGCGGGCTGTGGATTTTCTTCTCCCTTACCTTCATCTTTTTTAGCTAATAGTACGGGTGATTATAGAGCTTTGGTTAGAATAGTACGGTCTAGAAGAGCTGACATTTCGTAGAGAATACAAAGTAAATAGGAAAGTAGATAATCTAGTAGTAGTTAAAATRTAAGGGCCGTATAAGAGCCCTTATAATAATAGGATTAATAGAGGTAGCTAGATTAACCAACCTTAGAGAAGGGAGTATAATGTAACCTAACTACTTAGCGTAGGCTTAGCGTATATATAACTCCTACGTATAGCGCACATTTAACCTATAAGAATTAGTCTTATCTCTAATCGAGTAATTACGGGTGTCTAATATATTACTACATCTTTACCCTTATAATTCTAATTCTTCTTCCTCTCTAAGGGTAGCGATCTATWAGATCCTAACGGAATAGCCCCTAGGCGCGCCGCCCGCGAAGCGACTACTCCCGAGTAGCGCTACGAAGAAGAACGCGTCGAAGAACTCCCTAACTACGGAGAT